AGGTAGAAGAAACCAACCATTACCAAATTTAACTATTTTTTTGTGCTTTCACAATTTATAAGTTCTTATCAAATGAACAAAATGTTAAGCTATTACTTCCATGGAAAATAAACACATTACAAAAATATGAAAATAATTAAAAAGAAAATGCGTTAATCTAATATTAATTGAATTCATGAATTAACAAAATCTAAACTATAGAATGAATTGATAAGTGAAATACAAAACGTAGACAAGAACGAAAAACAAGAGTAAGAGAAAAGAAGACGATGGAAAACAAGATAGGAAACTTTGAGAGGAAGAAGAAAAATTTAACACGAGGAAAAAGAAAAAATGGAATGTGAAGAAAAAAAAAAGACAAAGAAGAGATAAATAAAAACTATAATAAGATGATGTCAGAGTAGACAAAGATGATAAAGATAGAGAGAGAGAGAGAGAGAGGGGAATGAGGGAAAAGAAAAATCGGAAATAAAATGTAAAGAAAATTAGAACGTAAAAGAAGAATAGTGAGTTGGAGGATATAAAGGGATAAGAACCGATTGAAGAACAAAAATTGGAAGATGAAGAAGAAGCAGAAAAAAGAAGATGATGACAATCTATAAAAAAATGAAAGAAAAAAGAAGAAGATAGGATCACTAGAGAAGAATAAAAGGGAGAAGAAAACAACAATTAAAAAAAACTTTTATAAATGAAATAAAAATAAAAGCAAATCTAAAACTAATTTGTAATATGAGGTTCAGGTGTGAAGTTGAGGGGGAGTTATAATGTGGATTTGTGGGTTTAGGGTGTAGGTTCTTTAATTTTGGGGGAGGAGGGGTTTATAATGTGGAGTTTGGGTTTAGGGTTTATATTGATGGGTGTAGGGTTTAGATTTTGGTGCATTTTTAAAAATTTGAATTATTATAAAAATCACAATTATAAATCATTGATTATAACTTGATATCTACCTTTCAAAATTACATTCACAAATAAAAAAAAACTATAACAATTAAAGCAAATCCAGAATCGAAAGATAACAAAGATTTTCAAAAGATCTCAACTATATAAAGATTAAAAAAACTACATCATAAATCCTTGAAAATCTAAAGTATCAGATGAATTGATAGGTGGAATACAAGACGTACACAAGAACTAATAAAAATACGAGTAATAGAAAAGAAGTCAATGGAAAAGAAGATGAAAATATGGAGAGGAAAAAGAAGAAAACTCGAATATGAGGAAAAATAAATCAAAGAGAAAAAATGGAATGTAAAGAGAAAAAAAGACAAAGAAGAGATAAATAAAAACTAGAATAATATGATGTCTCAGAAGACGAAGATGATAAAGATAGAGAGTGAGGGGAATGAGGAAGAAGAAAAAACGTAAAAAGAATGTAAAGAAAATTAGAAAGAAAAAGAAGAATAGTAAGTTGGAGGATATGAAGACACAAGAAAGGATTGAAGAACGAAAATTTGAAAAAGAAGAAGCGGGAAAAAAAAGATGATGACAATGAATGAATAAATGGAAGAAAAAAAAGAAAATATGGGATCAGTAAAAAAGAATAAGAGGGAGAAGAAAACAACCATTACAAAATTTAACTAATTTTTTTATGCTTTCACATTTTATAAGTTCTTATCAAATTAACAAAATGTAAAGCTATTACTTCCATGGAAAATAAACACATTACAAAAATATGAAAAGTAATTAAAAAGAAAACGCGTTAATCTAATATTAATTGAATTCATGAATTAACAAAATCTAAACTATCAAATGAATTGATAAGTGAAATACAAAACGTAGACAAGAACGAAAAACAAGAGTAAGAGAAAAGAAGACGATGGAAAACAAGATAGAAACTTTGAGAGGAAGAAGAAAAATTTAACACGAGGAAAAAGAAAAAATGGAATGTGAAGAAAAAAAAGACAAAGAAGAGATAAATAAAAACTATAATAAGATGATGTCAAAGAAGACGAAGATGATAAAGATAGAGAGAGAGGGGGAATGAGGGAAAAGAAAAATCGGAAATAGAATGTAAAGAAAATTAGAAAGAAAAAGAAGAATATTGAGTTGGAGGATATAAAGACATAAGAACCGATTGAAGAACAAAAATTGGAAGATGAAGAAGAAGCATAAAAAAGAAGATGATAACAATGAATAAAAAATGGAAGAAAAAAGAAGAAGATAGAATAACTAGAGAAGAATAAAAAGGAGAAGAAAACAACCATTAAAAAAACTTTTATAATAAAATAAAAATAAAAGCAAATCTAAAACTAATTTGTAATATGAGATTCAGGTGTGAAGTTGAGGGGGAGTTATAATGTGGATTTGGGTTTAGGGTGTAGGTTCTTTAATTAGGGGGAGGAGGGGTTTATAATGTGGAGTTTGGGTTTAGGGTTTTATATTGATGGGTGTAGGGTTTAGTTTTTGGTGCATTTTTAAAAATTTGAATTATTATAAAAGTATATCAAAATTAAAAATCACTGATTATAAATTTATATCTACCATTCTAAAATATACTCACAAATAGAAAAAAAAAATAAAACAATGAAAGCATACCATAATCAAAAGATAACAACACAAATTAATTAGATTTTAAAAAGATCTCGACTATATAAAGATAAAAACTATTTCACGAATCCTTGAAAATCTAAACTACTGAATGAATTGATAAGTGAAATATAAGACGTAGACAAGAAGAAATAAAAACACGAGTAGAATAAAAGAAGACGGTGGAAAAGAAGATGAGAAACTTCGAGAAGAAGAAGAAAACTCGAAGAGAAAAAGAAAACAAAGAAGAAAAATGAAATGTGAAGAGAAAAAAAAGACAAATAAGAAATAAATAAAAACTAGAATAAGATGATGTCAGAAAAGACGAAGATGATAAAGATAGAGAGTGAGGGGAATGAGGAAGAAGAAAAAACGTAAAAAGAATATAAAAAAATAGAAAGAAAAAGAAGAATAGTAAGTTGGAGGATATGAAGACACAAGAAATGATTGAAGAACGAAAATTTGAAAAAGAAGAAGAGGGGAAAAAAAAGATGATGACAACGAATAAATAAATGGAAGAAAAAAAAAAGATGGATCAGTGAAAAAGAATAAGAGGGAGAAGAAAACAACCATTACAAAATTTAACTAATTTTTTTTTCTAGATCTTTCACAGTTTATAAGTTCATATCAAATTAACAAAATGTTAAGCTATTACTTCTTTGGAAAATAAACACATTACAAAAATATGAAAAGTAATTAAAAAGAAAATGCGTTCATCTAATATTAATTGAAAGGATTTGGAATTCTAAAACATCTCTTGCCCGCGCAGGCGCGGGCCAACCACCTAGTTGACTTTATAACAGAACTTTTGCTACCAGCCTACCACTGGATTTAAAATTAAATAACGAATCATCCCCAATAAAAAGAACAAGGAAAAAAATGTCATAAAAATCCCAAACTTTCAAAATTTGGCGAAAAAAGCATCAATTCTTGGGATGTTCTAAATAAACCCCAACTTGTTTTTTCTATTTATTTAATCCTAATTTTTGGTTGATTCAGCCTAAATAGGCACATCAACAATAGATTTAATACTGTTATTGCCCCATTTTAAACTTGGTTATTTTCTCCTAAATATCAAAATTTGACCTTATAAACCCTATATTTTCAATCAATTTTGCATATGAAGACCGAAGTTGAGCATGCTTTCGCGAAAAGGTTATGATGAAGATGAATATTTGGTTGACAGAGAAATCAAGAGATGCAAAATCAATTTCTAGAGTTGGTGAAATCGAATTGGGAATTTTTCTCAGAGAAACCGAGAGAGGAAAATGACAAAATCAATTTGGAATTTTAGAGTTTGCAAAGTTGATTTGGAAATTTTGGAGAAAACGATTTAATTTATCGAGTTTTAAATTGGTAACAATGTTAAATCCTCTAGTCAAGCCAGGGTGTGCCTATTTTGGCTTCAACAGAAGTTATATTTATAGACTCACAAAGTTAAAATCTCTTCTTACTTGTTAATTAGAAAGGTGTCATTTCCACTTGAATCCTTGTTTAAACCCAGTCGTCGTCCCTTCCTCATTAGTTAGGGTTTTATTTGGTTTCGCCCAAAGACTAAACCAGCTTGCTATATTTAAGCAGACGTAGAAGCATGATTCTTAGGCTCCGATATGAGATCGTGTCTTATAGATTTTTGCATAGAAGAAACCAGAGACCGGAATCTCTTTGACACGAGAGAAAGCAACAGATAATTCCATCTCGACACACACATCCCAGAATGTTCTCTGTGATTTTGTCCGGAAGTGAAGAAAACGACGACGGTTGCTGATATATTTTTTTCTGCGGAATGGCAGTACAAGTTGTGAAGTCTGCAGAGGAAAGAACATAGATTTAGGGTTAAAAGCAGAAAGCGATTAGGTTTCAGAAATATATAGTCGCAAACTCGCAATAGGTCTGATTTTATAGCTCACATCGACACACTCCACATTACCCCAAACCTCACGTCACGTCCATTGCATATTAATTCTACAGAAATCCTCGCGTACCAAATTTTGTCACCAGAAAGTTTCCACATAACGAAAAGTTTTCTACCATCGGCAGCAATGTCAAACTCTCCTTCAGTTCTGAAACCCCTTGTACGGTCCTCAAGTAGTTTTCCCTTAACGACGGGTTTATCAGTTTTAATAAACTGCTAGCAAAACTGCTAAAAACATAGATCTGTTGCTTCTAACAGTTTTTTTGTAACTATAGTCACATGAAAAAGAACAAAAATCAATGTGTGACCTTTCAGACCGTGTTCCGGTGTTCGGGACGAGCTTGTCTTAGCATGCTCTCTAAAAGAACATTTTCATGTTCTCGATTTAATTTAATAAAGCACATACACAATATATATTATTTAAAAAAAAAAAACAGGTTCTTCAAATGAAACACCAAAAACCTAAAATATATTTATAGAGAGTGGCTTGTCGTAATTAAAGAACAAAACAGCAAATGTTCAAAGCAAAAGGAACGACTTACACCATCTCTAAGAGTCATTAAACTGAAGCAGTTAAACAAAAAAATGTATCAAATGATTCCCCAGGAAATGTAAGCACATCGACACACTCAACATTACCCCAAACCTCACGTCCATTGCATCTTGATTCTAAAGATATCCTCGCATACCAAATCTTGTTTTTCCCTTTGTCACCAGAAAGTTTCCACATAACTAAAAGTTTCCTACCATCTTCAGTAATGTCAAACGCTCTCCCAGTTCTTAAACCATTTGTACAATGCCCACGCAGTTTCTCCAAACCTTTAATCTCTCTCCATTCTCCACCGTCAGTCTTAGAGTCAAACCACTTTAATACTCCAGAGGACATGCAGCCGTACATTACATTCTCTATCTCATACGCAACCACCAAGGTGTCCAATAGAAAATTAGGTTGGTCTCTTACAAGTTTCCACGTACCATCCTTGGGGTCGTAAGCATACTCCTTTTCATCTATCGCTAAATAAAGCTTTCCATCACGCACATCAACTATATCTATGTAATAACATTCATGTAAAAGACTGCGTAACTCGTCTTCATCAGCGCCAGGACCAGGAAGGGCTGTCCAAGACTGAGTCTTCATGTCAAACACCTCTATCCAGTTGGCAAAGTCCTCGTCAATATGGCAGCCTCCCATCACATATATTTTATTGTCGGAGAAAAGAGCACCAGCATTTTCTCGAGCCAATGTCATGTTAGGGCCGTCACGCCAAGTATGACTGCGACAATCAAGTATCCGAACAGAGGAAGAGGGTTCCTCGAAGGGTCCACCGATTATGTAGATTTCCGAACCAATAATTTTGGTGGAATTTGTTATGTGAGGAGAATGGGAAGAAGAGAAAGGTAACGGAACAACCGAAAATTTTCCACTTGAATCCTTCTTATACCAATTTTTCCATCTCAGTTTGGTTGGGGTTTGATTAGGTTTCGTCCAAAGACTAAACCAGCTTCGATATGGGTTGTTGCGCAACTCTAAGTAGACATAGAAGCATGTTTCTTGGGATCCGATTTGAGATCGAGTCTTATAGATTTGCATAGAAGAAACGAGAGACCGGAATCTCTTTGAGACGAGAGAAAGCGACGGATAGTTCCATCTCGAGACACGTGCAAGAATGTTCTCTGTGATTTCGTCAGGAATTAAAGAAAACGAGAACGGTGGCTGATGAATTGTCTTTGTTCGTTGAGTTTTTTCGGAGATCATGATCGGCCAAAATTGATGTGGCTGTGGAGAAGAAAGATTCTAAAGTTAGGGTTTTTTTTATTGATAAAGGCTATCAGTTTAGGGTTAACTAAACACTAGTATAGGTCGTTGGAAGAAGTGAGTTTATAAAAACAGAACTTTTGCTAACCACTGGATAAAAAAAATAAATAACGAAACATCATAAAACGAAGCCATAAAATTTTAGCATCAATAATTCTTGGGAAGTCCTAAATAAGCCCCAAATTTTTGTTAACTTTTTATTTAATCCTAAATTTTTGGTGACTCAGCAAAAATAGGCACACCACAATATATCTTATTATATAAAGCTCGATGCACGCGACGTGGTTGCGACACGTAGGATTTTTATAAAATTTAGGATTGCGACATATGTCACTTTTAATGTCCGTTAAGATCGTGACATGTGTCTTAGAAAAAAAGGAAAAAAAAAATAATAATTAAAAAAACATAGATAAAGGAAAAAAAACGAAATTTTAATTTTTTATAGTTTTTTTTTTACAGGATTTTTTTTTTTAAATTTTTTATAGTTAAAAGAAAAAAAAATATATATTTGTCATATCCTAATAGAAAAGGGTTTCCCATTCATCAAATTTATATTATCCAAACACATATAAAATTCAAATTAATGAAATAAATAAAATCCTATTAGTACATGAAATAGGTTATGTAAACTAAATTTCCTATTACTGCATGGAATAACTTACATGAACCCCTATAAAAAGAGAGTTAAAATAGTCTTTTTTTCTCATTCACAAACTCATCAAAGCAAACAACATGATAGCAATACGTATGATTTTTATAACTCATAAAATTGTGATATGTGTTTATATTCCCATTATGAACAGAAAAATAAACAATATGTCAATATGGCTCTGGAGATTTCTAACAATATGTCAATGTCAATATGTAAAATAAACAGGAAAATAAAATTGCGATATGTCGTTAGATGTATTTGATCCGGTGAAGACATGTTAATTGGAAAAATGTTAAACAGATATAAAAACTAGAAAAAAAAAAACTAACTAATAATGAAAATGAAAATTTATAATGGTCTGAGTCAAAAACAAAATTGAGAAAGAAACAATATAAATAGAAAACTAACAAATTAATTATCAAGAAACTAACTAATATTAAGAAAATATAATGAACCGATATTTTAAATTTAAATAGTTTAATTTTCAATATTATTAGGTAAAAAATTATTAAATAAAGATTTCATCAATTAAAATCTCCTGAATGGAATAATAAATTTTGTTGAATTAATTAATCAGTTGATCATATTTAGACATATATAAGTCTTTCAATATTGGATAAAAATAAAAATAAAACAAATTAATTCATTTTCAATATCATGAATTCAAAATAAATATCAATTACAATAAAAACGTAAAAAGGATAGTCTTTCAATATTGGATAAAAATAAAAATAAAACAAATTAATTCATTTTCCATATCATGAATTCAAAATAAATATTAATTACAATAAAAACGTAAAAAGGTTACCGATCTTATTTTATTTAAATATTTTATCGGGTTTTTAATATGATCAAATTTGGTTTAATATTTTTCCATGATTTTATTACAAAATCTTAAAATAAACCCGCGTATACGCGGGTCTTAATCTAGTATTTAATACTGTTAATTGCCCATCTTAAACTCGATTATTTTCTCATAAATTCCAAAATTTGACCTCACAAACTCTAGATTTTCAAATCAATTTTACATATGAAGATTGGAGTTGAGAATGTTGTCGCGAAAAAATGATTATGATAAAGATTAATATTTGGTTGAGAGTTTGTGAAATAGATTTGGGAATTTTGCTCAAGGAAACCAAGAAAGGAAGATGACAAAATCGATTTGGAATTTTTTGATAGGTTCACAAATCTAAGCTAAAATCTCTTCTTATTGGATTAATAATAATCTTAAAATTTAGTCAAAAATTCTCCTTCATTAAATGATTTGTAAATACTAAATGAAATTAAGTGTTATTGGCTTAATGATTTCTTATTTAATTTCAATGGATTTGGAAGTGTTTTTAAGTTTAAAATACAAAGAATCAACTTCTAGGTAAACTTTCCATCATTCTAATTTAAAAAATTTCCAAATTTTATAAGGATTTATAAATCACGCAACCAATAAACCCCTAAGTCTATACTGTAGCTCTGTAGATTTAAAATTTTAAATCTTTTAAAAAGTTAATGATTATATAAAAAAAGAAAAAAAAAAAAGGCTATTGTAAACATTTTGGGCCCAATTTAGTCGCCCTCCATTTTCCGCAAAGCACGATATATCGAGAAGCTAACATAACCAAACCATGTGCAAAGTTTATGTTATGATCTGTCACAACATCAGCATCCCATTACAATTGATCATAGACCATGACATCTGCCTAAGGTTGTCGGATGTTACATCATTTATCAAACCCCCAACCTATATTGTGTATTCCAATTTTTTGTTTGACGTACGATAACTCAATAAAAACACACCCTTTAACAGAAACCACCTCAACAGATTAGTCAAAACAAGAAGAGAGGAAGTTATCGTTCTTGTCCTTGGTCACGACTCACAAGTCACATCTCCTATCCATAAAGTCCGATCGTTTGGTGGCATGGTCTAAGAAAATACAACAATTAAAGAAAACAAAAAATGGTAAGATTACGGCTAGAAAACAGCAAACATTTGCTAGTTTATATGCATTATTAACCTTGAACTAGCATTACATATGAGAGACCATACCAAATTCAATGTCTTATGTGACTAATAATTGATTTTATTACATTTTTATTCCTTTCATTTCTTTTTTTAAATGATAATTCATTTATGGGTTTGGCGCGTTTCTTTGTCCTCTCTTCGAGGCCAAACCATGGTCGATCAAAATGGAGCGTGAAACTATTTTGTTGACATTCCATAACTATGTCAAAGGGAGCCAATCCAATCAGCTCTCGCCGCGTGGCCGTGATCGGAGCCGGAGCCGCTGGTCTCGTGGCTGCTCGTGAGCTCAGGCGCGAGTCTCACTCCGTCGTCGTATTCGAGCGCCAGAAACAAGTAGGAGGTCTCTGGGTGTACACTCCTCTTGCCGAATCAGATCCGGTTAGCCTCGACCCGGCCCGATCCATCGTCCACTCGAGTGTCTACAGCTCTCTCCGAACCAATCTTCCCCGAGAATGCATGGGGTTTTCCGATTTCCCTTTCGTTCCCCGACCCGGCGATGAGTCCAGAGATCCGAGACGGTACCCGAGTCACAGAGAAGTCTTGATGTACCTCCAAGACTTCGCGAGAGAGTACAAGATCGAGGAGATGATCCGATTTGAGACGGAGGTTGTGAGGGTGGAACCTGCGGCGGAGGACGGCCGGAAATGGAGGGTTCAGTCTGTGAGCTCCGGCTGTTTAACCGATGAGTTCTTTGACGCAGTTGTTGTTTGCAATGGGCATTTCACTGAGCCTCGTCTTGCTCATATTCCTGGTAAGTAAAATTTTAGGTTAATCAAGTAGTTTGCAATTAATGTTTTTGATTAGCTTCTTTACTGTAACTGTGTGCCGTTTTACGATCGGCTACTTTTGGTCTGGTGGAGAAAAAAAAAGCGAGGAAATTTTCTATAACTGTGTGCCGTTTTTCCTTACAAATCTCGGACTTTTTTAATTAGTTTGCAGTTAATGTTTTTGATTAGCTTCTTAATTTTCTTGTTTTGTGGATAGATTCATGGCCAGGAAAGCAGATTCATAGCCACAATTATCGTGTTCCAGGTCCATTCAAAGATCAGGTTCTTGAAAAATTATTATGTTTTTGGATGGAACAAAGTAACAAACCCTTTCTTAATACAGTAGATATATAGTAACTTCGATTCATTTGGACTTGAATGGTGTGTAGCTTTTTTTAGGTTTTCATGTTTTGGATATAATTAATTCCGCTGATACATAACATACAAAAACTAACAAATAAACTTTGTTCATCTACTATTCAACTGACATACCACTTATGGTGTGGACTTTGGAGGCATAGCAATTAGCATACTTTATATATGTATCGTTATTGCTTTAAGGTGGTGGTGGTGATAGGAAATTATGCAAGTGGAGCAGACATAAGCAGGGACATAGCAAGCGTTGCAAAAGAAGTCCACATCGCATCTAGAACGATTGCATCCGAAATATTCGAGAAGCTTCCTGGCCTCACTAATCTATGGCTTAACTCTATGGTAAGAAGAAGAAATGAAAGAAAGGAGACAATAAGTCAAACTCTAGGAGGTAATTTGATATTCCTTTTGATATATGTTGCAGATAGAGAGCACCCACGAGGATGGCTCGGTGGTTTTCCAAAACGGGAAGGTCGTTTATGCTGATACCATTGTGCATTGCACCGGATACAAGTATTTCTTCCCGTTTCTCGATACCAACGGCTATGTGAACATCGATGACAACCGCGTTGGACCTATTTACAAGCATGTTTTTCCTCCAGCTCTTGCTCCTGGACTTTCCTTCATCGGCATACCATTTAATGTTAGTCCTCTCAATAAAAATATCTTTGCTGGTTTTGACTCTATTCTGACTACTTTGTTTGATCTTTGTTATCTTTATCTAGGCGCTACAATGCTTTATGTTTGAGATCCAAAGCAAGTGGGTGGCTGCTGTTTTATCTGGTCGTGTTATGCTTCTGACGCGAGACAAGATGATGGAAGATGTTGTAGCGTTCTATGAAAAGGTTGAAGCCAAGCGATATACTCATCGGTTACGTGATCAGGTATATATGTCTTTTACTATAGACCGCGGTTTTTATGGGAAAAGAGTTGCATGTGAATGTTTTTTTTTTTGCTAAAAAATGTGAATGTTTTGTCGAAACCTTTCTTTTGGCAGGTTGAGTATTTCAACTGGATCACTGAACAATGCGGCTGCCTTCCTGTTGAACGTTGGAGAGAACAAGAACATTCTCTTGGCGACGACAGAATTTTCACTCAGTGTGATACTTATCGTGATCAATGGGATGATGATCATCTCATTGCAGAAGCCTACGAGGATTTTGCCAAACTGATACAGAACGGAGTTTGTTAATTCTTATTAAGTGGGAGCTTGATTTGTCTGAATGATTGATTGCTTGTTGGTGTGTTCAATTGTATACCTTCCTTGGTATAATATCTATATATACTAAGTCCATTCTTAAGTATGCTATTTCTATCTTTAAAGTATTTTTTTCCACTATCTTTAAGTATTTTTTCTTCCACTAAACACAAGTTTAACATAGTCAAATGATTTTAAGATTGGAATTATGATAAGCTTGAAAAGCCAAAATTCTCAATAAAATTTATCATAATTCCCAACTTAAAATCAATTGACTAAATTCTTGAATTTCCATGTTAGATCGGAACATTTTTTCAAATTTTCTTTAAACTTAACTTGCTAATATATTTTGGACCAGTTAATGCAAGCATATACCATGCCAGTTGACCGAGCACATAAAAGATAAGCCATAATTTTAAAACAGAACACGTACAGTGTATATTATTATCCTTCGAAAACATAACATCGTGAAAATACATAGATTCAAGGGCACTTGAGGCGGCCACCGCGAGTGGTAATGGAGGCATAGCAAGGGCAGAGGTGGTGGTTTCCGTGTGTACCAGGTGGCACACAGTTGCAGCGTGAGCAACAGTTGTTGCATGCCCTCAAGCACAGATTCGTCCTCGACGATTTGCTGCATCTTCCTTGGCATCTCCCACGGCAATCTACACATACATAAAACAAGCTATAAGTCGAAACATCGAATATAACAAACACCATTAGCTATTGCTGATTCTTGTGGCTGGTCGCTATTAATATATATAGCATAATATTACTAAACAGCATAATATTACTAAACATTTTTAGGGTTACGTACCGATTTTAACTGCGCCTTCACCTCCCGCTGCGCCTTCAGCGGCATGAACCTGAATCTAAAGAGCATGATCATTCGTCATATATCATCATCGTATTCGTACGCACGCATGGATTAAGTATATGTGATATGATTTAATTACACTATAAGCGATTTCTTGGGGAGGAAACAAAGACTAAAGTTACGAACCTCATATGTGGTGAGGCAGAAGAGGATTAGCAATAGAAGCAGTGTTGTCCGGAAGATCGCCATTTCAAAAAGCATGCAAAATCTGAGTTTTTGCTGGATTATATAAAATTATTTTTCTCTGATTCTCGTTCGGCTACATGTAGAGATAACTCTAACCCCGCTGGTATATATATATAGTAGTAGTGGCTATCCAAATATTTTATCGTTGACAACTTTTTTGTTTTATTCACTCAATATGATATATTAATCCAGTATATGCATATACGTCTTGAAATTAGCATCAACAATGAACTTTTTTTTTTTTTGTTAATATAAACAATTTACGGTTACTAGGTAGTCTAGGTTCATGTTAGATATATATATATATATATATATATATATATGTGTTAAACTCATGTATTTATGATTAACAAATATGAACATCTCTTGCATTTGCATTTATAGTATGGTAAAAACTAAAATATATATATATATATATATATATATATATATATATAACATGCATGTATAATCAAATTGAAATATGGTGTTAATGAAGACAAGTGTTTGAAGATCATGTAAGTGTACCTGTTAGTGCGTGCACATGATGATGTGGGAGAATATGAACATGGCAGCAAAGTAGAATCCACATGGCACCCAGTGGCAATGACTATCTTCACTGAAGATGGTAATGTTCAAATTTAATATGAAGATTTGGTGGCAGCTGAAGAGCAAACCTCTCGAATTTCTTAACACACATCATACGATTCACGCATTTCCTTTTTACACGCGTTACGCGTATAGTGCTAACTTGAATGGAGACAAGAGTGACTCAACCATCACTTTAACTCTTGTAAACTTGTGTGTCTCTGTTATTTTATCAACATCAGATTTGTAATATGTATGTTCTGTCAAAAAAAGTTGTATCTAAAAAAAGATAACAAGTTTCTTCAAGTGAATGTACAAAAATACCAAATATAATCTCTTACTATTGTTATTAAAATAAATATCCACATCGACATTTGACCTTAAAATCAAAGATCAAAATGATCATTTTATTAAAGTTCCTGTATGATGAAACTAGAAGATGAACGTCAAGATACACAAACCATCTTTTGCTCCTAAGCTAACACTCAAATAGGTATAACAATATCAACGAACACTCATCTTGAAGAACCAATGAAAGCTAGCAAAAGGACTAAAACCGAACCCAACACCGAGTACACTGAGCTGCACAATCTCCTTTACAATCCACATTAAATCCCAACACTTTGGGATTCCGAAGCAACAGATTCCGCAGCGACTTACCCGTAATCCCCCATTGATTCTCCAAGATCCCAATGTTTGGTCTCATCTCCTCTTCTAGGCTGCAACCAAGCACTTCCGGGAACTTCTTCACCACCTTGTGAAGATCTTCGTCCGACAAACCGAGACTTCTAAGGAACTCAAGTATTCGATTCAAAGTTTCCACCTTTGGACTCTCTTTCGCTCGTTCCTCGGTCCAGTAAGGCGAGTGGATATGGCCAAACGCTTTTCCTAGTATCTTGTCTTTCTCCTCTACACTGAAATCAAAACAAGACAGAGCTTCTTTGCATTCTTCCCATGTCTTTGGATCTTCACTAGAGGTTTCCACTTGCGTTGTTGAACAAACCACTATCCACTTGTTTCGTGATGTCCTTACTCTTCCAGTCAAACCATGATATGAAGACGAGTTAAAGCTCAATGGTGAAAGATTAGTGTATGTTGCAAACTCTCCCTGCAGAACAAAAGAGTGATGGAAGCATTTTGCAGAACCCAATGTTGCCAAAGGTGAAGCTAAGGAGTTCCCTAACATTCTCCTGGTTCAACAGCAAACCAAAAAGCACGAGATGAGAGTAACTACAACGCAGAAGAAATCAGAAATTTCCATGGACAACAATGTTTGTATGAATTGGTATAACAAGACAATCGCATAATCAAGTATAAAGCCTAGGTTTTTTAGCTAATCTCATCTGGTTTGAGAAGGCATCTTACTTAATATTATCAACTTCGATCCAAAGCAGAGAGATTTGATGAAGAGAATCATAATGAAAACGTACTCTTTTCAATTTTCATAGAATCTAGACAAGAGAAAACTCTACAATTCTCCACAGAACACAACGTTTGTATCACAATGAAATTATCTTGAATGATTATGAGTCCTATCATAAACTAGCATCGAACAAACAAAAGAATCTAAGTGGAATCAAACTACAGCATCATAAACCTAAACCTCCTGGAACAATGGACAAAATCGAGTGTGAATCTGTTAAGGAGCTTGAAGGAACATAATCTAAAGATTTGATGAACAGAGTGATTCTGGAAGTATATTCTTCTCAATTTCATATAATCTAAGACAACAGAAACTCTACTCTTCTCAATTGGAGGCTTGTGCCAAAAAACCAATTCGGAAGCTTTTTTGAGTGATTGGAATCAAAATCTCAAAATTTGCGTAACCACCCACCCTCAATCCTACCCAGAACTAATTGAATTCGAGAATCTAACTTACAGATTTGATGAGATTGAAACAACGCAAATCAAAAGATACAGAGTGGCGAAAGGTACCTGGAGTCCGAGGATACTCTTAAGTCTTAACTCGGTCGCCGGAGAAGCTGAACTACTGAGTCAGATTCGCAACCGAGTCAAGTTGACGAGTCTGAGACGGTGATCAGAAAAGGTTTTTGTATTATAGAGGTGAGAGAGATAGGAACCAACCATTGTCGACAGATGAAGATGAAAGTCGCTCTCCAAAATCGCGTCTTTACGTTGTATCCAACAGTCAATAGAGAGACAACAACACGCAGTGCTTTCAGAGCAAAATTGGACCGAGTGGTTCAACCGGCAGAATTGCGGTTATTTGATCTGGTTTAGTTCGAGCTCTGAATTTTGAATTCCAAAGTCGAATCGAGATCAAACCGGTTAGCTTAGTCAGATAACCATTATTCAGATCTAATAATTCACTGGTCTTCGAGGTTTCCCATCACACAACATAAAAGTAATTAAGGATTATGGACCAACCTATATATACATATATATATATATATGTGTGCGTGTGTTTTACATTGTAATTAAAAAAATTAGACAGAAACATAGGTTATATTGGAGTAGATTCTTAAAAAAAAACACTTGGATCGGATGAGGTTCAAATTCAATGGAGAAAGTGGGAGAATTAAGAATGTAAAAGTGTCATTGACTGGCCGTGAAGAGGTTATCCACATCATCGTCTTTGTATATAACTCTTTAAAGATCCATAAGTAACATAACAGTCACATGTCAACTTCCATGCAACGCTGAGTTTAAATGATGCATGCCAAATTAGAAACAGATTTTGTCTTATCTTATAAACTGCATTTAACTCTCATTAATACGGAAACGACACATTTTACCCCCCAAAAAAAAAACCGAAATGACACTCGTTCCGAGTGCCTTTTACATGTGTCAAGAAAGAGAAGTTAAAATATTTTCACCTAAACTTCTCTTCTATCCACTTGTTGTAAACAGAAACTAGAGATAAGGTTCATTAAAGACTAATTAATGTCCTCCCACGGCGGAAACTTTGAGAATATCTGCCTCCGGCGGTGGAGAAGGAAGCACGGTGAGTGCTAAAACTCCACAAACGGCCGCAGCCACCGCCGCCAACACGAAACCTGGAATGTTCCCTCCTCCGAACATCTCATCAAACGGTCCTGCTCCCACCGACACCACCATCTACATTCATCACATATATTACATGCACCATCAGTTTTGGAGTCTATATTAAACGGTTTAAAACTCCAAACCATTATAAAAATATATTTGATCAAATAGCATAAAACAACTACAACACCTGTGGTACGACAATTGCAAGATTTAAAACTCCCAACGACAGTCCTGCATGCAACAGAATATAAAGGTCAACTCTCTAAATACATGCGTTCATTTAAAATTTGATGTATTTGACCAAAAACATATATGTAAATATGCATTCAAGAAACAAAAATATGTAAATATAAAACAAATGTACAAAACTTACCTTGGCCAGCACCAGAAGAAGAAGAAAATATGGATGCCAAAGCGAAAGGAATGCTGTAAGTTATCTGAAAATATTTAAACAAAGATAACATTCAATTAAAAATTTCCAATTTTCTGTCAGATGTTCATAAATTATGAGATACTCAAATATTTTAAATATTGTTATGACAAAAAAAAACAAAGAAATGAATTATTAGTAGTTTTAACAAAAAAAAATGAATTATTAGTAGTGTCATAAAGTGAACGTACAGCAAGTGGTACACCGAGGAGAGCGAAGAGCGACAAAGCACCAATTTTGACACCAACAGGCGGAGAAACCATCTCCGGCACGGAGCCACGGCGGCTCGATTCAGCCAACTTCGTGATCAGCACCGTCATACCCAAACAGAAAGCGAGAATGAAATTCACGATTCCCCATAACCGCTTCACACCACCAACTTTACGCGCCAACCACTCAAGCCCTAGCGAAGTGAACCCGAGTACGACGGAATTCAGCATCAACCCCAACGCGCCGGCGTGTACGCCGATGTTGTACAACCGCAGAGCGCCGTCGTTGTTTCCTCCTGAATCGCCACCGTACACTTCTCTCCCCATCCAATCAGTGTCAAAGAGAAGAAAAGGAAACCAAGCAATCCAATTAAGACACGTCACCACTAAAAGCATTATCATTGGCCTTTCCATATCCTTCACCGCAGCAAATAACTCCCCAAATAACGGAAGTTTAACTACTCTTTTAGACGCCGTTACTTCCTCCGTTATCTCGTTCTGATTCTCCTCTTCTCCGCCGTTTTCTTCCGACGTCTCCGGTGACCATTGTTTCTCGTCGACGTACCAAAGAGCGAACACCGTTAACGTCAACAGAAGTAGAATCGAGAAGAAGAAGCAGCTCTTGAGATTAGCGCAGTAGACGTCGCAAGCTCTCGTCCTCGTGAAAGGAAACGCGTCGTGAAGATGCGTGACAGTCCCGGCGGCGAATCCGAGAACATTTCCGACGGCCATGAAAAACGAGAAGAACGAATTCGCCGTTCTCGTCTTCTTCCCGTTTTTCCCGGATAGATCAGCGAGCAGAGCTCGACAAGGTCCTTGAAGCATGTTATTCGCAACATCGAGGATCCAAAATCCGACGGCGAAAACAGCGATTGCTTTCGTTCTCGGCGTCACACCAACACGATCTCCGAGAATCACGCCGATATCGGCGGCGTAACCGATGAGAACGACGGCGATCGCGACTAACCCAGCTCCGGCGGCGATAAAAGGACGACGGCGACCAAAACGCGATTCGCAGCGATCGCTGTGGTACCCAACAATGGGCTGAACAAGCATTCCAGAAACAGGCCCACATAGCCAAATGAGTGAAGCCCATTTATGAGGAATGCCTAGAAGCTGAACGTAAGGAGTTAAAAGCGAGAGCTGTAAGGCCCACCCGAATTGAATACCCGCTGCGATTGACGCAACCGCGATCGTTTGTTTCAGCGGTGAAGAGGTCGTCGTCGGCGGCGTCGGCGCTTGCGTTTGCGTTTGGGAGAGGTTAGACGTCGTCGTATTAGACTTCTTCATAGCGGTCTCTCTCTAAATTCTCTCACTAGACTGAAAATGTGGATTGTGTTAGAGAGTCGAGAGAGAGTATAAATAGGAAGAGAAGGGTTTGCCAGTTTGCATGGGAAGGCAAATGGCGGGAGAAGGTTATCCATTTACTGAGAGTTGATAGTCTATGTACTGAACTCACCTACACACGTGTGACGCTTTCATTAATTGCTAATCCTATTAAAAAATCTAGGTTTTGTTTTTGGCTAAGACTATTTTTCAATTTTGTTTTTATCTTTTGACTTTTTACATGTAACGTAAATATACTCATTAAGAGGCTAGATACGACAAAAGTTAATAAACTGCCCAAAAAGAGAGCTGGTGTTTAAAGTTTTTTTTTTTTTTTTTTTTTTTTTTTTTAAATTTTGGTCATAGCTTTGGCGATTAAGTCAAGCTTTGGTCAACGGAGTTATGGTTTTGAAATAATATTCATCCTTTAAACTTTTAAGTAGATGATGGTAAATGAATTGATTTATTTATTTCTTCTTCATAGATTAGTGTTTTATAAAGCGGTTAAAATGAATAATCTTTATTTTGTTTTCCTTTTCTCTTTTCCTTACTCTCAGTTCGTATTATTAGTGTTCGAAATATATGATTACTAGATTAATACCCGCGTATACGCGGGTTTATTTTAAGATTTTGTAATAAAATCATGGAAAAATATTAAACCAAATTTGATCATTTTAAAGTAAACAGAATAATATTAAAAACCCGATAAAAATATTTAAATAAAATAAGATCGGTAACCTTTTTACGTTTTTATTGTAATTGATATTTTTTTTGAATTCATGATATAAAAAATGAATTAATTTGTTTTATTTTTATTTTTATCCAATATAGAAAGACTTATATATGTCTAAATATGATCAACTGATTAATTAATTCAACAAAACTTTATTATTCCATTCAAGAGATTTCAATTGATGAAATCTTTATTTAATAATTTTTTACCTAACAATATTGAAAATATATTAAACTATTTAAAATTAGAATATCGGTTCATTATATTTTCTTAATATTAGTTAGTTGCTTGATAATTAATTTGTTAGTTTTCTATTTATATTGTTTCTTTCTCAATTTTGTTTTTGACTCAGACCATTATAAATTTTCATTTTCATTATTAGTTAGTTTTTTTTATTATCATTATTTTATTACACATATCGCAATTTTGTGAGTTATAAAAATCATACGTATTGCTATCATGTTGTTTGCTTTGATGAGTTTGTGAATGAGAAAAAAAAGACTACTTTAACTCTCTTTTTATAGGGGTTCATGTAACTTATTCCATGCAGTTATAGGAAATTTAGTTTACCTAACCTATTTCATGTACTAATAGGATTTTATTTATTTCATTAATTTGAATCTTATATGTGTTTGGATAATATAAATTTGATGAATGAGAAACCTTTTTCTATTAGGATATGACAAATATAATTTTTTTTTCTTTTAACTATAAAAGATTAACTAAACCTAACCTATTTCATGTACTAATAGGATTTTATTTATTTCATTAATTTGAATCTTATATGTGTTTGGATAATATAAATTTGATGAATGAGAAACCTTTTTCTATTAGGATATGACAAATATTTTTTTTTTCTTTTAACTATAAAAGATTAAAATTTTTTTTTTCCTTTATCTAATTTTTTTTAATTATTATTTTTTCTTTTTTTCTAAGACACATGTCACGATCTTAACGGACATAACATTAAAAGTGACACATGTCGCAATCCTAAATTTTATAAAAATCCTACGTGTCGCAACCACGTCGCGCATCCAGCTTTATATAATAAGATGTCATAGCTTTGCTGAATTACATTTAAATTGAGTAACCTTTTAAAAAAGAAAACTGGTTGGACATTATTTTTGGTGAGAAACTGGTTGGACATTATAATTAGGCAATTTTGTTATCAAGCAGAATCATAGTTAGATTATCCGGTTTTAAATGACGTTACGTAATCATTGACGGTTCTACTTAGATGTTTTCTTTTTTTGACACCTAACTATACGTAATTAGATTTATATATAAGTTTTGACTTACAGATAAATGTATTTCAAAATAAAAATACGTTGTTTGAGATCAACTAAGTTGGTTTTTGGTATTTGGTTCACGTTTGGTTATGAGCTGTGAACGAACAACAGTTATTATAAATGAGATCGAAATGGTCTCACACACACACACACACCAATAGTGTCTGCTCAATTCGTCTTGACCACACAACAAATTAAACCTCATATATATCCCAATGCATAATCAAATCACGACCAAGCTCTAGTCCGAGTAGTGGCATGTCAGAAATAAGACCCTACGACTAGATTCCATAGACATTATCACTTAGTCTAAAGAAGAAAAAATATGATATGAGTTCTCAAAGAATACAGCAAGGATAGGTCATGTCCCATGTGTACTGCTTAAAGTAGTCAATGATCCCGCATACAAGTTCACGCCTCTCCAAGTCTACTCCCACGAGCAACGAGTAGTCCATTACATTTATACTCTGCCATAATTATTTTGAGGATTACTTCATCTATGGATTGAATAATATTGCAACATAAAATCTAGATGGTTAAAGTAATGAGGTATAGTGAGCAATGGAAAACTCACATGTAGGAAGTTAATATCGTTTGTGACCGCACTTTGGAGCTTATGTTTTGAGTCTTTGCTGAAGTAAACCGGGGAATTTTTCATGTCTTTGAAAAATGTAGGACCTAGCATAACCTCTTCCGCGCCATCACCAGTAGTGGTCGTAAACCGAGTGAGTAGAGAGCCTTTAAGATTGTACTCATGAGAAATATTTCTACCAAAGTTGAGATTCTCCATCACCATCAAGTTGTGTTGTATCTCTTTATGACCATTTGGCTGCCTTATGATCACCTACATATGTGTCAAGATAAGTTCATTTGAAACTCTAAAACTTTTTAAAACATGCTGAAGTAGTATATAGTATATACCTGGTAGATCCCAAAAACCTTTGCCAGGCAAGTTTGGGAGCCTAATTCATAAGCGTCTTTCATGTACTTGAAATATTCAGGACCAAACTTTACAAATGATTCGTACTCTATTCTTTGGATCTCTTTGACAATGAACCTATCATTGAGAGTCTTGAAAAATATGGATTTTTCCTTCCCCTCCTTGGCATAGTCCCATGGTTCACAACGACCTAATGAATCTATATAATCAAGTTCTGAGAAGCAGCAATGGTTCCTGAAATCATAGAAATCCTTAGCGTATAGAGAGACAACTGAATATTTGGCCTTTCCATTTGAGTCAGCTAATCCAAAAGTGACAAGAATCTCTGGAGAAGTTAATGATTCAAACTTTGGACCTTCACTACTAACATCTTGCTTAGAAACTTGATCTTTCTCAAATGAATTCTCAAGTGATCCATTTATAGATCTTGTAAGAGGCATTATCTTTCCATCATTGCTTAGACAGGCAAGCGCACAAGCAATCAAACTTGAGATCTCTTCTTCGTAGTCTGACACAACACAATACTCATCTCTCAAAGAGACACGAAACCGAGAGCCTTCCTCGGTGATTATCTTACTGACTACGAGTAGATTTTCTTGAGAAAAGTTACCAGCAATATCGGCTTTCGACATGTACTCTTTCTCAATATCAACTATGCTTTTCGACCGTAGTTCTTCAAATGAGTTCCAAAACCATGACTCATTAGAGGCTTCAATAACCGTACCATCTTTGTCAACTTCTTCATCACTGGATACTTCTATAAAAACATTATCATTAACATATGCACCATAGTCATGTAAAACCAGTGATTGTAGCCGATAGTTCCAAACGAGAGCTTGAAGAAAAATTTCCCACCGGACACGATTAAGGCGAAGAAGTTTGTGGAATCCAACACCTATGGTGGTTTTCGCGTTATCAAAACCATTCATGGTGTATTCCTATTTATATTCAAAGAGGATGAAGAAATATTAGTGGCCTCATTACATGTATAACTAGCAAAAAAACATTGCAATAATTGCAGAACTAACCTCAAATCCTGAACATTCCTCTTTGAGTATCTCCTCAATATTAGAATGATTTTTGGATGAACAGTGATGACTTGGACCATTTGATCTTAGTTTTTTTAGAAATTTTGTAACTTCGTCAAACATTGAGATCCCTTTAGTAATTACCTTGAACAACAGTAAAAATAGTATATGCAGTTAGTGCATAAACAAATTCATTTTTCACAACTTATATTCACTCAACATATATATAATAGTAACATTTTGCCATATAGCAAGAATATGATAGTTACTGCAACACCATTTGTTAGGAAAAAGACTTACATTTTGGAATTCTTTGTCGAGCCAGCTAGTTTTTAGTGAAATTCTAACATCCAGCTTCGGCGGTGGCAGAACCGCTGTGTAAGTTGCGACATCGGAGTAACTGAACATAGCAACCATGTAGCCTAATCTACATTTGCAATACATTTTTTTTTTTGTTATTGCCAATGTTATCAATGATCATTGTCAATTGATCAAGACATAACCCTCATATTTACTAACCCTGAAACCAAGAGGCTACTACCACCGCCTGTTTAAAAACAAACTTGTGAAATACTCGAAAATAGCATAAAAATTAATTTTTTTTTTCAAACCACAAATTTTATTGTGACAATACTTATTTACCTTAAATAAATTACAAAAAAAGTTAAAAAAAAAAAAAAAAAACTATGTTTGAGTTCCTTTTCCGGTATGATGTTTAGATTTCCCCATGAGGAATTGGTTTTGAGTCATTTTAATATGGAATTTGTGCTAATATTGGAAAATTAATCTCTTAGTGCTACGTGTGAAACAAAAACTTAAAATTATGTTATTTTAGAGAATTCCCCATTAAACTTCATAACTTCTAACGAATTGTCATATGTTTGGTTTGACGTAATGTTAAGAAGCGTACCCAAAGAACTGAAGGAAAGAGTGGCCAGAGCTCGACAAGCTATCAAGGAGAGTTTGTTGAGAAAAGCTGAGGGCCAAGAACTTTGCAAAAGAGAGGCTACGTGCAGCATTGGACATCATCACTCTTTTTGATACCTCATTTACGCCACTACGACTCCACATCCATATATATCCATTGGTCTCACCAGGCAAACATTTTCCCACAGAGAGTCGCTTTAACTGAATTCTTAACTGAATCTTGCGGTATTCGTAATAGTAGAAATGTGCTTGAGGCAATTCCTCGCATGCATTGCATCGGCTTCCCTACATTCATAACATAGATTTTAACTTCTTATAGTTTAACCAAGACGTAGCAATAGAGTAAACATTAACCTGGCTAAACAAATCTCTCAAGAACTTCGCCAAGGGGACATCAATGTTTTGGTAAAACATTAAATTCAAAAAGCGTCTCGGGTCACATATTATCCCTTTACGAGCATTTCTCTTTGACACTAAAACCAATATACTCGGAGAATCCAAGTCAGGCTCAATATCATCACCTGTCTTCGCAAAAATCGACACTCTAGGGTCAAATAGCATTTCTGGACTTAGAAGGAATTTAGAGAGCGTTTCTTGCTGGTCAAGGAGGAAAGAAGTCTCTAGGGTTAGATGATATGCCAATCTAACCGAATATTCTACCACTCTTGTTACTCTTTTTAAGTTAATGTTGTCGCTTCCTTTAAGCAATATCTGCAACATAACAATACATACAATAAGAAACATAGAGGAAAACAAAAAAAACAGTGTGTATGATCAAGAAACACATATATAGATGCACTCACCGTGCATCCAAGGCTATTTGGGTCTCCTTCAAGAAACATCAAGGATTTACTCTTCTTTTTTCCATTTTCACCTGCAAGGTTATGCTCCTCCAAAATATTATCAATGTGAAAAGAGCGAAAACGCTGCACGTTGTGACTTAGCAGCGCATCAGAAGGCAGAATTGGTGAACCAGTACAAGATGAAATCTTTTGTAAACGTTGGATATTCATGTCTGACACTAATGTAAGCCCTCTCGCTAAAATATGCTCTTGGAGATCACGCGAAACCGATTTTTCCACCAAAATAACATCAGCCTTGGAATCTTCAATGAAACGAAGTTCATGCATGTAACCTCTTTCCTGGTTGGAAGAAAATAATCATAATAAAAATAAATAAATAATAAATAAAAGAAAGTTGTCCAAATTTTTAATTTTTCTGAAATTTTGCTAAAACACCTCTGACATTCTGTTGAACGAAGATATTGATCCACTCAAGTGCTGGCCCAGTCCTCCTTTGACAAGCAATATTCTAGGATGTTCATACTTAGTTTTCATGTATTTATGAGCAGCATGTTTTGTGAAAACCAGCCCTTTAAAAACTTGACTGCATAAGCAAAAACATAAAGAAATTCATTACATGGTGATGAAGCTGAAAAATATGAATATATTAGTACCAAATATTATTTAGTAATACCTTTCATTGCAAGAACCAGTTGCTATGCATTTCACTTTGATATATGCATTTGGGTCAATGGGATCTCCATTCATAAATGGATTCGAAATTTCAGCAGCCTCCCATGATAGTTTAGTGATGATCTCGATCCAATGTGAGGATGAGGGAGAGACGTCATCCGAGTGAAGAAGATTACTCACAATGACCTTGAATTTGGAATTTAAACCCTCTTGCATTACTGCTAGCTGTTTTAACCTTTGAATTTTTGCATCTTCTGATCTCCCAAAGAAACATGGTTTACTGAACAATAAGCTATGGCAACTTTCGTCAATATGATCAGCAACGCTTCTTTCTTGTTCATCTATTGGTGGTTCCCAAACTTGAGCCTCTTTGTCATCTTGAAGTTCTTGATCTGCTAAATTTGCCATATAGTTGTTTGTGCTACTCTTGTAATTGTGCCGCTTTCCGAATTCAAATGAATGCGTGTTCTAGACAACCCAAATAAATGCTGTCAAAAAAAAAAAAAAAAAAGACAACTCAATGACCATGGACTATATATATTACTCTATATGCCTAATAATTCATGAAGACTTCTTCATGAAGTTTGTTTTACAACATGAACTGGATCAATCGTTCCATTACTAGAATAAAAATCTACAAAAAGAAGGAAATATTTCGAAGAAAACTAACAAGTTCTCAAAGAATTCCATCTCAAATATGATTTCATCTTTAATCTCTACCTCTATATATACTTCAAAATGTGTAGATAGCAAAAATAATTTTATAGAGATTTCTGTAAATTGTTCCCATGTTTTCTCACCTTAAAGAGTACAGATCACAGAACCCCAAGCCAAATGGAATCATCACTACTGTTGAGTCATATGTCGATCTAACAAATCTATAATATCCACGATTTCATATCCAACATAGCAATGGCATCCGTTAAAAGTACTTCGCCTTTCCAAATCTCATGGCGACGAAAAATAGAACGAAGGTGCTTGCATACAAAATTAAAACATAAATCGAAAGATGCTTTTATAGAATAACTTACCAGGGAATCAAAGAAACTGGATGAAGAACAGAGCTTCTCTTTCTCTTTCTCTTTCTAAATGAAACGAAAGAAATATTCCTTATAATAAGAGTCTTGAGTTTGACTATGAACAATGAACACACGTTTATAAAGCCAAATATTAAAAACGATTAAAAGTTAGTTTGATTTTGGATCAAGATCTCGATCCTAGACAGAAAGAAGAATCTCAAGATTGAGTCGTCCATCGATTTTATATATTGTGATTATAAAGTTCTTGACTTTTAGAAAATAAATGCATTCTCTTTACTTATTCTAATCTGAATGCTTAGTCTTATACTGTAAGGAAGAGTCTCTTTTTTTTTGTCGACATAAATGATCGAGTCGTCTACACACGTCGAGTAATTATTTAGAAAACAGGAGAAGTTGACAAAAAATTTAAAATCCAGAATCCAATACCATAAGACTTTTGGTAGCATCTAAAAATCCATTAAAATTCATATTTCAATCACTTCATCCCCCCTAATTATACAAGGATACATGCAACCCAAAAAACACCATGTTCCATCGACTGTTTCGGGCTTTAACCGGCAAGAATTTTTCTTTATGTAGGCAACCACATCTCTCGCTTCTTTACTTTGTTGTAACGATGTCCACGTGAAAGTCTCGAGCCTCGTCAACAAACATTCAGGCACATATGTAAGTTGATCCCAACAAACAAGTGGAGCTTTGAAAGAAAGTGCAATTGTCTGACATTAAATATGAGAGATAAATTAAACTATGTACGTAGAACATTCAAGAACAAGTAATAATGGTTTCATGAAGCTTACGTCGTTGTAGAGGTCAAGGACTTTTAGTTTAGGAGATCCTTTGAGCAACCGGAGAAGTAATATCGACCAATATGGGGAACAAGAATATATCTTGAGACTTTCGAGTTGATTGAAGAATAATGCAGCGACATTCTTAGCCTATAAATAGGATTGAATCGCCAAAAAACAAAAGTTAACTTTAAGTTAAATAATACTGATAACTAATATAAAATCTAAAAGTTACCTCAGTTCTTTTGAGATTTAAGCGCAAGGTAAGACGCTTAACAGAGGAGAAAGGTCCAAGAAACTTCTCAGAATCGTCAAGGATATCAGCATGAATCTCTGCCTCTTCAAGCTCAGGCATATTCTCAATCAAGAAATGATGATTGCAGTGATCCTCAAGTTTGATGTATTCCAAAGAAGGAGTAACAATCTCAACTCCATGAGAAGAACACTCACTATCTATATATAATAACAAGTTCTTCAAAGACGGCACAACAATGGAGACAAATCCCAAATTATCATAATCACCATGTCGTACCATCGCCAAGTCTTCAAGATCAGGGCAATTGGCGAGAAGCAATCCAAGAGATTCTTTATCGAAGAAAATAACATCTATAAGGTACAACGATTTCAAGGAGGGGAAACAAACCGTATGAGAATCACCCAGCGGTCGAAAAGATTCATCCGTGTACCTCACGTCTTGTAGATGCAAGCTTTTTAGAGACGGAAGACAAGCAAAACGAGGAACATCAAAGACAACTGTACAATTGAGGTTTAGTGTCAGTGACACCAGTGATTTGGAGGTGAACAAGCAAATTGGCAGTGTTGTGTTCTTGCTCCTTATCCGATAAGTATAATAGGCAATACTAATCTCCCGGACGCAGAGAGAAACTGCAGCTTCAACCAATTGTTTGATATCTTCTGGTTGAGACGGTAAAGCACTTAACTTGAGACACAAGCTTTCCAAGATCGGAGCTCTATGTAGTGGCAATGTCCTTTTGATGAACCTTCGCAACCTTTGTCTCCCACGATTTGACGGTTTGGTGGTGTGGTCATCGTACTCAAGATTCGGCACCCACATCCAAAGAGACTTCCATCTCTTAGACAAAACGCTAGTGGTCACAGCATCTTTTGTTGGAAGAAATGATAATATCTTCACCAGCAAGTCATTGGAATTGATCTTGTCCATGTCTTGAAAATTTCAAGATTCCCAGAAACACCGATGTAGACAAAAAAACAGGTTGAGAAAAAATAAAACACAAGAACGGAGCAAAAAAAAACTGAAATTGTGGAAGACTTGGAATAAGACTTTTAAACTTCGTACTAGCTAAGTTACTTCGTATATATATTGAAAAACAAGAAAGCTCAAACGTCGTTTTTTTTATTTATTTTTATATTTTGGTCAATTGTATTCAGTAATTCAATGTCGTTTTTATCGTATTTTCGAGAAAAAAAAGTTCATTTCCGAGGAACTAAAAGTTCATTTGATACTAGACTAATGCCCGCGCATACGCGCGGGTTTTGTTGTTGTTAAAGTTTTTAAAAAATGCTCGAAAACAATTTTAGATTTGCGATTAATATTATAAAGTATAATCCAATAATATCCATATTTAATTCTATTTGTTGGTTAGCGACTGACTTTCAAACATATATTTTTGTATCATACCACATGTCTATGAACCATTAACTCTCTTTGTTTACTCACGACCACATAGAACGGACTCTACTAATAGAGTGATTTTTGCTATCGATGAAATTTAGATGTTTAATAATAACTTAAGATGGAAGCCGAAATGTAAAAGTCTTGGATTAATAGAGTGATTATTATTATCATAAGTTGAAATGTATAAGATTTAGAGTTATTGACTGGAAAGAAGAGGAAAAGTCATGCCACAATATCAATTAATGGAGTGTTGAAACAACGTGGAAGGTGAAGCAACTGACGGTTTTGAAACCTATTATAACTGTAACGACTAAGAATGCGAAGAGACTGCTCTCTTTAAAAGTTTTGCCACATGTCAATCATATGGAGAGAGTTGGCCTCAATTCATATACTATATGATTTCCTAAACATTCATTAACTATTTTTCAGTTTTTAAACTTGGTCAAAGATTTATTCAAGTTTTTTTTTACCGTTTCACGCAGAAAACACAATGGACCTCTATGACTCGAACCAACCCAATTTTAGTTACCTGGTTTAGGCGAAATCGATTTTAACCGAACCTTCCAGTCCAATCAGAGCCTCTCCCCTGATATGATTTGTGGCATAAAAATGTTTGGGTATCGATGAAACGCAGATATCTTACCTATCACATAACCCCACGTGGCGACTCCTCCTTCTTCCCGTAATCCTTCTGAAACTTCAACACAAGATAAACCTTCTATTCTCCACCGTCGATCTTTCCTCATCGTGAAATCTACACCGTCCATGATTTTATTCACCAAAACCTTACCTTCTTCTTCTCCTCTCGTCTTCGAGAAACCACAAATCGTTCTCTCTCTCTCCTCTCTTTCTCTATCTCTCTTCACTCTCTGCAATGGCATCTCTTCAGCAAACTCTATTCTCTCTGCAATCCAAACTCCCACCATCCTCCTTCCAAATCGCGAGATCTCTCCCTATGCGAAAGACGAACTTACCACTCCGAATCGGCGGCGGAAACGCAGCGGGAGCTAGAATGTCAGCCACGGCTGCCGGAAGCTACGCGATGGCTCTCGCGGACGTCGCGAAGAGGAACGACACGCTCGAATTGACGAGCGCAGACGTCGAGAAGCTCGAGAAGGTATTCTCAGATCCACAGGTGCTCAATTTCTTCGCGAACCCGACCGTCACCGTCGAGAAAAAGCGCCTCGTGATCGACGACATCGTGAAAACCTCCTCCCTCCAGAGCCACACGTCGAATTTCCTCAACGTCCTGATCGATGCGAAGCGGATCGACATAGTGACGGAGATCGTGAAAGAGTTCGAGATAGTGTACAACAAGATAACGGACACGCAATTGGCGGAGGTTAGATCGGTGGTGCAGCTGGAGGCGCCGCAGCTCGCTCAGATCGCGAAACAGGTCCAGAAGCTGACCAAGGCGAAGAACGTGAGGGTGAAGACGGTGATTGATCCGAGTCTCGTCGCTGGGTTTACGATTAGGTATGGAGAATCTGGGTCGAAGCTTATTGATATGAGTGTGAAGAAGCAGCTTGAAGATATCGCTGCTCAGCTAGAACTCGGCGAGATTCAATTAGCTACTTGAAAAAAATAAAAAATTTGTATTTTGAGAATTACTTTTTTTTTTTGGGGTGCAAAGTTAATTCTTTCTCTTGTCTTGCTCATCAATCACCAACATAATATATGTATACTCGTATAATAATTCGGTGTTATTTTCTATTTTGATTCTGTAATGTAGAGATGAGAAGTGATTATGTTCAAAAATTAGAGGCACAAAATGTCAGAATCTCGATGAAATTCAGAAAATGTTTCTTGGTAAAAGATTACAATGTCTCATCTTAGAGTAGAGCAAAAAAAAATTGAAAATTCTTATTCATGGAATCAATTATTCACTGAAATGTAGACTTTGAGAGCGTGGAGTTTTTCTTTGTAAAGAATCTTGACATATTTTGTCACTCTCTGTATGACAAAATTTGTGTTTGAGAGTTGAGAGCATAGACAGAAAACTTGAGAGGAACAAACAATTGCGTCTTCAAAACATGGCCCATTCTAAGCTTTCCAAAGGCCAAGGAAAGAACTCGTGCATAACGCAGTTATTTATCTAATACAATCCAAAAATTTTGATACATTTGTTGACTATACTAGTTAGATAATGACTACATTAATTTAGATAAACATGACTTTAGCTTATTCTAGTTGTATTAGGAATATATCTCTATCTAGATAAGGATCTCTCTACTCTTGTATAAATACTTGGATCTCTTGTGTTACCAACTTACAAAGCAGTTTCATATATACAATATAATAATGAGTTCGAATATATCTTCTACAACTCTAAAGAGTTGGAGAGAACGTTCTCCTTCTTCCTTTGCCCTCAAAGTCGAAATCCTCTCCGAACTCCAAAGCTCAACACTCTACTCTGATGGAAAATACAAATCTTCTCGTTTCTCCTCCGGTGGATACGACTGGTACGTCTCGTACTGTGTATACAAGTGACTTAGGGCCGTAATATTGTCATCTTACCCTATGCAATATTGTTCTTAAAACTTTCAGGAGAATGATTATATACCCTGAAGGGAACGATAAGGACAATGGGAGTGGATTTATTTCAATGTATGTTGAAATAGATAGCACAAGCCTCGTGTCCACACAACAATCTGAGGTGCATGCGGATCTACGGTTTTTCATCTTTAACAAAAAAGAAAACAAGTACTTTACTATTCAAGGTATTTGTAATTTTTGTACATCTTTTGCTTTACATGTTTATCTGCTTTTCTTCTCGCTCTATGTACGTATGTATATTCAGATGTGGAATCCAAGCGATTCAATACATTAAGAACGGTGTGTGGATTACCGCAAGTGCTTGCGCTTGATACATTCAATAACCCTAAAAACGGATACATCTTCGATGGAGATCATTGTGAGTTTGGTGTTGATGTCATCGTTGCTCCACCTCCTACCAAATGGGAAATCCTCTCTTTTGGTGAGAGACTTCCGTATCCCAAGTTCTCTTGGATTGTTAAGAATTTCTCCAAGATAAACGAGAATCCTCACATATCAAACAGTTTTTCAATGGGAGGAAAAAATTGGTAAATTTACAAATATGCTTTGTTTTGTGCCTTTTGTCTAATAAATATGTCATGTTTAAGTATATGTATCTATCTACGAGCGTTTATAAGAGATTTAACAATTGCAAACTAACGTTTTGTAGGGTTGTAAAGTTATATCCTAAGGGCTACTCTACACACAATAATAAATGGTTATCCATTTTTCTGTTTTTGGAAGATGGTGAAATTTTAAAGGAAGATGAAAAGGTTTACGTGGAAGCAGATTTGAAAGTTAAAGACCCACTTGGATCCAATCACTTGTCATACGAGCGTATGTCATAAAACACTATTTACGTTTTTGTTTCTGAGCTTTCTTAAATTTCACACGAGCTTGTATATAAACTTTACTTATTATATATTTTCTTACTGTTGTAGTTAACTGGTGGCTCGAAAAGGCAGGCACCGGTTTAGGTTGGGATCACTATGTGTCTTCAGCTGATCTTCGAAAGACTTATCTGGACAAGGAGGACACTTTGAAAGTTGAGATCGTGTTTAAAGTTGTTTCTACGACCAAATACTCTTCCTTTACCTAACATGTACTTCCTAAGTGTTAGAATGCCTCTATGTTCCAAACACTATTTATCTTGGCAGTTATTTACATTTGGTTTAATTTAATTGGTTTTATTTATTCGCATATTTTTCTAAAATAAATTATTTCTACATCGGCTTGGCTATTTGTTAAATGCATGTCATATAAAAGAAAATATTACAGAAAATTATTAATGCACTTCATAATAACGTAAGAAGTTGTTGTTTGTTTGTCAACAGTAAAAACTAAAAACTAAAAAGTTATATGATTCTCTCAAGTGAATGAATCTATTATTATTCTCAGACATGTACGAATAAAATATTGTAAATTTGCAATTTTAATTTTTTTCTCTATCAATTTACCAATCTTTTATTAAGAATTTGTTTTGTTTAATGATAAAATTTCTATCTTAGATAACGCTGCTCATTCAGCCTCTGGAGAGATATGAGCATATCCTTAAAGATATTTTCATTCCCTATATATTGTGAATCTCTGATATTACCTAATCTGTAGTTATCTGACTCTAAATTTGCATATTAATTAAGGAAGAAGAGAAAAAGCCTTAAACATTGAATCGATAAGAAAATCCTTGGACGAGGAAAAGTTGATCTCGATGGGTGCAGTAGTGAGTTCGAACGTAGTTTTAGACGAAGAAATAGACACATCTTCTTCAACTCTGCAGATTTGGAGAGAACGTCCTCCTTCTTCCTATTCCATCAAAGTCCAAATCCTCTCCAAACTCCAAAGCTCAACTTTCTTTTCTGATGGCAAATACCAATCTCGTCGTTTCTTCTCTGGTGGATACAACTGGTACGTTTTGTATTTTGTATACACTTAAATTGTTGTCAGTTAAATTTTCAATTACATGATGTATATTCTAACTTGGAGTAGGGTCGCATGACATTTATCGCCTTGATCCATAGTAGTACATACTAATTTTTAGGTCGATATAAAACAAAACCTTATGCAATATTTTGTTTATAATGTTTTTAGGAGAATGATCATATACCCAAAAGGGAATACAAAGGATAACGGGGGTGGATTTATTTCAATGTATGTTGAAATAGATAGCACAAGCTTCGTGTCCAAACACCAAGATGAGGTGTATGCAGATATACGTTTTTTTGTGTTTAACAAAAAAGAAAACAAGTATTTTACTATTCAAGGTATGTATGTACGTTACATACGTCTTTTTGTTCTCTCTATCTTTGTATATATTGACGAATATATAAAGTGTATATTCAGATAAGGAACCGAAGCCGTTCAATACATTAAGAACGGTGTGGGGATTCCCGAGAGTGCTTCCGCTTGATACATTCAATAACCATAAAAACGGGTACGTCTTTGATGGAGATCATTGTGAGTTTGGTGTTGATGTCTTTGTTGCTCCACCTCCAACCAAATTGGAAATCATCTCTTTTGGTGAGAAACTTCCGTATCCCAAGTTTTCTTGGACTAGGAGAATCCTCGCGCATCTAAGACTTTTTCAATGGGAGGAAAGAAATGGTAAATGCACATATAGTACAAACTCTATAAATTAATACTCGATAAATTAAATTAATAAACACGATAAATTAATAAATTTCTCCGGTCCCGAGTTAGGCCGGTGTAAATATGGTGTAAAATATGATACAATTCGATAAGATAATAAGATAATAACTTTTTTTAAAGTCCTATGTAAAATATGGTCCCAATAATATCATAAATTAATAATTATCATATAAAAACTTATATAAATCTAAAATATCTAGCTACTAAAATATGAATCTTTCACACACCAAACATATATGGAAACTAAAAGAAAATAGAAATTTAAAATAATATGGCAAATATGAGAAAACATATATAGCTGGTGATGAAACGTTAAAGGACGATGAGAAAATTTTCGTGGAAGCAGATCTCAAAGTTGAAGATCCACGTGGATCCAATCACATGACATACAATCGTATGTTTATAGAAAATACATTATTATTTCTAATCTTTATGAACTAACACGCCCTTCTATATAACAAAATGCTTTACATGATTCTATATTTAATCTGTTCTATTGCAGTTAACTGGTGGCTAGAAAAGGGATGCTTGGGTTTCGGTTTTGATCACTTCATGTCTTCAGCTGATCTTCGAAAGTCTTATTTGGACAATGAAGACACTTTGAAAGTCGAGATCGAGTTTAAAGCTGTTTCGGCTACCAAATACTCTTCCTAACCCATTGTAGCTAGCTCGACTATAAATGGGTGTTCGAAAGTCTTTTAATCTTTAAAGTTATTTAGTTTTTGTTTAGTTTTGGATCCAGTTATTCGCCGAAGTTGTCTATTTATTTTGTTTCAGTATGGTTTGTTTTTTTTGGTGAATGCCTAGTATATAACAAATTCTTACAAACGAAAACTGAACGCACGTCACAATACTGTGTAAACTTGTGGTTTTCTAGATTTATTCTATTCATATGTTAATTGATCTCTACTTATTAGAAATTGGTTTGTGCTGTAGAGGCTGTACACACTGCCACTTTTCTCTCTACAGCTCTATGACCATACCAATCAAGCTTTCCCTTTTTAAAAACATCCTACAGCCTAAAAAATAAAAATGGAATGTTTTTGGCTGTGAGAAGCAATTTTTCTACAGTCCACAAACTAATGCTCTCAAAAAATTGTGCACTCTTTTTCCATATATGTATGGCAATGTATATATAGGATAAATTATAAATAAATTAATAATATATGAAACTTCTTTTATTGGATCACATGTGCTACAAATTATATATTCTCATTTATGGTGTAATCTCATTTTCCATATATATAGTAAAAATATAATCTATAACATAAAATTAATATTTACAATTATGATTTTATTTATTTTTAAATCACAACCAAAATTCATAAAGCCACAACCAAAAAATTTACAGCAAATATTCTACAGCAAAAAAATTAAAGCTACAACCACAACCAATCAGGCCAAGCTACAACCACAACCAATCAGGCCCTATATAGTTGGTCCGTACATGTGAATGAATAATAAGTGATTTTTTTTTCCGTATTTTATAATATGATTATAACTAAATCCCTTATGATAACAACAAGTGCTTATAAACTCCTAGTAACCAATGATTAAAGAAAAACATCATTACATTTTACTAGTAACAACATAGAGATTGACACATGCAGAAGACTGAGCATACAACAAACACTAAAAACGGATGGATCAAAGTTTGAAAGAAGAGATGAGAAAGAAAAAAACTCATGAAAACATTATTAATATTTTTGAGCCAATTTCTTTCAACGACCAGAGAGACTAATCTGTTGATAGTTATTATCAACAGACTCTTTAACAGCATCAACCACTAGCTGCGTCTTCCTACTAATACCCGGCCAAAACCCATCAGGCTTCGCGCCATTGTTCTTGATTTCTCCAACCAAACGAGCAAACTCTCTCACCATACACGCCTCTTGAGGAAGCTCCGTCTCAACCGTCTGTTCCGTCGGCGGGTTAACCCACGCGGTCACAAGCTCATTGAACCAAGCTTTAGTGGTCGTCGTGAACGACGCCTCGGTCTCTTGAAACGGTATGATGAAGTCGTGGACACGAAGCGTGCCTTTGGTTCCAATGGCGGTTATCTCCATTGTTAGGTTTGCCAAGAAAGAGCAGTATATGGTTGCTGTTCGTCCGTCTTCCCAGGTCAGAGAAGCTCCACACGAGAGAATCACTCCTGACTCGTTTAGTACAGCTCCGGGAAAGGCCGTGACGGTAATTGGAAGGTCGAAGTTGTTGGCTAAGAGGCTTGCTCGGATCGTGTACCATCCAGCGTCTCCTAGAGCACCGAGCCCGTCGAGACCTGGCTTCACACGGATGTCGTTCTTGAGGAAGTCTTCATCTCCGGCAAATGAGAAGCAACTCTGTACCTGCAGATTCCAAAGAGACAAAGCTTTCAAAGAATGCAAGAAGAATAAAAATTACAAATTCAAGAATAACCCCAAATCTTGAAAATGAAGCTTTCTGTAATTTGGTTTCATTTTTTCATATTCTCTATGTGTTTGTGAATCTTTTTTTTTTTCTATCAAAGTCAAACTATAATCTTCAAAGTAACATAAACCATACAAGTTATTATTTTACAGTGAATATCTAGAAACAGAGAAAAACAGAGAAACGTTATTTGAAATCATATAAAGAGAGTAGCATCTAAGTTGTTAAAATGAGTATTGACTAAATTAATCAGATCTAGACAGTGATAAGACATCTACTATACATGATTCAAAAAGTCAAAGCTATTAAATTTGAAGAAACTCAAATCAATTTCATCAAGATTTCAAAGAGAAAAAAAAAGTACTTACGGTTTTGAGCTGACCAAAACGTTCAGAATCAGAGAGAAACTCTTGAAGCTTAGCAGTTCTTGGATTGTGAACCCACATAGTACCATCCATAATCTGAACACCATTAGCTTCACAAGCAGCGACGATCTTATCAAACTCAGCTACGTTCATCGCGACAGGTTTCTCGAGAAGTATGTGTTTCCCTTTCTCGGCGGCGCGTATAGCCCACTCGACGTGGAGGCTAGTCGGTAGAGGAACGTAGAGAGCATCGACTTCAGGATCTTCGAGAATCGATTCGTAAGAGCCGTGGATTTTTGTTGATTGTGGGTAGCCATTGGAGGAAGCGAAAGATTTGGCCTTTTCTAAAGAGCGGCTTGCGACGGCGGCGATTGTGGCGTTTGGAGCGAGGTTGATTGCTCGGGAGACTTTTCTGGCGATATCGGCGCAGCCCATTACTCCGATTCGGATTTGGGTATCGGTGGCCATGGTTGTAGATTGTTTCCGGCGAGCGAGAGAGAGAGTCAGGAGGATAGAGAAGATATGTGGAAAAAAAAAAGACCACCTCGAATTAAGGACACAAATTTGGGAGTTTGTGCCTTACGTGGGGATGTTAGGTAAGAAACAAATTAAAATGCTTTTCTTATGAAGAGTGGAGAGCCTACTTACCACAACGAAATTTAAAGAGTTCGATGTTAAAAAACAAAAAAAAAGTTTGAGAGTTTGACTTGAAACTGTGAACTAGTCGATCACTTGGGAAGACCAAACATACCAATCCTTGGTAAATTGTAGCAAAATGATCACCCGACCAAGGTCAATGGTCAGATTCATCTTCTGAACGAATGTCGCGGGCACAAGATCTTTTTTCCGGAGGCTCTACTCCATTTTCACTCGACCATTTCTCATCACCAGGCCCGGACCTGAGTCCAAACAAAACAAGCTAAGGTATGAGGCCCACAATTTTCTAGAAAACCCTTATACTCTAGTTTAGCGGTTCATATTTTTCCGAAAAGAAATATCATAAGAAAATTTGATTGTGACTAATATCATAAAAGTTGTGAGAGAGTTCGATTCTTGTGGTTTTTGGATTCTCATGGTCGGGCCAACATACATATGATAGAGTAAAGATGTTGGGAGAACAAGAACACTTTATTGGTTGTAAAAATAAACGATTAAAAACATAATGGATCAGGATCTCAGTTACATCGATGTAACATGTGACATTTCCATTGACGTTGGAGATTTTTACACTGAAACGAAGTCTAAAAGTTTGAGAAAAGAAACTCAGATTTGAGGCCCCATATAAAAAACTCAGATCCTAGATTTTATTTGGTAGGAGTCTTTTATAAACATATTTCTTGATCATATATGATACTTTTGTACACTTTTGCAATAATGAATACTTTTAGATAAAGTATCATTATCAAAAACATTTTATCTTAAGTCGCTTTTTCTTTAACAACTTGTTTTTGTTTTCTTTTTAATGAGCTATATCTTATTATGTTATCAATACCTATATTTCTTGTAGTGATTTTCTTACATATTGCTTAGATTTTGTTTATATTTTGCTCATGTTTTGCTTTATTTTTTGTTTACAACCTTTTATTTAGCAAAACAAAATTAGACCCTAACACATCTATTATACACATATCGCTGATTTACTTAACTACCCAACATGTTACAAAGAAAACCAATATAAATTGTTGGAAATTATAATGTTTTTTATACGTACATATGTAATTTAACTTACCAACATAGTGCATATCTATATAAATGAAAGTTCCCACCAGTGTTGCTATCTCAATAGATGGTGCAGTACTCATACATTAGTAGTTTCTCGATGCCATCATCACAAAATCATAGAAGCGAAACCAAGTGCTCTTCGCTCTTTCATCAACTCCAAATTCCTCTTGATAGCAATCATGATGCCATCACATTGCACTCCTTTATACACGCTACCAAAACCGCCTTATCCTTGTACATTTTCCTGACTGAAACTATTGGTAGCACGACAAAGAGTTTCTATCTAGTATAAGTAGTCATTCCATTTTTGTCTGACTTGTGTCTCAACAGCGGGTGTCCTGGTTTGTAGACGAGTTTTACTTGTTCCCGAAGCTTTGGTATCTTACCATTGAGCTTGTTGATTTGGAAACTGATCTCTTAAATTTAAGAGAGAGAATCGGTTAGATGAAACCACCAAGGGACAAACCGGAAATGTCAATGGATACAACCCTGTGGTTTCTACGGTTACACTCCACGCCTTTCCATTTGCAGTATGGAAGGAGGATGTTGTTGGAAGGCTCTTGAGATTTTAAACATTGCAACACAATATTTTATACTCCATATGTCCTATATTATAAGCGTTTGGAAAAATATATCTATAAAAAGTGGATGTATCTGGATGCAATTGAGTCCATATACATCCACTTTTTTGCAGATATATTTTCCCAAATTGCTTATAATATAGGACAGATGGAGTATAATATATAAGTACTTAGCCGTTGTAAATATTATTCACAATGTGTATATTTTATATGATGGTTAATGTCAAGACTTGTATTCTATTTACTTTGTAATATAAGGCATTAGCTTCATATGAAATCAATAAAAATCCTAGATAATTATTTTTTTTGTACACTTTTTGCCACACTGAATTTTAAAATTTAATTTTAGACAAGTAAAAACTTTGAACTTTTTTGCGCAAATTTTGTTGACAGTCTTCCTTTGCGTCAACACTAAAACGCGAGCCATTTCGTTGACGCTGCACCTAAACGCTGTGAAGTCTGAGCTTCTCAGAACGAAACCGGGTCGGGTCTACAAATCGGGTCACCATTCTCGGGTTCCCGCTCTGTTTCCACTTTCCACCCTCTTAACTCTTTTTCCGCATTCACTCAACCATTTCCATGGACAAAGCCAGCGAGTCCTCGCGGCGAGTCTAAAATACACATAGCTCCGAGTTATGGAGAACGCGACGGTTATCAAAATTTCGGAGCTAGTCCACGGAGGCCGAGCCGTCACCGGTGCATCGTCGCTATTCTTTTCATCAGCTTCTCACTCGTCTTCCGAATCAGGCAATAGAAATCCTCAATCACGTGCCGGCACCGTCGATTCGGAATCTAGCCGGAAATTTCTCGCACCGTTGAACTACCCAGCGGTTATCGTCGGGACGCTATCGCTCCCTTCCGAAACCCTAAAATGTCCGAATCGCTACTGCTTTCGATTCGCAGACGGTGAATTGACAATCTGCTGCGATATCATTGGTCTCGAAATCGGCGCGATTGGGAGTAAGATTTGCGTTCTATCATGGAATTTCCTTCCTATGAGGCATTCCGGTGGGTTTCTGGAGATTATCAAGTGGAAACTCGCGGCGGAGGATACCGGAAAGTTGCTTGATTCGTTTCCATTGGCTCCTCCACCGCGAAACGGTGATGGTAAGTCACGGTATAGCGTCCATGGTGTGTTAGAGTCCATTAGCCCCGTCTCTGTTGTTCCTTGTATGGAAGGGAATTCTGATAATTCTGTGAATGTTCCTGTGAGGGGGTTCTTAGTAAAGGTCATGGCTTGTGAGAGTAAAGAATGTAAACGGAACGATGTGTTGGATTCGGTTGATTGTAGTCACTCTTTTGAGAAGTCTGTCTTCGTTTACTTCTGTGGTTCAGTGGCTGCGAGTTGGCACCCTGCGATGACGAAGCTAGTTGGGAGAAGTATTGCTCTATCGGGGATGAAGAAAAAGTTGGTTTATATAAGCAAATGTGATTCTGTGTTGGTGTTTGTGACGACTGAGAACTCTGTTCTTCATTCACCTTGGCTCTCTAAGAAACGGGAAGTTTCGAAAACTGTTGTTGACAGGAGAAGTAATTGCGGTTCGTACCTTGGATTGGTGAAAGGTGTATACTTGAAAGGAAAGCTTGTTGAGCTGGATCAGGATGTGTGGCTTTTATTGACGGATCAGATACACAAAAGACCTCATAGTATCAGAAATGGTTCCCTTGTAAGAAAGTCCTCTCTTGCTTCAGTGTTGTCTGGTTCTTTTTTTTGTTTTGACTGTAAGCGTCTCAGAAGTCTGTGCTGGTTTTGAGATTTTTGATTTATTTTAGTGCAGATTTTTGTCAGAAATGTTCATTTTGTGAGAACCAAATTTCCCTGGGGAGAAGTGCTTATACTTGGGGCATGCTTCAAGACCAGCATCACAGTTGAGATTTTTTCGCCGTTTGAAACGAGGTGAGATTTTGCTATAAGTCAGTGAATAGTGGATGATTTCTCTTATGCCTGGAGATTTATCAAGCTGGTGATTCAGTTTTTTTGTAGATTCATGTCGGCAGACACCTCTGAGTCAATTCATTGAGTCTTTGTCCTTTCCTGCGAGATTTTGGTACTCTTTCTCTCTAATGGTTATAGCAATATGTTAAGTGATTTCATGCTATTTATGACTTGTGAGTGATGTAGCTGCAAAAACAATGCTTTGCAGGACATTACTTGTTAGTTCATGCTTCCAGAACTTTGACGGTTGGCCATCAGACAAGGAAACCTTAAGATCCTGTCAGGTAACTGAAAGCAGGCTTGGTTCTTCGTTTTTATTGTGGCCTTTTCTTGTTTTCTATAGTCTTTCTCATTTTTGTGAGGTGCTATCAGAAGGATGAGCTGACAAAGATGTATGCAGAGTCACGAATGCCGCCATATATGTTTCAACCTAGGGTAAATTGGTATATTCAAAATTCAACAATATATAGAGCTGTATACTCTTTAGGGTAATATCCATGCTCATCAGTTTTGTTTTTTTCGATTTTTAATATATTTACAGTGCGGGCTTTTTACTGAATTCTGCTTCCATGAATCATGCGAATGCAATAGTGAAGCTCGTGATTGCAACCTAAAACCGGTGAGTCTTTTGTTCTGTAGATCATGGTTAGATTAGAACAGGTTTAATCTTTGTTAAAATGGTCATGATCATCTTTAGATCTTACACCGTTTTTTTTGTTGGCAAATAGGTAATGCCTGTCTCAAGTTTTGTCCACCACTACAAGGTCATGCTGAGTGAATTGCTTTCTCGGAATAAGAAAGATGACACCGTGTTTATTGCTAGTAATTTCTTACGTCACCCATCATCAACTCCGAAAAGAAACAGTCATACAAATACAAGGACTCTTAGAAGTGAAGATATTGGTGTCATCTTGCTTGGAAGATTCAAGGTATATAACATACTTAATCTTCCACTTCAGTGTACATACTTAATCTTCACTTGATTAACTTATTTTTAAGTATGTTCTTAATTTCCTGAGATGTCAGTGTCATCATCTCAACTTGATAGACTGAATATCTTTACTTAATATCTGGAACATATATCTAGCTTTCGTTACATAACAAGGTTGTTGTTTTCCTCTATTTATACCCTTATGTAGCTGTGACATTGTTTTTCTATATAGATCTCATCTTCTGGAGTACTACAATTGCATGACAGAACTAGCAGCATTAATGTTCTGATGCCAGACCTTCTAAGGGATAGAGATGGCTGCAGGATATATGAGGTTACTTCAAACTGCATTTTCTTCGCTTATCCGGCACCTTGGAGGAATACCAAACTCGTGATTTTCAATTTGTTCTTTTGTTTTCCGTTGTAGGTTTCTGATTACAGTCTTCTTATGGAAGGAATACCTGAGTCGATGCTCCACATCCCATTTCCTCAAAAGCCACTTTCCTGTAGAAGTGTGGTTAATCCCACTCCACTGACCATAAAAAGCACCATGACAATGCCATTTTCTCTATCCTTTGGTGCTGCAAGTTGCAGAAATGTTCGTATGCGTCATTCTATTGACCGGACGCATGAGCACAATGAGTTCACAGGGGAAATGTTTCATATATTTAGGGTGACCCACAAATTCCCAATTTTGAAAAAGGTAAGGTTCCATTTCTCAAAATAGCATTCTCCATAACGTCACTATTGTTTATATCTTTTGCTTAGAGAGAGTTAGCAGCTGTTTATGCGAATAATTTTTTTATTAAGGTCTTAACTGTTATGATTATTGATTGTGTGCCAGGCCCATCCAGGAATGCCTGACTGTACCAGTGTTTTCATCGAGGCTGTTATCATTCCCTGGGAACTCATTTGCACTGTGACTGAAAAAGACGCAGCTGCTCCCCAATCTGTTGAACGTGAGACCTCCCTAGTAAATCGTCCACATAAGAGATGTAAAACTGGAAAATCATTACAGGGAGAAAGTGTATTGCCTGTGCCGCATGAAATTTCCTGCCAGATGACCGTCAGATTTGCTAGTAGTCCCTGTTTGACCATAGCAGCGACGCTGTCTAGTTTAAAGGAAAATAAAAGTGGTAACATGCAGAGTGTTAAGCGGGTGCTGTTAGAATTCATACCTGAATGCAAAAACTATTATGTAAGTACTGTATTGATTTCTTATTAACATTTGATTCCCCGTCAAAGACTAATGATTTAAACCAAATGATGCTTTTGCATTTGGCATGGCAGGGGTTGCAGATTGGCGGTTGTTATTTGATGAAGCATGGCAGTGATAGTGATGATTCTTTTTGTTTTGGACGGTCTGGCATATCTAACAATGACAAAATCAGTTTTAGACCTGAAACACAATTATGGAGTCTGGAATTTTCTTTTGATGAAGCTCTCACCCATGTTGGATCTATGGATGTATATCCCCTGGTTTCTTCTCAACCATCTCCCGCGGTGGAACAACAAAGTGGGTCTAGTCCGCAACCTTGTTCAGATGTCTCGCTTCTTCTCCCTTATGATGCGAAAAGGCTCTTCTCAGTTTATCTCAACGACTTGGAAGAAGTCAATAAGCCAGTTGCAGCTGGAAACGACAAAACTCTGGGGAAGATGATCACGCATGCAGAGCCGTCTCGACTACCTCTTTCGAACAGCTTGTTTCCTGAGGGAAATCTGGCGACTTTCAGAGGCGACGTAGTAGCAGTTGACGCTGTTGACTCTTGCGTCGTTGATGTTCTGAGTAGCTATTGCATTTATGTTCTAGTCGATCATCAAATGGTGAGTGCATATTACACTCTTTGCTCTCTGCTGTTTGTATTCTCGTACGTCTTATTTACTAAACGATGTGTTTCAGGTAAAGATTTTTGGTTCACTCAGCAGGCATTCATATCTCATTGGATTCGGCCCTGGCGTGAATGCAACATTCTACCGGATTCTAGCAACCGGGTATTACTCCTAAATAACAACCGTTGCTTAATTTCTAAAATCATCAAGTGGAAAACTTATCTTCAGTCCCTTGCATTAATGTTTCTGCAGAGAGGAAAACAGGTTTCTCTTGTCAACAGTGTCTTTCGTCAAGATAAACTCTCGAAAGGCATTGGATGGTCCTTTTATAGAGAATCCAACTCTTGGAGCTGCTTTATGTCTGCCCAAAATCACACCTAAGGAATACGTACCTTGCAATCTTGCTGGTTCTGTTTCAGGAAACGAGGATAATCAGCAAATAAACTTTGTCTGCAAGGTTAATCTTTTTTTTTTTAGCAAAGTTATTTTAGTTTTCCATAATGTGTACTGACTTGTTTGATGCAACAGGTTCTCTCAGTTCATCTTCTTGTTCTCCAAACGAGATCTGACGATCCCGCAGAACAAGAATGTGGGGAAAATATCGATATACCACTCGCAGGATTTGTGGTAGGTAAGTCACATTGTCTATTGCTCTCCTATTCAGTCTTTCAGTATGTAGAACATACAAACATTGAATATATGAATAACATCCTCTTAAGAGCTTCTCGTTAAGTGCTGTGTATGTGTGTAATGCTGAAAGGTAGAGAAAACATATAAAGATGTGTATGAGTCTATATGTTTACATAAGCTTTGTTCCTACTGAACGGATACTTAAAGACTCACTTTATGCTCCCTAGTAGTCGTTTCCTGAGTTATTTGTTTAAGTTACCGATGAGTTTCACTTTTCCTGATTTAGATGACGGATCATCAACTTTTCTTTGCTGGACGAGTGGGAAAAGAGCGTTTACATTTCTCAGGCTGCACGAAGAATTGCCTGAAATGGCCATCGACATGGGACCATGGTTCAAAAGAGAGAGCAAGCAGAGCACCACAGCTTACCATCTGGCAAAAATTGTTTGGATTCACAAGAGAATAGTGATGAAATGCAGTGGATCACATAATGACGCACTCTTACAAGACATGGCCATTACCGTTGCTTCACATAAACTTCTAACCAATTCAGAGGATAATTTCTTCAAGTTGTTGATCCTAAATGCCATTAGCGGCCCCATATGGGTATGTTTGACACTCTTTTATATCTATCTTCCTTGATATCATTTCATAGTTTGGCGAAAGCGCTGGAATCTTTCCTTGTTTCCACTTATGATAGTAAATCTAAAACCCGATGTTCCTTGTTTTGGTTTAATCAGGATGTCACCGCGAGCTCAATGGGCAAGAAAATGATTCAGCGTTTGGAGAGAGAACACTCTGTGGAGATAGAGACTTCAAGACTGACTCTGCAAAACGTTTGGGGTAATCAAGTATGTCAAGTAAATACGTTGGTCCGAGCCTGGAACTTGCTCCAAGGTTTGCTATAATCAGGCGAATCATGAAGTAATTCAAAGAGAGACGAAACTCTGTTGTCTGTTGTCTTCCAACTACTTGTCAACAGAAACTTGTAGCTGCTCTGGATTCTGACGACGTTGAAGACAAAGCCTAATAGTCAGTAGTAAGTGGTGGAAATGACTAGTTACTACATCTCTGTTCTGACTTGTTCTTTTTTTTCATCTACTGCTATTTCCCTAATTTACTATCGTCGTGGTATGAAAAACGATTTTTTCTTTTCATACAGACGATTGAGCTTTTTGTAAATGATTTTTTGGCACGGAATCAAAATGTGATATTTATCGAAAAACAAGAGTAGAAACAAACATCCATTCTGTATTTTACCAAAAGAGTATCTTCAATAATAGATATCTTTAGGAATTGTAAGACTGAGTTAGTTTTGAACTACTTGTGAATAAAACTAGTATTTGTGAAATAATAGATATTCTCAAGAAAAATAACAGACAAGTGAAATATGCCAACATATGTAAATAGAGAAATGACATAACGATCTGGTGACAAAATAGTATCTTAAAATGTGATAAAACAGTGAAGATCTCTCATAAAGACACAAGAGTCATGCAAAATTCTCAAAACTTAAAAACGGTCCTTATCAGAGATCCAAATCAAGCTTCTGCAACTAGCAAACATTGGCTTAACGCTTCTTAGACACACCAACAGTCTTTCCTCTGCGACCAGTTGTCTTGGTGTGCTGTCCACGGACACGGAGACCCCAGTAGTGTCTCAGACCACGATGGTTCCTGCTCGTTGCATAAAATTACAAAACAGCATTCAATTAAAACCACCCCCAAAAGAACACGCAGTGGTAACGAATTGTATGATTGAGTTTTTACCTGATTTTCTTGAGACGTTCAAGGTCATCCCTGAGCTTCATGTCAAGACCATTGGAGAGAACTTGAGAGTACTTTCCATCTTTGTAGTCTTTTTGTCTGTTCAAGAACCAGTCTGGAATCTTGTACTGTTTTGGGTTTGCAACAATCGTCATGAGGTTTTCAAGCTCAGCTGCAGTTAACTCACCAGCCCTGAACCAGAGTTGAGATCAACATTAGACAATAACTCAATCGTAACAGGAAAATGCAAAATACACTAGATAACTGGCTATTCGACAAACAACAGCGGCAAAGTCAAAAGAAGATAGGAAGTTTGGTTCATATTGAGGTTTAAAGATGACAAAGTGTAATCAAAATTCATGTCACTGATAAAAAAAAAAGATTATGATACTGTAAACTACATATACTAATCGATTCAACGCAAAAGAATTGCTAATTTCCATAATAACTATCCAAAGGTTGAAGTTTTACAGACAAAAACAAGAGATAAGAGAGACAAGAACACACCTCTTGTTCATGTCAACATCGGCTTTCTTGCAGACAATGTTGGCCATTCTCCTCCCAATACCCTTGATTGAGGTAAGGGCAAACATAATCTTCTGCTTCCCATCAACGTTAGTGTTGAGCACACGCAGAATGTGCTGAAACTCCTCATTTGCAACGAGCGACTACACACAGCAACAAAAATCACAGCCAAATCAGAAAAAAACAACTCCTATACTCAAACGAAATAGATGGATTTAACGGCAAGCTAATACAACTCCAGATCGAAGTAAATCAAGTGAGAGATCTAAGAGATCAGAGGTTTTAACGGGAACTGATTGAGAAAGAGAAATCGTAATCCCTAATTACCATTGTCTCGATTTCAAGAGAAGAGCTGTTTGTCTGAGAGAGAAGAAGATTGAGACGCTCTCGCCGTTTTAACACTCTCTTGGCCAAATGGATTCGAAAACTAGGGTTCCTCTAATGGTTTATAGGGTTGCACATCTCTTTAGATAAAAGTGGACTTCTACAAATGGGCCAAATTATTTCGTTTAATATGGGCCCAAATTAAAACATATTCTTTTGATTAGTCTAAAACCCGGAGTTAAATGTCTTTTTATCTAAGTAATTTGGTGAAATCTTATGTTAGGAATTAGATCCCCCACAAATATATATTAAAAATAAAAAAAATATGGCTTTTAAAATTTAAAAATTAAAAATTTAATTTACTCTTATCTAATGTTGGTTTTTGAACCTGTTTTAATAAAGTTTTAGATAAATGTAGGCAAATGTTTATGATTTGATCAAAATATTTGAATATTTACCTAACAACGGAATGGTAATTTTTTTTTTGGTAGAACAACGGAATGGTAACTGATAATCACTAGGGACTGAAGCCCGCGCACGCGCGGGGTTGTTTGTGATAATTTATTTGTATGGTTTTATTTATCTTTGTTGATTTGAATAATAATAATTTTGTGTTAATCTCTAATTATATGTTGAGCTAACTCAATCACTCATACTAAACATATGATCAATTTGTTTTATTTTTATTTTTATATCAAAATGTTAACTCTACACTTCATCTCGAGCTTTTTAGAATCTCGTTTACATTCGATGTATTACTGTTTACATATATTTTGTTGTGGTAGCATCTGAGCATAATGACCATTGATTATTTCTATAATGTTAGTTTTGTAAATATAGATTGTATTTTTGAAACAAACATGTCACAATCCTTAAAATTTTCATGTTCTCTAAATATAATTTCTCTTACTATATATAACTAAATTATATTCTAATTTTTTTAACTTGTAAACACATTATAACATTTAAAAAAATAGGAGAAATCATCTATAAAAATTTCTAACTCTAATTTTTTCATGAGCTTTCTACTATATATTAATCAAAAAATTATATTCAACTTGTAAAGACATTATAAACTTTTTAAATAGGAAAAATACTATTTTATGTTGCATATTTTTTTTTTCATCTCCATTTTATATTACAAATGTTTTTTCTAAATTTTAACATCAAATTATCACATACTTTATTTTAATTAATTAATGTATTTGCGTATTTTTAGTTTTAATATTTATTTTTAAAATAGGAATATATGTAAAGAAATATGAAAAGACAAGTATTTAATAAATATTGTAAATATAATTTATTGTTTTTGTGCTGATGTGGACAGAGAGGAATTACCTAATTATATATAAGATACTTTGTCTCTAAATGGATATAAATATTCGCAACGGATTATTGAAAAAAATTTCCCTTTTTTGTGTGGATAAATCAGTTTCATTAAGCTTGAGGGAAAATAGTTTGCAGGGATCTAATTGGCGCCCCTTTACCATTTCCATCTCCTTTCTTAGGATTATTTTTTTCAAATCGAGTCCCTAGAACATTTCTCACACTGATCTCCGAGATCTACACTGTTTCGTTGTTTCGATTCCAATGGCGACGAGAAGACGTACTTTGCTCAAGGTCATCGTCCTCGGCGATAGCGGGTAATGGATTGCTGATTCTTATAATTTTGATTCCCTTTTGATTTTTGATTTTTGATTTTGATCTGTGATTGTCGCTTTCCAGGGTTGGTAAGACTTCCTTGATGAATCAGTATCCTTCGATTCGATTTCAATTCCATTTTTCTTCTTCCTAATCTGGGAAAATGATTCGAGTTGATAATAAGCGATTTCGTGGATGCATTTGGGAGATAAATGAGAAATTGTTGGTTTCTGTGAATATTTTGTTTGAGATGTATCTCCTTAACGGGTGATTTTTTAAGATATGTGCATAAGAAGTTTAGTCTGCAGTACAAAGCAACAATTGGTGCTGATTTTGTGACGAAGGAGCTTCAGATTGGAGATAAGCTTGTTACTCTACAGGTGTGTTGTTATTATCATTCTTGCTTTTGTTGTTGTTTCTCTTTGAAGATTGCTTTCTCAATAAAGATTCACTTTTTTAGATTTGGGATACTGCTGGGCAAGAAAGATTCCAGAGCCTTGGTGCTGCGTTTTACAGAGGCGCGGATTGTTGTGCTCTTGTTTATGATGTCAATGTGTTGAAGTCCTTTGACTCTCTCGAAAACTGGCACGAGGAGTTTCTTAAACAGGTTCTCTCATGAATTCTCTTTCTTTTGCTTTGCTATGCTTCATTCTTGTTATATGCTGCATTTTATTTTACTTTAGTTCTTGTTTTTCTTGGCTGTTATGATAAATACATGGAACATTTGCTAGCATTGAGTATTTAGAGTGGTAATCTTCAGATTTTTGCCAACATTTCGCTCTTTTTTTGATGATTTGGGCACAAGAGCTTTTAGTTATCTTTTGTATCTCTTTTGAAGTTTTGTTTTACCATTGAAGAAACTAGATGATTGGCCAATGGAACATGTTTTTATCTTTGAACTATGATTTGCCTCGGTTTACTGGTTAAGCCAAGTATATATCCATAAGTTTTGTTCTCCTGCACTCATATTATCAGTCCTCTGAACAGTTTATAATATGCTAACTTGTATTGGCTCCCTGTTATTGTGGCTGCTCAGGCAAGTCCATCGGATCCAAAGACATTTCCGTTTATAGTGCTTGGAAACAAAGTTGACATAGATGGAGGGAGCAGCAGAGCGGTAAGAGGATATAATCAAGAAAGAAACGTTTTCCCATCTTGCTTTTTCAAGTCTTTGAACGACTTTACTCTGCATAACTACTAACAGGTCTCTGAGAAGAAAGCAGCTGACTGGTGTGCTTCAAATGGCAACATACCCTATTTCGAGACCTCAGCTAAAGAAGACTACAATGTTGATGATGCCTTCTTCACCATTGCCAAAACCGCTCTTGCAAACGAGCATGAACAGGACATGTAAGCTCTTCTCTCTTTTGCTTTTGCTTGGCCTCAATAGATGTATATGTAAGCTTTATCTCTTTAAGTATACAATATGTCTCCTCATACACAACTCTTTTCCGGTTAATTGCAGATACTTCCAAGGCATACCAGAGGCAGTGACTGAGAACGAGCCCAAAGGAGGTGGTTGCGCTTGCTAAACCCCTTAACCGGAGATTTTCGGGATTCATTTTTCATTGGTTTTGTTGATGCATTTGCCGGTTAAGGTTGATGTTAAGCAAATTTTCTCGGCATTCCCATCATATATTAATTGATTGATTGGAGGAGTCTGTAATGTTTCTGTTGGATATATTGTTATTTTTCCGGAAGAAGAACCGTTTTATTGCTCTTAAACCATATTACGTTATAAATTAACTCATCTCTGATTCTCTGCTATGCTACTGATACTGAATGTGTAGAACAACGAAGAAGAGATTTGGGTTTCAAATTACCTTTTCCATATACCCGATGAATCCACTAGATTTGGGTTCTCCAAAGGGGGCTTTGGCATGTGGATGATTGCTTGATGTTTGTTGCTCCTTGGACACCGAAAGCATCTTTAGTAATCCCTGAGATAAAGACCCTACCAGTGTGGGTAACTCTTAAAAACATTCCTAGCATCTTATACTCTATCTCTGGCATAAGTCATATTGCCTCGGGTCTAGGTGCTCCTATGGCAACTCACAAACCTAATTTAGACCCCATTTTCATGGGTGAAGCAAAGATTTTGGTTGAAGTTGAGCTAAGTAAAGCTTTTCCACCAAGAATAGCTGCTGATGATAAAAACGGTTTTATTTGGATGGTTGATGTGGAATATGCATGGCTGCCTTCTAAATGTGGTAGATGTGGTCAGCTTGGACACAAGGTCAAGCGTTGCTTACAACCTGTTAGTGAATCTCATACAGTTGTGGAGGATCATGAGGTTGATTCGAATGCTACCATTGTGAATCGGTCGCTGCGTCCATCACAATCCCTCAAACTGGTCAAACTAACCCTATCTCAGTTCATCTCTCAAGCTCCGAGGTACCTACTTCTTCCACTATAGCCATAAAAAATAATGAATCATTCTCTGAAGCTCCAAACACTGCTAATGAGGATGCCGATGATCTCATTTCGTTAACTACGATTGTTGTACTTGAGAATATGTTTGTATCTCCGGTAGTTATCACCATCAACGACTCTATTGAGTCTTCTATTTTGGAGTCTGCCCAAAAGATTCCAACCGCTGTTGCTACTAATGCTCAAGATGACTTTTCAATCCAAAAGAAAAGTACTAGAATAGATGAACCTGATTTGGGTGCAAACAAGTTTGCATCACTGATCACTACGGAAGGAGAAGAAGATTTGCCTGAATCAGAAAAAGAAACAGGTTCGATGGATCTGATGACACCTTTCGGGAAAACAATACTTCCGGATAGACCAGTTAAACCATTGACAAAGGCTAAGGAGATGCATTGGCAATCTCGGGGTCGTGGTCGAGGGAACCGAGGACGTGGAGAAAAAGGTGGATGTGGCTAGAGGTAGTCATCTTATCTTTAGCTAAAGTCAATCAAAGCGGAAGATTTGATTGTTAATGGTTCATTATATGTTCCTCTTTATTTTTTCAACTTGTAATCGCTTTTAACCAACTGTATGACTACTGTCGTAGCCATGTAACCGTTATTCTATATATATATAATTAAAAAAAAAAAAAAGAACGAAGAAGAGATGTGCATACAAAAATTGTTGTAGTATGAATATGATTTTAAATCGATTTGATGGTGCTAATTCCAAAAACTGTGAAATGGGCTCATAAGGACTCTAAATGGGCCAAGATATGGGCCTTGAAAGCCTTGATCCGTTTTTAATTCACTCCACTTGCAAAACCTATCTTCTTCTCTTCCTTGTTCGCTCGTAGTCGTACCAAATGATCTCCATGAACAAGACCTCATAAACCTTGAGATAAACCTCTCTCTCAATTTCAATTTCTTCAGCTATGGTAGGAGCTTCGAGAACAATCCTATCCCTCTCTCTCTCCTCTTCCCTCTTCACCTTCTCCAGAATCCCTCACGTAATCCCATTTCTCCGCCTCCACAAACCTTCCTCTAGATTCTACCACGCTTTCCGTCCTCTATGCGCCGCCGCCACAGCTCCGACGGAGACGAATGTCGCGGATCCAGACCAATTAAAGCACACGATCTTACTGGAGAGGCTTCGCCTCCGACATTTGAAGGAATCGGCGACGAAACCACAGCAGAGGCCGAGCAGCGTCGTTGGCGCAGAGGAAGATAACAGTATGAAGAAGAAAAAGAAATTGGCTGAGAATTTCGAGGAGTTAGGTCTAAGCGAGGAAGTTATGGGAGCTTTGAAAGAGCTCAACATTGAGGTTCCCACGGAGATCCAGTGTATCGGAATACCTGCGGTTATGGAGCGCAAGAGCGTCGTCTTGGGCTCCCACACTGGCTCCGGCAAGACTCTTGCCTATTTGCTTCCTATTGTTCAGGTGACTCAATGAATTTCTCGCCATTGTTGTTCAATGAATTTCTCGCCATAGTTGTTTTATTGAATTGAGCTTCCAGGTTAAGGTTTCACCATACACAGTGTTTAGGCTTCTTGAGCCTCCAAAGTTGAATGTTGCAGCATTAACAGTGTTTTGGCTCATGAATTGCATAGTTGCTAGTCACCATTTCCTTAGTGTATATTTAGCTCTTGCTCTTCCACTGTTATATTGATGATTTTCGGATAATTTTTTTTTTTTTTTGCAGCTGATGAGAGAAGATGAAGCAACTCTTGGTAAGATAACAAAGCCGAGGCGTCCGAGGACTGTTGTTCTGTGTCCTACTAGAGAACTATCTGAGCAGGTACTTGTATTGATTGATTAGTACTGCTCTTGATCTATTCGTTGTTTAGTGAAATGTGGTTTCTTTGTTTTGTTCGACTATTGAAACGGTATTGGCGAGTTAAAGAAAAGACTGATTGTTTCTTTTCCGGAAAAGTCTTGGTTACTTTCTCATAGGGTAGCCACCAAAAATCTGATATGTGAGTATAGTGTTTATGCCAGTTTGGAACTAATTAAGGAGTCTGGCATTAGGTTTACCGTGTGGCAAAGTCCGTAAGCCACCACGCGAGGTTCAGATGTACGTTGGTTAGTGGTGGTTCTCGGATAAAGCCACAGGAGGATTCTTTGAACAACGCAATAGACATGGTTGTTGGAACACCTGGTAGGATTCTTCAGCATATCGATGAAGGAAACATGGTCTATGGAGATATCACATATTTGGTAGGCTTCATTTTGCAGATCTTGACATTATGATTCTTATGATTCTTGAGATAAGAGGCAATGAGAGTGTTTTTTTTATCCAGGTGCTGGATGAGGCAGACACTATGTTTGATCGTGGTTTTGGTCCAGACATTCGCAAGTTCCTTGCCCCACTGAAACAGCGTGCGTTGAAAGCAAATGATCAAGGATTTCAAACGGTCTTGGTGACTGCTACTATGACAACGGTATGCATATGTTCGGTTGACACTTGCATTTGCTATATTCAAGATCTTGGCTCCTTGCATATCTTGAACTTAAGGTAAGCTAATGAATGAAACGGTGAGTTATTCAGGCTGTTCAGAAGTTAGTCGATGAGGAGTTTGAAGGGATAGAGCATCTGCGAACATCAACATTGCATAAAAAGATAGCAAACGCTCGGCATGACTTCGTCAAGCTCTCAGGTAGTGAAGATAAGCTAGAAGCACTTGTACAGGTAAATGCTAAGCAATCAGATGTTGTTGTTTTCGATTCTCTCTCGGGTACTTGCACATTTCACTTATGCTTGGATGAAAATGCAGGTTCTTGAACCTAGCTTAGCCAAAGGGAGCAAGGTGATGGTCTTCTGTAACACTTTGAACTCCAGCCGCGCCGTCGATCACTATCTTTCCGAAAACCAGATCTCCACCGTGAATTATCACGGTGAAGTTCCAGCAGAACAGAGGTAAGAAGAAGATCAAAACAGCTTTACCTAGAAACGATACCCCCGTTTCTTGAGGAGCTTATTGCTCTTAGCTAAATCGGTTTGCATTTAACCTATCCAGGGTTGAGAACTTGAGAAAGTTTAAGGACGAAGAAGGAGATTGTCCTACACTGGTGTGCACGGATCTGGCTGCGAGGGGTCTAGACCTCGATGTTGATCATGTAATCATGTTTGATTTCCCAAAGAACTCTGTAAGTATATTGTACAATTGTCCCTGCCTTATAATCCTTGCTTGTTTCTTCTCTTTTCTTGAGACCTTAATTTACTTTAAAACTTGAATTCCTTAGATCGACTACCTTCATCGCACTGGAAGAACAGCTCGCATGGGCGCTAAAGGTTTGTTCCTGAAGCTCTACATTACCATGTTTCGAGATTCTTTCAGCTATGAAAAAAAAAGTTGAGTCTTAAAGTAGTTGCTGTTTATGGTTGTTGCTTTGCAGGAAAAGTGACGAGTCTGATAAGCAGGAAGGACCAAATGTTAGCAGGAAGGATCGAAGAAGCCATGAGAAACAACGAGAGCTTAGAAGCACTCACCAACGATAACGTGAGGAGGGACGCCGCGAGAACGCAAATCACTCTAGAGAAAGGAAGGAGCGTGAAGCAGATCAGAGCAGTGAGCAAGCAACGAAACACCAAAGACAGAGCATCATCGTCGTCATCATCATCATCTCCTCCTGCAAAACCAAGAGGTGTGAAGACACCAGTGAGAAGAAACTCCACTTCAGTGAGAAAGCCGACGAAACCCGGAAGATCATCATCATCATTATCATCATCATCATCATCATCATCATCATCATCTCCAGAGAAATCTACAAAGCCGAAAAGGAAGATATTAAAAACGGTGGGATCAAGATCGATTGCTGCGAGAGGGAAAAAAGGCTCAGAAAGAACAGGTAAGAAAATAAGCGTTGTTGGGTTTAGAGGTAGGTCGTCTTCTACGGCTAGAGCCTCTTCTTGAATCTTGATTACATTTCTAAAGAAAAAGTCAGTAGAAAAGTGAACTATGTGATTGGATGAATCATCCTGAGAGAGACCATTGTATGTTCGTTTCTTTCTTCTATGAAATCCATATGCACAAAAGACAGAAGAAGTTTCACTTTTGCCTTTGACAGAAACTTATAATGAACTTGTGACTATATATATACCAATAAAGTCCGTATATGACATCTATGGTTGGTTTTTTAACATATTTGTTTGGAGACGTAGAATGGTTATTTACCCGTAACGGGACTAGGAGAATATTGTTTCCATGGCTATGGAGGAAATATGTAGAGACAATAACTAAATCTTGTATTGATTAAAATAACTAAAAACATGGTACAAGCTCAATGAGGTTGTAGTGAGAAATAAAAGAGATGTAGAGATAGAATGGGGAAGAAAACTTAAATCTTTATTTATAAATGTGTCATAGGATATAATTAAAATAGTCCAACACCAATAAATAAGCTCACTAAACAAGTATTATAAAGTAGAAGGCGTTTTTAAGGTATTATTGAATCAATACAAGCTCAGCGAGCTTGCACGATAGAAACAGTTATGTCATTGACATCACTAAGGACAGTAGTCGATCCAATACCATGGGCCAAAGAAGACGATGAAGCAGTGGATCCAATCCCTTGAGCCAAAGAAGAAGATGAAGCAGCTTGCTCACCAAGGAATCTTGCGTAATAGTAATGCGGCTCTCTCGGTAGAGGAAGCTCGATTGACCTGCTTTTTAACATGACCACCAAAAAGTCCGAGCTTGGTCTGTCCTCAGGGTCGTCTTGCACACAGAGAAGTGCGACCTGTAAGCACCGTACGACTTCCTCTTCCACCAACGAACCGTCTTCGAAACGAGGATCTACAAGGTTGAGCCCAGTGCTTTGTTCCCATTGCCTCCACGCCTTTTGTATAATTAAGTTTTCTTAAACTTCGTTCTTATTAAAAGAAAAAAAAAAACTAAAACAAGAAGAAGAAGAAAATCTTACTAAGCCGAGAAGGCTGTCTCCAGGGTTTGAGTTGCAGAATTCGTAATTTTTCCGACCCGTGATTATCTCGAGGATCATAACCCCCAAGCTGAACACGTCGGATTTCTCGGATATGATATAAGACATGGCGTATTCTTCAGCCATGTAGCCACTATGATGGGAAACAAACAAGAAAAATGGCTAGAAAATCAGAAACTCTTTTTTTTTGGGGGATGATAAAGTTTTGTTTTGTTTTGTTTACTTACATTGTTCCCATCACTCTGTCGGTCTGTGTGCTTGGCTGACCAATTTGTAAGATCCTTGCCATCCCAAAATCCGAGATTTTTGAAGTCATCGTCTCCCCCAATAGAATGTTACTTGGTTTCAAGTCTCTGTGGATTATGGGACTTTCTCTGAAGTTATGAAGATACGCAAGGCCTTGCGTAATCTCTCCAATGATACGGAACCGGTTCTTCCAGTTCAACAATCGGCTTTGAGCCTCATCTACAGTCACAGATATAAACAGAAAAGAGAGAGAGAGAGAGAGAGAGAGAGAGAGACAACTAACCGAATATAAACCGGTTCAAACTTGCATTTGGAAGATACTCGTAGATTAAAATCTTCTCCTCCCCTTGGCAACAGCATCCTAGAAGTCGCACGAGATTTTTGTGCAGGACTTTCAGAATCGTACTCACTTCGTTCTTGAACTCCTCGATCCCTTGGGAAGACATGTGAGACAACCTTTTCACGGCGGCTACTCTTCCATCCGGTAAGACTCCCTGTAAATCACATCCAGAACATGTGTGTTTATACAACATACGTAAACAACTTCTTTCAATGTCTTTTTATTTTATAATACCTTATACACTATACCGAAACCACCTCGGCCGAGTTCGTTCTTCTGAGAAAAGTTGTCCGTCGCCTCCACCATCGTTCTAAGATCCATGAAACAAAACCTGTCGTCATCTGCTATTCTCCTCATCATTATCTCTATCTGAGTTGGTCCTATACACACACACACACACACACACACACACACAAATGAAAAAAAAAAAGAAAGAAGATAAAAAGCTACAAGTAGTACGAAGGTTGTGTTGTGCTATACCTTGAGTTGCAGCGCCTCTTTGAATCCGTTTCCAGAAGAAGCAGGAGCTGATAAGAAGAATAACTCCTCCCGCGATGATCCCTATAATCCAGGGTTTTAGACCTGCAGTACAAGAAAACAACTTAGGCGGGCCCATTTTGAACCGATATACTTTCAAACAAAAATCCATACAATGTTTGGAGTCATATCTAATCCCTTTTCGTTTTACTGTTTTCTATAATACTAGACTTTTTCTCAAGCTCCTATTATTGCTTCCTACGTTACCATGTCATATGTGTATATGTATAAATTATCCTTAATTATTCACTTACCTTCTTTCTTAGGTGCAAATAATTTGACATATAGGTCGTGGCCGCCGACTGTATAGTTTCGCATATCGTAGAGCTCTCCACGCCATTTTATACAACTGCGCTGGCCTTTTCTCCTTTCCACAACGGCAAAAGCCGTACAGTTACAATCCACAAGGCAGCTCTCCTGACATTGTTGCAAATTACTTGATAAATTCCAAATATCCACCGAACCTCCGGGCAGTTTCATGTTTGGAAGCTTAGTAAACGCATCTTTACTGCAGCCTAGAGCAGTATTTCTCGTACAACCAGCCCACTCACTTTCCAACTTTGGACTGAATCCATTGATACAGTGACACAGTGGTGACGTGTTCATGGAGCAATATCCGAAAGATTCACATGATTCACTTCTGTAGCATGCGTCGTTGCTTGACCAAGTCAAGTTCCATTCACTATCTTGAGCGTTCCAAGTGAAAACTTCATAGACGGAGTCTGTTCCCATTTTCAGACGAGTGTGGTGACCTTCGTTTTTCACCATAACAAAAGCGTTTTCCTTTTCTTCCAGTTTGAACACCGGTGGCATATTGCCGAACCGGTATCCATTCCACGTGTGCATATGACTAACGTAATATCCATTTTGTAATGACTGCCCTAGAACAGTGGTGTAGCTCCCCATGTAATCTTCAATCCAGAGAATGGGAGCCCAGGATGGATCATCTAGCCTAGCCCACGAACTTAAGACTCTCTCCGTTCCAATGCCCAGTTTCATCTGCGGAAGCAAAGTATCCGTAGGGGAAGCGAAGCTCTCCCACAAATATACGTCAGGATCGCTTACGTACCTCAAAATCAGATTTCCGGTATCGAGGAGTTCTGCCATTACCGGAGACCTCAGACCTCCTCCGGTCAGATTCGTCCGCCAGACGGGAGAATCATCTCCATCGAGAAGGACAAGGTTACTGTCCAAGAGTCTGAGGGTTCCAATTGCACCAGTGAGAGGCGAATCTCTGTTTGCGGCCCATAAACATGTTCTCTTGGGGTCTAGTTTTAGCCACAACCCTAGATACCAATGCGACTCAAGTTGGATGAACCCAAGCTCGAAGATGTTTTGAGGAGACACAAGTGTTTGGTTTTTTCCTAGTTTTATGGTTTCTGTTGACGAGATGGAGTTGGACGATGATATGGAACAAGGGCTTATAGTAAGGAAATAATAAAAAAGAGTCTGATATAAGAGTTTATAAGTGTTCATGTTTCTTGCTTGTTCAGATTTATCTTTGCTGTGCTTATATATAGTGTTTATTTTAATCCATGTGACTCACTCAAGAGACTAACCTAATTTGTTTTAATACACTAAATCTGCTTAACTTAACATATGCGGATACCACCACTAAAGTCAAGCGACATCACATACGTGATTTGATTAATTTTCTTGTAAGTTAGGTTTAATTAAAAACAACTACTGTACCAAACAGATATTCGAGTCAAGCCTAATATTGTGCTAATAAAAATAAGCTTCATATTCAGATTATGTAAAAGAGGAAAAAGAATCAATGACCTTAAGTCTGTCCTCTGTGGCGCTATGATGCATCTGATATACAGTAGTTGTCGAAGCTCTTGATCGAAAGCTACCTCAGAACCCCCTAAATACAAACAATATCCGTTAAGAATAATTTTTTTATATTTTAAAAATTAGTATACATAAACTTGACCAAACTAAAAGACTTCACCCTTTCAAGTGATAATATGTTCACCATTTCAAGTAACGATACAGAGTTGACGGTTTACCGGATCTCAGACTCCTTCTTCTCAAGAGCTCTGACCTGATAAAAACAGATTCAGATATTACAGAGCAATGAAAGGTAGCAATATGTTTTGATCAATCTCACTGGAGGATTTTGTCAACCAAGGGAGAGGCACTGGATCAACAACACTCTGAGAGTAGCTATTAGGTAAAGGTAGACAAAGAAAGTCCTTACTTGACCAACTTGAGCATGTTCTCCAATCCCATTCTGAACTTGCTGTGACATTTCTGCAATTTCGTTTGATCTCAACATATCAGGAGGACATGGCTCAAAGGTTGCACAACAAATCTATACACATTGTTCAAAAAGAAATAGCTACAACATTGACTTGTGATCTCAAGTCCCACTGATCTAAATCCATGAAACATTTAATGATAAACCTTCAAACGACTTATGGTGTCTGCCTCATGAAATTGAACAAGAATAGTGTATCGAGAAAATGCAGAATCTGATAAGAAAAATATGAAGACTCAGAGAATCCAGATTCATCAAAACCAATATAATGGACACTTTACGGGATGCAAAACAACAGGAAACGGAGATCTGAACGATATAATATTAACTGAGAAACCACAGTTATCACCTTTTTTCCTAGCAACTAACAATGGCAGTATCTAAATACGTCTCGATTCTACTAGCTTTTCATCACAAAGAAGAAATGCGAATTTTACTCTTGACATTCAATACTAACACGCACTATGATCAAACCATGAAAGGAAAAAGAATTAATTGATCATATGCGTCTACAAGCAAACACTTGCCTAGCTTATAACTACATTGACGAAACATTATGCGTTGAATTCACTATTGGAAGTGACCAAAAACTATCACTTTTAAAATGACAAAACGATGGTTGAACCAAAGTGGCAAACCAAACGCTTGAGCATGAGCCTTATTGCCGTAAAGTGAAAAGTAGAGGGGAATTGTGCAGCAATTAGCAAGTAATAATAGAAGTAAACACACAGTCACTAGTTTGATTGCATTGATTCAAGTAAGAATTGTCCTCAACTTTTTCCTCCATTGATATTCTACAGAAAAGCAGTGTACACTTGCATTCTACTAACAGCAACAACATTTCTAGGAAGAAGAATGAGTAATGAAGAAGAGGTAAAAGAGAAGCAAGTGTTTTTCGTTAACATCAAGTTGTTCCACATTCATGAAAACCGCATACCTTGGAGGCACCTCAAGACTAGTAGCATGTAAAGCCTCCTCTCTCTCTTCCGTTGCTGTTTCCCTATTTACAGATCAAACAACACCTTTGAGAACACGGAGGATAGATATCTAATTTCGAGCTAAACATATGTATAAATCCAGCTCAAATACGTATAAGCAGGAAGCTTTGAACAAGGATGTAACCCAATATGGATCGAGAAAAGTTACATATTGATACGCACAAGGAGAAATTCGATTCCATCTTCACTCGTGTGATTGTGGAAAGAAGAAGAAACCTGAGCAGAGGACGGCAGTTCCTCGATCACTCTAATAAACTTTATCTCCAGTCAAGAACACAGCAGTCTCGATCCCAAATGTGGAATTCTAGGGCTTCCATGAAATCAGCGCAAATTGGATTTGGATAAGGGATCTTCGGATGATTGGAGACCACGTGACGTGAGATAGAGATACCTACCTCCTCCTTATGCTTCTTCACCTGACTCGGCGGCGAGTTTTGTGATCCACCCAGAGTCCGACGAATTATTATGCGGAGAAGATGAGACGGACCAACGAGGGGCACAAGTCAATCAAAAGTTGACATGTGGCAGATTTATTAAAATAATGAACAAAAGTTACAAAACAACATAAATTCATTTTTAATGAAAAAATAGTAAAATACTAGTATTATTTATTGCGATACAATGAAAGTCAAACTCTATTTTAGATACGTAAATCATCATTATGCCCTTTAGCAATGATATCGACAGCTGCACTCAGACATCTTAACTTGAGTACGGTTAACTGATCCATAAATATCCTTGCACGTGCATTGAAAAACTTTGTATCCCATTCTCATGCCTGATGATTGTTTAATACATTTATTAGGAGATTCGTTGCAAGGTCCTACGTGATACTCAGTGCCTTCACAAACACCTGGCTTCTGAGTTTGACCTGGCTTTTGAGCTTCGAGATCTAGCATTTTATATCATTTGCAAAATAATATTCTAGATCAAAAATTGAAGATAAACAATTAGTAAAGTTTCTTATCAAACAAAACTCTAGAACTCTTTTTTGTTTTCAATGAATTTGTTTTTATGTGCTGCAGTTAGGCACTACTTTTTATGTTTTTCAAGTAAGCAGACAAAAATCTTTTAAAAGAAAATGTTAATATATAACAACATACCTTGAACGTTACTCAAAATGAGTAATATAAAAATAGAAGAAATCATGAACAAAATACTATATCTCATGACTTAATAGAAATTCTCAGAAACTTTTTGTTATTTAAATTCTTGTAAAAAATATGTTTCTTTCACTTTCAGTCTGTCAACACTAGTCATATATATAGATACTTCTAAATATAGCATTTTATTATATTAAGTGAAAAAAGAAAAATCTACAGCCATTAAAAAAAATCAACGAGAATTATCGTTCTAATTTAGAAATTTATTTTAGGAGGTTGACTTATTCTATATTTTTATGGGAACTAAATACGGATATTTAAATATAGAAATTTATATTTAATGACATCAAAATAATCTTATATATAATAGGGGAGTTGCTCCTCCATCTAGGCTATCCACATCAGCAAAAAAATTCATTAAATTGTTTTTAAGATATTTAATACATGATTATTCATATTTCTTTACATATATTTATATTTTAAATATAAATGAAACTAAGAAAAATACACAACTGAATTAGTTAATAAAAATTTGAATATAAATTAATTAAGATAATAAAAGTTAAGGATTGTGATATGTTTGTTTCAAAATATATTCAATTGCAAAACTAACATAATAGAAAATAATCAATTGTCATGAGGCTCATATGCTACCACAACAAAGTATTATTTTTTTTCATCTTATTTCGGTGCAAATGCGATTTTACATTATACTTATAAATTTTAACGGTGAGTCAAATACATATGCATGTTTATAGTCTAACAGAAGTAAACAAACATAATATTTATAACATGTTAAATTATTAGAAACAGAAAACTCGAGATAAAGTGGGGTGTTAACATCCTAATAAAATAAAAGGACACGCGATGTGAGATAAAGCATAAATAAAACTAAACAAAAAACTATCACAAACAACCCCGCGCAAGCGCGGGGCTTCAAACCTAGTTCTTTTAAAATTAAACTGAGTTGAGCGAAAAAAATAGAATAAACATATTAAAAAATTGGGACAATGCTGAAAAAAAAATAGTCGTCTAACTATATTTTAATTTCTATAACAAAAACTAATCAGAAATTCATTATTCAGATACAGAAAAAAATAATCAGAAATCTATTATTATACTTGTTATACTTGTTTAGGATAGTTAGCAATATTTATACAGAAGCGAAATATATGTGGTTATAATTTGTATGTGGCTTTAATACAACCCGTATTAAGTCTTGTGATTACGGTCCAAACTTTAATGCTTTAGCATTGAACCTACAGATCTAAGAGATTCGACTTGGATGTCACATAATTTTGGAAATTTGTGACTGACATCAAGGTCACACTTGCAGGGAGCCATATTCCTGGGTAGAGTGATCAGAAAGAGGAGATGTCTCATGTTCTCGATGATTTTGAAAACTCGAAGATTCAAAAAGAACATTTAAATTTGATATGCATATGGTGGGTCTGATTGGTGACGTTGTGAATAGTGGTGCATTACAAAAAATTTAGTGGTATGAAATATAGCAGTAAGAAAAACAGTGGTACAAAATATAGTAGTACAAATAAAGATAGTACAAAACGAAAGTACGTAGTTAAAATCCGATTGGTAACAATATGACAGTACAAATAGTATATTTTTAAATAAAAATAGAAATTAGTGAAGTATTCAAAACTAAAATAGTGTCTACAAATACAACACACCTTTTTTGTAATAAAATTGCCAACACCTTTTCACTTAGTTACAAAAAATATTAGATATGAACTACAAATTCTTTAAAGAAACTTTACAAAAACTACAATTTTTTTTTTCATAAGTGTCAGTTTTGTTAGAGATACTTTACAAAAATGTTATAGCTGTATATTCACATTTTTATAATATTTTAGTATAATAATTATCTTATTTACAGTTACTTAACTATATGAAAACCTGAAAATGTACATTTATAATAAGGAAATAGTTCAATAATTTTGTTTTCTTCTTATTTATTATTTGCTGTTAGGTCTATAGGATTTTTTTAAATAATTTATTTGAATTTTTACATGATATTTGATTAGCCATAAAACCTAAAATGAAATTTAATTTAAAAGTAAACAACCAAAGCTGAATTATTATGTACATAGGTAATACATTTTAGTTATTGTTTAATAAAAGTATAATGAAAATAAAATGAGAATTAACAAAGAGAAAATAAGTTTCTTTTAGATGTAAGTTATATAAAAGAATAAAGTTAGTGAAAAATAATAACTTAACAATTTTTAGACAAAACTAAAAGATTTAACATGTTCAAAATCTTTCATTTAAAAATAAAATAAAAGCTTGTACTATCATTTTTTTTTTGTAACACACTTTGAAAGTATGGTTACACTTGTACTATTAGTTTAACCTTTGTACCATCATTTTTGGGTGTAATGCTCTTTTTGTACTCACACGTGTACTATCTATCTGATTGGTTACCCTATGTACATTACACATTGTAATGCTTTATCTTACTGTTACCAATCAAAGCCGATATCAAACAATCAGTAAGAGGATATCTTCGACAGTCTGGTTCCCAATATCAAATGAACCGAGCCAAGTGCGCAATACCTTTACACAAGAATATTCAAACTCTTCATTTAATTGTGTTCCCTGTGAAGAATATTCTACAATTGGGAGAATCTTTTTAAAATAACTCATCTTTTCAAAATTTTGAAAACTATTTTTAATTATATATATAAACTTTGTTCTTATTTATTTTCGGGATAACATTTATATTTAAAATATGGTAACAGATTCTGTGTTATAGTCTTATGTACCCTAATTTTGGAAAATCAAATAGATGTTTTAAAACATTTTTTTAATAATAAATTACATAGAGATACAAACATACATAGTATATCTCTATATATAAAGTTCATGCAATTATTTTATGGTGCTGTCACATCAGCAAAAGAGGGAGTCTCTAAATTCAGTATATCAATTTATTTATTATATACTCCCTGTATCCCATATTATAAGTAGTTGGGTAAAATGTATCTGAAAAAAAAATGGATATATCTAGATGGAATTTTTTTTCTATTTTAATTTTTTATAATAATTATCATTTATTACTATAGTAAGTTAGTAATTTAATAAGAATATGAAAAGTCATATTAAAAAGAAAAGGTTATGCATAGATCTACAAAAACTATTATTTAGTATTAATAATAATAATAGAAAGATATTATAGAAAGAACACATTTTTTAGTATTTTGGAATGAAATGAGACGAGATTGAACATGACGAGACGAAAAAAAATTAGAACTGGAGAATAGGGGAATTTTGTTTACTTCTTATTATATTAAGTGACGAGACAAAATTTAAAGGAATAGAAAAGAACGAGATAGTACAAGACATAAATTCCGCATACTTCTAAATATAATAATTATATTTAGGGGCGGAACGGAATAAACAAAAAAAGGGATGGAAAAGGACGGGATAGGAATTTTGCCTAACCCTAATTATATTTAGAGACGAGACAGAGACAAGATAAAATGGAAAAGAACATTATTGGATAGGATGGGATTGGATGGGGCGGACAGAACGAACGGAACGGGAAAGAACGGGACAAGATGAAAAGGAATAGAATTGAACAGAATTATGACTAATACTAATTATATTTAGGGAACGAGGCGAGAAGACACGAAATGAGACATAACAAAATGGAATAGGATGAGACTGGACGGGACAGAACATACATGACGGATGGGACGGAAAAGAACGTACATGATGAGAATGAACAAAATAGGACGAGATGGAACAAGACGGTACAATTTTTTTTGCCTAACTTTAATTATATTTAAGTAATATGTGTATAATATATTTGAAAAAATGTTAAATTTGTAGAAAAATAATAAAACTAACACAACCCGCGTGAAGCGCGGATCACCCCATAGTATATAAAAATAAATGGAAACTCCTTATTCATCATTCAATCTTCTTAAACTCCAAACTCTGCACCTTTTTATTTGAAATTATAATTTTTATTTCACTTTTTAAAAAGAAAGTAAAACTCAAATTTTGTATATTAATTAAACTTCAAAAATGAATTTTGAGAATGCTCATATTATACAAAATAAAAATTTATTTTTTTTTCTTTTTTTGTTCAGTAATGCTTTTTATATACCAAAAATAAAATCTTATGTAAATCAAGTCAAATTACAATTGAAATCCATCAATTCATTTAGTTATTAATTTAATTGATTACGTTATAGTAATAATTGTATTTATATTTTAAAATTATCTATAAATAATATAATTGGATTTTAAAAAAATATTAAATGTATTTTTCCGTCCAAATTTATATGTGTGTTTATATTCATAGTTTTTTGTTATTTAGGATGCGAAGTAGTTTTAAAAAAAAAAGAAAAAACAGAGTTCACTATTCAAATAATTTTTTTTTTAATATCATACCAATTTCCTCAATTATGTACACTGTACAGTTAGACAAAATAGTGCCATACATTTATATTGCATTTCAAAATTTTGACTAAAGTTAATTTAATTTTTGTTCTTCCGTACGTTGTAAAAACTTAAAGTTTGAGGGTGTTTTTTTTACAATTTTGCACCAATAAAGAAACATCACGTTTTTTACAGTGCCAGCAAAAAAAAGAAAACACCACGTCATCAATACTCCTTTTCTCACCGGTACGGCTCTCTTCTACGTGGCGCAACCTCTACCGGGAGTTATCTCTTTTGTTGAATCGACGACTTGTCTAAGGATTCCAAACGCCGTCGCATGTTTTGCCTGACGTAACTCGGCGGCGACTACTACAGATCTAACATCTCTTTCTCTCTCTCTCTCACTCCACCAAATCAGTAACTCGTAACAAAACAATAACAAAAACAAAATGTTCCTCTTAAAGGTATGTCCTTTCGATTTCACTAATCTCTGTTTGTAACGTTTTCTTTATTTTTGTCAAGTGTCTGATTAAATTGTACATTTTTTTTTTTTCATCTGATTAGACATGGAGATCAACAGCTTTCGGGATTTACGGCTACATGAATTTCACCAAGAACGGTTTCCTGTAAGTCGAAAAGCAAATGTTGAATCAACCGCTTTCTTTGTCTTTTCGTGTTCTTGCTTCGTTTACTACATTTTTTTCAAGTGGTTCTTAATCTTAACCCTGCGGAAAAACATAAAGGTTCAATTTTTATGCATTTTCGAGTCTGATTTCACTTGAATCTTGTTCTTCTGAGGCAAATATGAATGTTGTCTAGTGTTAAGCCCTGGTGGGTTAGTTACATAACCAAAAGAAAAACATATGAATCTTTGATTGATTCCTTTGGGCAACTATGCTTTTTTTTTTCTTTTGGCAGAGAGCATTCAAAGAAATTCAAACCTGAAGATATGCAGATACAAATAGAAGGAAAGAATTGTGTTGTTACTGGAGCTAACTCTGGTATTGGTTATGCCGCTGCAGAAGGTCTTGCTTCACGGTAAGGTTTCTTAGAGAATAAGAAACGATTTGTCACCAAAAAAAATGTATTATAAAGTCTTTACCTTTTTATTCTGTTTTCCAGTGGAGCAACTGTTTACATGGTGTGCCGGAACAAGGAAAGAGGACAAGAGGCTCTTTCCAAGATTCAAAGCTCTACAGGAAACCAAAATGTCTACCTAGAAGTATGTTTTTGCTAAAGTTTTACACTTTTTTTTTTCTCTATGTAAAATTCGGATATCTCAACCCTTTTTTGAGCTTTGCTTCCTTCTGTTAGGTGTGTGATTTGTCTTCCGTTAACGAGATAAAGTCCTTTGCTTCGAGTTTTGCTTCCAAGGATGTTCCGGTTCATGTGCTGGTAAAGCCTGTTTTTCCCCTTCTTAGAGAAACATTTTCACTACATCTTGAACTGTTCTTGAAATTGTTTCTAATTCCGATGTTAGGTTAATAATGCTGGTTTGCTTGAGAACAAACGTACTACTACACCTGAAGGGTTTGGTCTCACTTATCTCTCTTGAGACATTGCAATATCATTGTTTTATATCCCCATGTATGTATGTGCTCGTTTTTTTATTTGTTTATATCAGATTCGAGTTGAATTTCGCTGTGAATGTACTCGGGACATACTCAATGACAGAGCTAATGCTTCCACTGCTGGAGAAAGCGTCACCGGATGCTAAAGTCATCACAGTCTCCTCTGGTGGAATGTACACGTCGCCGCTTACAACAGATCTTCAGGTAGTCAAGAATATTCAGGAACAAAACTTCATCTTCAAGAATTGCTTGAAGCTCAGGTTTTGTTTACATTTACTCCTTTCCTGCAGTTTAGTGGTGAAAAATTCGATGGAGTGTTACAATACGCACGGAACAAACGAATCCAGGTTCTGTATGGATTTAAGAATCTACTAGTTTAAAAAAGATCTTCTTTTTGCCTTTGGTCTTTATGAGTTTATATGTGTGGGAATGGAATTAGGTTGCTCTGACAGAAAAATGGGCTGATAAGTACAAGAACAAAGGCATAGGATTCTACTCAATGCACCCTGGATGGGCTGAGACTCCTGGTGTTGCTAGGAGTTTGCCTAGTTTCAATCAATCGTAAGCAAAAACAAAAATCCAATCTTTCTGTGCGCAAAGCAAACAAACATCTTCTTTCTTGCTAAAAAAGTTAAAAAAATTGTGAATCAGGTTCTCTGGTAAGCTTAGAACAAGTGAACAAGGAGCAGACACAATCGTTTGGTTAGCATTGCAGCCGAAAGAGAAGCTCGTCTCTGGTGCATTCTATTTCGATAGAGAGGAAGCACCAAAACATCTTACACTTGCTGGTACAAGCAGCTCTCATGACCTTATAGACTCTGTTATTGATACTGTCCATTCAATGGCAGCTCTTGATCTTTAAAATCTCCATCTTGGACGCTGTGTTTTTTTTTTCTCTCTCGAAAATAGACTCTTTCTCTATCTTTTGTGGAATTATTATTTGTACTGAATATTTATAAGTTTTACTCACTACATAGTATCAGAAGACATACAGTTTATTACCATTGGCATAGCCGTATTATGGATTCAACAGAAAAAGTAGATAGAACTACTTAAGAGATGGGTAGAGAGATAACAGCTGGGGCTTCCGAAGCCAGTACTGTTTGAATCTCTGCCTCGAGTACTCAATATAATCAAACTCAATCTTGTTCACATAGCCCTGCACGGATCACATTCAACACACAATCATAAGCTTCTGAAATGCTTTCATGTTCATGTTCATCAAAGAAAGAGATATAGATAGAATTAGCTTACAGAGATGATTCCCCATAAACCCCAGAAGAGATGGCTCGCCAATGTGTACTTCTCAACATCATCCAAGAGCTGTTCTATGTCTTCTTCTCTTGGTTCTTCACCTGTTAAAAAAAACAAGTTTTAAGCTTTTGTCATAAAAAAGTAAATATCTTAAAAGTCTTTTGGAACAAAAGCAACAAGCTTTTAACCTGAAGAGTTGAGATAGTTGCAGATGAATCTCCTCCTTTCTTCTTCTCCTGCAGCTCCCAAATGAATCATAAAAATCACACTACATGATTATAGATTTATAAACATTTATTTTATAGATCATTGTACCTGGGTATAGAGTGTAGTCCAAGTTATGAGGAGTGTCAGAATGGTAGTCTGCTACCATCTCACAGAAGTGATTTGCTATGTCATAAGCAACTGGATTGTAACTTGCATACTCATAATCCTGTCCAAAATCCAAATTTCACACAACTCCACAAATGATTACACATAGAAACTAAATGATTCAGGTGCATGATGATTTTGTTTTACCTCTGGTTAATGGAACTGAAAGGGTATTTTTAAAATTATTCCCCATTCTGGAAAAAACAGAAAAATAAAGGTTAAAAGAAAAATTGTGGTTATGAGGAAGACTTACAATGATAGTAATGGCATTCGTGTCTTCATCAATCATGATGTTACCATACTGCAAATCATTGTGACAAAACCCAATCTCTTGTTGGTGACACTCATTGTTCACTTCTTGTTCTAACAAGTTGATTTCATCTTCAATGTTGTCCAGACCAAACTCTGTTGAGTCTTCAGTTGAACACAGATTCTTGGCTTGTCCAGCCCAAGTCCTGTTATGTTCCAATATACATTATTACTTTTGCCTAATAGTAACATTCACTAGAAAAAAAAAATTGTTATAATCTTGAATCTTCTTACCTCATCCTGTCCCAGATGAGTACAGTTCTATCTCCAGGAATATATATGCTGTGAAATCTCCTTAACTTAGTTGCAACCAGAGCTGATATGTTCGGATCACGAAGATCGGTTGCTGATAGTGTCTGATTCAAAGTTAAAGAAGCAATAATTAATATTGTAGCAATCTTAAAAGATATCAAGACAAAGATTTGTATAAACACTGTTTTCAAGCAGACATTTCTTGTTCCAATTATAATTGTATCATGATAAAGCTAAACCGAACATTATCATGATACAATCAGTTTTTTTTTTTCTTCAGTTCTTCCGTATCATGATCCGGTTTGTATTATGAACCATAAGGTTGCTCAATCTATAGTTAATTTAAATAATACGGAAGAACTGAAAAAAAAAAAAAACTGATTGGTTTTAGTTTTTTCATGACCGAACCAAACCGGATCAAAATTAACAGAATCTTTCTACGAAAACCTGAATTAAACCAATACCAAACCAAATGATCTTGTTATAATATTTTATTAACCGAAAAATATAAAAAATATGTAACAAGAATCTAAACCGAGATCAAACTATAAACAAGATTAGACAAATCCATACCCGTTTAGGTTTCAATTTTTTGTATTCAAAGTAGTTTTTGTCGTAGTCGTTTAATTTTCTTCGGTCTGTTTTGTTAAGATATGAAAAACCGACACAGAGTCGGTTTAAATTTTCTCCAGATCGGTTCAACCACCATATTTCATAACTCGATTGCTTACGTAGTTAAACCGGACATGCCTTGGTTTTCTATTTCCCGAAATTACAAACCAACAAGATAAAAAGGCTTAAAAACCATTTCTACCAGCGAGTCATAAACATCACGAAGATATCGTGGACCAATAAAAGAAGAAACAGAATGTTTCACAAATAAATAAAAAATTAAAGATTAGAGAAGAAATAAGTAATTACCCGGGCATGTATAAACTCCTCGATTCTACCGCCGGCGAATCGGCCAAGGAGCCTAGGGCCAAGGCCATGACGAGCTACGAACTCGAAAGTACGAATCTCATCGTCTCTGTTAAAGAAAAGCTCAACGCCTTCACCATAGACACGAACAAGAAGTTTTCTACATCGAAGATTCGTTTCTTTTCTAGGCCAACTCACCATGAACACTTCGTTAGTCATCGCTCCTTTCATTGGTTTCACTTCAAGACTCTCTAGATCCTCAATCACGTCTCCCCATTTTGTCGAAAGTGTTTGTAGAATCTTCCTTAGCTCGTCTGGTGATGAGCTTGGGATCAATCCGAAGATTCCGATTGCCATCTTTAATTACAGAGAAAGAGAAACAATCAAGATCAAGAAGTACTAGTACCAAAAAAACGATGAAGAAGTACGTACTTTGTTAACCAAGAAGTCTTGATCTTAGTACGTACTTCAAAATTTGGGAAGAAGAAAAAGAAGCTTACCAAGAAAGTTGTAAGGAATCTTGAAAATTAGAGAAAGACTTTGAAGAGGAAAAAACAATCTTGATGGAGAAAAGTCTTGGTATGAGGGAAAGACAAATTGCATGGTGAATGAGAGAGGTGTTGTAAGGGGGGGTATTTATGGAGTTTTGTCTTCATATTTAGAAAGGGAATATCTATCTCTTTGTCTTGGTGGGTTGGTTTTGAGAGTATCAAGACAAAACAAAATGAAAAATGGTATTTATAAAAAATTGTAAATATTAAATGCAAGCATGAAATATCAATGAAACAAGACAAGTTTATTAGCAGCAAATATTTAGAATTTTTCCAGTGATCGTGATTCTAGATGAGATGTAATCGGTTTATAGAAATCTTTCAATCCAATTTAAATATATTTATTTGTAAATAATATGTGACTTTGAATTCAGGTGGTGAAATAACAACAGTGCTAACACAAACTGTTAAAAAAAAAAAAAAAAAAAAAAAAAAAAACTGTTAGGCTACATCTACATGCCTTACATGGACACGTTATTGCACCACTCCTATAATAGTGTATTATGTTACCAGACAATGACATTTTCAAAGAGTACTTTAAAGGAATTATGAAGACTTTTAGGAACTTTATCAAAGACTTTCAAACAAAGACATAATCTCTCACTTTAATTTGCAACAAGGTTTAATACCATCAATAAGAGGTGGTCATTTGTATATAAATATCATTAAGATTTAAACTGTTTTATAATACTCCACATCGCAGTTTTCTTGCTTTCTTTATCGATTTAAACTCAACATATATAAATTCTTGGTCTGATATTATTTACTTAGGCATGTCTCCAGAATAAAAATATAATGGATGGTGAGACAAAAAGTAGGTAGCAAAATGAGTCAATGCATAGTGAGGAAGGTACGCGTCAAAAGTATCGGACCTTTTGCTGCTGATTTTCAGACAAATAAGCTTCGTTACTAGTTCGTTAGTACTTAGAAGTTAGAACTTACTCATGTCGCGGTTAAAGCGTGTCCTAAATTGCAGAAACTCAATTTGGATTCCACTTGCTTGAATAAACAAATGATAATATTAATACGACAAGTTTTTAAAACAACAAGATAACGTTTACATCGTCGGTCCTACACTCATAACTCACAATAGATTTTTTTCCGTTTTTCTTTTTATATATATTTTGGCTTTGAAGTAAAAATGGTGGTGCCAAAAATATAATACTGAGAAAAGAAACATAATACGAATTTGATTTTCAGACGTGATGGTTGTTGACAAAGAAAATAACAAAATCGTGATGATTTAGAACTGTATATTTCAGAATAATGCAAGAATACTCAATAATCGAAAATTTTGGGATGTTTTGGACCTTTGGTGTGTGTGTGTCAGTGTGTGTGTGAATAAATCATCATAATAACTTCTTATGAATCCTGAACCCACGTCATGTGAGGATCAAGTCAAAAGAGTTGAAATATGGAATTGGCGACGTCTGGTTGAGAGCAAAGATTTTCCCTAAAGACTTACCTTTTCTATAAATAATTCGTAATGCTTTGCCTTTTGTTCAAAATAAAATGATTCTCCTTCTCCCTTAACCGTTTATTGTGTGTTGATCTTATTCTTTTCGTTTTTGCAACTTTGCAACTATATTCTTTAGTACCTTTTTTTTGCAATTTGTTTTTAAAAATGCGTTGATCTTATTCTTTTTGTTTTTGCAACCTTGCAACTATATTCTTTAGCACTTTTCTTTTGCAATTTTTTAAAAATACTATAAGAATAGGTCTATGATCCAAAAATATCATCACTAGTTTTATTTTCCATGAGTACCATAAAAATCCCAAAATAACATAAAACTAAAATTAAATTTAAACTCTTAAAATCAAACCCCCTTAAAAATAAAACTTAAACCCTAAAAACTAACCCTAAATTCAAAATATTAAACCCAAACCCAAATAATTAAATTATAAACTCTTAAATATCATTTTTAGTTTACTAAAATAATACAAAAAATTAATATATTTATGCGTTCTTTTTTATCTAAACTCTTTTATTTAAGATTTTCTCATAAATTCGAGACAATAAAATATAAAATAACACTAGAAAAAAAATGTTTTCAAATTAAATTCTCTCGTAAATTCATAAACACAAATCTATACTATAGGTTTATTTTTTAACATAATTTATTTTATTTATTAAATTTAGTTTAATGGGAATTATTTTTTTGCTTTTTCATATTAATTGGAAGTTGGAACACTTACAATTATTTTACTATATATATGAAAATAACTAGCTTCGTTTAAAATTAAATTTATGGTGAATTTGCCGGCAAGCAAAGACAACACTAAAAGTGCAGAGCAAATAATACTTTACCGAATAACCTGCTTAGACTCTTTTTCTCAACGATTTTTATTCAGAAATGAAAGCAAACTACATAATGATTATGTAAAGCATCAAAAGTTCAAAACTCATCAAAAGCGTTGAGAGGTTTCTTCGGATCAACGTCTTCAATGAGGGGAGGATCCACTAATAAATCCTCAGCTCCAATGCCTTCTTCTTCAAACACTATTTTGTTCCCGATCCGACTCAAATGTAAACCGTCCCTAAAATCCAAAAAACAACAAATATATACGTTGAAAAGATTCACCGTTTCCCGAAAAAAAAATGCAAGATAATTTGTTAAATTTAGTATTCCCATAGACATTCTGTTTGCCAATTTGGAATTTGCTGCAAATCCGGACCAAAGATCAATGGCTGAGATTTGACATTCGTCAGCTACATCTACACACGCTTTTGCATATGATCCAGCTGCTTTCGATATAAGGATATCTATAAGAATGTCATGATAATGTCTTAAGAAGATATAAAATGTGTTTGCAAAAATGTAACAAGAGGACATGTCTACATTGCATTTGAAAATCCACGGAGTTAGAGAACTCGTACGGGTCGGAGGCGAGCCTCTTCGTCGATTGGAGGTGGAGTTATGAGAATAATGACAACGATTCTTATATTGAAAACAAAACAAAATTCGTTTAATAATTTAATTAATAAGAGATCTGTTGGCGGTCAGAAAAACTGGCCTGAACTAAAAGCCCAATTAATTTTCTTACCAATTAGTTTTCTTATAAATAAGCAACCCCTACTCCTACTAAACAAATTTGCTCTCTTTCTCTCTCCCTCTCTCATCAGCATCATCTCTCGAATGCTTATCTGATCAGTAGATTCTCCCCTCTTACTTTTTCCGCCATCGTTTCGAATTAGGGTTTCACTATAAATTGTTCTTTGCACAAAAGTTACACTATAAACTGTTTGATATGAATTTGTGAAGTTGTTTTCGTTAAACTTAAGTGACCAATGTTTAATGTAATAAGCGAATCATTGTAGCTGAATAGTTATTAGAGAAATAAATTGAACTCAATAATGTGTTCAACATAGTCAAATCTTATTATAACTAAATAAACAAGTTTTAGGTAAGAAAGTAATTAAATAACTGAAAATTAACTTATATCTAAGCTTGCAAAGTTAATTAATGTAACTACTTCCCAAAATATGAAAGCATAGTCTTGATTATAAATAGCCAGACTTTTAGAGTAAATTTATATAACATTAATGTTAAAAACACAATACAATCATGAAATCTAGTCTTATTCTCGTGCTTTTAACGTTCCTTCCTTCTTCAGGTAAATATTTCTTCGTGCTAAGTGTTGAATCGATCTAATCGTCCCGAGTCGGACTCGATTCGACCTAAAACTACGTTTAGCTCGACATACGATCGGCCAAAACTAGTAAAAATATTCTAAGTGTTGAATCAACCTAAACGGATCGATTCGACCTCCGACTAAAGTACATCTTGGCCCTGGTCTCTCGACCGGCCAAAACACTTAGTCAAAAAGCCTCAAAACATTTTGGCAAGTAAAACGCGAGCTAAAATGAAAGTTGCAAAACAATTTGAGCAAAAGCGCCTAAGGCAAAACGCCTAAGGCCAAAACATTAAAAGCCCCCGCGGGCAAACGAGTTTGTGGATAAAAGCCTTCCCAGGCACCAAATCCGAAACATAAAGCGTAAAAACCCCGCCGGGCAACCAAGTCTTAAAATAAATTGAAAAAGGAGTAGAGATAGAAAGAGGTCGACCAAGAGCTCAGTCCTCGACGGTCATCTCTTCATCTTCCTTCTCTTCCTCCTCGTTGCTTCCCTTCTCTTCGGCATTCGTCCCGAACGGGTTCAAGCCAACCGGGATGCTCGTCGATGGGTCGATCTCCATGCGCGCGACCGAGTCCTCCGAAACCACGGGAAGGTTGAACTTCCCGATCGAGAAATCGGAGACTTGGGCCGCCTTGGCTGCTTCGGCCACCTCATCCTCGAGCCCCTTCAACCTGGCGAGCTCTTCCTCCTGGTTGATCGCACCGGAGATCAGCGACGTAAGGAGATCGATGTTGGATTGGAGTTCGATCTGATCGCCCTCCTTCTCACCTTCCACCCTCTTCTCCTCGAACTTTGCCTTAGCCGATTCAAGCACTTCCCGATGCTTCGCGACCATCTCCCTCCGACCTGCGCGGTTGGCACGGCGAGCTACGTTGTCCTTCTCGGCGACGAGTACCTGGTTCTCCCGGCTAAGGCGAAGCGACTGCGTCAGCGCACTCGAGCTCTCCTTCTGCAAAGCCGCCATCTGCTCCTGATTCTGGGACAGCTGGCGCAAGAGATCGGCCTCCCTGGTCTCGAGCTCTTTCACACGACCCTCCTGCGAGGTGTGTTTCTTCAAGAGCTCACCCTGACGAGCTACCCGCTCGTTCGCCGCAGAGAGATCGGAGGTCAACTTGGCAACGAGCTCCTTCACCTGATCGAGCTCTTTCTGCTGAGGCGCGTCTCTGATCCTCGACTCCAGGCGGGACACCAACATGTTACGAGCTGCCACAGCCTAACAAAAACAAAAAATTCAACCAAGGCCAAAACAACAACAAAGACTCTCGTCTAAAGTTTTGACTAGGGAAACAGTTCATACCCTCCCGCTCGCAGCGCACGTCGCGATGTAGAGCTCCTTCTCAGACATCTGGTTCAGGGACGGGAGCCGGCATCCGACGGGCTTGAAGTGGAGCTGAATGCGAGCTGTTCCCTCCTCGTCGTCCTGAACGGGGAAGCCTTTGGAAGTTCTCGTACTGCCAGTAAAACGGCGGCTTTCCCCCGCTCCCGTTCGAGGCAGTCGGGCCGCCCTCGCGAGAACGAGTCTCTCCATCGTCACTCCGAGCTCGCTTCGGCGCCTGCCTCGAGTGACCTTGATCCGAACTCCGAGTCCGATCGGAGCTCACATGAACCGTACTCGGGAGAGGAACGATCTCTCCTTCAGCGGTCGCGTCGACCTGGTCAACCACCTGGTCGGCAAGGGCAGAAGACCCCGCCGTGGGCTTCGAAGCCATAGCCTCCTCCACCGCCGTTACGAACTCGCCGGCACGAACTCGACTTCCACCCGAGGAAGCGCCCTTGGCACCCTTTGCGGTCCGGGATCTGAGAGGCTGACGACGAGGCATTTTCGATCTGCGTGAGAGAGGAGGAACAGAAGAAGCGGAGCTAGAATCTTGCGCCGATCTAACCGGAAGATCAGCTGGAAAATTTATATAAACAGCTCGTTACAAAGAGTTCGTAAAATGAATTTCTAGTTGGTCCAAGGGAGATTATTACCTGGAGGAGGAGCAGGAGGAGAGCTGAGAACTCGACGGATCCGTTCCGGAGTAAAAGTACTCCAGTTCACCTTTTCCCTTCCGAGTCGCTCGACGAGGTAATCAATCCCCGGGTTGTTCGGTACTGGATCTACAACTGCAAAAGACAAAAAAATCATCAATAAACGAGGTATTCCATAAGTCAAGCGAGGTATCGACTATCCTAAACGGAAATCGGCCTAAGCTAACCAACGCTAGTCGCCCACTCCGTTCGGATTCGACCAAAGTCGAAGTCGCCCATCGTGGCCTCGCTGACCCGGAAGAAGAACATCTCGTCACTCCACCCGCTATCCCTCTGCGGGGTGTTCGTGAATATTCGCCGATTCGGCCTCGGCGAGGAGTAAAACGACCCGGGAAGCCTGGTGTTGTTCTTCACCGAGAAAAGCTTTCTCAGATCTCGAACACCGAACGAGACGCCCTCTTCCCGAGCTCGAACCGCACATCCTATCACGTGGCGGACGAAGCTCGGGTGCATCTGTGGAAACGCCATCTTGTAATGAGCGAGCGCTTCCATCAGAAAACGAGGGACCGGGAAAATCATCCCGGCGCTCCGCCAATACGACGTATAGGCGCAGCAAAACCCCGGACGAACATGCTCCGGGTCCTCGCCCTCAGCCGGCAGACGAGCTCGATCTCGTCCGGGATCCCGAAATCCTGCCGGAAGGTGTCTAGGCTTTCGGCGTCGAGCGTCGTCTCGGCGTGCGGCGTGAAACTTCCCGTCGCCACCGAGGTCGACGGCCTTTCCCTTCTCTTGCTTGACGATTCTTCGGAGGCATGATAATCGGAGGAGGAGACGGAGGAAAAAGAGGTTGAAGGAGGTTTTGGAGAAATTCGAAATCGAAACAACCTAAAACGCTCGAAATTTTGCAAAGGTTCGATAATTTTCAAGAACTTGGAGTTATCTAATCTAAAATTGAGAGCAAATAAATAAGTAAAAGAGAGAGGAGAAGTTACCTTTTCAAAAACGTGGGCACGGTTAAAGAGAAGAGTAGTGGGTCGAGTTTATATTCAGCATTAACTGCTGAAGAGATCGCAAAGAATCCGATTTTTCTGCGTGAATCTCGACCGTACAACTCACAGATCTTAACCAGAGTTAGACCCCTTCTTCCCAACTTTTCTCTTCTCCCTTTCTTCTTTTAGCTCATTCGGGAGGAAAGCCAACACACTTCACAAAAAGGGTCAAAACAGAAAAATGTATCAGACTACAACCACGTACTCGATATGCTTCACCGGATTTGTAAAAAATCTAGTAAATTTTACCTGGAAGCATCTCTAACAATACCAAACTTGTAGCCATCAAGAACTGATTCTTCATAGCCAATGTTTTAACCTTGCTGCACAGCCGCTTCTTTCCCAGCAATAATCTCATCACGGTATCCACTCTACGATATCGAATTCGCATAAATCACATATATATATATATATATATACAAAAAACGTTTACCGAAAGGAATCGATTTAGAAAGAATTACCATGTAGAATTCCTCAAGCATCTTCTCTGTGTCCTTGATAATCGGGTAATTATCACTTGGTTCTTCATCTGAACTTCTAAAGAATGATCCATCTAAATTCTCAAGACTGTCATCATCATTTCCTAAAACCAAAAAAATGATTCTGATTAAGTATTATCCCGTAACAGAAAAATAAAATATATTTTTTCTCAAGAGACAAAATCTAAAGCGAATTTCAATTGGGTAACCTATGAAACTAAAATTTGACTTGAAAGCTGCAAACTTTCCGGAATCTTAGAAACAAAAACTCAGGAATCTAAATTAAAAGTAAGAAAACTAAATCGAATCTATGGATTACCTAATTAAACCCAGATTCAAGGTCTTTGTGGCCCTGAAACTTACCCATTAACATGTTGAAGTCTCGGTGGAGAAGACCACTCATAATTAAGAATGGGCAGAGATGGAAGAACCACTTTGAGGAGATAGAGACGCAAAAACAATTCTTTACAAGTGAGAGAGGGAAAAGAAATCATATCTAGTCTCCATTTGTGAATTTGTGAGTGGATATGCACAAAGAAATTCCATAACATTAATTTCCATGGATGGAAGAAGAAAGAAGAAGTTTGAGAGACTGACTGATGAGATTAGAGTGAAATAAAATACAATGAGAATATGGAGATCGTGGAGGTTTGAGAGAAGTTTTTAGATGGTGGGTTTGGAGAGAAGAATTCGGGATCGTGGTGGATTTATGAAAAAGGAAAAAGAAATTAAAACAAATAGAAAATTAATTATATTAAAAAAAAGCAAAAAAAAATAAATAATTAGAATTTTGAAAGGACACGTGTCAGATAGAGAAACCATGAGGTGACTTCTAATTTATTAGTATTAGATTATTAGATTATATAATCTTTGACGTAAAAAAAAGAGATTGGCGGTCAGAAAAACTGGGCCGGGGAATTAAAAGCCCAAGTTGTTTGTTATAAATAATCCCAAGAATTATTTCTCCTCTTCCTAATCAGATTAGCGCTCTCTCTCTCTCTCACACACATATTAAGAATTAGGGTTTCGTCCATAAATTTTCCCCAAATCGATTGTTTTCTTTCTTCCGCAAAATTCCGATATGAATGGTACTGACTCTTCTCGTGTATCGCGTCACCAGTTTGACAGATTCATACCCAACAGATCGGCCATGGATTTCGATTACGCTCACTTCGCGCTCACAGAAGGAAGGAAAGTCGAAGAGTGCTCATCGCCGTCTAAGCTCGCTTACAGAACGCGATTAGCCGAGACTATGAATCTGAATCGCAGTCGCATCCTCGCCTTCAGAAACAAACCTCCTCCTCCTCCTCCGCTGCTTCCCGGTGCTCACTCTCCTTCTCCTCTCCCCCAACAATTCAAACCCTTCAAGCCTCGTAGACACATTCCTCTGGCTCCCGAGCGAACCCTAGATGCGCCTGACATTGTTGACGACTTTTACCTCAATCTGCTTGACTGGGGAAGCGCTAACGTGTTAGCAATAGCTCTGGGGAACAGTATTTTCCTATGGGATGCTTCCTCTAGCTCTGTATCCGAGCTTATGGCCGTTGACGAAGAGAAAGGACCCGTGACGAGTGTAAGCTGGGCTCCTGATGGTCGTCACGTTGCGGTTGGGCTCGACTGTTCTCAAGTGCAGATTTGGGATTCTGAAGCCAATCGTCTGCTGAGAACTTTCTCAGGCTGTCACCACTCGAGAGTAGGATCGTTGGCGTGGAACAATCACATTCTGACGACAGGAGGATTGGATGGGAAGATCATCAACAACGACGTGCGTGTTAGCTCACACGTTGTGGGGAGTTATAAAGGTCACAGTCTAGAGGTTTGTGGGCTCAAGTGGTCAGGGTCTGGTCAGCAGCTAGCTAGTGGTGGCAATGACAGTTTGGTGCACGTATGGGATCGTTGTATGGGTAGTACGCAGTGGATGCATAGGCTTAGGGGTCATACGGCTGCGGTTAAAGCTCTCGCCTGGTGTCCTTTCCAAAGTAATTTGCTTGCAACTGGCGGTGGTGGAGAAGATGGGAAGATTAAGTTTTGGAATACTCACACAGGGGCTTGCTTGAACTCGGTGGATAATGGCTCTCAGGTTTCTTGTTTGCTGTGGAGCCACAGGGAAAGAGAGCTGCTTAGCTCACATGGGTCTATGCAGGATCAGCTTACGCTTTGGAAGTACCCGTCTATGGTGAAAGTGGCTGAGCTCAGTGGTCATACGTCGAGAGTTTTATGTATGGCTCAGAGTCCGGATGGTTGTACTGTGGCATCAGCAGGAGGTGACGAGACTCTGAGGTTCTGGAATGTTTTTGGAACACCGGAGACGGCTAAAAAACCTGCTCCGGATCGAGTTCATGAGCCGTTTTCGAATGTGTCTCGGATTCGTTGAAACCGTGAAAACTAATACAAGGAAAGGCAATTTGATAATTGGATTCTGGATTGGATTAAAGGTTCGTTCTTCATCAACTCTATTGACAAGAAAAAAGGTTCATTGTGTAGTTTTATCATCATAGTTGTCTAGTCAAACTTGAATGCTTGTATTCATTGAATAGAATTGATTTTGCTATTTGTTTGATGTTTTTCTCAAGTCTTCGGATTTTTCTTTAAATAACATTCCATTGCGGATTGTTTTCTGGCAGGTTGGAGAAAGTTCATTGAAAGAATGATCCAACATTGTAAGTCTGATGATATCATTGATAGATTTAAGAAAATCATGTTTAAGTTCCCTTTTGTTCTTTTGACTGTTATAAATGTGTTAATACAGTGAGAGATTCATCAGCAATGTTAATCACTTAGTTTTGTATGTGATTTCTGATTGTTTGTCCAAAGTTTAATTATTTTGATTTATTCGAATTATGTAGACGAAACCCTTACTGTGGTCTGCGAGTTATTAATCAGCAATCACCATGTTTGCGAAGCAGAGCTATACGGGGAAACCGAAGAGAAGACTACTTCTCTCCAAACATTGGGCAAAGCTTATTGAGGTATCACCAAATTTTCTGTTTCATCTGTTTCTGTTGGACAATTTGGTGTTTTTTTTTTGTCAAGATTGGATTTTTATGAAGATAAGAGATTGAGATACGTTTTGGGTCAGTTTGCAGAAGTAAGAATCTTTTGCAAAATACTGATAATCCTCATAGTCTCTTTGTCTCGATTCCTATCTCTTGCTTTCTCTTTTTTATGCTCCTGCAGTTTTTGAAGAAAACAGAGTAATAATCAACGTGTGACTGATGATCCTGAATAGCTTTTCTGTGTAGCGTCTGCGTCTCTCTATCAACCCGTCTCTGAGGTAACCTTTTCTTTTGTTTTGAAGAGGTTTTAGTTAAGTGATTGTTATGAGTCCGCAATAAGATTTTAGGTTCTGGTTTGAATTTGTTACTCGAGAGTTGGTTCCCATTGGTTTAAGGTTTAGTGAATTTGGGTGTGACATTTTTCAAATGGGTTTCTTTTTCTCTTCATGTACCTGTTGTTTGGTTGCGATGAATCTTCAATAAGGGAATAAACTTGATAACTAGTTCACTTGTATATTTTTTTTGGCTTTTTTTTTTGGCAAAAGCTTCCTTTTATTGTAGTAAATCAAATTCCGAAGATGGCTTTGCGAAGAAGAACCAAAGGAGAAGTCCATGGACAATTCCTAGAAGGCGAGTGTGAGAGATGATCATGATGTGTGTAGAGAATGGGATTTCGAGCTTTGATTATTTTGTTAGCTCATCAATGATGAGGAACTGTAAGATTCATGACTTTGATAATCTTGTGTTTTTTATTTTAAAATATATATGGTTTTCACTCGTTCAATAGAATTCAGAGATTCACCAATTACGATAGTACCATTATATACTCTCGATGATGGAGGCGATTACATCCATATACATATAGTACTCAACCTCTTGTCAGTGCAGCTTTTGTGGTCTTTAACATCGACAACTTCACTGGATATTATTTATGCGTAGAACTCGATCAAAAGATCTCTTGTACATAGATGTTTACCATAAAGAGTGTATTGAGCCAATACCAAATAATATATAACATCGATCCTAAACATTCTCTCCAAGTTCTTATATATAAGTATAAGGTATCAAACAAACAATGCTACTGTTGTTATTGCTACAACTCTACAAGCAACACTTTCGCTATTGCTCTATATGCGATTTGAGAATTTGACGTGACTGTAGTGTGCAAGACCGACAACTCCTTACAATAGACCACAAGAAAAGGCATGAACACACACTATCATACATTCCTAGAGAAGCATCCATGGTTTGCAATGTTTGTCTAGAGAAGCTTCCATGGTTTGCGATGTTTGTGCTTTGGACGATCAAAGGTAATTTATCTATGTTTGCCACCAATGCGATTTTGTAGTTCACAAAGAATGTATCTACTATCCATGCATCATAAAAGATATCTCGTCATGAACATCGCCTAGCTCAGTTTCGTCATTTCTTCTTGGGACATGGTTTTGTCGTGAGAAATTTGACGAAAATTATGGAGGATATTCGTGCGTCAAAGGTTGTGACTATGTTGTTCGTTCCACATGTATTATACGTAGTGGTGTATGGGATGAGAAAGAACTTGAAGGAGAGCCAGAAGATGCATATGAAGATATTAGGCCGTTTAAAGAGATATGGGACTACAATACTTTTTTTTTTTTTTGGGTGTAAATGTTAAGAAGACTACAATACTTCATACATAACCATTATAATATAAGACTCAAAGAAGAGGTCGATACAGCGAATAATGAAAAGAACAATTGTTGCCACACCTGCGCACTTCCTAATTATGATGGTGGTTTTTTAGTTGCATGGAATCTGATTTTATCCTCCATCAAAAATTTTAGTTGTTGTCATACCGTTCAGAGTGTGGAGAATGTGACTTTGTTTTGTGTTTTGGTTGTGCCACTCTTCCAAGTTCCAAGGAAGTCTATGTACAAGCACGATGAACATCCTCTCATATTTTCATTTTAACAAGACGCAAGTGGTCATTATTTGTGTGATGTGTTTGAAAATGAAATATATCATCCAATACATGGATTTTATATGCTCAATGATTGCAACGTCATGCTCCATATTGGATGCTTACTTGTATATATGTATATGTTACATGGTAAAATTACCAGCTGGTGAAAGCAGTGATATTCTTTTCCATAATCATCTCACGCGACACATTTGTAAGTGGTGTCATAAACGTTGCCAAAACAAAATAATTTACACAATAATTGATGCAATATGTTGTTCTCTGTCATGTCTATATTCGAGTGTTTATAATTTATAAATATGATTGGAAGTTATGATGATTACTCCTTTTTAAAAGTTTTTTTTTTGACAAAATTTCGTCTCTTTTTTAATAGAAAATTTAAATTCTTTAGAAAATTATATTGAGAAGTGAAAATTCATATTTCAGCTGAAGAAAGACAATATCTATTTGATCGATATAGAGATTATTCGTGGCTTCCAACAAAAGTGTACTCCGTGTGGTCATCTAGTAGGAAATAAAAGAAGAAAATGTTGTAATTAAAAAAAAAAATTATACTGAGATTGCTTATCAAACAAGAAAAGGACGAACTAAGAAGTACAAAAGAATAAGAAGAAGAGGTTGGAGAAAATGCAAGAAGTGAGCTTTGTAATGGTTAATTTGAATGTTACATACATCATCTATTTATAGCAAAACACACTTACACTTTACTGTCGCTCACATTTCACACAAATTAATATATTTGAACAAATAAAATACACCACACATTTCGAACCATACCCCATCATTCTTTGTTTTCCATTGTTTTTTCAATTTTGTGATCCACTTTGTAAATAGGTCATTGTCAGCATAAATCAGGGTCCCCCCAAAGCTCTTGTACTTTCCAACATATAGTTCTTGCCAAGATCCACACACACGAAATTAAATTCAGGGAACTCTTAATATAACTCTGAAAAACCAGACGCTATATCATAATATTTAGTCTCTCTCAAATATAAATTTCGTTAAGTTAGACATACGAGAAAAAAATGAGCAAAATGAGTGTCTTGGGCATGTATGCTCTTCCATGGGAGCGTTCATTAAGTTAAACATAAGGGAGTTTATTGACTTCAAACCTCCATTAAACCTATCATCTTCAAGCTCCCACATCAACATGTTCATCTTTTAGTAGACCTTGAGACCTATATTCTAGAATTCTATAATATTTTTAGTAACTAGAAGAAACGTAATCCTATGTCACAGTATATATGTGTAGATATACAACATGGCATTGTCGTAAGAATTATAAAATCTTCATCCACTTCTGATTGGATTAGGATCCATACCATTACTCCACGTGAGTCGTGACCGTCAGAGAAACATAATTGGTGAAAAATAAAGAAAACAAGTAAGAATACGAGTAAAATTTTCTTTGTTTTGTCGACAAAAAAGCCAAGCAACATTTAATGTTGATTTTGTCCAAACCAAATACACATGACCCAGTTGTATGTACAGTACTACATGTGTACGCAATCGTATCTATCTATAAATGATATTTCTATCTACAAATGATATTTTTATACGAAATTATAGAAAGGGAAAACATGGTGGCTACTTGGCTAGCCATTAACATCAATAATTTAAAAGTCGATTTGTGAAACATCTCATTCTCCTCCTTTATTACACCAAACCACTTCTCTCTTTACTTACCGGTCAGGTCAACCATACCAAGCACCATTCCCCTTTTTTTTGTTTATGCATCTCTTTTCATTTTTTAAAAGTTAAAAATGTTAGTCCAAAGAATTCGTACTCTAAATCGTTGATGAACATTAAAATAGTGTATTGGAAATTACTTTCTAAATTTTGTAAAATGTAAAATAAACAATTTATTTGCACCTGCGTGCGGCAGTAGTAACACAATTCAAAGCAACGTCTGTTTTCTCTTGTTTGTCAGTTAGCTATTTTATATACTACAGTATGTTATGCTTTCTGTACAATAAAAGTATATAACATATTAAGAAATATGCATTTTGCATCTTCATTCGTCCAATGAGTGAACGACACGTCTACATGATCCATATAGATATTTTGATTTCACCTGTATACTATTATCTCATCCAACGTCTGGTGAACCAACCAGTCATAACGTACGCAAAAGTCAACTTTTTACTATATCGTTTTGGTCATGCATTTACACACATGGATGTAATTAGTACATTGCATAACTTATGCCAACTGTTACAAAAACGTTGAGAAAGTATATGTATACATACAGACATACATATTGCAAAATCCATGGTCCCATATATTAAATCACCATAATCCAAAATTGCGTATATGATAATATCTACCTCTTATATAACAACCCTTCAAAGTTATAATATTTTACTCTGTTTATTTAGAGAGAGAGAGAGAGAGAGAGAGAGAGAGAGAGAGAGAGAGAGAGAGAGAGAGAGAGAGAGAGAGAGCTAACACAAGTTTTTATCTCCGGGGAAGATGGATGTATCAAGTAGTATTCCGGCAGAGAAAGTGATCGGAGCAGAGAGAAGGGAGCTTCAAGGGCTTCTTAAGTCGGCGGTGCAATCTGTGGGATGGACTTACAGTCTCTTTTGGCAACTTTGTCCTCAACAAAGGTTTTAGTTTTTTTCATCCATCTCTCACAATATATAAACTTAATACCTACCTCCTTAGTATGTAATAAAAATAAACAATTACATGTTTCTCTACAGAATTAGTGGAATTTCATCATCTTAGTTCTTTCTTTGTTTCCATTTCTTTTTCATATGTTCGAAAACTCTAATTGAGTTATGCGTTTGCAGTAAAAATACTGAAAAGAAGTAATAATTATGTTAAAACAAATTAGGGTATTGGTGTGGGGGAATGGATACTACAACGGTGCAATAAAGACGAGGAAGACAACTCAGCCGGCGGAAGTAACGGCGGAAGAGGCTGCGTTAGAGAGGAGCCAACAGCTGAGGGAGCTTTACGAGACGCTTTTGGCTGGAGATTCATCGACGGAAGCAAGAGCATGCACCGCATTATCGCCTGAGGATTTAACGGAGGCTGAGTGGTTTTATCTAATGTGTGTCTCTTTCTCTTTCCCTCCTCCCTCTGGGTATGTACACAACTCTCTCTCTGCTCAAGTTTCTTAATTTTTTTTTTTTTGTTATTTTCTTCTGTTAAGAAATAGAGAGTGAAGACAAAAATAGTATTGTGTGTTAAATGTGAATCACGAATATTGTGGAAGCATTAAAGAGAAACTGAGGAAGTTGAGTTGCTGAAAGAAGAAATGTATAGGAGTTAATGAAATGTACACTCCATTTTGGTGAACAGAATTGGACCGTTGAGATTCTTATTTTGAAGCTGATTGATTATCTAAAGTAGAAGCATGAATAGATAATACATAAATGCATAACAAAGCGAGTTAGTTATGGGTATAATCAATGCTTTTCTCTATGGGGAAGCAAAAAAATATCAAAATCTAAATGTGGAAGTAGTAATTTGTAGGATTCCGGGAAAGGCGTATGCAAGGAGGAAGTACGTATGGCTAAGTGGTGCAAATGAAGTTGACAGTAAAATCTTTTCTCGGGCTATTCTCGCTAAGGTTCACCACTATACTATGATTCATCTTCTTGTAGTTCTACCTATTTATATATACACTTTTATATATCTCACCCTTCGAATTAATTATTATGTTTCTTCTTCTCGTGGATGCTCTTTCATTTCTCTACATTGGTTAGAGTGCCAAAATTCAGGTAAACGTTGTCTTTATTAGCTATTTCTTTGTAGTATGTAGTACCAATACATTATTTGACATGTTTGAGAATTGTCTTGTGATGAAAAATATAATAAAAAGCAGACATTGGTTTGTATTCCCATGCTTGATGGCGTTGTGGAACTAGGCACAACGGACAAGGTACGGCGTATCTCTCTTTATATACATAAAAATATTGTTTTTGGACATAGTACATAATGTAACGTAACATAAACATCGCCTAAATCCATTTTCTTTATTAAAAAAGAAAGTAATTCGCGTAATATGTTTGTGTTATATATACTTATATATGTGAAGGTAAAAGAAGATGTAGAGTTTGTTGAGCACATAAAGAGTTTCTTCCATAACCACCCAGTGTCAAACCCAAAGCCAGCTCTCTCTGAACACTCCACCTACGAAGTGCATGAAGAAAATGAAGAAGAAGAAGAAGAAGTAGAAGAAGAAGAAATGACAATGTCAGAAGAGATAAGGCTTGGCTCGCCGGATGATGACGATGTCTCCAATCAAAATCTACTCTCTGATTTCCACATCGAACCAACCCAAACTTTAGGTATATATATACAATATGCTTCGTACATTGTGTTTCACATTTCTTTGCCATATCTAAAATTCTATCATTTGTATATGTAGACACACACATGGACATGATGAACCTAATGGAGGAGGGTGGAAACTATTCCCAAACAGTATCAACACTTCTCATGTCACAACCCACAAGTCTTTTTTCAGATTCAGTTTCCACATCTTCTTACATCCAATCATCGTTTGCCACGTGGACTGTCAAAGAGCATCAGCCTCATAAGCGAGTGGAGAAAGCGGCCATGTCGTGGCAATGGATGCTCAAACACATAGTCCTGAGAGTTCCTTTCCTCCACGACAACACTAAAGATAAGAGGCTGCCGCGGGAAGAGCTTAACCACGTGGTGGCAGAGCGACGCAGGAGAGAGAAGCTGAACAAGAAATTCATAACGTTGAGGTCAATGGTTCCGTTTGTGACCAAGATGGATAAAGTCTCCATCCTTGGAGACACCATCGAGTACGTACACCATCTTCGTAATAGGATCCATGAGCTGGAGAGTAATCATCATCACGAGCAACAACATAGTAAGCGGATGCGTAAGGGAAAGAGATCGGAAGAGGTGGAGGTTTCCATCATAGAGAGTGATGCTTTGTTAGAGATGAGATGCGAGTACCGAGATGGTCTATTGCTCGACATTCTTCAGGTTCTTAAGGAGCTCGGTATGGAGACTACTTCAGTTCATACCTCAGTGAATGACAGTGATTTCGATGGGGAGATAAGGGCAAAAGTGAGAGGGAAGAAACCAACCATCGCTGAGGTTAAAAGAGCCATCCATCAAATCATAGCCAATACTAAACTCTAGTCGATAGATTCTAACTTTATTGATGCCAAACTCTAGAGAAGGACAATTGAACTTATTTTATTTGAGCCTCGTTGATATTATCATCAGTTTTAATATATACACGACATGCATTGCTTTGCTTCTATGTAAAACTGATATTATAGTGCTAAGCTGACCTTAAAAATCTTAGCACTAAAAAGTTAGAATTATTATCCTCACCTAAGCACTATTGTATTTTTCTCTTTATAAAAAAAAGAATTGTATTTTCTGTTTCAGACAAGTCTTAACGTAATTTTCAATTGATTTTGCTTAAAATTAGGTTTAAAGATTTTTTTTGGAGAAATAGTACTTTTAGCATTTATATTTTCAAAAATGCCACCAAACCAAAAAAGGTTTTAGAGGTACCACTTCTTCAGATTCATACTACTACCACACTACCTTTTCATGAGTTATATCATTAGTATGACTAAAGAAAATGTAGTCCAAAAACTGTTTTAGAGGTACCACAATTTTTTAAGATTTATACTACTACCATACTACCCTTTTATGAGTGTTTGACTAAAGAAAGTGTAACCGTAAACAAAAAAAGAGTGAATTTGGTGTATATATGACAATATCGGGGAAGTTAATAATCGTGAGTCAAAATGTGTCTTTACTCTTTAGTAATTGACAAAAGGTACCAAAAATTGCACCTAAGAAATGTTTGTTGGTGTGGGCGGTAAAAAACATGAACAAAACATGAAAAGTAGAAGGGAGAAGTAAAAAACTATCACTTTTGCATTACGTTGATACAATTATACAAACCAAATTAAAAACCCTTTGACCATTGACTTATATGTCGGATTTGTTCTAAAAAACCAAGAAAAAATATTTGAACTTGCCCATATAGTTCACTGCGGATCGGGCCAGATTTTGAAAATACAAACGAACCATATTAAGATTTTGAACGGGGAAATGTAAATTTCGGGCCGGACCAAAGTAGCCTAGTTTTAACTTTTAAGACAACATAATTGACAATCTCCGAAGCAAAAGCCAAAACCAAAACCAAAAGAGATTTTGTATTAAAAGGCAATTTGAGAAAACAAAATTAAAAGGAAAAACCAAATCAAAACCTTCTTTGGTCCTTACCGTTTCGTATAAAGTGTGAGGAAGTGCCCTCTTGGCCGATTCTTCTCTTTTTATAATTTAATCAAATCGACGATCGATATTGCTGGCCTCGAGAGAACAACAACCACCATCCGTCTCCGTCATCGGCCGACGGAGAATCGCGAGCCCGCGTAATTTAGGCGAAATCCGATTCAAGCGATTAAGAAGATGGGGAAGAAGAGAAAATCTACAGCGACGAGCCTCGATGAGGTAGATCGGACTGTCTACGCCTCGTTTCGAACCGCCGCTAATTCGTTATCTCAGCTTTACACTCAGTCGATGAACCACCAGAAACTATCTTTCCAAGCCGGCGAACGCCATGGTCTGGTATGGATTCAACCCCTTTTTCACTTTCTCTCTGACTGTTTCATGATTCTTATCTTTTAGGGTAAATTCATTTTCAAGCTTTAGTTTTTTTTTTTTTTTTCTCTTCTCTACTGATTTCGATTTCTGAGCTTAGTTTTATTGCGATTTGGTTTGTTTTGAGACTCTTTGAGTCGTTTTCTTATTGTTTTTTAGGCAAAGTTGTTAGCTTTCTCACTTCTGCGTAATCTAATTTGTATTGTTATTTAGTGTACAAATATATGTGTTGATTATTGAGTGTCTTGAACATGGTTTGAAACCAATCTGTTTATTCTCTGTCTAATCTGTTTAGTATTGTTATTAGTGTGCAATATTATGTTACATTATGCTTTTGGTGTTTCGTGTATAATCTACTGTATGTGTTATTTTCCTTATGATATTACTGGAAAAGATTCTCTATATTTTGTTGTTTTTTTTCATCGTACTTACATATGTCTTCGATGTCCGTACATAAAGTTTTCTTTTTTCCTTTTGATTTTCTACCAATGAAACCAAAGGTGAAGAAAGTGTAAGCATAATTATTTCTGGTTTTCATGGTATTTTTATTGGTAGCAGAAACTGGATGATATGTTTGCTTCTGTAGGTTGAATCAAATTACACTCATTCTTTAGCTATATGTTCAAAGCATAAACCTTCCTCATGTTCATTCCAAATTTTGATTCACCAACATTTGTCATAAGCCTCTGAAAACCAGTGTTTTCTTTTGCTTCTTTATCTTCTTCATGTTGTTCTTTAGAGTGTTAAGTCTCTGTAGTTGAATTATAAATGCATTGTGTTGTCTGTTCGTGTCTTTACATGGTCTACTAATATTCTACTTGATATGAGGGTGAATTGTGTTGTGATGTGATCTTAAACTTTTATTTAGATAATGTTATATAGGGTATGGATAGATTGAAACGTATAAATTATGCATCCATTAGCCCTAAGTTAAAGGAGCTCTGTGGCAGCTCCAAGTCGGGAACAAAAGAGAACAGTATCCTTACAAGAACGTTTTTATCATCTTCCATGTTTCAGGAAAAACTGTACCAGTGGATATGGAGACAACAAGAAGGAGGGTCAAGAGTGACATCTATGGATATAGTCAATTACATCCAGGTTCTTATGATCTCTCTAATCTAACACTGAATCTTGGTCAGATCTGTTTTCTGTTCTTGATTAAGTTTCTGGTTTCCTTTTGCAGAACGAGCTAGAATGCTGCACAGAGGAGCCCTCAATGTCCCCAAGAGCGCCGCCACATCAACCAACAATGCATGTGACGAACGCCGGGCTCGTGGCCTCTTCAGGCACTTCTTTCCCAACAGCTGTTCCGGTTGTTCGGTCTGAGCAATGTGAAAACCAGGCCAAGAACTCGGTTTTCTCAAACGCACTTTCAAGTCCGATACGCCGGAGTCTTCAGAACTACCAAATTCCTCAGGGAGGCTACATATCTGGCGCAACCAGAAGCAGTGAACAGAACAGAGGATCTAATTCTCCAGGTTCTATTGATTCTTCAATGGACATGCATGCAGACTAAGAACTATGATATTGTACCCTCTCAGTTTGATAATATTTGCTCTATACAAAAACCTGTTTGATTATTCGTAATGTGTCAATTGGTTCTTATCTTGGAGGTGGTTTGTTGGTATTTCGGATGGGGTTTATAATGTTCACATGTAAATCATTGTGTCTGTGATACTTAAAACACCTGTTTTAACTCTTTGATTGAAGATCATCTAGAGTATCTTGATCGACTTCAGAAATAACTTCTTTAAAATAAACAAGCATACAAAACTAATAAAATATTGTAGAAACTTTATAAATTAATACTCTATATTATAATAAATTCACTTGGTTTCAAATCATGTAAAATATAGCACAAATTGATAATATAATAATCTTTTTTTTTTTAAATTATGTAAAAATGAAATTTCATTAGTATAATAAGTTAATTATTTTTACAAAACATTGTTATACAAAAATATATTATTATATAAAGTTGGATGGACACCACATGGTCACGACATGTAAAATAATAATAACTCAAAACATCGCGATCACAACATCGCGACGTAGTGATTATTAATTTTACTCCTATTAATATCTTCATATCTGTTTTGGAAAAGAAATGAAAAAACCCTATCTTTAAAAACAAATGATCATCCATATTTGGACGGAAAAAAAAATTGCATGCCATATTTTAAAAGGAGAAGCTTCCATATTCTAATGGAAAAAAAAATTATTTTATGTGTCTTACTAATCCCTATATAATAAGCTAAAACCTTCCAAATTTAATTTAATTGTGTGAATCTATCTTTTACACTTTTCTAATTTTGAATTAAAATAATGTCTTGGAAAATTCAAGAAATTAATAAAGATTATCTGATTCTAAATAAAAATTATCATTGTACTATAATATACTATAGTAATTGAAACAACCAACATTTTTTTTTTTTTAATAAATATTAATCATTCTAGCGAAGGTCTTAAAAATAAATTAAATAAATAAAATATCAATAACAAATAAATCAGCTCAGCGGAAGCAAATAATAATTAAACAAGTCTAGCAAAATAATGCAAAACAATAAAACAGTAAACATCCTATCATCCCCCTCTTCAGCCTTGATTCCGCGATCACACAAATCTTTTACCTGCAACACATTGGAATGGAGTTGCGTAAGTATTTAATAAATACTTAGTGAGGCAATCACTCTGCCTACGAGCCATTTACGCAATTTACTAGATATTTAATAATATTTATAAACTTCAATAATTATTAAATACCATTTTCCAATTATTAAATAATTTTAATAATTAAAACTCAATTTCTCAATTATTAAATAATTCTCATAATTAAATAATAATTTTCCATATTTTAAAATAATTAAAATAATACCAATTAATTAAATAAATATTATTTAATTAATTAAATCCGAATTAAATCTATTTAATTCCATTAAACCAATTAAATTCAATTAAACCAATTAAATTCAATTGAACCAAGATAAACCAGAATCAAATCAATTAAATTCAATTAAACCAATAAACCAGATTAAACCACACAAACACACAATTCATCACATGAACAACCAAAATATCATAAAAATAACAATTAAAACATAAACTCATCAAGAACAACCACAAACCAAATCTAATCTAGCAAATCACGGACCCACAGTCATGACTTGACTGAAACTGAAGGAAAAAGGAAGGACGATGAACAGTGCCGAATCGCGGATGAACAGTAACCCGTGAACAGTACCGATGAACAGTAACCCGATGAACAGTAAAATTCGAAAATCTCTCCAAAAACTCAACTTTTCTCCTCTACAGCATCTGAACTCGAAAATTCTCCAAAGAGAAGACGGCTGCACTCTTTAAACTTGATTTTAGGGCTTTCTCCACTAAACCGACCCAAACCAATTCACTTAAATTGAACCGACAAAATTCCCAATTTTTATTTTTGGTTTATGGATGTTACAACTCTTCCCCACTAAACTGGATTCGTCCTCGAATCCCAACGCAAACGTCACAAAGACCACAAAACCCAACCTCGCAAGGCCGCAACACCGGAGATCCTCACTTGATCCCCGAGACAAACGTCATATCTTATGTCATAAACACGTTCCAAGAAAATTTCACTCCTAACTCATCATCCAAACACACCAAACAACTTGTACTGAGGCCCACTTGCACCCAGACAAGTCCACACCGGTCCGCACTGAGGCCCACTTGCACCCAGACGAACCCGAAAACGTCCATACTGAGGCCCACTTGCACCCAGATGAACTAAACTGCTTATACTGAGGCCTACTTGCACCCATATAAGCTACACTCAACTGAGGCCTACTTGCACCCAGAGAGTCTGCCAGAGAACGAAGTCTCCAAAAACATGATGAGTTATTCAGGATCGCAATCCTTAGAGTAAAAATTCCGGAAAATGTCTATAACCATAAGATTAGACCGTCTCACAACCAAAAACTGGTCAAACATGTGTAACATCCGAATACCTTTTCACAACACAAGGCAAAATGAGGAAAAACTGCATCTCATTAAAACTCCAAAATGTATATCGTTACAACGAAAACGAAAATACAATAACACCAAAGCCAAAAATAACAACTGAGGCTACAAAGATGAAATAAGCTCACTCCTCGACCTGCTTGTCGAACCACTTCCTGAACTTCAACTTCATCTTTGCCTCTGGCTCCCAAGTCTCCTCTGTAGAACCACTGCAATCCCACAAAATCCTCAGTAAGGGAATCCTCTTGTTCCTCAGAACCTTTTCCCTCCTCTCTAAAATCCTCATAGGCACTGCCGGCACTGTCAAATCTGGCTGAAGATCCTCTGGAATCCTAGCCACTAACTCCTCTGTAGGGTGAAGACACTTCCTCAGCATCGACACATGAAAAACCTTGTGAAAGGCTTTCATAATCTCAGGCAACTCCAGCCTGTAAGCCAATGGCCCAACTCGCTCCACTACTGGAAACGGACCCATAAATCGCGGACTCAGCTTGTTCTCTGCTATGGATCTGTTAGGACCCCTCAACATAGCCATCTTGAGATAAACTCTATCTCCAACCTGAAACTCAAGCTCTCGTCTGCGTCTATCTGCATAACTCTTCTGCCTATCCTGAGCCTCCTTCATGTTCAGCCTCACAACACGAACCTTCTCTGTCGTCTCCTGAACATAAGTAGCTCCATACATGCTGCGCTCCCCCACTTGGGTCCAGCATAGGGGTGTCCTACATGGCCTCCCATACAAAGCCTCAAATGGAGCCATGCCAATACTCGCCTGAAAGCTGTTGTTGTATGCAAACTCAACTAAGCTCAGGTGATCTGCCCAATGGCCACCCCAATCCAACACACACATCCTCAGCAAATCCTCCAAAGTCTGAATAGTCCTCTCTGACTGACCATCTGTCTGCGGATGATAAGCTGTACTCAGATGCACCTTAGTGCCCATCTCTGCCTGAAACGCCCTCCAAAACTCTGAAGTGAATCTGGGATCACGGTCTGACACAATACTAGCTGGCACTCCATGCAGCCTCACAATCTCTCGCACAAACTTCCTAGCCAAGACAGCAGCTCCATCTGTCTTCTTGATGGCCAAGAAATGTGCAGACTTAGTCAACCGATCCACAATCACCCAGATAGCATCGAAAGTCCTCGAAACAGGTAGTCCAACCACGAAATCCATCGTAATCCTGTCCCACTTCCACTCTGGAATGGGTAAACTCTGCAAAAGACCACCCGGAACCTGATGCTCTGCCTTCACCAAGGCACAAGTGTTGCACTTCGCAACCCAGTCTGCTACATCCCTCTTCATCCCGACCCAATGATAGTACCTCTTGAGGTCATGGTACATCTTGGTCGCCCGGATGAATGGAAAACTTGCTCGCATGAGCCTCTCCCAAAATCTGATGTCTCAACTCCACATCCTTAGGCACACAAACTCGCCCACGAACCAAGATAGTCCCATTCGCAGAGACCTCATACTCAGAACCAGTCACTCTAGTCGCATCCAGCAAACTCTGATCACTCTGCTGAGCAACTCTGATCCTGCTAAGTAGATCCGCCTGATCCACTGCCTCTAAACCCAAAGGCTCCTGCGAAATGGCACACAAACGCAAGGTACTGATCTCGCCAACTAGAGACTCCACATCTCGCTCAACTGCGGAATCATACCTCCGTCTACTCAACGCGTCCGCCACTAGGTTAGCCTTGCCCGGATGGTAGTTAATGCTCACCTGATAGTCCGCCAAGAACTCAACCCAGCGCGTCTGTCTCGCGTTCATCATCGGCTGAGTGAAGATATGCTGCAAACTCTTGTGATCCGTGAAGACCTGTACTGTCTCACCTAGCAAGTAAGACCTCCAAATCTTCAACGCGAAGATCACTGCTCCCAACTCTAAGTCATGTGTAGGACGGTTACGCTCACTGCCCTGCCACTGTCTCGAAGCATATGCTATCACTCTGCCCTCCTGCATCAGCACACAACCAAGACCAATGCCTGAAGCATCTGTATACACCATGTAAGGCTTCCCTGGCTCGGGTAACGCCAACACTGGTGTAGTAGTCAACATCTCCTTGAGCTGACTAAAGCTCTCCTCACACTCAGCTGACCAAAAAAGGGACATCCTTCCCGGTCAACTTCGTCATCGGCTGCGCCATGGTAGCAAACCCCTTGACGAACCTCCTGTAGTATCCTGCCAAACCCAGAAAACTCCTGATCTCGGTGGCACTACTAGGTCTAGGCCAATCTCTGATAGCCTCAATCTTAGCCGGATCCACAGAAACTCCCTCTGCAGAAACAATGTGGCCAAGAAATCCCATCTCTCGCTGCCAGAAACTGCACTTGCTCAACTTAGCAAAAAGCTTCTGCTCCCGAAGCTTCTCCAGAACCAACCTCAAGTGAGTCGCATGCTCCTCCTGACTCCTCGAGTATACCAGAATATCGTCAATGAAAATGATGACAAACACGTCCAAATACTCCCTGAACACGTCGTTCATCAATCTCATGAAGGCTGCCGGCGCGTTAGTCAAACCGAAAGGCATAACCACAAACTCAAAATGCCCATAACGCGTCCTGAAAGCAGTCTTCCTGACATCTGCCTCATCTATCGGGATCTGATGATACCCCGATGCCAAGTCAATCTTGGAGAACCAAGTAGCACCCCTCAACTGATCCAACAACTCATCAATCCTCGGGAGTGGGTACCTGTTCTTCACAGTGACTCGGTTAAGACCTCTGTAATCGATACAAAGTCTGAAACTGCCATCCTTCTTCTTCACAAACAACACCGGTGCTCCCCACGGTGAAACACTCGGTCGAATGAACCCCTTAGACAAAAGGTCCTCTATCTGCTTCTTCAGCTCTGCCAACTCAGCTGGCGCCATCCTGTAAGGCGTCTTCGATATCGGTGCTGTCCCCGGCTCTAACTCAATCGTGAAAGGATCAGACCGAGATGGTGGTAATCCCTTCAGTGACTGAAAGACATCCTCAAAATCCTGGACAACCTCAATATCTCCCATAACAACTCCAGCTCCTGACTCAGACATAGAAATCGTCGCCAGATACGCCTCACAGCCCCGCTCTAACAACTGCTCGGCCTGAATAGCAGATATCACAATACTCCCGGAAGTCGGTCTCACTCCCTGATAAACCAACCTCCCTGCATCTCGCTCGAAGACCACTCTACCTCTGTAGCAATCCAGATGAACTCTGTAGTGTGACAACCAGTCCATCCCGAGAATAACGTCATACAGCTCCACCGGACTGATGACTAAGTCTGCTGGCATTGACTGCCCCGCAATCTCGATCTCGACTCCTCTAGCACGGCCCAAAGTAGACAAGAATCCACCTCCCGCCACCTTGACCATGCCCGCGCTCTCGCCCGCGCTACTCCGGATGCCACTCTTCTCGGCACGCTCCGGTGTAATGAAGCAATTCGATGCTCCAGAGTCGAATAAAACGTGGGACTCAAAACCGCCCACTAACAAGGTCATTACACACATTGCGTTGAGAACCTCCAACAATTTATCACAGATAAATGAACAACACACAACACAACAACCATTATGCCCTCGATGGCCGCCACCACAAATGTGCATCTCCACTCAGATAGTGGACTGCCAACTCAACCTGGTACTAAACAATCTGATAGACTGAAATTCCGCTCCAATCTCTGACGCCACTCCTGCCGCCTCTGGCTAACTCCGCCCTCAAAGTACGGCGTACCAATCCTCTGCATGTGCCCCATCATATCCAAATAGGACGGCACCATCAAACCCACAGCCTGCGGCTGAACAAATCCCGCAGCCCTCTGCTGCACCTCTGCCACTGGAGGTACTCCCGGAGCCCCTGTGGAACCACTGGCGGAAAACGAGCCAATAACTGCGTCAGCAAACCCACCACTAAGTCATCAAGACCCTGAGCCGGAGCACCACCCCAACCCGGAGCAGCCCCCGCTCCCAAACCAACACTCGCATCCACACTGGCCTCACTCGCCACGGATACCGACTGGGTCACCGACGCAGTCGCCACACTAGGCACCACACTCTCTCCCGAATCCGCCGAAGTCCACAATCTCGGCCCCGGCCTCTCGCTCTGCCACCACGGCCTCGAGCACCGCGCCCTCTCGCGCCACAACCTCTAGCTACTCGTCCATCTCACTCATGGAACCAAAAAGAGCACACTAGAACACGCAACCAAAACTCAAAACAAACATAAACTCACCGCGGAATCTCTTGTAGCTGAAGGGGATGATACTAAAGCCTAGCAATTCTAACAGTCCTAAAACCGTCTAGGCTCTGATACCAAAATGAAACAACCAACATTTTTTTTTTTTTAATAAATATTAATCAATTCTAGCGAAGGTCTTTAAATTAAATAAATAAAATATCAATAACAAATAAATCAGCTCAGCGGAAGCAAATAATAATTAAACAAGTCTAGCAAAATAATGCAAAACAATAAAACAGTAAACATCCTATCATCCCCCTCTTCAGCCTTGATTCCGCGATCACACAAATCTTTTACCTGCAACACATTGGAATGGAGTTGCGTAAGTATTTAATAAATACTTAGTGAGGCAATCACTCTGCCTACGAGCCATTTACGCAATTTACTAGATATTTAATAATATTTATAAACTCCAATAATTATTAAATACCATTTTCCAATTATTAAATAATTTTAATAATTAAAACTCAATTTCTCAATTATTAAATAATTCTCATAATTAAATAATAATTTTCCATATTTTAAAATAATTAAAATAATACCAATTAATTAAATAAATATTATTTAATTAATTAAATCCGAATTAAATCTATTTAATTCCATTAAACCAATTAAATTCAATTAAACCAATTAAATTCAATTGAACCAAGATAAACCAGAATCAAATCAATTAAATTCAATTAAACCAATAAACCAGATTAAACCACACAAACACACAATTTCACATGAACAACCAAAATATCATAAAAATAACAATTAAAAACATAAACTCATCAAGAACAACCACAAACCAAATCTAATCTAGCAAATCACGGACCCACAGTCATGCACTCACCTTGACAATTGATTGAAACTGAAGGAAAAAGGAAGGACGATGAACAGTGCCGAATCGCGGATGAACAGTAACCCGTGAACAGTACCGATGAACAGTGCCGATGAACAGTAAAATTCGAAAATCTCTCCAAAAACTCAACTTTTCTCCTCTACAGCATCTGAACTCGAAAATTCTCCAAAGAGAAGACGGCTGCACTCTTTAAACTTGATTTTAGGGCTTTCTCCACTAAACCGACCCAAACCAATTCACTTAAATTGAACCGACAAAATTCCCAATTTTTATTTTTGGTTTATGGATATTACAGTAATACGTTTTATTCAAAAGTAATACGTTTTATTCAGAATTACCAAATTCCGCAGGGAGGCTACATATCTGGCGCAACCAGAAGCAGTGAACAGAACAGAGGATCTAATTCTCCAGGTTCTATTGATTCTTCAATGGACATGCATGCAGACTAAGAACTATGATATTGTACCCTCTCGTTTGATAATATTTGCTCTATACAAAAACCTGTTTGATTCTTCATAATGTGTCAATTAATTCTCTTATCTTGGAGGTGGTTTGTTGGTATTTCGGATAGGGTTTATAATGTTCACATGTAAATCATTGTGTCTGTGATACTTAAAACACCTATTTTAACTCTTTGATTGAAGATCATCTTAGAGTATCTTGATCGACTTCAGAAATAACTTCTTTAAAATAAACAAGCATACAAAACTCATAAAATATTGTAGAAACTCTATAAATTAATACTAGATAATATAATAAATTTATTTGGTTTCAAATCATGTAAAATATAGCACAAATTGATAATATAATATATTTTTTTAAATGATGTAAAAATGAAATTCCATAATTAATCATTTTCACAAAACATTGTTACACAAAAATATGTTATTATATAAAGTTGGACGGCACGACATGTAAAATAATTATAACTCACCACATCGCGACGTAGTGATTATTAATTTTAATCCTATTAATATCTTTATATCTGTTTTGGAAAAGAAATGGAAAAAACCCTCATTAAAAAGATCTTTAAAAACAAATGATCATCCATATTTGGACGGAAAAAAAAAATTGCATGCCATATTTTAAGAGGAGAAGCTTCCATATTCTAATGGAAAACAAAATTATTTTGTGTCTTACTAATCCCTATATAATAAGCTAATCCATCTTTTACACTTTTCTAATTTTGAATTAAAATAATGTCTTGGAAAATTCAAGAAATTAATAAAGATTATCTGATTCTAAATCAAAATTATTGTTATACTATAATATACTATAGTAATACGTTTTATTCAAAGGTAGAAAACAAGAAATTCTGAAAAAAAATATATTTTATTATCATATCAACATTATTTATTATTTAAATATATAACTTATTATGATATATTTAATAAAGAAACATAACTATTAATTTTTTTATTTACAGTGGAACTGAAGTATATTATATTATTCAAAAAACAAAATTATCAGTTTTTCAATATTATTTTATTTACTTTTAAGAGATCATATTCTGTTAAATATTATTTTTTCATAAATGGATACATTTTTCAGGGTTTATTTATAGTAATAGATGAAATGTGTCTAAAGTGAAAATAAATCGGTATTTACATTTTCATTGTAAAAGAGTATCTTAAAAAGTTGAATAACATGTTACATAAATTTTCAACAAAAGTTATATAATTTCATAGGGCCGGGTCCACAAATTCTGTAAAAGATGATACACTTTTGATTTTTTAAATTAAATAATTAATGGAAGAAATGTGTGCAAAGTGAAAATAAATTGATACTTACATTTTTCATTGTAAAATAGTATCCAATTCATATTTTTGTTCAAAGCTGTATAATCTTGTAGGGATGACTACATAAATTCTGAAAAAAATGATAAATTTTAAGTTTTTTCTAAACTAATTGATGAAATATATGTAAAGTGAAAGTAAATGGATAGTTTTTATTTTGTTTTCTTTTTAATAAAGGAGTGTAAAAAAGTATCTAAGAGCATTTCGAATGTATATCTTTATTTTTTTTCCTTATAAAGGAATTGAAATATAGATGTGAAATTCTCTCCAGCCCACCTCTATTTCTAACTCAATAATAGAGATCTATATTATTGAGGATCTCTAACATGTTATTTCTATTTTTTTCCAATAATTGTAGAATTTCGTAGGGCTGGAGACAAAACTTCTGATAAAATTGAAATATTTAGAAACATTTCGAGATTCTTTATATTAATGGATGAAATGTGTGTAAATTTGAATTAAAATGAGCTACACACTTTTCATTGTAAAATAGTATATAAGAAAGCTTAATAACATGTTATTTCAATTTTATCAAAATTTGTAAAAACTCTTAGGGCCAAGTTCACAACTTTTGATAAAATTGATATATTTTAAGATTTTTTTTTTAAATTGATGGATGAAGTGTGTGTAAAGTGAAAATAAATCGATACATATATTTTTCATTGTAAAAGAGTATATGAGAAAGTTAAATAACATATTATTTGGATTTTTTTCATAATTTGTAAAAAATCGTAGTGAGCCCATACAATCAGATAAAATTGAAACATATGGAGATTTCAAATGTGTGTAAATTTAAACTAAATTGATCCAACATTTTTCATTGTAAAAGAGTATATAAGAAAACTTAATAATATGTTATTTCATTTCTTCCAAAATCTCGTAGAGGCTGGGTTCACAACTTTTGAAAAAATTGATACATTTTGAGAATTTTTAATATTGATGGATGAAGTGTGTGTAAAGGGAAAATAAATCGATTTGTATATTTGTCATTGTAAAAGAGTATACGAGGAAGCTTAACAACATATGATTTGAATTTTTCAAAATTTGTAAAAACTTTTAGGGGTTAATCCACAAAATCAGATAAAATTGAAACATTTCGAGATTTTCTATATTAATGGATGAAATGTGTGTAAATCTAAATTAAATCGAGCCAAACACTTTTCATTGTAAAATAGTATATAAGAAAGCTTAATAACATATTATTTCAATTTTAACAAAATCTGTAAAATTTCTTAGGGCTGCATGAAAGAAAATACAGTAATCTTAATTAGCGCTCTCACTTGCAGCTGATCTCACACTCTTTCCCTCCCCGGTTCTTTCTTCATCTCTGATAAGAAATGATCGCTCCCCGGTTATGGAGGTTTTGATAGCTGGATGAATGGTGAATCGAAAGCTTGCGGTATTTCGGATCTGCTTTAATGGTAAGTTCAGCTGCAAAGGTAAGATGCATCTCCTACGTGAGAAGCTGGTGGGTTTTATAGTATACCAGAGCTAGGATTCGGCTTGAAGGTGCCTTAAATTCGGAAGAGGGAGTGGACATTGAAGAGCAGTAACCGATAAGAGAAGAAGAAGAGTTCGAAGGAGAAGATGAATCGATTGAAAATCGATTGAATCGTAATTTCTGATTCAGTTGGTGGGCCTTACAACGTCTATGGGATTAACTTTAAGCGAAAATGATTGAAGCAAGCAACACGGAGGCCCTTTTTTTTTCCTTCATGCAGTTGACGTGGCGTAGCTGGTGACATGGCAAGACGGGAAAAGCTTCTTGAAAAGCTGAGCTGGATAGCCTGAGAGGCCCCAAATAGCTGCTTTAGTTAAGTAAAAACGTATTTAAAAAAAAAAAAAAAACAACATTTTCAATGTCTTTTTGACTCCTTACTCCATTTACGATCTTTGTATTTGAGACTTGGTCTTCGTGGTATCTTCTTCAACTGGGTTCTTGTGGATGTTTGCAGGTCTCTATGATTGAAAAATTTGTGCTTTGATCGAAATGTTCTTGTGGATGTTGTTAAAATTTCTTATATGTCTTTGGTAAGAACATGTGTGAATTTCTTTTTAACAAAATCAGAAAACGGTTTTCTCCTGATTAATTTGTGTAAATCAGTTTTCTCCCGATTATGTTTCATGTATAAGCTCGCAGGTGTGAGTCTGATTAATGTGTTTTCTTCTCCTACATTTCTTGCAGTTCTCATGAAAATGTGCGTTTTACATTCTTCCTCTTTTCAAAGTGGAGGTGGTTCAAGAGAATAAAAATCCGGGGAATCATCATTACGAATGATAATGGTTTTTAGTTGAAATTATTCTTTTTGGTGATCAATATGAATTAGACTCTATAAACTGTACCTTTTTCTCATCAGCCTGTGTGATTTGTAGGGAAATCTTTGGTGTTTGAGAACTTAATAGAATTTCCATTTTTTCTCCGCCTTAGAATCGTACCGTTCCATTAAACCTTTTCTTTTTTATATGGAGGTCATAAATTATATATTATCGCATAAAGCGTACATGGAGAGCATATAAGCAGTTTTTGCGTTTCTATTCCTCATCTAATAATACCTTTTTATTGGCATGATCTCTTCACAGTTGTCGGCATAATGCTTTGCTAAATTGGCCACAGGTTTCTCTTGATGAGATGGAAGGGTTTAGGGAAATCAAAAAAATTAGTAAACTATTACTTTCTGGTGAAAGCTGAGAGACAGCCGCGGTGGAACATGATACATCATATTTTTTTTTTTTTTTTTCGTCTATCTACAGCAACTCGGGAATCCAAGCTGGTGATACAGAGTTTACATAGTACACATCAGTAGGTAGACTCGAGCACTTCGTGCTAACTTGTCTGCCTTCGTGTTGTTCTCCTGGGTATATGGACAATTGAAAATGAGGTGAACCCCATCTTGCATTTGTCGACCTCTTCAAGAAGTATTGCAAACGCCGGCCACTCCTCTGGTTTAGATACCATCTTCACCACGTCGGAACAGTCCGTCTCGAATACCAGTACTAACTTTTTATGCCGTAGCATACACTGCATCGCCCAAATGAGTGCCTCTAGTTCAGTCTGAAGGGGATATTCCCCGTCTCAGATTACACGAGCCCATTAGCTTACTCTGTGTATCTGGATTGAAGTGATACCATCCCAGGCCAGCCCTACAATCTGTCTCCTTCCATGCTCCATCCACTTGACACCGGTCACCCGATAAAATGGTTTCCACTGGAGTCTGTGATCGTGGATCTCTGTTTTCTTGTTTTTCCTGGGCCTTAGCCCATGTCAATGATTCCGCTGTCGCTTTTGTAATTATATCATTTGGGTCCCAATCCACATTCCCTAGAACCTTATCATTGCGAGCTTTCCAAATATACCAAATCAACCAAGGGTACATCCTCATTCTGTCATCATTTGGTAATTCCCAGAACAAATATGCCATATTAGTAAACAAACTTCCTATTGGGAACCGAGTTGGAGGCGTGGAGATTGGAGATAGGGCCCAAACCTGTAGTGCTGGTGGACACTCAAACAGAGTATGATTCACTGTTTCTGGTGCCATCCCACACCGCATACATTGGGGATCTATCTGCATTCCTCGACTTCTCAGTCTATCCCCCACTATACAACCCGTCAGCGATTGCCACAGGAAATGTTGTAATTTTTGAGTACATTGTACTTTCCACACTTGAGCCTGAAGACCCCTTGTGTCCGGACCAAACAACAGAGGGTTACTATCCTCCCGAGCTTTGTGCTATCTCATAACCCGATTTAACCGTATATCGACCTGTCCTTTGTGTAAAACCATCCCATGGAGTCAGGACGGGAAGGTGTGATGTTGGGATCCCCAGAATTAGGGGAACATCTACTAGCAAACAATTGATGTAATAGTGGTAAATTCCACGTTGCTGTACCGGGACTAACAATTCACTCACCCGAAGGTGAGGGAAAAATTTATCCCAGGTCCTACGGCTGGCCTCGGGCTAGAAGCTGGAATCCATGGATCCTCCCAAACGGAGATTGATGATCCTGATCCAACCCTTTTAATAAGTCCTGTTTGTACCAGAGGTCGAGCCGAAAGTATACTCTGCCAACCATAGGAAGGTGAGTAAGATCGAATATTATCCAAAGGTGTAGAATTCCGGTAATACCGTCCCTTGAAAACCCGTGCGAAAAGCGACTCCGGGTAGTCCATTAACCGCCATAACTGTTTGGCCAGTAAGGCCGTGTTAAAGTCCTCAATTACCCTGAAACCCAGACCCCCATCCTTCTTTTGCCTACAGAGTTTGCTCCATGCCAACCAATGCATTCCCCGTGATTGTCCACTATTGCTCCACCAAAAGTTTGATACCGCACTGGAAAGTTTATTAGTTATTCCCTTAGGTAGACGAAAGCAGGACATGACGTGTGTGGGCATCGCCGAAGCTACTGACTTAATAAGAACCTCTTTTCCCCCTTTTGATAACCACTTAGAATTCCAGCCATTTATGCGTTGATTCTGTCTTTCCACCAGAAAACTGAATATCTTTGTCTTTGCTCCCCCTAGACTTTCCGGTATCCCCAGATAGTTTCCTACACCCCCGACCGTCGTGATTCCCAGATTTTGATGTATCTCCCGTCTTACATCCAGATCCACCGTATGGCCAAACTGAACCGAGGACTTCCCCAGATTTATTTGTTGCCCTGATGTGGCTTCATACTCTTTTAAAATTTGGATTAAAACCCGACTCTCCTCTGCGGACGCTCTGCAGAAAAAAGCTATCATCGGCAAATAAAAGGTGAGATACCGCCGGACTCGCCCGGGCCACCTTCAACCCAGTGATCCTCTTCATTTCTTCGGCCTTGTTGAGATTTGCTATTAACACCTCCGTGCAAAGGATAAAAAGATAGGGTGATAACGGGTCCCCTTGACGTAGCCCCCGTTGAGGAATAATTCTTCCTTTTGGCTGTCCATTGAGTAACACTTTATACTGAACTGATGTAATACATCGCATCATCAAGAGGATCCAATGCTCGGCAAAACCCATTTTCCGCATTAACGCCTCTATAAATTTCCATTCAACCCGATTATAAGCCTTACTCATATCCGTCTTAACAGCCATGAACTTTCCTTTACATGACTTATTCGTCCGGAGTCCATGAAACATCTCTTGGCCTATCAAGATATTATCAGAAATAAGGCGGCCCGGAACAAACGCCGACTGAGTTTCCGATATTAACCTTGGGAGCAGCACTTTGAGCCTCTGGCACAGAACCTTGGAAACAATTTTGTAACCCACATTACACAGACTGATCGGTCTGAGTTCCGTCATCCGGGTCAGTCTTCCCTTTTTCGGAATTAGACAGATATGAGTCATATTTAATCTCATCCAGAGTATCCGTTGTGATAAAAGCGTTAACCATCGCAAGGACCTCCTCCTTGACTATATGTCATGAACGCTGGAAAAATAAAGCCGTCATCCCATCTGGTCCAGGGGCTTTCTCTGGATGTATCATAAATAACGCCTCGCGCACCTCCATTTCTGTTGCCTGCCGAGTCAAAACGTTATTTTCCAACGGTGTAACCCGCTCTGACAAATGTTCCAAAACTCCTGTGAAATCTACCGGGGAGTCTGATGTAAACAACTTATCAAAATAGCTGACAGTTATCTTCTCCACCTCTTTTTCCCCCGCAACTCACACGTTGGCCTCATTATGAAGACCAACAATTCTATTTACCGCTCTGCGTTGTTTTGTGGAAGCATGAAAGAACTTAGTATTTAAATCCGCGTCTCACAGCCACATGATCGTTTGTGTTGCAAAATGTTTATTTCTGTTAAGGCCATGTTTATGTTGTATTTATTAATTTCTTTTAAATTTTGTTCAAACTTAAGCATTACATTAAATAAAAGGTTCAATTGGAGAGTTTTCGAATCAGCCATTGTGTACACAACCCTTTAAATTAATTTTGTCGGCGATCTACAAATAAAAGTGCACATAAACTCAAGCCATTGTGTACACAACCCTTTAAAACTAATTTTGTCGACGATCTACAAAGAAAAGTGCACATAAACTCATCAAGATAGATCAAAGTAAACAAATTAAAATAAACAACAGAGTAGCAAATCACAATGGAATTCAAAACTTTTCTTATGACCAAGAACCATTGAAAGTTATGAAAAACTCAAAATATAATTACTATAAGCTAATAAAAAACTTTATAACAAAAAACCCGGGCGTAGCTTAAGATATCCACTAGTAGTTTTTAAGAATCTATCGAACAATAACCCCATTTGATTATAACGACATGACTTCCTTTCATTATTTAAAAAAAAAAAAACGATTTCCTTTCATTATGAAATCCAAAATTGTTCCATGACAAAATTTGAAAAAAAAAATCAAGTTAAACGACAAATTGATCATATGTTAAATAATAATGATAATGATCATCATCACTGTAGACTGTAGTACACTACTCTATATTCTTATTATTATTATCTGAGATCCCCGATTGAGATGAGGTAGCCTCTGGATCCATACCAACCAATTCTTTCATAATAATTATCGATTCCCACAATAAGTTTTGATCTTTTTCTTTTTTCAGTTCTTTGACTTTAACAGGCATCTCGTTTTCTTCGATGTACTCTATCAGATTCTTCTTCAACTCCTGAATTACATAAATCTTATTAATAATTTTTAGATAAAAAAATTGTATAAAAAAATTCCAGAAATTTTAGGTATATGAATGGTATCTAAAAGTATAGGACTAGTCCACTATTTGGTTTAGAAAATTCTACTGCGCTATTAATGACCTTTTCTAAACTTGAATTTTGTACCAAGCACCTATAACCCAAATAGTACCAAGTACAAAAAGAATTTTGCCGTCCAAAGGTCTCAACTCTCAAGTGTGAGTCTGGTTGTGAAATGGGCCATATAAATAATAAATATAAACGAGACTCACACTAGATTACGAAAAACATATATTTTGTGCTAATGTGATACTCTTTTTTTCTTTTAGAATTATATTGAATAAAATATAGGAACAAAAGTATTAAAGTAAACACGATTTACCTTATTACGGTATGTCTCCCTTGTCGATGTTAGCATCATATGATCGAGTGCAGCTTCAATTTCAAAAATCTTAGCCTTCTTCACCGTCTCACATTCGTCTTCTTTCTCCTGGACCTCGGTTTCATATAAAAACCAATTTTTATGATTTGTTTTTAAAAATATAGTTGTAATTTAGGGAAAAACAAAACGTGAGATTTCTAGAATCATCAAAAATAAAGATACAAAGCACAAATATTAGAAAGAACACTATTTACCTTATTAAAGACAGTCTGAGTTTTCGATAATTCTTTCACATTATCTCCAAGTTTGAATATCCTAGCCTTCTTCGCATTCATATACTCTTCCGGCATCATGTTTAGATCAAAATCTTCTTCAGGCTGCATAACCCTCTTTCCACGCTCCATTTCTTGATTATTCTTACTTTATATTAGAACACGAGACGAAGGTTTATGTCTAAGATCTCTACGTCTTACTCTGGCTAATGTTCTTTTCTAGATCTCTATTTACTTTATCAAAAAAAAATGTTCTCCTCTATATATACAAGTAGTATTCAAAGCATTTGGCTGAGTATTAATTGATTTTGTAAAGTAAGTCTTTAATTACTATCATAGGGAAAAAAATTGATTTGGTTATGTAATTCATTTTTTTAATTGGATTTTACACTTTTAAATGAATTAGCAATTCACCTAAAAAAAATAGTAAGTCAAACACTAATTTATGTCATTTCGTGTACGAATCTTATCTTCTTTTTTTTATATCTACATAAATTTATGTGATGAATTTCTTTATTTATTTAGAAAATCACAAGGATTGGTTTGAACTTTAGCCTAAGATTTCTTAAGTTAACAAATGTGCATCAATTCATATGTATGTACGTAATGGTTATCTATTAACAATGACACATGTGACAATATAGTAAGTTATAATTATCTTACGTATCAAAATTATCATATGTATCCTACTTTATATAATAAGAGATACTCTTTTCGTTTTAAATTAATTGTCGTTTTGCGCTTTTTTTTCACTTTACTTATCCTTTTACATTTTTAATGTATATTTATGATATATTTTCTAGTTTTATTCTTATTCCTTTAGCTTATTAACTAGTCATATAACAATGTATTTAATAGAGGTAAAACAATAAAACTAGTTAGTTTCTTAATCTGCCGTCAAATCAATTGAAAAACCAGAGTATATCACAGGGAATCAACTAAAAAGTTTCAGTGGTAACTATATAACATGGAATCAACTAAAAAGTTTCAGTGGTAACCGAAAGTATATACTTCCCCCATTGTGTACACACTTTGTACTACAAAGGTTCATAACCCAAAACCTCTTGAAACTCTGTCAGTGAACATAAGTATTACAAAGGCTAACATCACATCACAACACCTAGAAACAAGGACATAAAAGAAATGTAAAGATGAGTCGATAACTCCACCGCTTATTGTGGATCCCCATTCCCTAGGCACTATCGGTAAAATTTCAACAATTTTCTCCAACTTTTCAATATCAAAGTTTCCCAAAAAGGCTTCATATGCCACAATCATCATCGGTCCATTAAATTTCAAAATTGCTCCATGAAAGGCAAAAGAAACTCAGTACCTGCTTTATATATTTGATGGAAAAGTTTGTGAGTCGTGGAAGATTAATTATAAACCTTAGTATCACCATGACACCATTGTCTTCGTACTCTCTGAAAAGTTATAGCTTCAAGTTTCTGCTTCTTCTTTATGGGCTTTCTGCTTCTCTAATTTTTTTCCGAAAATTAAACAACAGCTATTTTTGCTATATAGGCTTAGATATTTCAAAACATACTCACAATTCTCTCACACTAACAAAACTACATGTTAATGTTTTTCTCCAAAATAGAATGTGTTGTATACGTTGTGGATTATTAATTATTCTATATTTATATGCAATTTAACTTTTCTAACCAATTTAAGAATTAGCAATCAATGTTTTTTTTTTTGACAAATAATTACCAATGTTTCTATTTATTTTATTTTTAATAAATAGTAATGTAAAAACACAAATAAATTGAAACAATTGTTTTTTTTATACTTTTAAGACTTTAGAAGCTATAAAAACAAATAAAAGTTTTAACATGGAACACTTTTGATTTTGCAAAATTTTATCATAGTTTAGGCATTTTCCTTTTGTTAAAAAAAAACAATTTTTAAGCGTAATAAATTTATTTTAGCACATGGCCCGATGTTTAATTGAGGGGCCTCAATCTACAATATGCATCTTTGGCAAACAAAAATATTATAACATCTTTGTCAATCTACATATAAGCTTTCTGTCAAGCCACTAGCCTAAACACTAACGTGTACACCTTTTATCTCCTTACCACTTGCCCTCTAAATTCATTAAGATTTTTTTTTCTTAATATCCAATTCAATTGGTTACCAAATGCTATATAACTAGGATGAGATAAAATTTCTCAAAGATCCTTCTTTGCCAACAACAAACGACACATGGCACTCGTGGTCTCATTCTTTTCAACAAATCTAGACTCAATTTAATCTTACTAGATTCAATACCCTTTCCAACACACCAATTAAAATAATTCATTAATTGATTTTTTTCTACAATAATTAATAACCAAAAGAGTTCACATTTTGAAAATACTCTCATAAAAACCCCAAACATAGTCAATCTACTTTGTTGAAGAAGATCTTTAGACGCAACAGGAGGTGATCTGAGAATTGAGATTGTCATCATCATGTGGAGACGAATCGTCTCTTCTCATCTCAAAACCCTAGCAGCTTCCGATTTCACTGCTGCTTCGCCTCGCCGATTGAGCATCTGCAATCCAGTTCTCTCTGCCTCTACCACCAATCGATCAACTGTTTCTGCTTCTTCTTCTTCGTCTCATTTCCTACGTCACTTCAACTCTGAATCAGGTGAAGAAAGCATTTAATGCCCTAGTTTTCCTTCTGCTGTAATTGTGTGCTTCAAATCTTACATTATATTGATACTTTGTATGTGTGTGGTGGTGGTGATTGATTAGAATGCAGATTCTACCAACATGAACACATTAAAACCCTAGCAACAACTGATCTCGCTGCTGCTTCGCCTTGCCGTTTTTGTCGGCTGCAAACCCGTAGGTCTTCTCCTTGCTGTCAATGGATCGACGATCTCCGCTTCTTCATCGTCTTTCCCTTGCCATTTCAGCTCCAAATCAGGTGAAAATAACATTTGATACAAGGGTTTTAGGCGCCAAGCTTTACATATATGAATAAGTTTATGAACTTGGTGACGACGTGATGGCTTCAAACTCCATAAGGGACAATTGTTTTTTTTTTAATATGCTTTACGCCTTATTTGACATTGGGTCGGCACTTAAATATGTTTCTGAGTAATAATGTGATGACGTTAAAAAGAGTAAAAAGGATTTGATAAATCCAAAAAAAAAAAAAAAAAAAAAATCATTAATGCTTGTGTCGCTTTTTATTCAAGGTTCTTGAGGTTTGTCATCATCAGTCCAGCCTTGTCTTGTAAATGTATATTTTATTTGCCAAATATGGGAGGAATATTAAACATGATGCCTTGATGTTTCATTGATTTTGTGAAGGAATGACTTGTCATTACGTGTGTATATTGCAGAAGGTATCTACGTAAAGAAGAATGTGGAGGATGTAGAACATATCTTAACCGGAAATGAGACAAAGGAGCTTGAGGTGATTGCTTATGTTTATGTTTCATATGCATATTAATAAGACCTCAAGCATGACTAAAAAACCCGTTTTTGTGACATGAGAGAAAGTAGCTTGGTGTGATTTATGAGTGTCTTAGGTTATGAATAATTAAGACTTTCTCTCTTTAATCATGGAATACCAATATATCATATTTATCTTGTCGATGTCTATAGTTGATTAGCAAGCTGTTGGTTAGCATTGACCAAGAGTAGAAAGTGTGGTTCGATGTTGCATTCAATTAGTAGCATTTGGTCTTGGCTGACCTGAGATTTTTCTTACAAGGGTTTACATTTTCAATACTTTCTAGGGTTACTATATATTTGATCCGTGTTTGTGTTGATTTTTCTTTCACTATGAGATTTGACTGCTGACTCTATGATGTTGTCATTAGAAGGAACGGTGTTTGAGTAGTGGCGAAGGTAATGGTGGCATCGGGGACGGTAACACCAGCCCTCGGGCAGTGGTGGTGGCAGCAGCAGTCTTGGCAGCGGCTGTTATGGTGATGGTGGCGGCGGCGCCGATAGTGCCCATCGTAGTGATGCTGTTGCCGTTTGTGGGGATGTTGTTGTTGATGGTCATGGCTCTGATACCGCCGTTGGTGTCGATGGTCATGGCTATGTTCGCGTCGGTGGTGCTGATGTTGGTGTCGATCATGGCGTTGCCGATCATGGTTGTGTTGACGCCGATCATGACCGTGGTTGAGTGGATTTTTAAGGGTGTATAACTAAAATGAATAAAATAAAGTGGGCCTCAAATAAATAAGAATATAGATAACACCTTAATATATATGAAAAACAGCAAAACAAGTAACCATTTCATCGTTTGATTTTCAGAACATAACCATTTCATCGTTGTTAGAATGACTATGGCAGTATGAGCGCAATTACATGGGTCATATAAGCTATTCGATATTAAAAGAAATCATATTTTTACTACTTTCTTCTTTCCAAATCGAAACATGATTTAACTTATTCAATGAAATAATTAACCAGCTTCCTAACAACTAGCTTTAGACTTTAGTTACTCCAATCATATTTTTTTTCCTCTGGCTTACCATCTTTCGACAAGTAAACACCATCATCTTTGGCAGTCCATGTGTACAACGAACCACATCTACGAACAAATCCTCCTAGATATGCTATAAAGTTTAGAACGTACTCCCTTTTAGGCCCTTGTCGTAAGACACAATCCCATTGTGTCCTTATGAATATATTATCGCCGAACCTGAAATCGTATGCAGGAGCATTGACATTTACAAAGTGGACACCTAGATCGTCGTTTAAGGATTTGCAGTGGACTTCGAGAGGACCATGGCTAGAAGATAAGTTGTTTTGAAAAGCTACAGCATTTTTATTACACGCTTGGGTCAATTTCAACAAACAAGGCAATAATTAACAGAAAAACAAACGAATAAGTTTTCATTTTTATCTATCAATTTGTGACGATACGTTGGTGGATTCCATGGCCTGTGATCCGAATTCAAGACTCGTGCGCCCAATGATTTTCGAGAAATCAAGAATTTCATGGGGGCATTTGATTTGGAATTTTAATTGAAATCATAAATTTATTACTTTATTGATTCCAACTCATTAAACGAAATAAATATCCATCTTCTTAATCTTAACCATTAGGCTTTAGTCCAATCATATTGTTTTAACTCTGGCTTACCATCTTTCGACAAGTAAATACCATCATCTTTGGCAATCCATGTGTACAACGCACCACATCTACGAGCGAATCCTCCTATATATGCTAGAAAGTCTTGAACATACTCCATTTTAGGCCCATGTCGCATGATACAATCCCATTTTGTTCTTACGATTACACCATCGCCGAAACTAAAATTGTATGAAGGAGCATTGAAATTTACATGGTGGACACCTAGATCGTCATCTGCAGATTTGCAGTGGACTTCGAGAGGACCACGGCTAGAAGCTAACTTGTTTTCAAATGCTAAAACATTTTTATCACACTCTTGACTGAATCCAACAAACAAGGCAATAATTAATAGAAAAACAAACGAACAAGTTTTCATTTTTACCTATCAATTTCGAAAAGAATATGAATCTACGAGCATCGGAGTGTACTTATTTATATTTCTGCGTGTCTTTGCATTTTCGATCCATGTATTAATTTATCTTCCCTTCATATTTTACTTCCAAAACAGCTAAATAATTTCTTCTAAAAGAGCTACATATTTTTTCCTAAAATGCCCAAAATCTTATATATAATGGGAGAGTTTTCTCTACTCCTAGGCTGTACACATCATTTTTTACACTAAATGCTAATTAAAAATTAAAAATACTCATTTAATACAAATTAATTTATATTAATTGTTAATTTTAATACACATATATAATAAACTATAATCAATTACAAAAATCTAACTAAATTTTGGAAAAGTATGGGTTAATTTTTTAATATTAATTAGATAAAAAAACATATTTTTATACTTATTATTAAAACCAAAAACACATATTTATATGCTTCCTATTTAAAATGCTTAATGTAATATGAAACACACAAAACCAAAAATTATATGTGATTTACATCATCTGAGAGTTTAAAAATATATAATTTTTTCTAAGATAAATTAAAAGTTGAGAATATGTAAAATGAATACTAAAAACTAAAAGTAAATAAATAACACTATAAATAGAAAAAAACAATAAATGAAAATAAAATAAAATGTAGAGACCAAATTATTATAAGTAGCCGAAAATAAGAAAAAGAGTGTTATGAGATTGGAAGTTTGAAAGAAAAACAAAAATAACTAAGATAAAAGATTGGTCTTTCTTTAAAGATAAAACCAATTAAGACCAAATCAAAACAAATCTAGTTAAAAAAAAAAACCTATGAAAAGTTAAGGCAAAATGTATACGAAATGTATTATAAATAGAGGTTGATACCTTGCAAAATAATATAAACAGTCATAATATAAAACAAAGTTTGCTTTTGTAGGATCTCATTAACTAACTCTGTAAGAGATAGAGAGAGTCAAATTAACAAAAGATGGGAAAGTGGAGTGCGATAGTAGTGATAACGATGATGGTGGTGATTGCTGCGACGGTGACATTAGAAGTAGAAGCAGACGAAAGTTGGGTTCAGTGTTTTCAAAATTGTGCGAAACCTTGTGACGATAACGACGATGCATGCGGTGAACGTTGTAGAGAACAATGCGGTGGCCCAAACCCTCCCCATGATCCTATGCCTCCTCCTCGTCGGTACGTACTATTCTCTCTGCTACTCCTATTTTGTGATTACTTACTTTGGTATTATGTTTTGTTCTAATTGTATATGATTATTCATATGCTCGAATAGAATCTCACGTGAGATGGCATCTGCGGGAGTTCGCGGAAGGAGAGAGTGATTGAAAGAAGAAACATCTTCGACTCTTCGTACAAGCTTTGTGATCATTTCCCTACCGTTTTAACTTTGTGATTAAAATCCAATAAAAATTATTGATCAATCGAATATTTATATTCTCTATTTTTACATTTTGTATAAAAGACAATTATAAAATAAGAGCGGACAACTAAATTTGATAAACAAAACTACTCTCCTTAATATGCCAAAAAAAACCCGACTTATTATCCTATAAGAAAATGCAAAGACAAGCAAAAATAAATATTCAACTTTTATTATTGTTGAGATGCTAGGTCCAAAACCACTTGGTAAACAAAAAGTTGATGGTTAAAATGGATTGACCAACAATAGTTCGATATTGTTTTGGATGATGAAAAAGTTGAAGCTTGTTTTGCTGAAAATGTGTAGTTGAGGATTTTTTCTTTGGCATTTTCCAGATTTTTAATGCATAATATCTCATGGTATAAATTATTTCTTTATTCTTTCTTATTTGTATTAATATCTCATGGTATAAATTAGTTACTTCATGAATTTTATAAGAGAGTATTAGAGGAAAATCAGGCCGGATCTGGCTTTAAGGAATCCTAAAAGGCTATTCGTAAACAAAAACCTTGTTTTGATCAGTATTAGTTTTATTTGGATTTAACCAATTAGACCGTATAAAAATAAAGGAAATATTTCAAGCTTGGGGTTTGAGAATTCTGGTTCCCCAACAAGCAAATCGTTTTAATAGACAACATCTGCACTTCCATTTTAGTAACACAAATGCATACAAATCTTTAGAGACTCACACACAGGCGCACACACACATACATAATCTCACACACTTAATTTACATGTTAAAAGTCACTATGATTTTAGTGAAATAAAAAATAAGAAGATCAGAAGAGGTAATCTAGACGTTATACCGGATACTATTATCGTCGCCAGATAGTTTGTTCTTGATCCATTTGAAACTGTTCTTAAGAGTGTTCTTGAGCTTTTCCTCCGTGGCAAAGAGATTATAAGAAGCGACTCTCTTCTTCCTCTTCATCTCAGGATCTGTGTTGATGCAAGGTCCATTGAAATCGTAGGCGTTTGAGTGGTTTTGATCGTTGCCGAATTCATCGGTTGAGAAAGATGATGAATACTCCGTGTAAGACTTGCTTCCCTTCATCATCTTTAGGCTCTTTTGTTTTGATCTTTGCTTTTGCAATTCTAAGAAATGATTGTTTTTTTTTTTTTTTTTGCGCTCTCTCTCTCTCTCTCTCTCACTATCTCTTGTTATAGCTTATGTGAATGTGAGTAAAGAAGCTTACTACACTCTTCTTAAATGGGATTGGTTATAAGGAAGTGGGGTAGCATTTTTTAGGCTTAAAACAAAATGGAAAGCAAACCGGATCCTTTAGTTACCGTACCAACTACCAAACCATATAGTTTATATAGTATCATTCATAATATAATTGACTATAATAATTTTTTTAACATCGGTGATCAACTATAACATTTATATAGTGATCATTCATAATTAACTATAATAGATTTTTTTATCATCGGTGATCACACAAATTCATCTCAATGCGGTCAAACCGATCGGATCGGTAATACCAAACCGGGTTGAAGAACAATAGAGTAAGGGTGGTATGGGTGGGGTGAGGTGGCAAAGCATGTGTGATGTTATAGTTGGTTACATGATGGTGTAGCAAGAAGCTATCATCTACTTCATTCATCTTTAAGTGTGGACCCAATTTTGAAGTCTATTTTTGCATGCCACCATCAATTGTTATGATTATACCAAAATAAATTGTTCAAAAAAGATAATCTAGTGTAATATTGAACAAGAATGGTTGATATTTTTTGTTCAAGAAAAGTATATTTTTCCCAATACATCTAATTGCTTGTTTTTATCTAGTGATTTTGATATCTATCCGGAACATTAATAAAACTACAACTTTTATTTTCAATCTATTTTAACATTGCAATGATAATAATATATGATGAAATTACAAAATTTCAAATTGGTATCACACACTTGGATCAATCGACTTTAAAAAGAGAAAATAACGAGAGAGACAAAGTGGAGACAAGACTATATAGAGAAAGGACCCAACATGTCTAAAGCTGAATTGTCAAATTAAATTCCATAAGACAAAAAACATAAAGTTGAAATATTTTTTTAATAGAAATTTGGTTTTGATGAAGGATTAGATTTGAAAGCAATGAGTCGGAATTCCACATAATGGTTGCGTTGCGTATTCATGTGTGTGGCCAAGTTGTTTCCAAGTGGGAACTCTTTTTAAGTTCTTTTCGAATTTGTTAATTAAAAAAAAAAGTTGTCATGTCTTCATACGTTTTTGATGTTGCGTATATTTATATCCGCACCCACTTTCTCTATTTCCATGGACCAATAAGTACATATCGTTTGATTGGTAACCATTCAATGAACGGCACGTCATTTTGCCTATGCATAATAATCTAAATCATGATCAAGAAATGCTTAAAAAACAATGTTTTTGTTCTTATATAACGTAGTATCTTAACACATATTCTCTGTTTTCTGATAACAAACGAGAATATAGATGTGTAAAACATGATACGTACGATCCTATATAGATTTTGTGTAAACATAGGAGACTAAATTTTAGAACCGCTTGAAGATTAGAACCATAATCAAAGGAATTGAAATATCTAGTTGGATATTTATATTACTACTTCTTTAATAACAAAATGACATGAGTTAATAAATGCACGATGTTTGTATGTATAAAGGAAAGCGACTATTTGGTAATTGGTAAAAGTGATATGCAAACGTAGAAAAGAGATGTGAATGAAGTGTGTTAATCAACAAAGTTCAACTAAAAAGACGACGTGTAAAAGATTACAAAGAATTTACAACACAAAAAACGTGACTGATCAATGTTATTAATTAGATTTACTACTAATAAGAAATTTAACTAAAAATAAAGCATTCCAACTAAGAAACACTTTTTTGGACTATGAAAATTATCATTTCGAGTGGACTTTCTTGTGAGTTTTAAACGCGAATCTTGTTTTGTATTAACATAAAATATACAAAAGTTTAGATGTGAAAAAAATGAAAGTATTATACATGTGTTTTCTTTATAAATGAATTCAAGATTTCTCTCTTTTAAGGAATCTGAGCGATCTCAAGAAGGATCTTGTTAAGAGACTGAGGTTTGGAGAAGAAAGGACAATGATCACTTCCTTTGATCTTATAAACTCCTTCGGGACTATTCTCTCTCACAAGTTTCTCTTGAACGTCCGGTGAGAGAGCCAAGTCATCAAGAGTCTGATGAACATAGAATCTCCGACCTTTCCCATATCTTTCTCTAGTAAGCGACAGTTTCTCCATCATCGGACCCAATGGCACAGGTCGCATTGAGATCATCGACAATGCAATGTCCTGAAAATATATTAAAAAAACTGTATCACATAAAAGTTGCATTTAGCACATCACTTAGATTATTGGTTCTTGTAAAGTGTGTTTACCTTATTGGGTGACTGATTGAAGTACAAGCTCTTCATGTGTTGCTTCTCAAACATGAATCCTGTTGCAGGCTTTTCTTTGCCGTTTCCATAGATCAAGAACTGTGACTCTTTCATAAACCGTTCTGCAGAACCAAGCTGACATACAGACAGTTCCTCAGAGTGTGAGAGCAAACACAGAATCAAAGAACATTCAAATTTGTAATTTTTCCTCACAGCATGTTTTTGTCAATATTTCTCCTTTTAATTTACTTATTATAAAGTTTGAAGAAATGCTTTTTCTTAATACATTCAAGAAACATGTGTGAATGAAATTTGCTAGTGTTATTATCATTACCTGATCAGCGAATACATCGAAAGGTCTTTGTCCATCAGAAACCATAGTGGCACATAAGTATATAGCTTTTGAGATTTTCTCTGGAAACTGCTCTAACACATATGAAACACACGCACCTCCAGTACTGTGACCCACCAGTATCACCTGCAAAACAATCAACACTCATCAGGATTAAGAAACAAGATTACACTAGAATTCACACGAAAACTGTAAACCGTCACAGCCTATGAGATAAATGCTACACAAAACCATATTGCAACCAAGACAAAGGACAACCATTTGCCTCTAAATGCTTTGAAATGGACCCGATTATTCAAGAGACTGAAACAACTGATGTTTCAATCTTCCTTCCAAGTTCCAAGTTCCAACATCAAACCTTAGCTATCTACACGAGAGAAAGTCTTAACCTTTTCTTCCTCAGGAAGATTTTGAAGGAGCTCGATCAACGGTTCCGAGTATTCTCTTAAGGTGGAGACGCTATTTGCGTCTGTCATATTAAATCCAGATCCAGCGAGATCAAGTGTAACAGGAGATAGTCCTGACTCTTCCAATGAAGCAATAGTCTTGTACCAACACCATGCCCCAAACCCTTCACCATGCACCAAAACAATTTTCTTCACCTTCAAGCTCTCCAAAAAATCAGGCAACTGAGAAGATAAAAGGATACTAGCATTAGTTAAAACATATAATGTCTCATAGCAACAGGTAGTGTCAATCACAAAGAAAGGGCATTGATGTGTGACAGGAACAATCATGAACACAAATCTTGATTTGTTTCCAACAAAGACCTCTGCTTTCAGCCTTTCCAAAGAACTTGACTATCAAGCGAAAGTTCTCTGCTTTCAGTTTTCCAAAGAACTCGATTACCAAAACAAAGTTCTCTGCTTTCAGTTTTCCAAAGAACTCGATTACCAAACCACAGTTCTCTGCTTTCGATTTTCCAAAGAACCTGATTATCAAAACAAAGTTGATTTTCCAAAGTCTATATTTAAATACATAAAAAAGTAGGAAAATAATTCCAAGAAAATGATTCAGTTGTAATAAACTAATTAATTTTTTCTTATCGTCTTACTTTATTTTATAGATCTTTAAAAAGAAAATAGAATGTCTTACTCTAATTCATTGAGAGAACAACGACAAACGTAACTATTACATTGAAACACACCCTTGTTTTTGTGCATACAATAGTGTGCACATTGTTGGCAATAGTAATATTGTAAAATAGCAGGAGAGCGTCAAAGATTATCTTCATCTGAATCAACATTAGGCCCTGGTGGACCCGCTGGTTCACCATTAAAAAAAGTATTGACCATGTGCAATGCTTGATACACCTACAAATAAATAATTATAAAACATTAATTTATAAAAGCATATATTATTTCAGATTATCAAATATCATACTTATATATCACAATTACTCTAGAATAAACTCACATGATATAACAAGAACAACAAAAGTTAAATAGAAAACAATTGTCTTCATTTTTAAATGTAGACTAGCAATATGTTGAGAAAGAATATTTGAATTTAGCTTTCTATTGGTTCTTGTTGTAATGCTATAAAGAATGAGAACATCATATTTATATTTATATAGTTTTTTTACTTATGTAACATGATAATTAAAGTTTAAATGAGCGTTGAATGAATATAAGAAACTCTCCCTTTTAAAACTACAGTTGTTGTTTAAAACATTAATTAAAGGATGATTACTACTATAAGAAAATACGGCCAGTTCCGACTCCAAGATCAGTCGGAAGTATTTTAGATGGAGTTCTGACTAATGTTTGTTGATAGATCAAATCAGTTGAAAATTTCAGACGCAAAAACAGGTCGGAAATATATGACGATTTAACTGTTTAACAACTGTCAAAAATGGTGTCAGAAATGTGGTTGAAACCGATTCTTTGTTTTAAATTTGTGATCCTATATATTGATTACATAGTTATAAATTTTGCATTTATTTTAAACTATTTTTAAATTATTTGATATAAAATAATTATTTAACATAGGTTAGTTTATCTTTTTCTCATAACAAAATGGGTGATGCCTTTACCCTTCTCTAAGGTTGAAGAATATCGTCTCCTCCGATTAAAGTCTCCATGTTTTAGAAATTTCTCACTCCTCCTCTTTTCCATTTTGTTGTAATCTTCCAGTTCTCCCCTCCCGTCTATTCATATTCTTCTTTATGCTCTTCTTATTCATCTCATATCTAATACTGAAAGTCCCTAAATTGGTAAGATATTTATGTTTCCTCATTTTGCTTGTCTCAACTTCGACTTCTTATTTTCGGATCTCGATTCCAGTTCGGTTGAAACTGCATCATCAATAACAGTTGTACTATACCAAACGAGGCAACATTCACTTACAGAGTTGTACTAAAAGCTCATCAAGTCCAAAGTCTCCCAAAACCTATGCTTTTGACAACATGTGCTCATGGATTCACTTTTTCATTTACTAATCCAAGATACAGTCGCTTTCATTGTACATACTAGTAGTTGATAAATAAATCATATGCCTTTTTTAATTTAAATCTCTATATAATTTTATTTGGGTCTATTTTAAATAAATAAAAAAGTATGAAAATAATTCCAAGAAAATGATTCAGTTGTAATAAGCTAATTAATTTTTTTTATCGTCTTACTTTATTTTATAGATCTTTAAAAAGAAAATACAATGTCTTACTCTAATTCATTGAGAGAACAACGACAAACAAAATTACTACATTGAAACACACCCTTGTTTTTATGCATACAATGGTGTGCACATTGTTGGCAATAGTAATATTGTAAAATGGCAGGAAAGTGTCCAAGATTATCTTCATCTGAATCAACATTAGGCTCCGGTGGACCCGCTGGTTCACCATTGAAAAAGTATTGACCATCTGCAATCCTTGATACACCTACAAATAAATAATTATAAAATATATTTATAAATGCATATACTATTTCAGAATATCAAATATCATATTTATATATCATAATTACTCGAGAATCAACTCACATGATATAACAAGAACTACAAAAGTTAAATAGAAAACAATTGTCTTCATTTTTAAATGTAGACTAGCAATATGTTGAGAAAGATTATTGAATTTAGCTTTCTATTGAGTTCTTGTTGTGAGGCTATAAAGAATGAGAACATCATATTTATATAGGTTTTTTTACTTATGTAACGTGATAGTTAAAGTTTAAATGAGCGTTGAGTGAATATAAATGTTAGGTAAAGAAACTCTCCCTTTTAAAACTACAGTTATTGTTTAATATTAATTAAAGGATGGTTATTACTACAAGAAATATGGTCAGTTCTGACTGCAAGATCAGTCGGAAGTATTTTAGACGGAGTTCCGACCAATGTTTGTTGATAGATCAAATCAGTTGAAAATTTTAGACGCAAAAACAGGTAGGCAATATATGATGATTTTATGACCGTTTAACAACTATCAAAAATAGTGTTAGAAATGTGGTTGAAACCGGTTCTTCGTTTTAAATTTGTGATCCTATATATTAATTACATAGTTAAAAAATTTGCATTTATTTTAAACTATTTTTTTATTTAATGTAAAATAATTATTTAACATAGATTAGTTTATCTTTTTCTCATAACAAAATGCGTCGATGTCTTTACCTTTTTCTACGGTTGAAGAATATGATCTTCTCCGGTTAAAGTCTCCTTGTTTTAGAGAAGCGACGATTTGGTAATAACCAACCTTTAATTAGTAACCATCCGATTGATTTTGGAGTTGAAACTGGCCATATTTCTTGTAGTAGTAACCATCCTTTAATTAATATTTTAAACAACAACTGTAGTAGTTTTGATAATTGGTGAAAGTGTTAAACAAACGTAGAAAAGAGATGTGAATGAAGTGTGTTAATCAACAGAGTTCAACTAAAAAAAGGTGTAAACTCAAAACTAAGAAGATTACAAAGAATTTACAATACAATAAACGTGACTGGATCAATGTTACTACTAATAAAAAATTGGGGGAATTGTGATTATACACAGAAAAGAGGGAAGGTTTGTCCATATACACATTTTCATGTTTTTACCTATTTTTGCCTTTAATACCCTTTATATATTTAAAAATATGAAATAGTTTATTTTAGAAACCCAAAATATTTCTAAAAATCAGATAAATGATCTTAAGACTTGTATAATATTTTCACAATTTGTTTTTCAACAATATGATTTTTAAAAAATATATTGAAGTTTTCTTCTACCAGCTCTGAAATTCAAAGTAGAATATGTATCCTACACGTTTTTATTACATCTACTGGCTAGAATTCGATATCTACCATTTATACACACATCTTCCCTCCGTAGAACACGAGTTCTATAATATATATACCTCTACTATTAGTAGAATATCAGTGCTACCTATGTTCTGCGATTTTGTAAATTTGGTAGAAGATATGTTCTACCAAAAACAAAGTTTTCTACATGTTCTAGAATTTGTTGTCTACGAGAAACACAGCCTTCTACGTATTCGTAGATTTCGTATTCTGTTACACACATTATCTCTTACCATTCGTATTCTACTAAAAACCACTTTTCTACCATGTTGGTAGAGGTCGTGTTCTTCTAGAAATCAGTCTTCTACCAAATGTAGAAATCGTCTTCTGCCGGAAATCTTAGAGAATATTAACAAATATTTTTTGAATATTTTCTTTCCTTTTTCTTCTCCAACCTTCTCCCACGACGAAATTGTAGCAACTTCTTCTCCATTCCCATCTTCTTAGTCGTCATCTTTATCTTCTTCTTCTTCTCCTATACACAAAACTTACTAGTTTCTCTTATTCCTCTTAGTTACTATGTTGCAAATCTATGTTAGTGGTGTTTGAGGAGAAGAACAGACGGCAACAACAAAGATTATGTGACAGAAGAGGCGCCGGAGGATTATGTGACGGAAGAGACGGCAATGACGGAGAAAAAAAATGTCGCAGAAGAAAAAAAATGTCGGGGAAGAAGAAGAGAGGAGAGATGTCGGGGAAGAAAGGAAATTTGTTTACTTTTATGTTTATTTAAAAATATCTCAATTAAAGGGTTAATACTTTAATCAATTTTAAGGGTAAAAAGGGATTATAAGTTTATAAAATGTGTAGTGGGACAAAAATCTCTCTAAATTGTGTATTGGACAAAGACTCTCCCAAAGCTGTGTATTTTGCCAATTTTCTCTAATAAATTTAACTAAAAGTAAAGCATTCCAACTAAGAAAAACACTTTCTTGGACTATAAGAAAATATCATTTGGAGTGGACTTTCTTGTGAGTTTTAAACGAGAATCTTGTTTTGTATTAACATAAAATATACAAAAGTTTTGATGTGAAAAAAATGAAAGTATTATACATGTGTTTTCTTTATAAATGAATTCAGTATTTCTCTCTTTTAAGGAATCTGAGCGATCTCAAGAAGGATCTTGTGAAGAGACTGAGGTTTAGAGAAGAAAGGACAATGATCACTTCCTTTGATCTTATAAACTCCTTCTGGAATATTCTCTCTCACAAGTTTCTCTTGAACGTCTGGTGAGAGAGCCAAATCGTCAAGCGTCTGAACATAGAATCTCCGACCTTTCCCATATCTTTCTCTAGTAAGCGACAGTTTCTCCATCATCGGACCCAATGGCACAGGTCGCATTGAGATCATCGACAATGCAATGTCCTGAAAATATATTAAAAAAACTGTATCACATAAAAGTTGCATTTAGCACATCACTTAGATTATTGGTTCTTGTAAAGTGTGTTTACCTTATTGGGTGACTGATTGAAGTACAAGCTCTTCATGTGTTGCTTCTCAAACATGAATCCTGTTGCAGGCTTTTCTTTGCCGTTTCCATAGATCAAGAACTGTGACTCTTTCATGAACCGTTCTGCAGAACCAAGCTGACATACAGACAGTTCCTCAGAGTGTGAGTCGTAAACACAGGAACAAAGAACATTCACAAGTTTGAGAATAAGAACATTCAAGAAACATGTGTGAATGAAATTTGCTAGTGTTATTATTATTACCTCATCAGCGAAGACATCGAAGGGTCTTTGTCCATCAGAAACCATAGTGGCACATAAGTATATAGCTTTTGAGATTTTCTCTGGAAACTGCTCTAACGCATATGAAACACACGCACCTCCAGTGCTGTGACCCACCAGTATCACCTGCAAAACAATCAACACTCATTAGGATTAAGAAACAAGATGACACTAGAATTCACACGAAAACTGTAAACCGTCACAGCCTATGAGATAAATGCTACACAAAACCATATTCCAACCAAGACAAAGGACAACCATTTGCCTCTAAATGCTTTGAAATGGACCCGATTATTCAAGAGACTGAAACAACTGATGTTTCAATCTTCCTTCCAAGTTCCAAGTTCCAACATCAAACCTTAGCTATCTACACGAGAGAAAGTCTTAACCTTTTCTTCCTCAGGAAGATTTTGAAGGAGCTCGATCAACGGTTTTGAGTATTCTTCTAAGGTGGAGACGCTATTTGCGTCTGTCATATCAAATCCAGATCCAGCGAGGTCAACTGTAACAGGAGATAGTCCTGACTCTTCCAATGAAGCAATAGTCTTGTACCAACACCATGCCCCAAAGCCTTCACCATGCACCAAAACAATTTTCTTCACCTTCAAGCTCTCCAAAAAATCAGGCAACTGAGAAGATAAAAGGATACTAGCATTAGTTAGAACACATTATGTCTCTTGAGACCTCTAAGAGTAACAGGCAGTGTCAATCACAAAGCAAGGGCATTGATGTGTAAAAGGAACCAATCATGAACACAAATCTTATTTTGTTTCCAACAAAAATCTCTGCTTTCAGCCTTTCCAAAGAACTTGATTATCAAAACAAAGTTCTCTGCTTTCAATTTTCCAAAGAACTTGATTATCAAAACAAAGTTCTCTGCTTTCAGTTTTCCAAAGAACTCGATTACCAAACCAAAGTTCTCTGCTTTCGATTTTCCAAAGAACCTGATTATCAAAACAAAGTTCTCTGCTTTCAATTTCTAAAAACTTCATTTTTCAAACAAAGTTCTCTGCTTTCCACTAGGTAAAAACTAATTGCAATAACCAAAAAGAAGCTTCTTGTCTCACTCTCTTGGTTTTAATCACAACGAGGTAGACCCACAGAGTTGTAATATGAGTATATGACAACAACTAAAAAGCAAAGCCACCACAGAACTTTTGAGAACAATCAGAGAGAAAGTAAACTTCTTCAAAGATAAACACTTTCTTCTGGTCCCATCCTAATGTCAGTATCAAAAAATTGCTCTCTTCAGATTAATAAAGAAACCATATAAGAATCTTCTCTTCTCCACCTTTCTCCCACTCATTCCTCAAAAAGTTTAACAACAATCATCAAAAAGCAGCAATCTTTTTTCAATTTGAGAGATCCAAAATCATTATAAAATTGGGGGAGAAAATAAAAAGACAATTTTTAACTATGAGTGTTGACCTGGTTGCTATTGGAAAATGGGTCAGAGAGTGTGCGTCTTCTGGAGCTCGTAGACCCGACACGTCGAGACATGGATCCATCGAATCTCTGAGAGAGCTGAGCTTGTTGAATCGCCATTGACAAAGCTCGTCGATGCAACGTCTCTTCATCACCAAGCAATTTCCTCTGAGAACGATTCACTCTCTTGCTTCTAGATCCATCACCTCTGGTGGTGACAATATCTTTCTTCTTCATACAGATAAATTTGTTACCCATCTTCGCAAACTCCTTGAATCGAGCACCAGAAGCCGAAATTTAAGAAATTTCCCGAGGAAACGGCATTGATATTATATTCAAAATCGGTTCTTTTTTCTGTCCACTGGAAAGTCAATATAAAGAAAAGATCTTTGGAAGAGAGAGACGAAGAAGAAGAGTGGGTGAAGACGAAAACGGTTATTGATTACGCAAAAAGACGATTTGGATTTTAAGACAAAGAAGCCAATTTTTTTGTAAATGCCTTCGTCTTTGTGTGTTGATATTTTTTCTGGGACGTTGATTTCTCAGTGTTTCGACTTGTCTCAAGAATCAAACATATTGATTTTTGTTTTATTTATTTTATATTATTATTTTATCGAAGAGAGAGTTAAAATTCATGAATTCACTTTGCGAGAGAAAGATTAAAAATTCATGAATTCACGTATGAGTCCATAGCTATTTTTTTAGCTGATTTTAGCCATATGTTTTCCAAAGGATTAAAACACTGATTTCATGAATCTCTAAGAATTGTTCATCTGCGTCCAAATAGACAACGTATGTGGTAATGTTGGATAATTTATCTATTTATTTTTCATTTCAATACTTTTTTTTTGATAAAAACCTATGATATTATTATTTATTTTTCATTTCAATACTTGTTTGACATTTTAGTTTTCATTTGTTGTTGTATTACGTTTTAGATCTCTTATATTCTGTGTTCCAAAAAACGTCCGTTTTGACTATTCATCGGTCTGAAAATCGTCCATCGGCATGCCACCGTTTCGATTACACTTAATCGGTTGGTATTGTTGGGTCAATGCACGTTGACCATGTTAAACCACTTTTTTCAGAAAAACAGTCATGTGGGAGTTGATTTAGGCCTTGATTGGCAAAGCAATTAGAAGAGCATTAAGCTTAAGGAGCATAAGCAGGGTGAGTATTTAGAAGAGCAGTAAGCTCTTTAAGTTGTATGTTTAAAAAAATATGATTGGTAGAGCTGTGAGCCTTTTTATTATAATTTGTTTGTGAAAATATTTAATATGTATATTGATATTTATTTTAATGCATCATATATATATTATTAATAATATAAGATTTTTTAAAAAAATATTTAGTAATTATTTCATATTTAAATTATATTTATTAATTTTTATGACATTAAATATTTATTTTATGAATAATACATTAATGATACATCAATTACGAAATTATAAAATTGTAAATTTAATATAAATATAGTTTTCATTTTTTTACCAAAATAAATAAATTATATATAATTTATTATAATTAAGATTTTTTAAATATTATTGAGCTCAATGCTTTGGAAATGCTCCATTTCAGAGCAGGGAGGGAAGGAGCAGTTTGGGAGCAGGAGCAGTTTGGGAGCAGGAGCAGTTTCTAAATGCTCTACTAAATGCTTTTTAAAAAAACTTGATTGGATTAGAAAGAGCTTAATGCTCTTCTAAATGCTCTACCAATCAAGGCCCTAGCAGCATTAGAGAGAGGAAAACAACACACATGTGTCTTTCACGTGACTTTTTAAAAGAATCGTGGGTTTTTAAAGTCGTTCCAGCCCACAAGTTTTAAATTCTAAAATGTTATTTGTTTTTGTACCAGATTTTCTTGTGGTTTAATAAGATAAACATAAAAACAACAATATATGAATTGAGAAAATAACAATATATAATATTTTGAAATATGAATATCATTCATGTGTTATTTATATAGTTATATATATGAATATTTACCAAAATAAACAAAATATAGTCAAAATTTTATCCCGGATTAATCTCCATTTTTTAAAAAAACCTAAATCCCGACCTCACCGTCCGATTAACGATTTTTTTAACACAGCTTATATTATACTCACACGGTCTTTATTTTTTAGTCACACCCGTAACAACAACAACAAATTTTAGTCACACCCGTAAGAAAAGTTGTGATATTATTTATTTTTTAGCAGATACATATATTATGCTTTTTTAACAAAAACAGATACATATATATATTTGAAAAGATCACAATTTACGGGCCTTTACAACAACATCCATCTTCGGGCATAGCGTCACCGCCTGTTGCATCGGGATAACGCTTGAGGCAGAAGTCTAGGCAAGTCGCCCCATGCCACTGACCTCTGAAGTAGCATTGTGCCCAAGTCTTTACTCCAAAACCTATTCAACAAGAATTATTAAACAAATATGTTAATTCACTTATAAAAAAAAGAGAGAAATAAATAAGCCATATGCAAGATGCAAAACAAAAGTAGAGATCACAATAACAAGTTAGTACCAAGAGTATCATCAGCGCAATGAACAGCAGATATAACAAAGAAGACACTCAGAAGAACTGCGAACAACATTTTCTTTGTGATTGCCATTTTTTGTTATGTTTTCTTAGCTTTTTGTTTTTGTTTTATGTTTTCTGTTTTGCTTCCAATGGTTGTATATATAGTGGCACAATAAAGATCTGTAGACATTAAATTTCTAGTCAAAAGTGTTTTTAAAATGGAAACAAATCTTTTAATTTCTTTTAGATTCTAGGTAAAAGAGTTTTTTTTTAAATACAAAAGTTCAGAAAGTTTATCCTCATATTTAATATTTTGATAAAAGATAGATGAAAAATAATAACATTTCACAATGTAAAGTCAAAGTATGGTAGAAATCAAAAGCAAATATTAAACATATTAATTTCTATTCAACTTGTTATATAAATCTAAGCTATCTACTTAAATGGGAAACAATGTAGGCTTTGCAATGTGTCATCATGAAAAAAGAAAACAGCTTTTTTTTTTTAATTAAGATATTTTCATCACCAAACACTAATTATTAATTTCTATTCAACTTTAATTAAGTTGCCAAACACAATTTTGAATATTTTTTAATAAGAAATTTAAAACAGATTTATGAATCTTATATCTATTGAAATTTTTAAATTCAAAAGTATTTTAATCAGTCGAATTATAAGTTTATAACAGATAATGAAGTTAACATAATACATACTTTTAACGTGTTAAGTATATTTGAATAATTAAAACATGCATGAAAATATTAGTTTTTAGTGGAAATATGGAGAATAGAAAGGGTCACGAGTCGTGCATGGAAAAGGGGGGGGGGCTGTTTCCGTAGATTCTAACTTAGGGGAAAATTGCATAAAAACAAATTATGACAACCACTTGCACTTTCTAACTTTTAGAAGTTTTTAGTTAGCAGTTTACACCATTAGAGTAAAAACTTTGATAGATATAGTCTTCAATTTGACATTCGTAGACTCGTAGTGTGATCCAATATTTTTTAACGGTATTGTTCATCCGAAAATTAGAATTTGATGTCGATGAACTCTAATATTTTTTCATCCATACCATTGTACAAATCCTAAAGAAAGTTTTCGCAGACCAAGTCAGACAGTTTTGTATAGTTGAATGGGCCTAGGTGGTCGATGATTCCGCAGACGAGTTGGTTTTGTTCACAATTCACATCGTCTACTCCCACCAAAACGGAGAGATCCATGATGTTAAGATCTTGACATCATCATATGTGATGAGGATTAACTAAAAAACGTTTTGAATTGAATCATATATATACACTAAGTTATTGGAAAGTAACTAAAGAATGATCTCACTGTGACACTGTGAGGAACTTGCAATCTTCTAAGTTCTAACCCCACGTTTCAGAGTGTCTTTTGCGCTTTGTGTCACGGAGATATTTTCCCGGGCGAATTTCTCGTGTGTAATTATCAACTTCGGAATTATCAGAACCTAGTACACGGCCGTATTTCCCTTTCAGGTACATAGGTGTCAGTAATATTCTCTCCATGACTTACGTTTGAGTTTAAAACAAAATAGAGAAAACCTCTCTTCACTCAAGATTCCACTTGAATCCCCTCTCCATGAAGTATATATGTTAATCTCTTAATGTAGGATCTTGGATTCAACATTGTTGGATCCTGGTAGTACAACTTAGGGTCAGCCTTGAAAATTTTGGAGCCTTGAATAACATGTAAGACGTTTGAGAAATGCTAAGCATAACATAAGCGTGACATAATATTAAATTTCTAAAAAATCTTTTGGTACAACTACAAGTATTAAACGAGTTTGTGAATTGTGATGCTCTTTATAAATCAAATGTGCTTTTGTGACAATATGAGAATTTGGTGAGTTATAATAAAGTCATAATTAGCTTTTCCGGTTTATCACTGACTGGTTTTGGAATTAGAAAACTCGAGAGGTAAAGTAAGTAACAAACTGGGAATGACGATGAGTTTTTCTCGTAACTATAAAGTTGTTCCATGTACCTTCTCGAGACAGAAAAAAAAAAAGCTTTCATTATTGGACATAAACATCATTCTTTGGTTGAGAGGGTAATTAAGACTGTTGATATTCCTTTTTTTTTTGTTACCCATTAATACTTATCCTTCAGAAACCCATTAACTTGTCTGTTCATATTCACTTGTTCAGCAGAAACTTCACAGATCTCCAAAATGGCTGGAGGACTAGCAGCAGATGATTCTTCAGGTAAGTTTTTGTTTCTTTATATTCGTTGAATCACTCATCCCACTTACAAGTATAGGCGCGAAACAGAGAAAACGTACACAGAATTAGTGTAACTACGCTGAGACTAAAACTATTCACCTACACTCTATTTGAAAGCAGTTTGGCTTAGTCCTCCTCCATTTGTACTGTTCTTTGCGTTTTCATCCTCATAAAATCGTAACCCGGCCAGTTCTTTTTTATTTTTTGTTAACAGATGATGATCTATGCGATTTATCTCGTTATGATAATCGTTATTGGGGTTCACAGCAGAGACCTGCAAGAACCCTAGTCCTTCTTGGCTGCTCGGGGAATGGGAAAAGTGCGACTGGGAATAGCATCCTCGGAAGAGATGCATTCGAGTCGAAAGGACGAGCAGCAGCCGTTACCAAAGAATGTGTGCTTCAGAATGTTAGGCGGGCAAACGGACAGATCATCAATGTTATTGATACTCCTGGTATGCGTGTGTGTGTGTTTGCATGTCCCTTTTGCTCATACTATGAAACTGTTAACACTTAACAACATTGCAATGCTTTTGTTCTGTAGGCCTATTTAGTCTGTTACCCTCAAACGAGGCTACCATTCGTGAGATCTTGAAATGCTCCCGTCTCGCCAAAGAAGGGATCAATGCAGTGCTTATGGTTCTTTCCTTGAGAAACCGGCTAACAGAAGAGGAGAAATCTGCGCTTCTTGTGTTGAAGATCCTCTTTGGAAGTGATATTGTTGACTACATGATCCTTGTTTTCACCAATGAGGATTCACTTGATGATAACAGTGACACAATGAAGGACTATCTGGAGGAATGCCCTGATTTCAAGGTCACTGTGATTTCTTCTTTGGCAAAGCCAAACTTTTCCAGAAGATTTTCAGCTTCTCTTGTGACTCACACATCTATCAATTTATTTTCTTATGGTTTCTAGGAAATTCTCACGGCCTGCAACAACCGCATGGTACTGTTTGATAACAGGCCTAAAGCAGATAAGAACAAGAAAGCTGAGCAAGTTCAGGAGCTTCTAAGCCTTGTTGAAGAAGTTATGAGAAAGAACAACAATAAACCGTTTATGGTTGATTTCTCTCATGATACAAAGGTGATTTTTATTTTTTTTACCAATGCTTATTCTCTTGTGATGTGTTTTAGATTGCGTTATCAACTACATCTTCTTCTTAAGGAAAACGAGGCTGCATTTGAAGAGAAGCATAAAAAAATTAAAGCATTGAAGGGTCAATGCACAAAACAAGAGAAGGAAGAAGCAGAGGATTCACTTCATCAGCTCAGCCGAAAGGTAGAGAAGGTAATGTGTTTTCGAGTTTATCAGTTATGGTCTCTTCCTGAGGTTCCCACATTTCTTGGACAATTCTTTAAGAAGTGATGTTTTTTTTTTGCTTAGGTGGAGACTAAGCTGATAAAAACAACGAATCTGCTGGAGAAGAAACTTAACGAGGAGCAAGCCGCAAGACTTGAAGCGGAAGAGAGGGCGAGAAAACTCCACAAAGAATCCAGCGATGAGATTAAGAGGCTGACAGAGAAACTCGAGAAGGCAGAAAAAGAACTCGAGAAACAGGGAGGAAGTTGCATCGTTCTTTGATCATCTCTCAACGCTCATTTTGAAGTTTTATGATCAAAAGAAACAAGTTTATAACTACTTTTTTTTGTTAAAGTGTTTAACAAGGTTATAACTACTACTCGAGAGGTTTAATTTGGCTTTTAAATGATGCTTTTCATTGGCAGATTAATTCTCTTAGAAGAATCTCTGGTTTTAAAATTTTAAGGTGTTGACATAAACGTTTCTTTTGTTTCTTTACTATTTGAAAAACCATGCCTAGCAAAAAGATCTCCCAAATCAACTAATCTTTCAAATTATATTTGCACTTCTTTATTTGTTATGCATATAGCTGGTAGGAAACTGTCAATGCCTGCAAATACAGGAAGACCCCCCTGAAAGTCAGAAAAGCTTAGCCAAATATGAACGATATTCAGAATCGACCAGCTGATGAGATCAGGAAGCTGAGAGAACAGCTCTTCAAGGCTGGAAGAGACTGCTTTCTTGCGTGCCAAGGTTGACAAAAAACTATCTTTGATTAATGGTTTTGAATAGTCTTGTAACGTTTCACGTTTGTATATATAATTTGGATTCTCAAAAACAGAAAATTAAGTGGTTTTGTCGAGAGTTTTAGTGAAATTCAAAAATATTTTGAAGCATTCACGGACCAAATCTTCTTTATATTATTAATTGAGAAATACATTTTAATGTTTGGATACAAGAATAAGAAAAAAAATTATTTGGATATAGAAGAATAAATGGAAAAAAATTGTTTAGATACAAGAATAATAACTTAAAACAAACCGATGGTTTAGAAAACTTTCGTTTTCCAAAAAAAGAAAAATTAACATAATCTATCAATAATACCAAATCAATAAAATATGATGGAATGATATTTGTAAAATTTCCAATAATAAAATAGAAATATGTTCTACTTTAAATCAAATTGTGGATTTCTGTTCGTTTTTCTTTTTAAAAAATTTCTGATCGGTTTGGATTTAGTTTAGGGTTTTCCGAATTTTTTGGATTTTGGGTTTTCGGGTTTAGACATATTAAAAAAGTTGGGTATTTTTAAAAAAAAAATATTAGGGTTTTAGTTCAGCTTCGGGTTTCGGGTGAAAAACTTTCGAGTTTTTTTATTCGGTTCAGGGTTTTCGGGATTTTTTGGATTTCGGATTTATACATATTAAAAAAGTTTGGGTTTTGAAAATTTTTGATTAGAGTTTTTGGGTGGGGTTCGGATTTAAGATTTAGATTTTCTTTACAAAACCGCAAAGTCACACTGCGCGTTTGCACGGGTCCTTTACTAGTTATATGGCTTGAAAGAAACTGTCGAAATGAAGCTCAAACACAAAAATTCAATTAAAAAAGCCCAAACACGAAGTTCAAAGATTTTGTTTCCATTTCTCTAAATTCTGTTTCTCTATTCAACTCTTCGTGTATGTATATGTATATATATGCATGTGTAATCAAAAAGGAGCAATCAAATCTTAAACCCTCTACTCTCTGCTTCATCGTATCAGACAGGTTCGTGATGATTTCTCTTTTTTTGTTTTTTTGTTTTTTTAATATTTTTGGCTTTTGGTGATCTCTCTTGTGCAAGAAGTAACACATTAATTGAAAACTGTGGAGATCGGTTTTAACGTCAGAGGGTCAAGAATTATGAGAATTTATTTTAAGTTTTGTATTTGATTTAGGGTTCTTGTTTAAATTCTGAATTTCATTTGTTTAAGTAAAATTAAATTTCTTGATCATCTCTCACTCCCTTGTTTTTTTTGTTTCAGAGATGGCTGACGTCTCCATCAAGAAAATCTCTCCGAAGCTCGGGGGAGAAAGAGGAACCCGAAACCCTAGAGGCCCAAGTTCTTCACATGACCTCGTAGAGCAAATGGAGTTTCTTTACGTGGAATTAACAAAAGTGGAGCATGTACCCCAGACATGTATCCCCATCGTCGACATCACTCTCGGAAACTACAATTCCTCTACCAGAGATCTACCAGTTAGACCTAACTGGGAGTGGAACCAAGTCTTTGCTTTCGACAAATCCAAAGCCGATGTCTTGTCCTTCTCTCTGAAAGACGGTTATACAAATACTGAGATTGGCAAACGAAGTTTCAAGCTGCCCGCGGATATTCCGTCAAGGGTTCCCCCCGATGCAAGAATAGCGGCAACGAATTACGACATGCAGAACACTGGCATGAAATTAGTGATGTCGATTTGGTTCGGTACACAAGCCGACGAGGTCTACTCAACCGCTTGGTTTTCGGACACGTGTGGTGTGAGTGCTAGTTGCGTGAAAAACACGCGACCTAATATCTACCTAGCTCCAATGCTCTGCTACCTTAGGGTTACGATTGTTTCAGGTCACGATTTGATTTCCCACGACGGAAGACGGCCTCCTTCAGCTTTCGTGGAGGTACAAGTAGGTGAACAAAAACTAAAAACCGGGATCTCTACCGGTTCGAACCCGTCGTGGAATCAAGATCTCATCTTCGTCGCATCGGAGCCGTTAGAAGATCTAGAAGTCACCATCGAAATATGGGACAAGTCGATGATCAACACAACCAATTGATAGGAGTATTAGAGAGAAGACTTCAAAGATATTACCCATCTTAAACAACCCGGACCCGTACCGCTTCTGCCACTGCGACATTAAACTGCCGGATAACCCCCAACCGGCAGGGGATACTAGGCGGTTCGCAAGCAAACTTATAGTGAAGCTAGCTACGGATCAGACCTACCACGTCTTCGACGAATGCAGCCAATACTGCAGCGACTATCGCCCTTTCGCCAAAGGGCTATGGCCTGGCGTGCTGGGCAAGTTAGAGGTCGGGATCTTGGGAGCTACAGGGTTAACCCCGATGAAGAACTCGCAGTTTCAGAGACACGCTTACACTGTAGCCAAGTATGGGAACAAATGGGCAAGGACTCGAACCGTGGTCAACAATGCGTCTCCCAAGTGGAACGAGCAGTGCTCATGGGATATTTACGAGAAGTGCACCGTCTTCACGATTGGCCTCTACGACAACCATCAGTTAGTGGTGAATAGCGGCCTTGATGATGTTCCGATCGGGAAAGTGAGGATTCCGTTGAGTAAGCTGGACTGGAACAAGATCTACACGGGCTCGTTTCCGATCTTGGTGTTGGGGAAAGAAGGGTTGAAGAAAACCGGTGAGATCCAGCTGGCGATCCGATGCGCTATTCCTCCGCCAGCGTGGTTGTTTTTCTCGCCGTCCTACTTTTTGGCTACGTCTCCTTTCCGTTGGATGCTGCCGAAGTCTCATTACAAGGCCCCTTTGGGGCTGCTTCAGTACGAAGACCTGAGGTCGAAAGCCGTTGAGGTGATATGTTTTAACTTGAATAAAACAGTGCCGAAGTTGAGAAACGAGGTGGTCAAGGACATGTTGAAGCCGAGGAGTAAGAGGTTCAGTATGAGAAGAACCATAGCTAATTTCGAGAGGCTGTGTAGATTCTTCATGTGGTTGTATGGCCCGTATGCTTGGCTGGATGCGAATCTGGTCTCCACGACGGATGTTGGTCGGAAAGCGGTTACGTTTGGTGTCTGTTTCCTACTTGTTGTTGGCCATCGCTTTTTTTTGTGGTTGTTGGTGGATTGGTGGTTATATGCGTATATCGGTGGGGTTTATATTCTTTACCGAGTGTACAAGCTCAGGACCGTAGCGTTTAACATGATCATGAATCGGAGCAACCCTGCTACTCCTTTGGTTCTGGTGGATTTGAAGCTGTCGAAGCTGGACTCTCCCAACCTAGACATATTAGACGAGGAGTTTGACTCGATGCCATCGTCGGAGTCTGACGTGTACGTGCTTAGGATGAGGTACGATAGGATGAGGAAGATGGGGGAGAAAATCATGTTGTTAGTGGGAGATTTTGCGTCGCAATGCGAAAGGCTTCAAGCGTCCTGGAGGTTATGTACCGACCATATAGTCGTAGTAATTTGCTTGGTGTTCCTCGGTTACGGAGTTCTTCGGTTACTCCAGTCTGAGACTGAGTATGTGTTTAAGTCTGTCCTTCTCCTCTTTATTTCCTATTGGCTTAAATTCCCGTGGCATCGCTACGGTTTGCCAAGCGCCACCAAGAACTATATCAGAAGATTTTCATCCCACGAAGACCTCATCATCACCTGACTAATTGTCTAGGGTTTTGGTTTCATGTATTTTCTTGTTTCGTGTGCATGTATCGGGGCATTGGTGTTTAATGCCCTCTTATTATTAGCAATTAATAAATAAACTAGTACGGTGATTTGTTTTATAACTCAAAGAAGATTGAGTCACTTAGTTTATACGTCAGATTCCACCTATCTCTGTTCTCAGCGTATTTTTATAAAATTTGCTCTTTCAAATTGGGTTTAAGCAAGATATATTGATGGTGCAAAATCATTGCTGATGCTCGTGGTGTTAAGTAACAACAGTTGTTGTGTTGTTGTTGTTGTTTCCTGCTCTACTTAGACCTGAGGAAGAAGAAAGAAACGGAGAAACAAAATGCTCAAGTAAACCATGCCATCAACTGAAAGGAGCTAGAGTCAAAGGGACGATCGCTTTAATGAAGTGGAAGATCGGTTCAAAATGAATATCTAAGAGCATTGTTGGACAAGTTGACTAACTTCTTAAAAATGCTGGAAGAGTTTTCTGGAGAGGAATTTCTCTTATGGAGTATTATATAGATACGCACTCACACCTCGTAAGAAAAGTTGTGATATTATTTATTTGTAGCAGATACATATATTTTGCTTTTTTTTAACAAAAAACAGATACATATATTTGAAAAGATCACCATTTAAGGGCCTTTACAACAACATCCATCTTCGGGCATAGCGTCACCGCCTGTTGCATCGGGATAACGCTTGAGGCAGAAGTCTAGGCAAGTCGCCCCATGCCACTGACCTCTGAAGTAGCATTGTGCCCAAGTCTTTACTCCAAAACCTATTCAACAAGGATTATTAAACAAATATGTTAATTCACATTAAAAAAAAAAAAAGAGAAATAAATAAGCTATATGCAGGATACAAAATAAAAAGCAGAGATCACAATAACAAGTGAGTACCAAGAGTATCATCAGCGCAATGAACAGCAGATATAACAAAGAAGACACTCAGAAAAAGTGCCAACAACATTTTCTTTGTGATAGCCATTTCTGTTATGCTTTCTTAGTTTTTTCTTTTTGTTTTATGTTTTCTGTTTTACTTCGAGTGGTGGTATATAATATATAATAGCACAAAGATATGTACACATTGAAATTCTAGTCAAAAGTGTTTTTAAAATTGAAACAAATATTTGAATTTCTTTTCTTATATCATAAACTTTATCCTCATTTTTAATATTTTACAATGTCAAGTCAAACTATAGTATCCTATAGTACAAATCAAAAGCAAATATTAAAGAAATTAATTTCTATTCAACTCGTAGAAAACATTGTAGGATTTGCTATGTGCCATCATGACAATTTTTCAGCATTCTTATTACCAAACACAAATTATTTTACCAAAACAAAAAAAACCATTTCTGTTCTAGGAATAAGGTTGTTGACCAAAAAGAAAAAAAAATACTATTTTTATTTAAGTTGCCAAACACAAATTTGAATAAGTTTTCAATAAGAAGTTTAAAACAGAATTATAAATCTTATACCTATTGAAATTTTGACTTTCAAAATGGATAGTCTAATCATTCGGATTATAACACATAACGAAGGTAGTACTATATACGTTTATTGGGCCTAGGTAGTCGATGCTTCCGCAAACGAATTGGTTGTTCACATCGTCTACTCCCACCAAAAGGGAGAAATTGTCATCATCATTTGTGATGAGAATTAAGTGATTAAATAAGTTATTGGAAAGTAACTAGAGAATTATGAGGAACTTGCAATCTTCTACGTTCTAACTTCTAACACCGCACGTTTCAGAGTGTCAGAAAAGGGCAGGAAACCAATCTCTGATTATATTTTCCCATATTCAATCTCATATTATGTGTAGATGCTCTGTAATGGAGATTGAATATCTTGCTCAAGGGCTATTTAGAAGAGTATTGAAGAAGCAAACAGATTTTTTATGAGAAAACCACCTTTTCGTTGAATCAGAGATATGGTATTTCTTTTCATGAACGTTCATTGAAATTCTAAGATAGCCTTAATTTCACTTGTTGAAGCAGAGATATGGTATTTCTTGGAAAAATAACGAGTAGAAATCATTTCGCAAAATCTGGATAGTATGATGAACCAATTTTGGTGCATAAATATAAAAACATTATAAGCTAATTTTTTTCTTTTTGACAACCATTACATTACATTATAAGCTAATTTATTAGTAGTACATTTACATTATAGTGCATGTTACTTGTATACAAAATTGGGAATAGTAAGGGTTTATTGGAATTGTAAAGTCTCAACTTGAATACTACAAAGCTGTCCTTGGTACCTTCTCAAGACATAAGCTGTACTGTCGTTGTAAACATCATTAATCATCATTCTTTCTTCAATTGAGAGAGAAAGGAAACTGTTGATATTCCTTCTTGTAACCTTTTAACTTTTATATTCTTGAGAAGCGAGAAAATCTTTATAAACAGATCTCACTAGCGTTTGCTACATAAAACCTACTAACTTGTCCGTTTAGATCCACTGTTCAGTAGAAACAATACAAATTGAAAATGGGTGGAGGACTTGTAGCAGCAGATGATTTCACAGCCGATGCTTTAGGTAAGTCTTTGTTTCTTCAAACTCTTTGAATCTCCATCTCTCACTGATTAACTGTAACAAAAAGGAATTCGTCTTGCAATCAGGCTTGTGGAACTAGTCCAGATCATGTAATTGATTCTTTGCATTTCTTGCTTTTGTAGAATTGAGAAAGTAGAGAACGTACTTAGAATTATTACTGTAAGTTAACTGCTTACATGATTTTGAAGCTTGACAGAGAGCCTCAAGAAACTGAAACCTAAGTCGAAAGCTAGTGAGAAATATGCATTTGTAAATCGATTGACATAATCTCTTTTTTTTTTTCCGATCTGGGAGAGAACAAAGCTGTTTAATTTACTGCTCAATTTGTTATAGTCTTTCATTTCCATCCTCACAAAAATATCAACCAAGTTTCATTTGATTTTTAATATTAAATTCTCTATATTTTCTTTTTGATGTTAACAGATGATGATTTTTCGGAGTTTGTAACGGTGTCGGAATCTGGTACTGAGGTTCAGGTTACTTGTGACTCAGGTTTACAGCTGAAATCTGAAAATCTTCTAGCAGATGATTCAACATTTGATCCTGCAGGTACGTCTTTGTTTCCAACTCTTTGAATCTATTTCTCTGTTTTCGTAAAAAAAAAAAAGAATATGAATCTATGTCTTGCACGTAGTACTGAAGAACTTGATTATCTGCATTATCTTTAGCTTACAAAATATGTTCCTTGTTCAAGAAGAAAAGTAACATTCGGCCTCAAGATAATAAACACAAGGTGTAGAGCTAATATTGTTAATACAAGGTTTCATAATTCTTTGTTTGGGTTTTACAGAGCTGCCAGTGGAGTCAGAATCTTTACCAGAATATGGATCTGTTCCCGAGGTGAACAGTGATTTGGGTCTACAGCAGAAACCTTCAAGAATCCTACTTCTGGTCGGGCGTTCAGGGAACGGTAAAAGCGTGACCGGTAATAGCATTCTTGGTAAAAAAGCCTTCGAGTCAAGCTGGTGTGCGTCAGGTGTAACTACATCCTGTGTGCTACAGAGTTCGACGCTACCAAATGGCCAGATCCTCAATGTTATTGATACTCCTGGTTAGTGTGATCCTTACAACTATTGAGTCTTGAGCCCAAAAAATCATTTATGATATGTCATACACTATAAAACCTTTCTTGATTGGTGCTGCAGGGCTGTTTAGTCTGTCTCCATCAACGGAATTTACTTGCAAAGAGATTTTGAATTGCTTGCGTCTGTCCAAAGAAGGGATTGATGCGGTTCTTGTGGTATATTCCTTGAGGAACAGGCTAACCGAAGAGGAGAGATCTTCCCTTTTTGCGTTGAAGATCTTTTTTGGAAGCGAAATTGTAGACTACATGATTGTTGTTTTCACAAACGAAGATGCATTTGAGGAAGGCGGTGGTACATTGGATGCATATTTGAAAAACTGCCCTGATTTCAATGTTAGTGTTGAGTCTGAAGATTTATCTTATCACTCCTTCTTTTGCGTTTTCTTAATTGAATTGTTTATATGGTTTTAGGAAATTCTTGAGGCATGCAATGACCGCAAGGTGTTGTTTAGAAACAGAGAAAATGCTCCTGAGAGTCAGAAAGCTAAGCAAGTCCAGGATCTCCTTAACTATGTTGAAGAAATTGCTAGTAAGAATGGGAAGCCATATATGAATGATTTATCTCATGAGATACAGGTGAGAAAGAAAACAAGAAATGAAAATTTGTTTGGTATATAGTCTTTGATTGCTTATTGGTTTGCATCTGCTTCTCAGGAAAACGAGATTTCATTCCAGGAAAAGCAGAGAAAGATTTTGGAAATGAAGAAGGGCAGCTTCACTGAACAAGATATGTCTCAAATGATGGAAAATATGAAGAAGTCTTGTGAAAGTCAGCTGCTCAATGAAATGGTGGAGAGGGTAATGTGTTTTGGAGTTAATATAGTATTCGTTGACAATTCTTAATCAGCTGATTTGTGAAGGAACATTAACATTTGTTTTCTTTTGAACATACTTTGATTAGGTGGAGAGTAAGCTTAAAGAGACAATAAAAAATCTTGAGCAGCAACTGAATGAAGAGCGAGCTGCGAGACTTGAATTGGAGAAGAAAGCAAACCAAGTCGAGAAACATTCAAGTGATGTAGCTAGGAAGCTGAACGAGGAGCAAGCTGCAAGACTTGAATTCGAGAAAGAAGCAAACGAAGGCAAGAAACATTCAAGTGATGAAGCTAAGAAGCTGAGGGAGGATCTAAAGAGGGCTGAAAATATGGCTCGGGAACTTCAAGAAAAGGCCAAGCAGTGCATCATCCTGTGATTGGATTTTTTTTATCATATCCATTTGTTGTGTGTTTCCATTTTTTTTTTCTCTTTTGTTGGTGTTAGATTCTCTTGAATTCTTGATTATTGTCACTGATGGATAATTTTCTTATGCGTTTCTCTGTGTTTTTTGTTTGGTTTCTTATCAGCTTCCTGAGTATGGAAAAGATTTGTGTTTGAGTTAAATGATTTTGTCTTTTTTATTCGTACTGCTTCTGCCAAGGACATTCTTAGTCCTTATAAGACAAGTAAGTTTAGAAATGTCGCTCTATTTTCTTCTTAGTCCTTGAAAGATAACAAAGGTACACAATGTGGAGACTTTGGAGGGACTTATTCTGCAACAGACCCATGTTGCCTCTTACATCTAACTGCTCCAGTTTCATCAAACCTCTAAGCAACAAATACACATCCCAGTACTCACTAGGCACACCACTTCCAACTTCACCAGAATTAGAGAGCGGAGAAGAATAAAGGTACCTTGTCGTGTCCACTGGTCAGTTGCCGCCCATGTGGTTATGTGAAACATCCAACACTTTAAGCTGCTTCAGATGTCTTAAAGAGCCAAGCGCTGAAAAGCTCCTGATTCTGTTGTGGCTTAGGTTTAGGCAACAGAGAAGCTGCATCGCCTCCAACCCTAGAAACCAATATTTTTAATCAAATCACACAGATGCAACAACTGATACTCAAGACTCAAAAGCGTTACAAAACACTACATTACATTACATACCTTCAGCTGTACGAAGCTCATTGTGACTGAGATCTAACATTTGGACAAACAGCAACTTCTCGACAGAGGCCATCCTAGATAATTTAAAGTAACTGAGGCTTAGGCAAGCAATATTGTTCATGTTCCTGTACCGAAAGAGGTGTCTGGACAGGGACTCATTGCTTGAAGTCTCCTTGCGGAGAAGAGCTACGCTGTGCTCATCCTTGTAGTACTGGACATGCGAAGGATCAAGGGTCATCAGATCGTTATACAGCTGGAGGATTTCTTCATAATGAACACCCTAAACAGGATCATCCGAGATCATAGCTTCCTCAGCCATCAAAAGCCTTGCAAGAATGAAAAAATGTATACTACAACTCATCCTGTTCCGACGTCTTTGTTACCTCCATAACAAACCTGGAAAAAAGGGAACAAGACAATATATGAATGAAATATGCAAAAGCTGTTTGCAAATGTGAAGCATGCCATCCCCTAAGTCTCTCACCTACGATAGTTCCAAGAGTGAAAGTTCCTGCGATCGAGCTTTTGCGTTTTACTCAAAAGCTCTAATTCTTTCTCCAAGGAAGAATGGCGGTGGCCTTTACTCAAAACCCACTTCTGATGATAACAAGCCCCATAGGACTTGAAATTTCCCGCCAATGCCTTTGTTACCTGAATTAACCAAAGAGACAAGAGAAAACTGACATGACTTGGATGTGAAGCAACCGATATAACAGAGAAAACAGCAGACTACTACAGAGCACATTACTACTGAGGAACAAACAGATTATCACTACAGAGCACATTACTACTGAGGAACAACCAGCAGACTTACTGACGAAGGCATTACCCTCTACTACTTTTACTTATCTCCTCTCCAAGTTGGTGTTCATGACATTTCAGTTCCATGCCTCTCACCGCCAACTTGAGGGGGTATCAAGATAAATACGTACAATATTAGGATAACAATGTAATTAGATTTATTTAGATTTGGTTTTATCATGATCTCTTTTCCCATTAGGAATAGGTTTGCTCCTTGTGTATAAATACTTCTTCTGGTGAATGAATACAAACAACCTTTCCTAATATCTTTCATTACATTAGTCATCATCATACTTCAATTGAGAAAGTAAGGAAACTGTTGATATTCCTTCTTTCTTGTAACCTTTTAATTTATATATTCTTGAGAAACGAGAAACTCTTTATAAACAGATCTCACTAGCGTTAGCTACATAAAACCCACTAACTTGTCTGTGTAGATCCACTGTTCAGTAGAAACAATACCGATTAATAATGGGTGGAGGACTAGTAGCAGCGGATGATTTCACAGCCGATGCTTTAGGTAAGTCTTTCTTTATTCAAACTCTTTGAATCACCATCTCTCACTGATAAATGTAAGCAAAAAGAATTCGTCTTGCAATCAGGCGTGTGGAACTAGCTCCAGTTGATGCAATCAGGCTCTAGTTTTTTTTTATTCTTTTTGATGTTAACAGATGATGATTTTTCGGAGTTTGTAAGGGTGTCGGAATCTGGTATAGAGGTTCAGGTTACTATTGATTTAGGTTTACAGCTGAAACCTGAAAATCTACTAGCTGATGATTCAACACCTGATCATGAAGGTACGTCGTTGTTTCCTCTAAACTCTTTGAATCAAAATTCTATGTCTTGCTAGTAGCCTAGTAGTACTATAAAATGGTAGAAATGTAGATGAACTTCTTTTGCTTACAAAATATGTTCCTTGTTCAAGAAGCAAAGTAACATCTGACCTAACAAAATAAACACAAGGTGTAAAGCTAATATTTTTCATACGACGTTTTCATAGTTCTTTGTTTGTATTTTCACAGAGCTTCCAGTGGAGTCAGAGTCTTCTCTAGACGATGGATCTGTTTTCGAGGTGAACAGTGATTTGGGTTTACAGCAGAAACCTTCAAGAACCCTACTTCTGGTCGGGCGTTCAGGGAACGGTAAAAGCGCGACCGGTAATAGCATTCTTGGTTAAAAAGCCTTCGATTCAAGCTGGTGTGCTTCAGGTGTAACTACAGCCTGTGAGCTACAGAGCTCGACGCTACCAAATGGCCAGATCCTCAATGTTATTGATACTCCTGGTTAGTTTGATCCTTAAAACTATTGAGCCGAAGAGTCATTTATGATATTTCACACACTGTTAAACCTTTCTTGATTGGTGCTGCAGGACTGTTTAGTCTGTCTCCATCAACCGAGTTTACTTGCAAAGAGATTTTGAATTGCTTGCGTCTGTCCAAAGAAGGGATTGATACGGTTCTTGTGGTATATTCCTTGAGGAACATGCTAACCGAAGAGGAGAGATCTTCCCTTTTTGCGTTGAAGATCCTTTTTGGTAGCGAAATTGTAGACTACATGATTGTTGTTTTCACAAACGAAGATGCCTTTGAGGAAGGCGGTGGTTCATTGGATGCATATTTGAAAAACTGCCCTGACTTCAATGTTAGTGCATTCTTGAAATCTTTAAGCTGAAGATCTATCTCCTTCTTCTGCGTTTTCTTAATTGAATTGTTTATATGGTTTTAGGAAATTCTTGAGGCATGCAATGGCCGCAAGGTGTTGTTTAGAAACAGAGCCAATGCTCCTGAGAGTCAGAAAGCTAAGCAAGTTCAAGAGCTCCTCAACTATGTTGAAGAAATTGCTAAGAAGAATGGGACACCGTATATGAATGATTTATTTCATGAGATACAGGTGAGAAAGGAAACAAGAAATTAAAATTTAGTTTAGTAGTCTTTGGATTTCTTATTGGTTTCCATCTGCTTCTCAGGAAAATGAGATTACATTCCAGGAAAAGCAGAGAGAGATTTTGGAAATGAAGAAGGGCAGCTTCACTGAACAAGATATGTCTCAAATGATGGAAAATATGAAGAAGTCTTGTGAAAATCAGCTGCTCAATGAAATGGTGGAGAGGGTAATATGTTTTGGAGTTAATGTTCTTTGACAATTCTTAATCTGCTGATTTTTTTTTTTTTTTGTAAATTGTAATCAAAACTTGTATCTACTTAGGTGGAGAGTAAGCTAAAAGAGACAATAAAGAATCTTGAGAAGAAACTGAACGAAGAGCGAGCTGCGAGACTTGAATTCGAGAAAGGAGCAAAATACGTCAAGATACATTCAAGCGATGCTGTTCAGAAGCTGAAGGTGGATCTAAAGAGGGCTGAAACTATGCCTCGGGAACTTCAAGCAAAGGCTAAACAAAAGCAGTGCATCATTCTGTGATTGGAATTTTTTTATCACATCCATTTGTTGTGTATTTCCAAATTTGTTTCCAAATTCTTTATTATTGTCACTGATGGATAATTTTTTATTTGGTTTCTCACCAACTAGCTGAATTAGCAAAAGATCTGTATTAAAGGACACATTACTCCTCCCCAAGAAGTCATAGCCAAGAGTGTGTGTAGAATTGTAGATGCTACAAACAAGTTGAATATTCGAATAACAGCATTGAGAAAGAAAGATATTAGTGATTTGGAACAGAAGTGATTCATTTTTAGTGATAAAGTACAAACTTATTATTACACAAGAATACATACTAGAACAGATTGTTAAACTAAATCAAAGTACTAATCATCATTGTTATTATCATCTCAAACAACGAGGAGCTCTGGTGATAAAAGGGTCTCCTCCAGCTGATAGGCTTACCCAAATCCACTCATCGGTGACAAACACTCTGCAACCGCCACATCTTCTCGGTGCGTCTTCAGGCTTTGCCAAGAGAATGTTCTGATCTGCCGCTTTACAATCTTGGAGGCAAGACGCAAAATCAGAGTTATCTCCTGATATCACCATCATATTTGTCAATCCATGTACTTGATTGCCCCCCAGCCACAAGTAAAAATCCCCATACATCCTTCTCACTCTCGCATGTTTATCTCCTGAAAAAAAGACATAATATAGTTCAACAACTGAGATCTAAGATACAGACATAAGTAGTGAAAGAACAGAAAAAAGAGCAACCTTCAGGTAAGAGTTTGATTCCGGCGGATTGATAGTAATCTTGGATCTGATACTTGTCACCATAAGCCCAGATTGTGACCTCACCAAGATAACCCTTTTTCACAAGAGCTGATTTGATGTTCTTGGCAACGGACTCAGGATCAAGACCATCTGGGATTGGGCAATCCTCTATGTCCCAGAAGACGCATGTCTTTGCCTCTGCCCAAACGCAATATATATACAATCATATTATGATATAGTTTTCAATTCATTAACACCAATTTCGAGCAAGAGAGAGAGTGAGAGAATACCAGAGTATTTGTTGGACATGGTTTCAACGGAGGTGGAGAAATGAGACTCTCTTCGATACATATTAACACTTCACTGAACAGGACAAAAGGTAAATTAGGGTTAGATCAAGCGTGAGACTCTCTTAGAAAGTATTCACCAAGCAAACATATGCACAATAAACTTAACTCTTTGAAGCAGTTTACAGTTAATCTACAAGGGTTTAGTTTAGCTCTTGATGATAAAGGATTAAACCAAAACATAACCAAACAATGCTACTCTACTCACCACTTAAACAATAAAACTATATCTTCTTTAGAAATAAGAGCCCAACCACAGCAAATTGCTCTTATCAACATTCAAAAACGCATGTTCCAACTATCAAAACAACAAGATGAGAAAAATGCTCTACACTCCCCAAACTAAAAGGCACGGCCTTGGATCCAAACTTTACACAACCACATGGATGTTTAAATCAGTACAATAGTTACATCTCAACACACAAAATGAGCAAAATCAACTCAATTCTGAAGAAGTGTGACCTCTACTTACAACTGAATCTATACAAATCAAGTATATATGAATTAGGACAAGTGTGGTCCGGTTTGTGTTTTTCTTTGTATCTGATAAAGGTCAATCCTTTAGTAGAAACTCATAAGAAGATAATTTACAAAATCATCACTAACAGAGATACTGAAATGAAGGGTTTGATAAACTCGACGCAACGATTCCGTAATTGGGTTTCGTTTTCCTAAACACCACAATGAATTTCGATCCTCAAACTAAGACTCTATGATCTCGACTAATCTAGAAATGGAGCAAGTACTAGACTTAGCCAAATCTTTTTCAGTTTACTTCTCCTAAAGCGACTTACTTTGAGATCGACACGAGCCTTCGAATAAGGAAGGAGAGAAAACTTACATTGAAGACGAAACCACGCGGGATCGGCGGCGTCGATTCTCAGGCTGAGAGTCTGAGAAGATTGGATAGATTGTCGGAGCACAAAATGGGTTGCCGCTTTAGATCAGTACTAAAACGTCGTCGTTTTTTAAGGATAGACGTTAATAAATTATAAATGAAAAAGAAATACATTTATTAAAGTTGTACCTTGTAAGAAAATATATACTCTAAATATTTCAAAAATAGTGTCCCATAATAATAACCCAAATCTTACTGAATTCGTTGAAATATTCGTAAGGAAATATTTCCTCTACTCTCTCAGTTGAGTGATGATAATATAATGTACATGATCAACTTAAATGACAGTTTTATGTATATAATATAATGTACAGATAAATTAAGCTTATGCATCAAAATTGGTTCATCATACTGATGCAATGGGACCGAGGTGGAGGTACGAGCTGCAAAGGTCATCAATTCAGGTTCCTTACGTGCGAGCACATTCTAAACCAAGATTTGAGACTATCCAGATTTGCAGAATGAAATCTACTGATTTTTTTTCTTTCTTTCTTTCGTTCACGAGGTTAGACTATTAATTGAATACCTAGGTCGGTGCAAATGAAACTAAAAGGACTATCCTAGCATTGTAAATAATGTTTTCATACCACCTCTCTGATTCAACTAAAAGTTCTTTGTCATGCAAAATATGTTTGCTTCTTCAACACTCATCTAAATTAGCCCTAGAGAAATTCAACTTCCTTATTCAGAGCATCCACATATAGAATACGACGTTCAGGATGTGAAAACATTCACAGAATAGTGCACTTTTTACTGTCGAGCTTGGCACGCAAGGAAGCAGTCTCTGCCATAGCCTCGTCAAGCTGTTCTCTCAGCTTCCTGATCTCATCACCCGATTGATTCTGAATATCCTTCATCTTTCTCTCAGCTTCTTCTCTTTTAGCTTCTGCCTTCGACAGTTACTCCTTTACTTTCATCATTGATTCCTTTAACTGTCTCGAGACCTGACCAGACGCATGCAACAGAATCAACATAGTGTATAACAATGAAACATGAGAGATGATAACCAATAAATGGATTATACATACCTTCTCTTCCATTCCCTTGAGCATTTCCTTATATGACTTCTCCAACTCCTTCAGCAGAGTAGTCTCGTTCTTAAATGACAAGCTCTTCATTGCTTCAATCTGCTTCTGTTGATCCTGGAATGCGGCCTCATTCTCCTGAAAAGAAGATTGAGTTTTAACCAGATATACATGAAATGAAAAGTGTCAAACATTTCTTAACAGGAAAAAATACTATTTCTCACTCTTAGCTCAAGTGATAAGTCAGCCATATATGATCTCTCATTGTTCTTGTTTGAGATTTGTTGGACGAGGTTGAGAAGATCCTGGACTTGCTTCTCTTTCTTGCTTTCAGGGATGTCACTTCTATTGTCAAACAACACCTTACGCTCATCACATTCCTTTAGAATTTCCTAGAAACAAGTTTGGAATTGTAACATGCAAGAAACTATTGGTTTTACGCAAATGTTACAAGACAAAGGTAATAAACTGACCCGAAACTCAGGACAGTCCTGCAAATAGTCCTCCAGGGTGTCTCCAGCATCAAGTGCATCCCCATTGGTGAAAACAACGATTATATGATCCACTATTTGCCTTCCTAATAATATCTTTAACGTATGAAGCGTTGATTGTTCCTCTTCTGTTAATCTATTCCTCACCGAGAAAACCAGAAGCACTGCATCAATTCCATCTCTAGCCAGACATAAGCATCTAATGATTTCTCTGCTTGTAAATTCTGTAGTCGAGGAAGCACTAAACAGACCTGATGAAGCAACATTATATTAATAACTAATCTCAATCTATGTGTTGAGAAAACGTTGGGATTTGATAATAGATAAGGGTCACACAAAACTCACCAGGAGTATCAATAACATTGATGGTCAGACCATTTGGTAGCTCGGATTTATGTAGCTTACACTCCTTTGTAATGAATCTCCCTCTTGCTTTTGACAGGAACTTAGTTTCTCCTAGGATGGTTCTTTCATGTGTCGATTTAACCTCGGCTGTTGCATCATTTGTTATAACATTAGTTCCAATACTAGAGAGTTTTTCAACAGCAGAAGAAGTATGATGGTTCTTATAAATGCACGATTCTCACTATGTATCTCTCTAGTTGTGTTTCATATCTTAAGATATTTCATATGTGGAGGTGCAAGACAGATTCACACTCCGTTTGTTTTAGCCATATTAAACCAGTTAGTGAGAGAGAAAGAGATCCAAGGATTTAAGGGAAAATAGACTTACATGGACCAGTTCTGAAATCATCTGCTACAAGTCCTCCACCCATTTGATAGTTGACAAGTAAATCTTGAGATACAGATCAAGAGATTTTGAAAAGAAACGTAAAGGTAGAAGAAAAGGAGTTCTATAGACAAACACAAAAGAGAAATGGAGAAACTAAAGTTAAACTTCAAAAAATCAAATGAAAAAATAAATAAAAAGGGTAAACAAAAAAGAAGTAATAGCAACAGTCTGTATTGATGAATAGCTGTTGAATGTGTTTAGTACCCAATGAGAGTGAATGGAGACAAGCTTCCATTACTAAATCCTTTAGAATACTCCTGTTTTATTTGGACGATAAAGTCTCAACTTGCATAAAAAGCTGTCCTTTGTTCCTTCTCGAGACATATAACTGTCGTTTGAATAAAATCAATTAAACATCATTATCATCATTTGAGAGTGTAGTAGAGACTCTTGATATTCCTTCCTTTATGTATTCTTATTCTTGAGAAACGAGAAAGTCTAGCAAAATTTCACTTAAAAGTTAAAACCCATTTTACATGTCTGTTTAGATTCACTTGTTCAGCAGAAACAATACGGATTTCAAATGGGTGGAGGACTAGTAGCAGCAGATGATTTCATAGGTTATCCTTCAGGTAAATCTTTGTTTCTTCAAACTTTTTGAAGCCCTATCTCTCCCTGATAAAATGCAAGCAAAGATAATTTGTCTTGCATTCAGGCTTATGGAACTAATTCCAGATAAAAGTATGCCCATATATAATTTTGTTCATTAACCTTTGTAGAACTGAGAACGTAGTTACTGTAATTTAACTGCTAAAGAACTAGAAAACAGACGTTCTATATGATTTAGATGCTTAGATATTATTAGATCTAACTTGTTCTAGTTCATAATAATAATAAAAAAACACAAGTTAGAGCTAATAATATATGAATGTCTTTGGATTTGACAGAGCTACCAATGGTGTCAGAATCCTCTCCAGAGGATGGATCTGTTTTGGAGGTCAACTGCGATTTGTCTTTAGAGAAGAAACCTGCAAGAACCCTAGTTCTGGTCGGGCGTTCAGGCAATGGGAAAAGTGCGACAGGAAATAGCATTCTTGGAAGACAAGCTTTCAGGTCAAGAGGGTGTGCGTCAGGGGTAACTACAGCCTGTGAGCTACAGAGTTCGACGTTGCCAAATGGACAGATCCTCAATGTTATAGATAGTCCTGGTAATGTGTCTGAAACTAAAAACATTAAACCAACGAGTTATTTATGATATTTTCAAATCTTGGTGCTGCATGCAGGTCTGTTTAGCATGTCTCCATCAACCGAGTTTACATGCAGAGAGATTGTAAGGTGCTTGTCTCTGTCCAAAGATGGAATTGATGCCGTGCTTGTGGTATTTTCCTTGAGGAACAGGCTAACAGAAGAGGAGAAATCTGCTCTTTTCGCGTTAAAGATCCTTTTTGGAAGCGAGATTGTAGACTACATGATCGTTGTTTTTACAAATGAAGATTTCCTTGAGGATGAAGGTGATACATTGGAGGAATATCTGGAAGACAGTACTGACTTCAAGGTTACTATTGATCCTGAAACCTCAAACGGAAGATTTATCACCTTGTTTTGCGTTTCTTATTAAATTGTTTGCATGGTTTTAGGATATTCTTGTAGCCTGCAATGACCGCAAGGTGTTGTTTGGAAACAGACCCAAAGCCCCTGAGAGTCAGAAAGCTAAGCAAGTTCAGGAGATCCTAAACTATGTTGAAGAAGTTTCAAGGAAAAATGGGAAACCGTATATGAATGATTTATCTCATGAGATACAGGTGAGAAAGAGAAAAGGAAATGAAATTTGTTTTGATAGTCTTTTGGTTACTTCTTGGTTTACTATATTTCTTTCATCTGCTTCCCAGGAACACGAGACTGCATTCCAAGAAAAGCAGAGAGAGGTCTTGGAAATGAAGAAGGGCGGCTTCACGGAACAAGATATGTCTCGAATGATTGAAAACATGAATAACTCTCGTGATGCCCAGCTGCTTAATGAAATGGTGGAGAGGGTAATGTGTTGTGATTTATGAGTTTATATAGTAACTCTTATGACAATTCTCCTGATTTCTAAACATGCCTCTGAATATGTTGCTTAGGTTGAGCGTAAGCTGAAAGAGACAGTAGAGAAGCTAGAGCAGCAACTGAACGAAGAGCGAGCTGCAAGACTTGAACTGGAGAAAAAGGCAATACAAGTTGAGAAACGTTCAAGTGATGTTGCTAAAAAGCTTAACAAAGAGCAAGCTGCAAGACTTGAGTCGGAGAAAAAAGCAAACGAAGTCAAGAAACATACAAACGATGTCATTAACAAGCTGAAGAAAGATCTATCGAGGGCTGAAAATATGACCCGGGCACTTCAAGGAAAGGCTAAACAGTGCATCATTATGTGATTGAATTTTGTGATCACATCCATTTGTGTATTTCCAAAAAATTGTTTCTCTTTGGGGGGTGTTGGATTCTCTGCATTATTATCTTTGATGGATAGTTTTATTCTAAGTCGGGTTAATTTTATGGTTTCGTTTACAACAAAAATCGCTTTCCTTCTAATGGTCAGTCACACCTGTCAAGAATTACTGGTTAGAGAGTTATTAGCTTAATAATTAGCAAACTAATTAGGAACCAAAATATCAAATGGTTAGTTCTACAATCGTATCTCTTCCTACAAGGAACATGCATACTAGAGTTTAAAAGAGAAAAATTGGATTAGTGGGAATGGTTCAATTATATTTTCAAAACAAATTGGTTTCAACTATAATTTCAAACCATCAAATATGAATGTTCCTTGTAGGCCAAGTGGGAATGGTTCAAATATTTTCAAAACATCAAATCGGTTTAGCATGTCTAGAGAGATGTTAAGGTGCTTACTCTGAACAGAGATGTTTGCATTCCTTTTATATAATGGTCTTCTTTTTTTTCTTTCTGATTTTGCCAAGAAAGTGATTTCTGTCAAACAACTACTACTCTAGAACTAGTTTTGCTTCTCTGTATTTCAAACAAAACAGAGTTATGCAATTTCTGCATATTCAAATAATTGTTAAGATCACTTGGTCTCACGATGCATTGGTGGTTTATGTCCTCATTCGAGCAAACTCATTAAAGAACCACAATCGTCTCTTGAAAAGGCCACACTACTCCACAAAGAAGTCATAACTCATAACACAATGATTCCATAATGACAATGTACTAACTTTATTATTACAGACCACATAGGCATAAATAACTCGAACAGATTGTTAAACTAGATCATCAAAGTAGTAATTATCATCATCTGAAACAGACTACAAAGCTCTGGCGATAGGGTCTCCTCCAGCTGCTAGGCTTTCCCAAATCCACTCATCGGTGACAACTGCTTCCGACAAGCTGCAACCGCCACATCTTCCTGGTGCGTCTTCAGGCTTTGCAGTGAGAATGTTCTGATCCGACTCTTTATGACGTTGGAGAGAAGACGCAAATTCAAAGTTATTTCCTGTTATGACCATCATATTTGTCAACTCATGTGCATGAGTCAATCTCCATTTGTAAAGTTCCAAATGCATCTTTCTAAATCTCTCGTATTTGCTCCCTGAAAAAAACGTAATATATCATAAGATAAAGTAGAAAAAAAGAGGGCTTTTTCTTTTTTCCTTTAGAAAAAGAACAGAATTTTCACCTTCGCAAAGGAGTTTGATTCCTGCAGATTGATAGTAATCTTGGGTCTGATACTTGTCACCATAAGCCCAGATTGTGACCTCACCAAGATAACCCTTTTTCACAAGAGCTGATTTGATGTTCTTGGCAACCATTTCCGGATTCAGACCATCTGGGATTGGGCAATCCTCAATGTCCCAGAAGACGCATGTCTTTGCCTCTGCCCAAACGCAAATATACAGTCATATTAAGATCCATCAGTTTTATATTCGTTAAAGACTAGTCTGGTTCAAGAGAGAGAGTGAGTGAGAGTATACCAGCGTATTTGTTGCTAGGACTCAAGGAAGCCATCTGAAACAGAAAAAAGGTAAATTAGGGTTTAGGAGAAATGTGACCTCTACTCACAAAATCTATACAAATCGAATTAGGACAAGTGTGGTCCGGTTTGTGTTTTCTCGGATCTGATAAATGTCAATCCTTTAGTAGAAACTCATAATTTACAAAATCATCACTAACACAGACAACGAAATTAATTTAGGGCTATGAGAACGATTCCTTAACTGGATTCCGTTTCCTAAACACCACAATGAATTTCGATTCTCAAACTAAGACTCTAAGATCAAATCCTCTCGACTAATCTAGAAATGGTGGAACAAGTACTAGACTTTAGCCACAAGTGCGTTCTACTTTGAGATTCGAAGAAGGAACGAGAGAAAACTTACACTGAAGAAGAAACCACGCGAGGAAGATCGGAGAAAGTCGGTAGTAATGTGAGGAAATCAATCGGCGGCGTCGATTCTCAGTGTGAGAACAAAAATGAGCTCCTCGCTTGATAATCGAGATTTAAGTAGAAGCGACGTCGGTTTAGGTACAAATCCTAAATTACAAGAGATACATAACGATGCCGTTTTAAGGGATTGACATCTGAATTTCGAAGTTTTTGTATCAAGTAATAATATTTTGAAAACTACTATTGTATGGTTTCAGGCAAGTAATAAAACCAAGTTACAACTTTGATAGTTGGAAAATATTAAGTCTTGTAAGTATAGATGTCCTCGTAAAATATAGTAACCGAGAGAGATTTTTCTTTAGTTGCATGTCAATTTATTTCTTTATCTAAGTATTTGTTACTTTTATATGACCATGCATCGTCTTCCTCTATGAAAAATTAAACCTTATTCATAATCAAACCGTTGCTAGTAAAAAAAAAAAAAACCATTGTAAAACATTTTAAAAAATTCAGCTTTGTTCTGGTGAAAGAAAGAATTTACATGTATTGTTTCAAGTTCATATCAGTGCTGCCTAAACTCTTCATAGTAAGCAATCCGTTCAAATGTAACTTTTCTTATCTTGTTATGCTCTATATCATAGAAGAAATTAGATAAATAATGGTCATATGACACAAATTCTGGGTCCAAAACCAAAACGAGTCTCACGGAATATTGAAAGAACAAAACTTAAGTTTCATTCCAGACTGATACTCTGAGACAAATCAGTTGGAAGGTATAGTAAAAAAGGAACTAGGCTGAGAAATGTGCAAAATTTGTGAGACCTTTTTGTTTAACTTATCGTATAGATAGGGTTTGTTTTCGTAGGGATACAAGATCTGTATTGATTTATATTCATCTTTAACTCATTTGTAGAAGATAATCGTGTTTTTTATCCTCAATATCCTCAGCTTCCTGATTTTACACCTTGCCAAATTTCTATCTCAGGAAAGGTAATAGACAAGGAAAGTCTCAGGAAAGTCTCCAATGGAGGAGGACTATGATGAAATCCAGGACTATCCTAGCTGGGATGAGAAGTATAATTCAGATACAGATACAAAAGATATAATTGATATGTATACGCAGCAAGAGAAAAATGAAGAGCCTGAGAAAGAGAGGCTTGAGAAAGCAAGAGTGGAAAAGAACAAAATGTTCCAGAAGATGCTGCTTGAAGAAAAGAACTCTCCAGTAACGGTGCGTCCTATTACAACTTTTTATGGTTAAAAAGTTTTGAGGTTACTTATTATTAGGTGAAATTTTGTATGTAGGAGAAGACTCGATTGGACTTTCTTGTGGAGCGGATTGCCAGGTGTGTTGGAGAATCCTTAATACTTATTGGCTTTATCTTAGTTTGTCCCTGATTTTTTTTTTTTTTTTTTGTAATTTTTAGCTTTAGGCAGAAGGACTTTAATGGATCAGGCAATGAGGAGAAATACGAGGTTGCTCATTAAGCCCTCTTGTAAGTACTCTTTTTTTGAATTCAAAATGAATACCTATCGTAGGCGATCAAAAAGAAAGAACAAAAAACGTGATCGACTTTAATGCAATGTATCGTTTAAAAGAATATTAAAGTACATAGAAAATAATGCAGCTTGGATCATACATTTTTCAAGAGTAGAATGAGAGATAGCAGTTTAAGCTTACATTGTAGCTAGCATGTTAGTAACTTAGTATAATATATGTTGTTGTGAACAAACATGTATGTGACTGAGCAGAACATGTATTTTATAGTTTGTGTTAATGTAGTAGTTGTTACTGTTTACAGTTTACCATCCAAATTTTCAAACATTTATAATATTTAGTGTTGAAAGAACAATACGTGCTGAAGTGACGAACAAATATTAGTATTTATGTATTAACAACTACTACTACTCTAGAACTAGTTTACTTCTCTGTATTTCAAAGAATTCAATTATTTTTTTTTCTTCTCTTTATTTACCGCATAATGACATATATACAATCTGAAGATCACTTAGTCTCACGATGCATTGGTGGTTTATGTCCTCATAAGAGCAATCTCATTCAAGAACCACAATCGTCTCTACATTACTCCACAAAGAAGTCCTAACTCATAACACACTGATTCCATAATGACAAACTACAAAGACTACAAAGGCACAATAATAACTAGAACCGACTACAGAGGCATAATAGCTACAACAGATTGTTAAACTAGATCATCAAAGTAGTAACTATCACCATCTGAAACAGACTACAGAGCTCTGATGATAGGGTCTTCTCCAGCTGCTAGGCTTTCCCAAATCCACTCATCGGTGACAACTGCTTCCGACACGCTGCAACCGCAACATCTTCTCGGTGCGTCTTCAGGCTGTGCAGTGAGAATGTTCTGATCTGACTCTTTACAATGTTGGAGACAAGACGCAAATTCAGAGTTATCTCCTGATATGACCATCATATTTGTCAACTCAGGTACATGCTTCAAATCCCAACTGAAACAATGCGTATACATCCTTCTAAATCTCTCGTATTTGCTTCCTGAAAAACGTAATATATCATAAATATCATAAGATAAAGTAGACAAAAAGAAGGCTTTTTTTTTGGTCTAAAGGAAAACAAAAAGAATTTTCACCAAGGCAATGGAGTTCGATTCCGGCGGATTGATAGTATTCTTGGACCTGATACTTGTCACCATAAACCTTGATTGTGAGCTCACCAAGATAACCCCTTTTCGCAAGAGCTGATTTGATGTTCTTGGCAACCATTTCCGGATCCAGACCATCTGGGATTGGGCAATCCTCAATGTCCCAGAAGACGCATGTCTTCGCCTCTGCCAAACGCAAAATATACAGTCAGATTAGATCCATCAGTTTATGACATAGTTTTAAAGACCAGTCTGGAGCAAGAGAGAGAGAGTGAGTGAGAGAATACCAGCGTATTTGCTGCTTGTCAAGGAAGACATCTGAAACAGAAAAAGGTAAATTAGGGTTAGATCATGGGTTTAGGGTTATGACGGAGATGAGAAACATAGCTCTACACTCCTCAAACTAAAAGGCACAGCCTTTTGATCCCTTTCCAGTTTCCACAACCACATGGTGTTTAGCTTACTTGTCAAAACAGAAAATGAGCAAAAAGTCAGCTCAATTCAGGTTATCAGATCCAGCAATTGTGAAGAAATGCAACCTCTACTTACAACTGATTCTACACAAATCAAGTATATAGGAACTAGGAGAAGGATGGTCCGGTTTGTGTTTTCTCGGATCTGATAAATGTCAATCCTTTAGTAGAAACCGCATAATTTACAAAATCATCACTAACAGAGACACCGATTCCTTAACTGGGTTTCGCTTATTAAACACCACAATGGATTTCGATTCTCAAACTAAGACTCTAAGATCAAATCCTCTCGACTAATTTAGAAATGGTGGAACAAGTACTAGACTTTAGCCATCTCTCTTTTCACTTAACTCCTCTTACTGCGTTTTACTTTGAGATTCGAAGAAGGAAAGAGAGAAAACTTACACTGAAGAAGAAACCACGCGAGGAAGATCGTAGAAGGTTGCTGTAATGCGAGGAATTATCAATCGGCGGTGTCGATTCTCCTCAGTGTGTGAAGAGAATAAGTTTGTCGGAGAACAAAGTGAGCTCGTCGCATAGAAGCGATGCCGTTTTAGGCAGAAATCGTAAATTACAAAAATACATAAACGATGCCGTTTTAAGGATTGACTTCAAAAATTCCAGATTAGGCTTAAATCAGTGGTCTGTCGAATATTGAATATATATCGTAGGATAATAAATATTTAAAAGATGCAATATGTTCAAACAAAAAATGTGAATGTTGACCAAATGGACGAGAACAATTACAAACTGTAACTGGTGACCAAGGAATGAGAGGGAATATAAAACAATTCTCCTTCATTTCTTACAAATTACACCATTTATAAGGAATGTGTATTCCATATTATTCCTTACCATTCCATATTAATTAGGGAATTATAGTGTTAAAATATTCCTTATAAAATATGAGGAGGAATGAGTTCCATATATTTTATTCCTCTTCGTTCCATTCTTTCTCATTTCTTTTGTTTCTTTACATGTCACCAGTTAAAGCCAAAATGGTAAAAGTTAGTATATGGTATGCCACACTATTTGCGTCATACCAAAGGCACAATGAAACGAAATGCAATTACAAAACTCTAAAGTTTACCGCCAAGCATACCATTTCCACTAATGTGCCTCAATTGCATCTCCATTGTCACCACCCTCGTAGAAACCATCACTCCTAAGTCCTAACATCATTAACCAAGGTAGATGATTGCGTCATATTGTCATAAGAGTCTCCAGACCTGTAAGTTATTAAGAACATAATCACACATCTTTGTTTTAAAGAGAATAATTAACTTTAAGGTGATGAGACCTATGTCCTGAAACATGAATAATTACTACATAAATTCTAAGAAATCAAATTGAATTATACTATTAGGGAACTGGATAGAGTTTCAATATTACTATCAAACTCATAACTATCAATCAATAATAAAGGTCAAGAGCTTTAGCACTATAGCTACTGTGTGATCTTTATTTAGAAATAATAAAAATCTTCATGGAGCTAATCAAATGCCATAATTTTGCCACAATTTCCTTGTAATTATGCATGTAGTCACTGTTGTATTAATGACTATGGTGCTATCTGAATTGATGTTACATGCGAACACAAAAGTAACTAAAAATACAATCGATTTCAGCTAACTCTGGCAAGAGAACTTTTATAGTATTGGATTCCTAACCGTTATGTTATCTGAATCGGTTCAAATAACTCGTTAAGAACTATTGGATTCAACATAACTAGCATCACCTCTCTTAACTTAAAATGACCTTAAGTCGCTCTAACATAATATAACTCGTTAATTGGGCAAAAAAAATACAGTCCTCTATATATTATTAGCTGATCATGTAGTTTAATGAAGAAAAAAAACATATAGATCTAAGGGTAAAATTTCAATATGCACATTTTGAAACTAATTATAAAATTTCCATATGCACATTTTCAATATGCTCTCTTACAAAATTGGTTGAACTAATCTGATCATGCGAGCAATCACATTCAAGAACCACAATCGTCTCATGAAAAGGCCCATAATGACATAATTGATAATTCCTTCACAAAGAACCACGATCATATTACTTGACAAATTGGTCATAATTCCTAACACACTGATTCCATAATGACAATGTACTAACTTACTATTACAGACTACACTCACTACAGAGGCATAACAGATCAATGTACTAACTTACTATCACAGACTACAGAGGCATAACAGATCAAAGTACTAACTATCATCAATCTGAAACAGACTACAAAGCTCTGGTGATAGGGTCTCCTCCAGCTGCTAGGCTATCCCAAATCCACTCATCGGTGACAGCTGCTTCTGACACGCTGCAACCGCAACATCTTCTCGGTGCGTCTTCAGGCTGTGCAGTGAGAATGTTCTGACCTGACTCTTTAACACGTTGGAGACAAGACGCAAATTCTGCGTTATCTCCTGATATGACCATCATATTTGTCACGTCATGTACATGACTCAATCCCCATCTGAAAAAATCCGGATACATTCTTCTAAATCTCTCGTATTTGCTTCCTGAAAAACATAATATATCATAAGATAAGTAGAAAAAAGAGTGTTTTTTCCAAAGAGGAAAAAAAAAACAAAAAGAATTTTCACCAAGGGAATGGAGTTCGATTCCGGCGGATTGATAGTATTCTTCGACCTGATACTTGTCACCGTAAACCTTGATTGTTAGCTCACCAAGATAACCCCTTTTCGCAAGAGCTGTTTTGATGTTCTTGGCAACCATTTCCGGATCCAGACCATCTGGGATTGGACAATCCTCAATGTCCCAGAAGACGCATGTCTTTGCCTCTGCCAAACGCAATTTACAGTCATATTAGATCCATCAATTTTCAATTCGTTACAGACCAGTCTAGAGCAAGAGAGAGTGAGAGAATACCAGCGTATTTGCTGCTTGTCAAGGAAGACATCTGAACAGAAAAGGGTAAATTAGGGTTAGATAATGGGTTTATTAGGGTTATGACGGAGATGAGAAACACAGCTCTGTACACTCCTCAAACTAAAAGGCACAGCCTTTGATCTTAAATTTCCAATTTCCACAACCATAGGGCTGTTTAAATGAATACAATAGCTTAATGAGCTTTCCACTTAACTTGTCAAACACAAAAAAAAGGAGCAAAAATGAGCTCAATTCAGGTTCCCAGATCCAGCAATAGTGAAGAAATGTGACCTCTACTTACAACTAAATCTATACAAATCGAATTAGGAGAAGTGTGGTCCGGTTTGTGTTTTCTCGGATCTGATAAATGTCAATCCTTTAGTAGAAACTCATAATTTACAAAATCTTCACTAACAACAGAGACACCGAAATTGATTTAGGGCTATGAAAACGACTCCTTAAGTAGGTTCCGTTTCCTAAACACCACAGAGAGTTTCGATTCTCAAACTAAGACTCTATGAACAGATCCTCTCGACTGATTTAGCAATCTCTTTTCACTTAACTCCTCTTAGTGCGTTTTACTTTGGGATTCGAAGAAGGAACGAGAGAAAACTTACACTGAAGAAGAAACCACGCGACGAAGGTCGGAGAAGGTTGCTTGTAATGTGAGGAAATCAATCGGCGGCGTCGATTCTCAACTTGTCAGTGTGAGAAGAGGATGACTTGTCGGAGAGCAAAGTGACCAGAGTGTTAGAAACTAGAGTGTTAGAAAGCGACGTCGGTTTAGGTAAAAATCCTAAATTACAAAAATACATAAACGACGCCGTTTTTAAGGATCGACATCCCTCAAAAATTCAAAATTAGGCTTAAATCAATGGTCTTTCGAATATCGAATATCGAATATCTATCGTAGGATAATAAAATATTTAAAATGATGCAATATGTACAAGTACAACAAAAAAATGTGAATAGCCTAACGTCTTCAAGGCAAAAGCTTCAAAAGCTAAATGGTATGCCACACCATTTGCCTCATACTATATTAGTGACGTTGAGGTGGAATAAATTGTTGTATCTCTTGTAGTGTGCATAGATGATTTCATATTGGTGAATGGTGGTGACACATGTATATCACTGTGGGAAATTGGATCTGTAAAACAATAGATACATAACAAACACACAAATCTGGTCATAGCTATAAAGTAAGAACGAACTTAATTAGCCAAAATGGAAAGCCGACTTAGCCCGAAAACATACTCCGATTAGTTGGAAAGCCAAAGCCGAAACGAAAATGAAAATTTATTTTTCTCAATGAAAGGTTAGAGAGAGAAGAGAGGAATAAAAACAAAAAACGATAAACTAATAAAAAAAATAGAGAACCTTCTTACACAACAAGGTTTTTTTTTTTAAACGATTCGACTAGAAAAATATTATTCCAATATAAGACAAACTCCATTGTCTAAAAAAAAAACCTCCATTTCCTAGTACATTTGTGCTATGGCTTTATTTCTAGGGACTGGCTAGTCCGAGTTACTCATGTCTATAGAGAAGCGAATCCAGTTGCTGACGGCTTGGCGAATCACGCGTTCTCAGGTGTTTTTTCCTTTACCTCTTCTCCTGTTGAGATATCAACATTGATGATAGAGGACGTTGATGGCTCTTCAAAAGCTCGTGTTGTAAGACTTTAGTTTGTTTGTTTAATAAAAGGAGACATTCGTCTCCTCTCTCATACCAAAAAAAAAAAAAAAAAAAAAACCTCCATTGAGAGAGTAGCCAAGTTAGAATTCAAAGTCTGAAACGTTATGCTTGATCACAATCGTGACACCATGAGGAATTTTCTGAACCATTTGAAGCAACGTAACTCATCGAACCTTTCAGCATCAAGGTTGTCTCTCAAGCGCACGACCAATGTCTCTAGAGTCTTTCTGTTTCCCAGCACTAACTCAATGAATAAAGCGATGAGTTTTGGCTCCGACGAGGCTGGAACAACTTCAAATTTCAAGCCTCGTGAATCAATGTAGGTACGGAGATAGTTCTCTTGTACGTTGGACTGAAATTTGAAATATCAGATTTAAAACAAACAAGAAGAAAAGAAAATGAAGGACAATCTTCACTGTGTAAGAAAAGAGAAAGAGGTTCATGGTAAAACGTACCCTGACAATTCTACTTTTGTATAAGTTTAGTGTTAGCTTCTTTAACTCAGGTGAGTTTCGGAGCAGTTCTGCGATACCAGGAACACCACGGAGCTGGGCATCACTAGGAACAAAATATCTGAGAAACCCCGTCTCGAGAGTCAAATCTTTGATCTTGAGTGTCGGAAAAGGAACACCACTGAGCTCGGAAACAGATAAAACCTAAAAAAAACAAAAAAGATAGGTAGTGATTATTCATTCTCAGAATATTACAATCAACATATTATAGATATACCTGAAGAAACATTGATCCCAAAGTAAGCTTCTCTATGTTGTGCAGTTTTGGTAACATGTCCATTGACACGAAGAAAACCAGCCGCAATGGTGTTTCCCCAGTATGGGATCAGGTTGAGTTTAGCTTCTGTTAAAGACGAGACATGATCCAAACTGCATGGTGGTGTGTTGGTAGTTTCCAGTCTCAAATAATGGATGTGAGGCGCTACAATCTCTCTTGGCCCTGAATCTGGACTACCGTGATCTATCTCCAATCTTGTCACATGCATAGATTCGCTAAGATCAAGACGTCCAAGCATCTTACAGGAATTCAACGCCAAGCTTTCGAGAACTGGACAGCCAGAGAGAATCTTAGCAGCAGACTCGTCGGGGATGTTACAACTGTCCAAGCACAAGGTCTTAAGCGATGGCCAGAATACTGTTGATCTCGGGATCAACCTGATATAATAGTGCAGTACCAACTACCAAGCTGAGTCGCTTTACTGAGGAACTGACGTAGAAAATATCTGGAAGAGTGTAGTTTGGATTGCCAAATCTGTCGGAACGAAGGAGATGATATGATGCAGAATCCCGTCTGGTAGGGAACTAATGAGATCCATACTCTCGATTGCACCTCTCTCTCCGGCATAATCTGCCATGGCAATCAAAGCTCCGAGTGCTTTCCTTCGTGTCGAATACAAATCAATTCTAGGTTTACTTCCCGATAACGAGAGAAGATTCTTTACAGAGGATCTCACTAAAACTAAAATAAAATATATTCGACACTATGAAAAAAGTACAGCTAGGGTAAAATTTAAATATGCACATTTTCAATATGCTCTCTTACAAAATTAATATGATCATGCGAGCAATATCATTCAAGAACCACAATCGTCTCTTGAAAAGGCCACATTACTTGACAAACAAGTCATAACTCCTAACACACTGATTCCACAATGACAATGTATCAGCTTACTATTACAGACTAGAGAGGCATGAAAGTACTAATTATCATCATCTGAAACAGACTACAGAGCTCTGGTGATAGTGATAGGGTCTCCTCCAGCTGCTAGGCTATCCCAAATCCACTCATCGGTGACAACTGCTTCCGACACGCTGCAACCGCAACATCTTCTCGGTGCGTCTTCAGGCTGTGCCATGAGAATGTTCTGATCTGTCTCTTTACAACGTTGGAGACAAGACGCGAATTCGGAGTTATCTCCTGATATCACCATCATATTTGTCACTTGATGTGCATCATGACTCATTAGCCATCTGTAAAATTCCGTATGCATCATTCTAAATCTCTCGTATTTGCTTCCTGAAAAAACGTAATGTATTATAAGATAAAGTAGAAAAAAGAGGGCTTTTTTTTTCCTTTAGAAAAAAAATTCACCTTCGCAATGGAGTTCGATTCCGGCGGATTGATAGTAATCTTGGATCTGATACTTGTCACCATAAACCCATATTGTGAGCTCACCAAGATAACCCCTTTTCGCAAGAGCTGATTTGATGTTCTTGGCAACCATTTCCGGATCCAGACCATCTGGGATTGGGCAATCCTCAATGTCCCAGAAGACGCATGTCTTTGCCTCTGCCAAACGCAAAATATACAGTCATATTAGATCGATCATTTTATGATATAGTTTTAAAGACCAGTCTGGAGAAAGAGAGAGAGTGAGAGAGAATACCAGCGTATTTGCTGCTTGTCAAGGAAGACATCTGAAACAGAAAAAGGTAAATTAGGGTTAGATCATGGGTTTAGGGTTATGACGGAGATGAGAAACACGGCTCTACAAACTAAAAGGCACAGCCTTTGATCTTAAATTTCCACTTTCCACAACCACAGGGTGTTTAAATCAATACAATAGTTGCTTAACTTACTTGTCAAACACAAAAAGGAGCAAAAATTAGCTCAATTCAGGTTGCCAGATCCAGCAATTGTGAAGAAATGTGACCTCTGCTTACAACTGAATAAACTTATAATTTACAAAATCATCACTAACAGAGACGCCGAAATTAATTTAGGGCTATGACAACGATTCCGTAACTGGGTTCCGTTTCCTAAACACCACAATGGATTTCGATTCTCAAACTAAGACTCTAAGATCGACTAATCTAGAAATGGTGGAACAAATACTAGACTTTAGCCATCTCTTTTCACTTAACTCCTCTTAGTGCGTTCTACTTTGAGATTCGAAGAAGGAAAGAGAGAAAACTTACACTGAAGAAGAAACCACGCGAGGAAGATCGGAGAAAGTCGGTAGTAATGTGAGGAAATCAATCGGCGGCGTCGATTCTCAGTGTGAGAAGAGGATGAGTTTGTCGGAGAACAAAGTGAGCTCGTCGCTCGAGATTAGTAGACAGTTGGGTAGAAGCGATGCCGTTTTAGGCAGAAATCGTAAATTACGAAAATACATAAACGATGCCGTTTTAAAGGATCGATATCAAAAATTCAAAATTAGGCTTAAATCAACAACGGTCTGACAAATAACGAATATCTATATTCTATAGTAGGATATTAAATATTTAAAAGATCCAATATGTACAACCAAAAAATGTGAATGTTGACCAAATGAACGAGAAAAATTAATAGCTTAACGTCTTCAAGGCAAAAGCTTCAAGAGCTAAATGGTATGCCACACCATTTGCCTCATACCAAAGGCAATGAAACGAAATGCAATTACAAAACTCTAAAGTTTACCGCCAAGAATATTAGAATACCATTGATTGTACGAACACATTTCCATTCATGTGCCTCAATTGCATCTCCATTTCCTCGTAGAAACCATCACTCCTAACATCATTAACCAAGGTAGATGATTGCCTCAGAAGACTCCGGACCTGTAATTTAATAACATAATCATTAATAGTTAACTCTAAGGTGAGACCTATCACCTATGTCCTCAAACATGAATAACTACTACATAGATTTTAATAAATTAAGTTTTGTAATTGTATTTCGTTATCAATGATAACTCAAAGATTTGTAATTGCATTTCAATAAGTTTTGTAATTGCATTTCAATAAGTTTTTAATAATTACTCAAAGATTGGTTCTGAATTCGTTATCAACAAAGTTTCTGAACCTCCTCATATATGTTGGTGGGTTCAACACGGTAGGCTCTTGGTTCGTACATGAACATTTCATCAACAGGGCTTTGACAAGCCACTCCATCTTCTTTTTAGCGTTGTAAGCACATATGTAGTCTATAATACCACACACTAGCTCATGCCTAGTTTTGTCCAGCCCAACAAGCAAGGAATAGTCCATGTCCATGATATTGACCTCCTAAGTTAATAAAGAGAAAAAACAAAGATTAACTTATCAACCACGTAACATTATGCTAAGCGTAAAATGGAAACTTACCTTAAGGAATTGTGCATCGTGAGAAACCGCAGCTTGGAGAGTATTCTTGGAATCTTGGTTGATATAAAGAAGATACTCTTTCACATCAATCATAAATTCTTCTTCAATCCTCACATGGTCCGGGTCACTTAATTAATTCCAAATTTCTGAAGATTTTATATGATCAAGGTATCTAGGAGCTACTTTCTTCACAAATGAACAGTCTCAATATCGCTAATCTCCTACACTATGTACATATCATCTAGTGTTTTGACAAGCGTGGCTCCACTTTTCGGAAAATACAATGGTTTATATTCCTAAAAAAACATGCATTTAAAAGCGCAATTTTTGGTTCTACATAGAAACACATGCACCAAATTTTCACACGGGAAATCTCGTTTTTCCTATAAAGCACCAGCAAATATCGAATTGGCGAGGCTTGATAAATATTAGAAAAGAGTTTGGTGATACATTTTTGTTAAAGAACACACCGTAACTTTTCATATAAAAGGAAGAAATAAGAAATAGTAAAACATACTCTAACATTAACAATGCATACAAAGAAGTGAAGAACGACATGACATAGGAGACATATGACATATCCCTTTTCAATTATGTGGGATGATATCAACAGATGAACCTAATGGATGATCTAAACCGATTAATTCTTAATGAATAATCTGTTTTTATTTAAGCCGTTGAATCAATTCTTATTCGGTGAAAAGCCCTTAAATATATAAAACGATTTGCTGTGTATAATGATAGTGAGAGGGATCAAAACATATCCAACACATAGAGATTTAGATACAAAAAAAAAAGAAATCATGAGACAAAACAATTTGATTAAGGCGTTACCATTACCCCAATAACGAAAGCCAAACGAAAAATATCGTGGATAAAGAATACAAGAAAGAGCTCCACATGGAATAATAAAATATATCCAGAGATTCCTTCTAGCTTTGCTGGATCACTGCAACGATTAGATTCATATTTGCCAGATTCAAGTTTCTTTCTTCAGGCTACGTAAAAGTTTGTTGTCTTTCTCTTATATTCTTTTCTTGTATACTCAATTTGGGTTTTTATTCTTACTTTAAATATCTTCTCACCGTTATTCTTTTCTTTCTTTTTGCTTTTAGAGGGTTGCTTTCTTTCTCGATTTGTCTAATGAATATTCTGTTTATCCTCTATAAATCATAAACTATTTCCTTTGCTTTCTCACTTGGGATACACATTTTGTATTCAGTTTTTCTCAGGTATGTTATGCTAATAATAAATTCTGGTTTCTTTTCTCCTTTCTTTAGTCATTTCAAGAAGTTCTTGACAAGAACCATCACTATCCGTTATTAGCACAATGGCGTTGGATTCATCTGAAGTTGAAGTGGAGGTTGGTTGGAAATCTGAAAGAACTCTAGTCCTCGTTGGTCGAACCGGGAACGGGAAAAGCGCAACGGGAAACAGCATCCTAGGAGAAACTAAGTTCCTATCAAAAGCAAGAGGAAGATTCATTACAAAAGAGTGTAAGCTACATAAATCCGAGCGACCAAATGGTCTAACCATCAATGTTATCGATACTCCTGGTGAGTTTTGTAAATTGTAACACTTTCTATATAAATCAAATATCCCACATTTTCTTTAAAACATTACATTGATACCTAGTTAATAAATGTTGCTGCTTTCAGGTTTGTTTAGTGCTTCTTCCACAACAGATTTCACCATCAGAGAAATCGTTAGATGCTTACGTTTAGCTCAAAACGGTATAGACGCAGTGCTTCTTGTTTTCTCTGTGAGGAACCGGTTAACGGAAGAGGAACAATCCACGCTTCGCACGTTAAAGATCCTTTTCGGAAGCCAGATCGTTGACTATATGATTGTTGTTTTCACCAACGGAGATGCATTCGATGATGGAGACACTCTTGATGACTATCTAGAGGATTGTCCTGAGTTTCAGGTCGGTTTGGTTTAATGCAACAACATCTCTTACATGCATGATTACATCTTTATAATAACTTCCAAAATAAACTTGTTTCTATAATAGGAAATTCTCAAGGAATGTGATGACCGTAAGGTGTTGTTTGACAATAGACGTAACATCTCTGAATTCAAGAAAGAAAAACAAGTCCAAGAACTTCTCAACCTCGTCGAACAAATCTCAAGAAAGAACAATGGAAAATCTTATATGGCTGACTTAACACTTGAGCTCAAGGTGAAGAAAAATCAAATCTTTTTACAAAACAAGATTTCACATTTTTGGTTTCTTGAGTTAATTTTTTTCATCTCCTTTCTCAGGAGAACGAGGCAACGTTGGAGGAAAGACAGAAGGAGATTGAAGCAATGAAAGGCACGTCTTCGAGACAAGAGATATCACAAGTGAAGAAGGAAGTAGAGAAGTCGTATAACGAAATGCTCCAAGGGATTAAAGAGAAGGTAAGATTCAACTTCATTCATTGGTTGTGTATATGAATATATTAATCATTATTATATGTTGTCTCTGGTTAGATCTCTAACCAACTGAAAGATTCATTGAGGGATGTGAAAGAACAATTAGCCAAGGCACAAGTAGCGAGAGAGGCAACAGAGAAAAAGATGAGCGAGATTCAGAAACTTTCTTCTGATGAGATTAGGAAGCTTAGAGAACAACTCAACAAAGCTGAGAGTGAGACTGCTTCTTTGCGCAGAGAACTCAACAAGAAATGCTCTGTTCTTTAAAATCATATGTATATATTCTTTAAATCATATGTTATATGCTCTGTTTTTAAAAACCATATGTTATGTTCTTTAAATCATATGTATATATGCTCTGTTTTATGATCATATAAATTCAATAAATCAGATATTTGAGATATGAAAAACAATAAAAGCAGAGTATGTCTTCATCATCACGCAAGCACACAACTTTCCAATGAGTCTTGAAGGATCAAACACTTCGTTGTACTTTGAAATAAAAACAACACAAAATATAGTTTAGATAGAGAGAGAGAGAGATATCTGAGCAGAGGGTTCTCAGAATGCAGAGCCATTATTAGAGCTTGTTTCTTGCCAAGAAAGCTACCCGAGGTGATGGATTTTCTTGTCAGGGTCAGAGTAAGAACCTCCATTGCCAGATCCAGATCCAGATCCAGAACCATTAATCATGATGCTGTGTGCAAAGTAGTTGCGAGAGGCTAAAGCCTCAATCGCGTTGATCTCTGAACCACTGACCATTTGGTGATGGTGTTGTTGAAACCTCTCCACTTCTGCTACCTGTTAAAAAAAACATATTGATGAATTTTTAAAAACCTCTCCACACACACATTGATATGTCAAACGGAATTAACAAACACATTACCTTGGCTCGCAGATAGATATTGTCATTGTCAATCTCAATCTCCTGCAGAATATAAACAATTCAAAGATTTTCACAAGAAAGACTGGAAAAAATGTATGTGATTATAACTAGAAACTTAGAGGAATTAGCTTATATTTTACCCTTTTCTGCAGGTTTTCGATTTCAGCTAGAAGCAACTCATGCTGTTTTCTCCCAAGAACACAAATCAGATTAATAATATTGTGTGTACCAAAAGGGGCAATTAAGAGCCTTATATAAGATGATTTAGCTATATACCTTCTTGGACCTGATCCTAGAGATGGCTTTCTCAAGGCGATTCTCAACCTGTTTTAGTTCCTTGACACTTAAGGTACTTAAAGAGTCTCCCATCAGATTCCTACAAGATTATATAAAAAATATATGTTACATTCAGTTAATAGCTACACTAGATAAGACATATATAATTAAGTCATAAGAACCTGTTGGAATTTTGAATCGTTTGGATCTGTTGTCTCAGCTTTGCAGATTCTTGTTGATAGTACTGTGTATATAAGCATCATCACGGTATAAGAACATATATATAGATACATATAACGATGTAGAGAGATATAAATGGAGACAGAAAGTAAAACCGCAGCATTGATTTCTTGGACAGAGCTTGTGTTGCTATTATCAGAGCTAGCTTTCTTGTACCTCTCAATGGTTGATCTTATACTGTCACAAAAATAACCATCCAAATTCAATTGTTGTAACTTTTTTAACAACTCAATAACATGGAGTACTTATCCATTAATCACTTTTGTAATCTAATCAAATGCCATAATTTCCTTCTAATTATGCATGTAACCACTGTTGTATTAATGAGGATGATGATATCTGAATCGATGTTACATTCAAAACACAAACATAAATAAATAATTAAACAATTAATCGATTTCAGCTGATTCTAGCTAGGAGAAAATTATTGGATTCCTAACCGTTATGTTATTTGAATCAATTGAAGGTGATGGGATTTAGCATTGGCTTTAGTAGCCAGATTATCATATGTTGCATAGAGCATTGGAAAATAAATAACTGAATATAGAGACTTATAAAGCACTAATATAACAATAATTTAAGTTTGTCTGTGTTGACATTGTTAATAACTAAAATTGGGTTTTAAGTGAAGAACAGAAAATGGATTTGAGACTGTCATGTAAAAGTAAAACAAAACGAAAAGAAAAGAAAAAACAAAACTAATTAAATGGTTTTGGATATAGAATAGTTGAAATGGCGTAATGATTTTAAAAAGGAAATGTAAGACATAAGATGCAAAAGCTAAAAAAGGAAGGCAAAGACATGAATAAATAGATCTGATCTGCTTAAGATGAAAGAGGAAAGAAGAGTACGAACCACACATCTCCCGCTGCAAAATTGTTTTAAGTTCCAAGAACAACTTTAATTTGACAAAGCCAAAAGAAATAAAAGATAAGACTTGTTGACCAAAACTGCAACTGCAACTGCAAGCTAGCAAGCATGAGTTTGGTACTTAAAACCCATTGTACCATCTCTGTCTTTAAGATTCTTTTTCAAGATTTATATGTACACAAGTCCAAAGTACTATATGTTTACTTTTTTCATATACATATATGGGTACGCATATATGTAAGTTAATATAGCTAAAAGTAAATATCATGAGACTCTTGAAATCAAAACTCCATATGTACTTTTGTTATGTCGTATTGTTCATCTAGTATAGTCTAGATTTTTGTTTCGTAATTATAACCTTATTGTGGACCTAGAAAAGCCTCATGCATGTTTCCATTTCAATTTCTTTTCTTTTCTTTTTGGTATCTCAATTAATTATATTGCATCAATTTTTTCAAGAGGCGTACGTATATACAAACTACCCGTACATAAACCGATGCAAATTTTTATAATTCATCTTTGCTTAACCAAAAGCATTTATACACATGCAAAATCGTGTGATTTCTTGATGATAATTTTGTAGCTCCAGTGTACCTTTAATTATGTTTGTCATTTCATTAATTGAGATATTTATACACAGAAAGATATTACTTACTTGTTGTTGGCATACTCATAGAGACGGCCACGAGTGGAGAAGACGATTAGGGCAACTTCTGCATCACAGAGGACAGAAAGCTCATAAGCTTTCTTGAGAAGTCCATTTCTTCTTTTGCAGAATGTCACTTGTCGATTTGTTGAGTTCTCAATCCTCTTGATCTCTATCTTTCCTCTTCCCATCCTGCATTTAGACATCAAACATTGTTATAAATAAGAATTGCTTCAATTGAGCATTATTAGTTGATAAGAATTAATATACTGCAAGAATTTATAGCAGAGTTAAAGAAAACCCTAAAGCTAGGGTTTACATTAATTTACTTTAATATACTCACCAAACTCGAATTTATTTATGTAAAAAAGAGTTTTCTTTTCGTACCCAACTTTCTTGGGACAATAAAATTAAGGATGTTGCTGATTGATTTCAAGGACAGACAAATCAATTGGATCTAATGCAGATCTTATATGTAGCTGAAACTAGAGTTAAAGCAAAAACAAAAAACAAATCTTTATTGCAAGATGATAATGTAAGAGGAGAACAGCTCATGTATGATCTATATTATCAATTAAGTTTCGAAGATAAATGAAATAAAAAGAAATGGGGAGGTAAAATCTGAAGAATTTAATTAATCTCATGATTTTTTGGTACCCAGATAAATATTTATTTTGACCCATCCCTTGTACTTTCTCTCTCTCTCTCTCTCTCTCTCTCTCTCTCTCTCTCTCTCTCTCTCTCTCCAATAAACATCTGAAAAAGCTTCACGGACTCAAACCCCTAAAAAACATACGTAATTTGACATAGATCTGGAAGATTTACATACTTACACAATCTTTTTAACAAAATCATTGATCTCTAATCTGTTGTTAGATGAAGAAAGTCTTAATTTTGTTTGTTTCAAGAAAAAATAGGTAGAAACATGGAGAGAGAAAACAAATCAAAGTAAATGTTGGAGAAGAATGAGAAGGCACTGATGCACATGAAACTGAAGTTCGTACAGAAGGGAAACCCAGAAAACATTATTACACAAAAAAAGAAGAGAGAGATAGAGAGCTAGAGACAAAAACTATGCTTAGTTTCAAGAAGAGGATGAAGAAAAATTCAGCAGATTTGGAAGATTTTCAGACAAAAAAAAAACACTACTTTAGCTGACAAGAAAGGAAAAAGAATCTTGCAGAGATCTTCATGTGAGAAACTTAAAATAAATAACAAAGCCTAATCTTTATCTTAAATCTGATGACCAAATAAAAACTCTTGTGATCTTTCTGTTTTTCGTTCTCTTCTTCTTGGGAAACGCATCAAACAGAAGAAGGGGAAAAATGGGAAATTTTCTTCTTTTTTTCATGATTGTGATAAATAAGTTTGTGAATGAAAAAACCCATGATGAAAGAATTATTATAAGCATGGAAATCTGGATATATATATGAGATATAAATGTAGAGTTTTTGAATGAAGAGATGTGTACAAAGATGGGAACTTGATGAGATCAAGAAGTGTTTTCCTTTATGAGAAGAAGAAGTAAAGACATGACAGACAGACCTGAGAATTGCTTCACCCAACTCAATTCAGCTTTCGGAAACTCTCTTTCTTCTTCTTCTCTCTCTGTCCTTTATAAGAAAAAGAAAACAAGACAAGAAAAAAAAGAAGCTTGTTTTTTTTGAGTATTTTAGAGTCCCAAAAACAAACCTAAATCGTTTTCTCTTGAAAAACCCTAAGCTTCCCACTCAATATGTCTATTTGTAGACGTTTCTTTCTTTGCTCACCTTCCAACCTCCACAGAGAGAGAGAGAATGCGACTGCGGTTGCGTTTTCCAATGTGATTGTTCTTTTAAAAAATATTTTAACCTGTAAGGAATTACACATAAAGAGTACTATTAAAACTTAAATACTGTAAAGTATTAATCTTGAATATTTAGGAGAAATTAAAAGATAGGACTCTAGCGCTAGTAGCTACATCTGTCCCGTTCCGTACCGTGGCCAAATTCACGGCAACCAAGATTTTAAATGGATATTGGAAGAACTAATTATTTAAATCGTCATTCTATATAACTAATTATTTAAATCTGAAAGCAAGCTCAAATCATTTCTAGTACATATATATGGTCTAATTGGTACTCAAGTTTTTAATTTTGCAATTAAAAAAAAAATTTACCAAATTCATGATGAATTGGGTTCATCTTGGGATTGATTCACTTTGCTGTTGAGGGATTGGGTTTTTTTTCACTGTGATTGTGAATACTTCCGTAAAAATATTATTCCTTTTTGTATTTCCAGCTAGTATATAGTTTAAACTTTAAACTTTGGTTCATAGTCTCTCGATTATAAAAAAGAATAAGCGAACAAAATGTATGGGATTTCACTAAAATATGTGAATTACAATAAGAAATACTTACTTCATTATAATATTTGATCAAATGATTAGTGTATTTAGGATTTAAATAGTTCATAACAAAAGTACTAGGGGAAATTTCAAAACTACACCTCTTGAGGTGCAAATTTTCAAAAATACACCTTTATGGTGTTTATTTTCAAAACTACACTTTTTTCATGGAGTAAAAGAACTCTAAACCCTAAAATATAAATCCAAAACCCTAAAATCTAACATTGAACCCTTAAATCTAAACCCTAAAACCCAAAATTTAAACCCTAATCTAGGATTAGTGAACCCAAACATATATATTAAAATTAGAAAAAGGTGTATTTTTGAAAATTTTCACACTATAGGTGTAGTTTTGAAAATTTGCACCCCAAGAGGTGTATTTCATAAAATTTCTCAAAGTACTATAACTAAATGTTTATAATTTTATAAGAAAATCATTATCACAATTAAAATTACATGTGGCAAACAAACAGTCTAAAATGTACAGACAACAAAAACAAAATATTATAAGCGGGCTACATTTCACAGCAACCTTTTATATAATGTAGTGATTGACATTATTTCTGTTTCGATCCAAAATGGTAAAACTCATTATGTAAAGGTTAAAAAAAAAAAAAAAAAAAAAAAATCTCACACCCATTTTAATCAAAATGAAAGACTACGTTTAAGATTTAATTTTCTTTATCTAATCGGACATATTTCTTACCGAAACATGAACTAATTAAGAAAAAATTTGAAAATTTGAAGTTTTTTGCCATTCAAGCCAACGAAGAAGTTAATAGTGAGGATATTACTAACCAAGCCTTTTACTTTAGAAATCTTTTACATACATAACTTCCACGTAAATTTACGCATGTATCACTCAATCAAGAAAGTTAGAGTATATCCCAACAAATGAAAAGTTGAGATAAATATAAAGATAACCATACATGTGTCATGTTACTTTTGATCACAAACATAATGTATTATTTGGCACGCAAGTATACTATCACGATTTAAAGATTCTTTGGAGGAAAATTAAAGAGAGGTGAAATTGCAGAGCTTAATTTAGGGCTTGAAAGTGACACGCAAATTGTATTATTGCACAAGGAAGAGAGAGAGAGTGGATGTTGACGTTGTTGGTGCATCTCCTCATTTATTTGCCCTAGGTTCCATTTTCTCTCTCTCTCCTTCTTAAGTAAATTTCGTTTTTGTTTTCCTTCGTTAATCACAAGATTCACAACCAAATTTCGAAACCCTTATATATATAATTAAGTTACCAATTTAAGCCACTCAAATTATTGTGACATGATGGTTTTTAGAATACGGTGTTTAGGAAGTCAAATGGCTCTTTCACGACAGCCTAGAAATGAATTAAAGAGTTTAGAAAGAAAAAAATCAGAAATCTTGATGGCTTTGTTTATTCTATTAAAGTTTAAACGATTAAGATAGGCTAAATTACGTGGAGAAACCAACAATTTATATATGGGGTAATAAGGGATTTCGAAGTTTCTTCAACAAAAAAAATGTACGATCAATGCAATGTTCGTTGTTATTACCAGTCGATTTCAACATATATAGCAATTAATTTTATTTGAACAGTTCGACACACATTTTTTTTTTGATAAAACAGTTCGTCATACACACAAAGAAAGATCGATAGATTCTCCATATTGATTGAAGAGTTCATATCGGTTTTTAAATTTTGGTCAACTCTTAATAAGTTAGAAATATGAATGACTTGAAAAAGTCTTAAAAGCCTTTTATATATAAGAAGATACCACCAAAGAATTAAATTAGCTATAGCTAGGTGAATTTACACCTTCCTTTTTCTTGAATTTTTTTACTTTTCTTGCATTATGCTCAGACCACTTGGTGGTATTAAGAGGAAACACGTTTTCATAAAGTAAACACCACTGGTCGGGGCTAAATATAGCAACCAATAATACATTGATTTTATATTTTCTTCAACAAAACCAAAAAGAAAATTATTCCGTTTCCTATAGTTTTGTGTAATAAGTTCAGAAAATTAAAGTTCGGATAGTTAGGAAAATGTTCTTAAAGTATCAAAACTAAAATATAGACCAACTCTTCCAAAGTTAAGGAGATAGACCACTCCTATTTTTGCGTTAAACGGTAGATTTTTAGGATCTTAGGTTTAGAGCTTAGTTTTAAAAGTTTAAACTACTTAAGATTTTCTTTTTAGGATTACAGTTTAAAATCTAGACCATCTTAATTTTGAAGTAAACTGTAGATTAGTTTCATAATCACTTCCACTAGAAATCTTACTACACAAAAAAGGAATATCTAATTGAGGCAAATGAGTTCTATTTGTAACTTGTTGACAGAAAAATAAACACTAAGGGCCTGATTGGTTGTGTCTGTAGCTTTTGATTTTTTGCTGTAGAATTTAGGCTGTAGACTTTTTTGCTGTGGTTGTAGATTATAGTGTTGTAGGATTTTTATTATAAATATTTTTTTTTATATAAAATATCATAAATGTAGCATTAAAAATAAATAAAAGAGATATAGGAAAGAAACATTAAAAAAGGAATAAAGAGAGTGAGATTAAGGAATGAGAAGAGAGAGAATTCTCAGAGCCTTTAAATTTGTGCTCTGAAAAATCTTCTCTGCAGAGCCAAAATATTTCCATATTTAAAATTATGGCTCTGAACTTAAAAAATGAAATCAAAGCATGATTGGTTTAACTATAGTGCTCTAGAAATAATTATTGCTCTGCAGAGCACTCAGAGCACTTACTAATCACGCCCTAAAATGACAGAAAACAAAAGGAAGAAGCAAATGGATAAAAAAAAGCTACAAATTAACAAGTTGTGTTGCTACAACATTCATGAGGAACTTGCTTTTTGTGCTGCAACAAAAACATCAAAGTCACTCACTGTCCACTCTGCAGTTTCTTGTCTATTGCTAACATAAATTTCTGCACCAACATTGATCGATGTCCACACACTCGCTTTGCCGGTTTAGTTCCCGGGTCCTATCATCAACAAAAGACAGATTAGTCTCAACACAAACCTAAACTCTGAAGACAGAATTATTAACCATCTTACTTAATTTACCTGGTAGAAGTTAAGACGACTTGAGAAGTTTGGAGACAAAAACAGAGCTTATATAGCCAGGCTACGAAGAATGAAGAACAGGAAGTTGACTAGACTCCAGACAGATTCTACTTAACGAACCTTTCTCATCATGCCACGGCCGTTACTGTGGTAACCACCGTTAAAACCATTTGCAGCATCTTCACGGAGATACAACATAAGCCCATGGATACTTTAACGAATTTCGGAACGGAAGAAGAAGATATCTCCGAGAAGAGAAGCAGAGCGAGTAAGATTGTAATCGCAGCCATTGTAGGAGCTCACGAAGGTGCGCGTTATGATTATGAGCGGAATAAGCGCGTGGAGGTGGAGATTCTGCGCGTGATTCGTGGCGGAGAAAAGGAAGATGTCGCTATCTCCAAAATCTGATGATTGCACTTTTTTTTTTTTTGGAAGAAGCACTCACTTCACTTGCTTCTGCGTTTGACATTTCTTATTACATCCCTCTACTCTTTTGAAATTACACTTAGCCCCGTAATTAATTATTCATTACATTAACAACCCTTTACTTTGTTTTACACAAAAGAAATGTCCTTTTCAGAAATTGTGATCGGATTCGCTCTCGTATTGGAATTGGGGACCCTCTGTTTTGGTTGAGTGAGAGTCTTCGAGCAAAGAGACGATAATTGGGGACCATTTTGTTCTTATTTTTCCAGATAAAGACGAGGCCTTTTTAGTTTTTAGCTCGAAGAAGACGGTGTCTTCTCTCTGTGGTCGAAAATGGTCCTCTCTTCTCGAAATCTCTCTCATTTCGTCTCCCGGTTTCTGGGTCCATGGCAAGTTTGCATCTTGGAGCTGTTTCGTTGATCAATGAATCTTGGGTCGTTTTCGGTTCCTCCTTGAAATCACGGATTGGCTTCAGAAGTAAACGGTTTAGACGAGTTGCGGAGGTTAGGCTACAATCAAAGATACTCATTCATTTTTGGGGACTTTTGTTGATAGTTTAGTTAACTGTTGTTCTGTGGCTGTGTTTTGGTACTGTAGAGATGGAGGATTCGTGCTCAACATATGTCAGTAAAGGAACAGATGAGCAAACTCGAGCTGAATCGCTTTGCTAAAAGGTGATGACTTTGTTGTCTGTGTTAAAAGCGAAAAAGTTTTGAACTTTCATCACTCATTTGTGAGTTTTTTCATCAGTGACACCGAATTGCTAGATTGAATCTGTTGGTGGATTCTGAGTCAGTTAGGATAAGAAATTAAGATTTGTGTGAGAACAATCAAATTTTCTTCAAAAGGAGTAATTTTTGGCAATGTTTCATAGAATTAGTCTCTCTTATATTGCAGAAGTGAGTCCTTGAGATATATTCTGAAGCAATATGGTGTATCAGTAGAAAACATTGAAGAAGATAAGACAAGTAGTAGACTTGATGATCTTAATTGTGAAGACAAGCTAGTTTCTTCTTCTGTCGTTGAGGACTCTAAGATGGTAACTAATGGAAGTTATGGATTTATGCTTTGAGTTTGTCTTGTTGGTGAATGATATTATCTGAATGAGGAAGATCCTGACTTTCATTAGTCTTTGGAAAATTTGATGAGTATTGACAGAACACAACTGAAGAATTACCTGATTTACGCCGGCAAGAGAAATACATTGAGACAGTGAGCACCACAGAGAATGCTTCAGGACAAAATCACCACGATTTGCCCCATGTAAGAACATATATCTCTGCTGCCACTCTCTCCAACTTTCAAAAAGATTACAGTTTTGCTTTCAGATTCATTAGTCTTTGTGGAACTCTTTTAGTAAATTTAGTTTCATTAGTGTGTTTGGATCCATGTGTTTAAGCGATGGTGTTACTCTAAACTCTTTCATTAGATTCTTGTTGGATCTTGATTTAACTTAGTATTGCATACTCCTCTTGTAAACATGTCTCTCTTTTAGTTTAACACATGTGCTTTGTTCACTTCTCTGCTTCTTGTTCTTGCGATGGTGTTACTCTAAACCCCTTTCATTAGATTCTTTTTGGATTTTGATTTTAACTTAGCATTGCATACTCTTAATTGTGTTTTCCCAATCTGTAACCATGTTTTTTTTATTCAGTTTAACACAGGTGCTTTGTTCAATACTCTGCTTCCTGTTCTTGTGTTCTGCATCGTATGCATCATTGGGACGCTACACACAATAATCTCCAGAAAAACCTCACAAGGTCACCATCACCATGGCTCCAAAAGAACAAGGTGGAGAACCGCATTGAGTGATTGGAACGAGCCGCTTGCTTCTGATGAACATGATTCGTCACCAGAATACAAAGTCAGTTTACATATACATACATACATAAGCTCTCAGTGATAGATATTTCGTTTTATAGATTCTGCTGCGGTTGTTAAAGAAGATAAATCTGCATGCAGGTCGGTTCAGCGAATCAGGAAGCCACGGATGAAGCAGATGAAGCATATAGCAGAGTTGAGCTTGAGTACAAGAGATTTCTGTTGGAATGTGGAGTGAGTGAATCTTAGATTTTGGTAGTTCTTGAGCAATCATGACCTTTTCTTGAGGCTCTAAGAACTTTATGTTTTGGTGGTTTGCACATACTTGCATTCACCAGATGAGACTTTGTTTGTATTTGTGAATATAAAAGTTTAATCGGATTTGATTTGGATAATTTAATTTTGCACATACCTAAACAGACTGATGAATCAACTATATAATCTAGAAAGGAGGGAAGAAAGTGAATTCACGTGATGGGTTTTGCAGGTGGTTTAGTTGGTTCGATGATTTCTTCTCCCGGTTTGCTAATTTGATTTCTTGCGTACAAATTAACGAAACAAACCTGAAAATAACAAGAAAGGGCAAAGAAACTTCCTACTTCACTCTGGTGAACATGGAGGTACCGAAACAAGGGCTAAATCGTAATTAATAATGTTAGTTTTTGACCGTTAGTATCTTTTGAAAAAAAGGAAACTTTACAACAAGCAAGATAGTTAGTGACTCTAATCACAATGATTAAACCCCTAAGCTCCAGTGGAAAAAAAGGAAAAAAGTGTAAGCAGAGGGCTTAACTATATAAGAGAGCACGAGAGGCATTTTCTTTCTCACATTCGTTCATTCGCAATTTCTCTCATTCTAATTTCCTTCTTCTTCCTCCTCAAGTTATTGCTCTCAAAGTTTAGGTTTTTAGGTCCGATCATCGATCATGTATTACAGTGATCTTGTAGCCGTTGCGGAGAAGGACATGACATCGCGTAATTTCCTCTGTTTGGTTGATGCCGCCGTTATGCTCTACGAAGAAGCGAAAGAAGAAAGCGACGAGAGAATCTTCCATCGTTTCCCGAGAAAGCCAAGATCTTCGGTGGAGAAATTTGTTACCAGTAGAAGAAACCCACAACAAAACTATCAGAATCTCAATGGTGCTTCTACTTCTTCTTTGTCTCCATCGCTTCTCGGAGATTACAAGATCACGGCTGAGCCGGAGAAGACGGCGATGATGATTTACCCGCGAAACCCTCTTCAATGGCACTCTTCTTCTTCTTCGTCATCGCTTCTTCTCGACCTTAACACGATCCCGGCTGATGATTCCGAGAAAAGACCCACAAAACCCTAATCTTGCTTCTTCTCCTTCTTCACCCTTTCTCGGAGATTACAAGACTACGATGAGAATCCCACGAAACCCTAATTCCCAATTGTCTCTGTCTTCGTGCCTAACAGAGAAGAAGAGCCGCAAGAGACGTGCCCTGCAAGATAACAAGCGTGCTGTTGTTAAATCCAAGAAGGCGAGCTTGATGATACGTACTCATGGATAGGGAGAGAGACTCCTGAGTCGCTAATCGATTTGATGCTAGACAAGAACGAGTCTGTATCAAATGGGGAGAGAGGACAGAACTGAAGCTGATTTTTCAGAGGAAGCTGTTCAAAACAGATGTGACTCCTGGTGAGAGCCGTCTCTCTATGCCTTTCAACGAACTCATCTGTAAAGACTTCTTGACACCTTCGGAGCTGAGAGTCATAAGAGAAGACATCGACAACGTTAACAAGAGAGGAGTTGGAGCGATTCTTGTGGATGAACAGAACGTGAAATATGGTGTCATGTTGAAAAGATGGGAGATGAAGAAAGATTCAGGGAATGGAAGCTGGAACTATGCTTTGACTTGCGGATGGAACGATGTCGTAACGGCTAATGGATTGAAACAGAACGACAACATCAGTATCTGGTGTTTCAGGTGGGGAGGTCTCCTCTGTTTTGCTCTTGTCACTCCTCCTCCTTCTTCTCCTTCCATGGCACAGAGTAGCTCTCCTCTTGCTCTCTGTCTCTGATAAGTTTCTTCCCACTCTTGAGACTATGACTTGATTGATCTACACGCACAGTTATCTCTTAGTTTCAGGCGATTCTTTGGAGGTTTTTGGTCTAGTAACAAAATTAGAATTGTGATCTCTCTCCTCTATTAATAGTAAAATGTGTCTTTTAGTTGTATGAAGTTTCTTGTCTCTTAAGACTATGACTTGTCCTCTCTGTTGGTTCGGATCTTAATGAAATTTTGACATTTTGGTTACCGCATTAGTTAATTCCTTTGCATAAATGTCGAACAAGAACATTTCTCCATTTAGAGTGCAAAAGATTTGAGTTCTGATAATGAAATCTTGATTGATAATGAAACTGTATGGACATTTCTCCATTTCTCGTTTACATAATGAAACTGTATGTACACTTGTGCTTCTCTGCTTTTTGTTGTGAATATACAAATGTTTTAACGTGATTCGTATGGGACAAAATGAGGATTATTAGATAAAAGCTTGATTGATAATGAAATGAATAAAAAGTACTGGCTAATGGAAAAGAATTACAAACAGAGAACCAAATTGAACGCAGCAGAGTTTTTCTCAAATGCAATAGCAAAAGTGGGAACAAAAATCCCTCCAATAACTCTGCATTTAGAGAAAAGGGCTATCTCAATTAAAGCCGTACACGTCAAAAACTTTGTCCTCCGGTGGTCTTGGGTTGTTGTTGCCACCTTCAGGCACTCTAAAGCTCTCCATCGGCGAAGGAGGAGGAGCTGCTGCTGCCGCGGGTGGTGGTGGTGTTGCCACCCAATGCGGGGGCGGAACAGAGAAGTTAGAACCAGAAGCTTCTTGATGTAAGACAACAACATTAGGATTTGCCTGCGGTGAGTTACCTGTGGCTCTCCGGTTTGAGGAATTTGCAGAGGAAGGCAGAGACTGTGCGTATGATGACTGTTGTTGCTGATTCTTCATCGGTGATTTCGGCCGGAGAGACTCGATATCAGGTGTAGTCACAACGAGATGCGGCGCGTCTGGAGGCGGATTCCTTCCTCCTCCTCCTTGCCACACTTTACCTTCCTTGTCCGCAAAGTTCCTCACAAAAGCCTAACATAAAACACAACAATATCAAACAGATCTTTACACTTCTTGCATATATCCAAACCTCATGCAGAGTGTATATGAGATTTTGGTTACCTGTGGTTCGAAGTTTGAGGAAGAAAGGGCTTTTCCAACAGTAAGCCAGCCAGATCGAATGTTGTGATCTTCACCGAACAGCTCAAGCCTTCGGCGACCAAGTGCAAAATGCTCTATGATCCTATACATGTCTTCAGGTTTCTGTGTCGAACCTGCAGATTTGCAGCATAGAAAGATACCATTAAGCACACCTACTTGCAGTAAAAAGCAGAGATACAACTACATCAACCTATACACATAACATAACCCTGTCAAGATCGACGATGAAATGTTCTCCTTCTTGACGGTATACAATCAACCACAAATCAAGAAAACCATCACATAAACTGTAACCAAATGAAACTTAGTGCATTGTTCTAGAGAACCTAAAAACACTCCCTTGCTAACATGAAGCAACAATCTTATTTATGCTCAATGAACTTATCAGGCCCACTTACTACTAAGAAACAGGAAGGTGGAAGCGGAACAGAGAAAAAAAGAACAAATATGACAAGCAAGATCCTCACAGTTTTATCGCTTTATCAAGAAAGCACATTTTTACTAACCGTAGGGAGGCTCTTCAGCAATAATAACATCAGTGTCGATGTTAGCGTGGATTATATGACCATCAGTGCTACGTCGAACAGTACCCTTTATCCCCATCAAGCAGTGCTCCTTTAACAAAGCATAAATAAATAAAAATAATAAGCAAAAGATATGCAACACAAAAGATCATACAAAGAGGCAATAGTAGACCTTGGAGCGCTGAAACACAGTACGAGAATCATGTCGTAAAGTTGGTGCTGCATTACTTTTGTTCGTCTTCACCCAGCAAATGTCCTCACACCTTCTGTAACCCCACTGTGACACCCAGCCAAAAGAAAAGAAAATATTATCAGGACAAACAAATCAAAAATCGATAAAGGAAACGAGCAATCGTTTGAATGTTGTACCCTTTTCAGGCATTGGCGTCCTTGCTCTAGCCCAATACCATCACCAACCCAGAGGAAGACAAAGGAGGGAGTGTCAGCTATTGCCTACATACACATGGAAGATATTGCTTTGGTTATATACCGTCATAACAAATATGGCAACCAACCTTGCTCACAGGTCTACTCACAAGCCAAAAACAATCTACGTCTAGCTGTTACTAAGATCATATATTCATATGACAGATGATAAAACCGCAGAGAGAATGTATGTACTTTCAAATCCAATGAGCAACTGAAGAGCGTAGAGCATAGTTGTAACCTCAATCTTAAGATTCATGATCTCCTCAAATGTCCAATACTCCATACTATCAGAAACACCAGGAGCTCTATGGGCATATTCCTCCCACGGCGGGTCAATAAGAATAACATCAAACTTTGTTCCGAATAACTCTGGAGACAGCTCGAGTTCATGCAAGTCGCCTTTCAAATACATTGGCGCAGAAGCAGAGTTAGTAACAATCTCATCCTTCTTCTGTATCAGCTCCCTAAGCTTTGGATAGTCTTCTACATTGGTTAGCTCCAGCTCTCGGATGAAGTTCTGTGGACGCATCCCAGTATCCACAAAGTTCTGAGAATAGTCGTTTTGCTCTCCCCTAGAAGGAGCTTTCCCAGGAGGTCCACCGCCTCGAGGAGGAGGAACCCATCCCCCTGAGTTCTTATTCTCAGACGGCATTCCACGTCCCATTTGTCCAGAAACATTGAACGAAGAGTTGGAGAAGCTAGGAGAAGGCCCTCCTCTTTCAGAACCTGGTGGAGGATTAAAGAACATGTTCGGGTTTGGTGAAGTGCCAATGGAAGGAAATCTCGGACCTGATGGTCCAGGAGGAAGAGGCGAGAGAACAGGAGGAACAGGCAACATATTACCATCAACTCCTCTAGCCCCTGGCCAGACAAGAGTTGGAGCAAATGGAGGCATGAAAATAGAGGTAACAGTAGCGCCAGGAATTGGCGACATTCCAGGCGTAAGAGACTGAATGGGACTCGGTGGTGGCATTCCAAGGTTTGCAAATGGTGACCCCATGATAGGCAATTGAATAGCACCTTGTTGGTTCTCTCTCCCACCACCACCACCACCACCATGTCTTCCTTTTCCACCCCTTAGCGGTCTGTTCCCTTTCATGCCTTGTGAACTCTGAGATCCTCTATTAGGCGTCTGCGCGTAGTTAGTTCTTCCAGGTGTTGCACCTCTCTGGTATCTCGGTTTAGCTCCAGAGTAATCAGAGCTGGCTTCATCTCTCGAATCCTCACCATAAGATCCAAAACCAAAATTCTCACTCCTCTGTCTACTACCTTCCTGGTTGTTGTAACCCCAACAATCTTCATCACTCTTCTTGGGAGGCTGCTGAGCCAAGCTCGCTCCAGAATCAAGCGGTTTGGTTTGTATCTCAATCACATCATAATTCTCATTAGAAACACCACCACTTGACATTGCCTTAACTGCCTCACCTCTGTTCCCATCTTTCCTACCACCTGAACGACCATGAGACCTCTCTCCTTCACTCCTCTCACGCCCTTGCCTCGGAAACTCCCGTTCCCTGCCTCGCTCATAAGCCAAGTCTCCATCTTTATGATCTTTATCACCACTACCACTTGAATGTCTTCTCTTCCAATTATCTTTCGAGCCTTCTTGATCCCTATCCCTATCTCTATCAGACCAACCATCATCTCTTCCTCTCGATCTTTCCTCTTTCCGGCTATACTTCTCCTTCTCGTAATCCGCATCCGACTGTTCTGATTCTTGATGACGCCTTCTCACTTCATCCTTACCGCTAACTTTCTTAAGAGGACTACTTCCTCTATCATCTTCCTTAACGGAATCTGACCTTCCTCTACTCTTATTACTCTTCTCCTCTCTGCTGCTCATCTTCAAACTTCTATCAGACTTCGAATCTCCGGCGGTTTCATGCCTAGTCTCAGAAAGCTTACTGCTTTTGTTGCTGATGTGATCTCCTCTTTCACTATCAGCACCAGTTTCGTCCCATCTCTTCTTCTTACTCGAATCAGAAGATGATCCATGAGTTCGATCTCGATCCCTCTTGGAATCGCGATCGTGAAACTCGTCAATGGACTTATCCTCTTTGCTAAACTCCGATGATGCTTTTATCAAACTCAATCGTCGCTTCTCGCCTCTCTCTCCACCTTCTTGCTCTCCTCCGTCTTCGTACCAAGTGCTTAGCTTTTCCAACGAACTCTCCTCCTGCTTCTTCTTCATTCTCTGCTCTTTGCGAAAAACGGTACCTTTTCTCTTTTGTCGGCGACGATTCTAAAACCCTGAAATTAGGGTTTGTGCATCACCGGAATTAAATCGACGAGAGGGTTCCATTCAATTGCCTTAACTAAGTTCCGTAACCTAAACTAACAATCTTAATAGATTTTCGGATATTCCAATCTAAAACATTAACCTATAATGGAGAAAAGAGAAAACTTTCAGTTTGGAGATAAATTTAGGCGAGGAAGATCGGAGAAGGTTGGGGTCGAAAAGATGAGCGAGTTTGAGAGAGAGAGAGAGAGACACACAACGCGGCGGAGTGCGAGAACGGAAGCCAAAGTCAGACAGACAAAGTCAAATTGGATTGGGCCAGGAGAAGCCCAATTAGTTTTGTCCAATTGCCACATCTTTGTGGAAGGAATCAAAATTACACAGATTGAACTAGGGGCTTTTTGGGATTTTTCGATTAAGCTTGAGTTTTGGAAAATAAACTAGCAATTCAATCGTTACATAGAGCTCAAGTTTCTTCAGAAAATAAACTAAAGAGTATATAAGATATAGAAAGGGTTTAATGCGATTACATCACAACTGTAAGGGATCAAACTGAGATTATTAGACCAAAGCCATAAGAGCTAAGTGACAAAGAAAAAACCAAGTATGAACACAATGTGTCCTTAACATGTAAGCTTCTAGAGAGACAGAGTGACGAAATGCCCCAGTCATGATTCAACTTTGAAGTTGGTCTCGATGAGCCTGTTCATGTAAGAACCTGGAGGCTTCACCGTTGGATCCACCTTGTTGCAGACCATGAGAAATGTCTTCAAGGACCACTCTGCCATCTTCCTGAAGTTGAACTCCCCTAAATAATCAATTATCCCGCACACTAACTCCTTGCTAACATCAACTACTCCCACTAATAGCCAGTAGGCCACGATGTTACATTCCTGCATTACCATTAGTGATGAACTGATGATGTCGTTATTGAATTCAGAAATAAAATTATTACCAATAATGATTTTTAAAATAAATTTTAAAAAGGCAATGATTTTACCTATAGATTATTTATCTATGCTATTACCATACATATTAATACATTATTACCATTGAAAGAAAAAAATTGACAAAAAATAAGCATAACATAAGCAAAACATAATAAAAATGACAACAAAAATAAGATTTCTCCATTATGAGTGCAAACGATTTGAAGTTTGCTTTTCATATCCATGCTCTTGGCTTGTTGGATCTATTTGAGTATAGATTCAGTTTCTTTATTGTGTTATGATACATGTGTTTTTTGTTTTCCTTCATGATCCATGTGTTTTAACTTTTAACTGATGTTATTAAATTCTTTTGATTACCACAACAATGTGATTGTGATTTTACAACATGTTGAAGCCAAAAATTAGGAACTATAACAAAATTTAGCTTGAATTCAAGTTCAGGATTAATGAATCTCGTATTTTTATTCATTTTTAATTCAGTTTAATTTTTATGCCCACCTTACATAAGGTTTTTTAAAAAATTGCATTTAGGAAAAAAAAAATCCCGTATCAAATTGGAATTCTCTCTCTCACTAAACAAAAATTAACCAAACACAAAAAGAAACCGAAGACCAAACCACGGCACAATATCAAAAGCGGCGACTAATATCCGCCGGACAAAACGGTGTACCGGAGCGAGTCCGATGGCTAGGGATGGTGAAATGTCTGAGCCTCCCTTCCTGCTCCTTCAAGTATCCTCGGCACAAGAACGTCGCCGAGAACTCGTCCTCCACCGGTCGATTAACGTCGTGAACGAAAACGTCAGTTTCGCCGCCGTCAAAACGGTTGCGAGCTAACAAACCCGCCGTGTAAATAGCGCTCATCCTCCCCGGAGCTTCGTCGTGGTACCCAGTAGGAGCATCGACCATTATCAGATCCCATTGCGTCTCGTAAACATCCGCCGGAAAACCTTTGAGCGACAGAGCACATTTCGAATCTCTCGGATCAGAGACGGATTTGCAATCCTCTGTTTTCTCTAGCTCGATGAGCTTGATCGAATCTTTCAGCTTCGTGTCGTACACGACGTGGTATGATTCCAAGTTTGGGAATTTCTTAGTCACTGTCTCGATCCAAGCTTTGTCTTCCTCGAGGAACACTGCATCGTCAAGAAGTGAACTTTATATAAAAACAGAGACTTTTATGTAAAACTAAAAACAGAGACTTTTTGTAAAAACAGAGAATTTATTGACTTTCTTAGATTAGATCTGTTATGAGAAGAAGCTTACAAGTGCGTCCACCGTGATTGAGAGAAGCCCACATCAAGCTATCGTGTCCTAAGCCAAAGACGAGAAAGTTACAAGGAGATTTCTTGTCCAAGACTCTCTTTGAAACAGAGACTTCGCTAAACGTTTGCTGTGGAGTGATCTCTGTTGTGACGTAGTGAACCAATGCATCGGATAGAGAAGTGGGCAATTTGGTGCATTGTTGTGGGCATTTAGGGTTTTGGTAATGCTTCTCTCGTGTGGTTGAGTGAGAAACAGAGTTTGAAGAGGAAGAAGAGATGCTTGTTCTTTTCAAGACGAATATGATCAAGACCAAAATTGAGCAGAAAATGACTATGAGCTTTGTCTTGATGAAAGAGTGGGATTTGTTCCTCATGTTTTCCTCTCTAAAGACTTGATTCTTCTCTCAGGGTTTATATTAGTGGTGTCAAGAGCTAGACAGAGAGAGAAGATGTGTTGACAATGGTGAGAAGTGTGTGTATATATGTTTTGAGAGAGAGAGAGAGAGACTTGTAGGTGAATTGGTGTATCCTTAAAGAATAAATGAAGAAAAAAGAAGAGAATGATTGAGGAAGACATGAGAGCTACTACGGTTGCTGTTGAATCAATACATCAGAAGTTGGTGGATCTGATTGTCATACTATAATGTCTATATATGCATTATTGTTACGTGTCCTTAATGATTGGAATGATGTGAAACGTAGTGGGAGGCTTTTGTTATCAAAAACTGATTTTTGAATGAGAAGAAAAATAAAACACAAAACAAGAGTTGTTTTTTTAGTCTTGATAAAGTCTAACTTAATTGGGGAAAGAAAGAGCACCTATCTATAGTTATGCTTCATGATCCTTCGTTGCATGTGTAATAAGATAAGTATAATCCATTAAACTTCATATTTAAAGATCTAATTTTATATATGCAAAGATCCACTAGCCGTTTTATATGGACTAATCATATATCAAAAGTTCGGAGAGTTTAGTTTTAGTTCTGTCAAGAATGACCAAAAATCCGCTCTATGCCCTATATATGTAGATGTCGATAGGTTGGATAGGAAGAAGAGGGAATGAATCAAAAACCCTTGTCACCAAAGTTTTATTTAAATCGTGAGAGATTTACTCAATGATAAGAGTTCGTTAGGTTTAAATTAACATGAAGATATGGCTAATCTAGTATAGGAATGAATGAATCTATAGATAATCGTGAGATGTTGAAAAGAGTGTTGGATACAAGAATGTGGAAGATGACATGACTTACAAAGTCATATATTGTAGTATTAATGAATCGTAATGAAAAGTACGTGACAACATATACATAAGGGAAATATTTTTTTGAACTGCGTTACAAAGTCAACAAAGTGAGTAGCGTGAAGAGAAAGGAAAGCAAGCCAAGATATGGAGACGTGGAAGAATATTGAGCGAGGCTGGTGGGTTGCGAGGACTGAACCACCGGTCGAATTCCTGGTGTGGCTGTGGGGACCATCGCTCCATCCTCGGGAGAATCCGGTGCTGGTGCCGGTGCCATCGCCGCCGCCTTAGACCCTACTCAAATGGAATCCAAAATCTAAATCTAAACACACAAAAACGCATATATAACAACATGAATGTGGTTGGTTCATTTCTAACCTCCGGGGCTAAAAGCAGACGTAGGCGGTGGTGGAGCCAGCAAGAACGGAACCGGACCTGGCGCTGGTAGAGGAGTCCCCGCCGCTGTAAATTAAACAAATGAGTCATTAAGAAAATTATACTAAAATAGTTTTTGTTCCAAATATAGCACAACAAAATCAAAATTCCAAAACTAGCACATATTATTTTGTGAAAACATTTGTTTGTCCTAACTCCTAAATGAATTACAAACAAATTTATAACATTATATTTGAGTTCTCTTTTTTTCTAACTTAGGAATTATAATACATCCATTAGAAAAAGGTTTTTGAGTAATTTGTAATATTGAATTTGTGCTATTATTGGAACATTTTTTAAAATCATGTTGTTTAGGAGTATTGCCTATTAAATATAAATCATAGGATAGAGAAAAAGCTTAAAAACCTTGACACTGAACCGGAACACCACTCATTTTACAGGCACGAGGGAGACCAAGCGCGAGAGTTCGATTGATGAAGCTAGTAGGCAGCGGGACGTTAGCGGTGAGGATGAGGCAAGCACATTGCATGCCGGTGTTGGTCAATGCCTTCAAGGAGTCGCAGCAATCGGCGGTGGGAGTGATGGAGCCGCCGCTGCTTCCGGTGATGAAGTTGAGACATGGAGTGAAAGTAGAGATCATGGAGGAAGTGCATGGCGTGTTGATTATCTGCTGGCCTTTCCCTCCGAACATTAAGCTTGACATTATCATTACTACTATTAATGTTAATCTCCCCATTTCTTTGGCCTGGTTGTTTTCTTATTTTCTCCGATGAGAGGATATCATAGTCTTGATTTCTTTTATACATGAGAAAATTGGTGTATTGGAGTTCAACAACTTCCAACTAATATAACCAAGATCGAGCTAGTAGATGAGTTTGGTATACTCCTGTTAAATCTCTTATACTTGGGCTATTTATAATCTTTAATATAATATAACATGCAAAGGTATATGTCTTGCATGTCTACGTGACAAGTTTAACACCAAAAAAATTCTCTACGTGACGTTGAACAATATCATATGGATGTAGTCTAACCATAATTAGGTATATACTTATCTAGAACATATTATATAGTTTTGATAAAGCCATAAATTATATAAAGTAGGTCATCTAATTATATGTTCATTAAATATGTAATTATGTTTCATATTAATCAAAAATAACATGGTTTACGAATTTATATAAAGTTGTTATGCATGGTTTCTATAGTTTTTTATTCGAAACTTAATTTTATTAAGTATATATGATAAGATTTGAAAGTTTTCATTTTGTTAAAAGGATATCGCCTAGCTTTTTTTCCATACATATCTTTAGAAGCTTCTACTGAATATGCTATGTCATCTTTTCCATGTTATGAGAACGAAATGAGGAAGCAATACATGAACATTTTCACTTAAACAAATAATAGTAAGGGGATTAGTTATGATAAAACCATAAATTATATAAAGTAGGTCATCTAATGATACTAGTCTTTTTGTCATTTTCTTACTAATTCCACCTATAAATTAAAACCAAACAAAGACACATCCATTAGTTGAACAATAATTAACTCAAAAACTATGGGGTATGCAAGTCTCTACACGGTCACATTTGTAGCCTTCGTGACGGTTCTATGTGGCGTAACAAAAGCGCAGCCGAGTAGTTCATGCGTGACTACACTCACCACTCTCTCTCCGTGCCTCGCTTACATCACCGGAAACTCAACCACTCCTACACAAACTTGCTGCTCTCAGCTCGACTCTGTCATCAAATCTTCGCCGCAATGCATCTGCTCTGCCGTCAACAGTCCGATCCCAAACATCGGCCTTAACATTAACCGCACACAGGCCTTGCAGCTCCCTAACGCCTGCAACATTCAGGCCCCTCCCCTTACACAATGCAACGGTAACATACCTAATAATAAACTCTATGTTAAGATATAGTCTCATCACTCACAAAAAAAGAGTGTTTGTGAGTTTAGCGGCCACTGGACCGACCACAGGGCCAACAGCACCAGCGCAGTCTCCAGCGGCGGAGGAGACCCCAGGTGTGGCAGTGGCACTAACCCCAACTTCATCGCCGGGTGCTCGTTCAGGTACAAACTCATTTATATCACTAAAGCCAAGTAATGTTTTGATCAATTTTGTATACTCTTTTAAATGGAACTTGGCTCATCTATGTGCAGGTGTCGGAGGTGGTTCCAAGACCGTTCCCTCCACAGGGGCTGGCTCATCATCTGGGAGCGTACAATACGTGCCACTGCGTTTGCTTATGTGTGCTATATTTGTTGTCTTGGCCTCATCTCTTCTTAAACAATTCTGAGCGATCATGTCTTTATGAGTTTTGATTTTTCACTTTTTACTATTTTACTCTGTTGTTGTTAATTTGCTGTGAGATTTTATATGTATCCATCGTGTACTCTATTTGTGTTTGCTATTTTTTTATGTATGGGATCGAGTTATTGAATTTACGAGAGTGTATGTATACGTACGCGTCTTCCTTTCCTTCGCAAGTGGAGAATGATTAGTACCCACCATGAGTGATCGCTAAACAGAGCTCCTTAGATCGAAACTAGGACCAGAAACTATGCGAAAGATCCCAAGATGCAAGCTTTATGCATAAATTAGTGAGATTTCAAGCAACAACGACAAAGAAATTTGCTTTTTTTTTGGAAAAGCTTGAAGCTTTTTTCTTTTCCCATAATAGAAATAACTCGTGTGGCAAAGGAGAGAGAGTTTTGGGAGCTGTGGATAAAGACAAATGTTAGAATGTGATTGTTTGACACTAATATATGTGTTTGCAAACATATATGAAAACCAAACTGAGTTTTTATAACAAAAATCGCAAAGTGTATATGGTTGGAATCTTGTAGTGTAGCAAAAAATCTTGTAGAATGACGAATATGATGGAATTAAATAGTGATACACGATTCTGGCGAATTGAGATTATGTCCATTTTGTATCTCCTATCATTACCACTACACTAGTGATAAATTAAGATTATGTCCATTTTGTAATGTATATGTTTCCTGTTTACATGAAAGACGATATGCGAGTGAATACAGTTCTATCGATACAAACCTTCCTCTCACATTATCGCATATGGTTGCAACCGTGATTTTTGTGATCTTGGTTATAGATCGGGAAGAAATAAAAAAATAAAATTGTTTTTCATTAATATCATTACTTTTTGATGGTGGTATAGTGGTGTTGGTAGCCCGATGAACATAAAAATTTCATGGTCGGAGATGAAATATATCTTATATCTAGTAGAATGGGTAATGTGATATTTTTTATTTAATGGTTTTAGTTAAACTGCGATACAAATACATTCTCCATGAAGACAAGCATAGTAGTACTCGGGGTCGTGGCATTCTTTAGCATCGGGGCAATCACTGTCCCTCTTACACTTTAGCGTCTTGGTGGACTGAAGCTCGACTTTTGGAGTATCACAAACGCAATGTCCGTTTACACATCCCCCAGAACCACCCTGACATAATCCTGCACAATCTGCTGGTTTTTGGCATGAGTGTTCAAACAGTGCTTGAGTTCCAGAGAGACTCACCAACAATGTGCCTACAAATTGCAAAGACATATGAGTATATATCTTAAATTTTGAGTGGGTCTTTTAAATCGATTGAATCAACATATAGAATCTAGAGAGAAACTAACATGAAAGATAAAGAATGAAAACAATGAAAATAGTTGTTTTTGATGCTGCCATGTCTTTTGTTTTTTGTTTGGTGTGATTAGCTAGTGTTTACGAGTTTATAAATAAGTTAGAATATAATATAAGTTATTATTTTATTCCTGTTATAATTTGTTATTTTATTCCTATTATAATTTGTTGACTACAAATTCTTTGTGACAATCAATGTAAATGTATTGGTTGAGAATCAATTTTTCTATGTTGGTTTGGTAAGTAGAATGAAAGATATTGTCAAAAAAGGTAGATAAAAGTCGTAGGGAAAAAAATAGAAAGTATTGTTTGACTGTTGACATTTTTTTTTTTTGTTAAACTAGTAACAAATCATACTATATTGGCTTTGTTTTCAATTAGGACTTAATAACTAATGTTAAAATCGTTTCAGATACATGTATATATGTAAAATTATAAAAATAAAATAATGATAATATATCGTAGCTAGTTGACTATGCACAATAAATATGTTAGGTGAATATTTTTAAATTAATGTACTTTAAGTAGATAGAATCAAAGAGTATTTGTTATATGAAGAAAGTATAAAGTTGTTTCCCCAATTCACTTGTAATAAACATTTATATGTTTGCTTTCTTTGAGTAATAAACTTAATTTATTTGACTAGTAAGTAAAACATTTTTATTTTGGCTTTGTTTCTAATTGGCACTTAGCAACAAGAATCAAAAGGTATTTTAAGATATATATGCACATTTCTTGATATCTGTTTTCCTTATAAATACATTTATACATTTTTCATTCTCATTTGGAGGTGGAAGATCTTTTAACCGATCTGAGAAAATATGTAAACGTCCGCTTAGTGTAGAGTGTGTTTTGAAACACTTCCCCTTCATAGTGTGTTTTGAAACCCTTCCCCTTCACAGTTGCCAGAGATCTGCACGAGAGTTTGAGAAAAAAACTCCAAAGGGAAAAGGTTTCAAAACACACTATACACTGAGCGGACAACTGTGAAGTCCATCAAACTTGAGACTAGTACTTCATGTAGAATCTCTATGTCATGATTATAGATAATGTTGTTAATCAACATTCTTAAGTTAAATACCCAACTTTATCACTATGATCGGTAAATGGGCTAAAAATAGTCTCCTCCATGTTTATCAAACAAGGACATCTTCCATCCGTTGAAGATCCATCGACATCGGCGGCATCAATAGTCAAGAACATTAGTATATTGTATAGTGACTCAAATGTAGTGTTTTCATTTTTTTAAAGAATCAATGAAAACAACAAATTTACAATGTGTAAAGAGAAATTACGTAGAATTAAAAAAGAAGAAGAATAAGAAAGTTAACACAAATAATCAAACAATGAAAGTTATCAAGCAAACAACATCGTTCCCTTTATACACTGGAATTGGATTATTATGATTCATTAGGGATTAAAGCCCCGCGCAAGTGCGGGGTTGTTTGCAATATTTTAAATTTTGCTATTTATATTAATATCTGTGTTTTAGTTATATTTTGACTAATCCAATCACACACTAAAGATATCAATTTATTTTTTTGTTTTATTTTGTTAAGATGTTAACTTTACATTTCATGTTGAGTTTTCTATTTCTAACATTTAGCATATTTTAAAACTTAAATATTATGTTGATTCATTTTTATTAGACTATAAATATACATTTGACTCAACATTAAAATTTGTAAACATAGTGTAAAATCGTACTTTCACTCCAAATATGATCTAAAATAATATGTGTTAATTTTTACATGCATATATGCTTTATGTTGTGGTAGCGTATGAACTCTGTTAATTATTTTCTATCATATTACTTTTGTAAATATAAATTTTATTTTTGAACGAAACATGTTACAATCTTAAAACAAAAATCATACTTTTTGTTGCAGTGAAATTTACATGTAATAACTTGACTTCTACTTGTTTTAAAAACAAACTCTAACTTTAATATCTCATTAGCTTTTTGCAATATTAATTAAATTATATTCTACATTTTTTAACTTGTAAACACATTAGAATTTTTTTTCACTAGGGTGCGCGGGGTTGTTTGTGATAATTCTTTTGTATGATTTTATTTATCTTTGTATATTTGAATAATAATAGTTTTGTGTTAGTCTCCATGTTTTGATTATATTTTGAGTTAACTCTAAGCATATGATCAATTTGTTTTGTTTTATTTTATTAAGATATTAACTCTACACTTCATCTCGAGCTTTTCGTAGAATCGCATTTGCATTCGATGTATTACTGTTTACATATATGTTTTGTTGTGTAGCATTTGAGCATAATGACATATTGATTATTTCTATAATGTTAGTTTTGTAAATATAGATTGTATTTTTGAAACAAACATGTCACAATCCTTAAAATTTTCATGTTTTATTTGGGTTTTTAAAAAGAACTCTAAATATAATTTCTCATTAACTTCTACTATATAAACTAAATTATATTCTAACTTTTTTTTAACTTGTAAACACATTATAACATTTAAAAAATAGGAGAAATCTTCTACAAAAAATTCTAACTCTAATTTTTTTCATGAGCTTTCTACTATATTAATCAAAAAATTATATTCAATATTTTTGAACTTGTAAATACATTATAAACTTTTTAAATAGGAAAAATACTATTTTATGTTGCATATTTCTTTATTTCATCTCCATTTTATATTACAAATGTTTCTTTAAATTTTAACACCAAGTTATCACATACTTTATTTTAATTAATTAATGTATTTGTGTATATTTTTTAGTTTTATTTATTTTAAAATAGGAATATATGTAAAGAAATATGAAAAGACAAGTATTTAATAAATATTGTAAATATAATTTATTGTTTTTGTGCTGATGTGGACACTCTAGATGGAGAGAGCAACTCCCTAATTATATATAATATTAGGATGAATCATTTGAATAAAAAGCTAAATATATACTCCCTTCGTTTCATAATAAGTGTCGTTTGACTCTTGACTTACCCAATGTATTTAACGTATATTGATGTATTAAGAGTCAAAACACATCATGATACATCAATAAATGATCCAGATTCATTTTGTCAAAACGACACTTATTATGAAACGGAGGAAGTACTATTTTAAGTTAAATATTTATATGCTTTATCTCCATTTTACATTACTACTTTCTTTTACATTTTATCATTAAGTTATCATATATTTATAGATTAGTTATTTTTTGTATATTTTTCTTAATTTTATTTATGTTTGAAATGGAAATATAAGTAAAGGAATATGAATAGACATATATTGATAAATATATTAAATATCAATATATTAAATACAATTTGAAGTCCTTTTACTGATGTGGATAGTCTAAATGAAGAGATAATTCCCTAATTCCCTAATTATATAATAAGATTGTTGCATATGAAATAAGTAATAACCACTCCACATTTAAAAAGATAACAAAATATACAAAACACGGCGGGTGTTTATATGTAACCTTGATATTCAATATTTACCATTATTAAACAGACGGATCACAGTTACAAAAAAATAAGAAAAAATGACCTCTATGTTACAATGCATCATGATCCTTCATTGTCATGTGTAATAACTTAAGTCCACTTCAAAACACTTCCATACATTTCATGATCTTTGGAGACGCCATCAAAGTTTCTATTAACTTAAGATACCAACTCATCGTATACTGAGCATGACCGCGTTGATTTCTCAGTATGTTTCATAACATGTCATGCAGAGTCAAAAGCTTGTTGTACCTTATGAATAAATGGTGTAGAGCTAAGACTATGCAACTATGCAGATGCTGCTGAAGAATAAGTCTTGAAGAGGTAAGCCAGAATCTTCTGGTAATCACCTAATTGGACACCAGTGTTTGGATCAACCAAGAACGGAACCTGTTAGATCAATCGAGAGATACAGCAGATTTCAGCCGGATAAGTGGTAGGTAAAAGAGTGTAGACTCTGCTCTGCTATACACAGAGAGGGAACTGGACATAGACCTTATTAGATCCTGAAGCATTTAGAAGCGATCTCATTCGTGTGGACCCTTCTCCAATATTGTGTAATACATAAGGGAGCTCCAACTCACAGAGTGCTTCACGCACCAACCGCGCATACTGGAAGGGAAGAAGAGGGATTGGATCAGAACTCTCAGTCACTAAAGTTAATGTAAAATAATCAAGAAGAGACTAATCATGAGAAGAGGCTTGGATACAAGAAATGTAAAAAGGAAGAAGCATATATAGTACCGAGTTGTTCTCGTAAGAGAAGAGCTCAAGCATATTAGGTGGAGGATCCGTTGGAGCCTTGTCCCATAATGACATGCCTCTACCTGCTCGGAGAAGTGTTGGCATCCATCCAGTGAACAAGGTGCTGGACAAACTCTTTAGAAGTCAGTGATACAGCTAAAAATTTATAATTTACAGCAAAGACCAACTAATCTACATGATCTACAGAAATGCTCAAGGCAAGTATAACAGATTCTGTGGATGCTCATTGCTCACCTTTCCAAAAGTCCAGTGGAAGGGCTTCTTCCATTTCCATATTGATTAAATAGGTACTTCACGATGTCACCTGTTAATTCAAAAAGAGAAGAGAAACAATGTAAAGATATCCACAGTAGAAGACAATAGGTTATTATAATGTTGCATACTCAAAAACTTACCACTCTCATACATTGAAGTATCAGTATTCGGGTCAATGAGGAAAGGAAACCTGCAAATTTTCATTCATAGAATGTTAACGAGTGACTATTAGAAGAGACCGAACAGTGTTACGGAATGATGAAAATGAAACCAAATGACAGTTACATCTCTTTTCCGCCGGATCTTCTGACCATTTCTCTGTGTCTTACAGATCCTTTAGGACAAGGATAAACCTGGAGAACAAATAAATATCTTAAGAATGATGAAAACTCTGTGCTATCATCTCTCAGGAAAAAGGATGTGTGTGTTCTTACTTCTGCAGAAAGGTCTAGCTCAGTCATGGCTTCACGCACCCTCCGGCAAAAGGGACATGCCTCTGTTGTTGTCCAGAAACCAATAAACTCTCACAATGTCAAATTGGCTTCCCACTAATGTTCTTTTTTTTTCTTCTACATGACACTAACAAGAACATACCAAATTCAAAAAGCTGCAATCGCAAATGAGGATTAGAGGAAACATCTATGCTCCCAGATGATACTCGAGATCCCCATGGAAGTCTTGCAACAGATGCTAATGAAGAAGTTGCGACCTGTACTCATTGCAAACCACAAGGAAAGAAAAGAAAAATGTTTGAGCTTCTCGTCATCTAATCAATTCCAGAGATCTAAAAAAACATGGTCCAAATTTTGTAACAAAATCAGTAAAACAGGATTCTACTACCAACTTTAAAAACATTCAGAAAACTCCATCCTTCCTCGTAACCCTTCTGCTAAATCTAAGGGACCATAAAATGGTTCACATTGCCTGATATTAATCTGTTAATTAGATCTTAAACCAGTAATATGAAACCTAAGAACTTCCACAGCGATCAAACTTTACTAGGCTCAAGTTGGATTATCTATAGCAAATGTGTTGGCTAAGCAAGAACAGAGTTATTTGGCCGAATTGAATTTACACTCTCCATAGAAGGGAAACAAAATTTAACCTCCAGAGCATGATTCCGCTGTCCTGAAGGATCACCTCCCTGGAAAGAACAGTTGAGACAAAAAAATCATTAAAGAAAATAACATATCTTTAAACCATAGAACCATTTACACTCCATAAGCAGTATTGAGACATTAATCTAACACACAGCAGCAGATAATTGCAAGAAAGAAAAAAATGAATTTTTGGAAAACCCAGAAGAAGAAGTTAAGAGAGGAAGAAGACTCACAGAGAAAAGTTTAAGCAATGGGCAGAGAACAGACAAGAAGCTCGATGAATTGCCGCTCGTATCAGAAGATACCGTAGCGTTTTCACTCGCACTAGTCCGTTTTGGAGTTGCTTCATCAGTTTTCGACTCTGAGTTGCTCGATTTCACAGAAAGTCTTCTCCTTTCGCGAACCCAGTGCCCGTTTCCTGAAATTCTCTTCGAAAATCCATGAGAACGAAACGTGGATGCCGGAATTGACGCAATCGGATGGCAGAGAGCGCTATTAGCCGTCGATAGAATCGCCATTGTTCCTGTTAAAACTGGATTCCGCATAAAACCCCTAATTCGATAACTGAAGAAGGAGAACGATCGAAAATTCGATTCACACACTAACACCTCCACCAAAGTCCGAATTTTTTTGGCGCTTGGCTTGACTCGAACAGTTGACTCCATACAGCTGTGGATCAAAATGGACATAATTGCCCTCAGTTATTCTAAAACACACACAAAAAGTGGTTTTGGCCCTGTTGGCAGGTGAGGCAGAGCATAAAGGTCATAAAAGTATTTACATCTTCCGTCTTCTCCCTCAATTGGTTTTTCTCTTCACCCATAAATATGATTCTTTTACCAACTTCAGAAACTTCGAATATCATCATCATAAACTAAGGAAAAAAACAAAGAATTCAAAAAAAAAAAAAGTTGAGTACTTCAAAGTTTTTATCCCCAAAACGAAACTCATGTAACCTTGCATGTTTATTGGTGCTGACTATGAGATTAAGGAGGATGAGTTACATCAGAGAACAACAACTTTGCACGATGAAGAGAGCCTTGGAATGGTAAGGAGTGCTCTGAGGATGATAGATTCTACTTTCTTTCTTGAACCATCCAAGTGTAAGGTTAATTTCTTGAGAACCGCTGAGTTTTCAAGTAAGTAGGCCACTAATCTCATCTCCATCTCCTTCCTTTCAACGGCCTTTCTATCTCAACATACTCCAGAGACGGTAACAAACACCAAGCTCCGGTAAAACTATTCATTCCCTCCTCCTTCCAGTATCTAGTAGATCCCTGCAAGTTCAAAAAACATCACACTTTCACCAATTTTGCATCTTAAAGGAAGTGCAAGATGTTCAACTCTACCTTTCACTACCATCCGAAACATGAGTGAAGCTCAACAGAGACTGAGAACGCACACGCAAAACATCTATATCATCACACAGACTCCTCTCAACGTATAACCATTCAAGAACAGGGCATCGCGAGATGAGTGTTTCCAATGCTGAATCGTCTGCAAACTTGACGATGATCAGATGGATAGATTTGACATTTGAGACAAGGTAAAGAGACGAACTTTGGAGGAGGACTAGGCAAAGTTAGTCCAGAGAGCTTCAACGAGACTAAGCTCTCGCAAGTGTAGAGCGAGGGAGGCATCTCAAGTTCCCAACTTTCCGGTGAGTCGTCTACAACATGGAGATGTTTAACTTTCCGGCGAACAACAGTAGTGACCCAGCGCCTGATGAGACCAGTCTCAGGCTCATCATCCGCATAGTAATCGTAATCTACTTTGAAACTATGTAAGCAGTCGGTGTTGAAACCTAGAAAGCGATCGACGAAACTCGAGAATAAGTTGTGATCTGGGAAATTAGCAATCTCCAAGTCCAATTTAGGTACTGTTTTCCAGAGATGTCTCCACCTAGTTGATAAAGCACTAGTCTTTACCACATCCTTGGTGCGGAGATTCAAAAGTACCTGGATTAGCAACGAATCTGGCAATTCGCTTATCCAATCAACTTCCCCGATCGTTTGGAGTTCGAAGGAACGCGTTTCTCTCCTCCGTCTTCATCCATGGAACGCCGAAAATGGAATCGATAAGACTTTATGCGAAATCACTGGATTTGAGTTTTCTACTTGCTAGTGAGTCGTTAACGCGGCGACCCAAAACCTTATCTTCTCGTCCGAGGAGTTTCCCCGAAACTGAGAGTATTCGAGGCGCAAGCAGAGTGACGACGATTCAGCCTCTGGTTAGGGGTTAAAAGGGGAATCTTTTGGATTTTGACGAGTTGTGTATGAGCGAGAAACGGTTCTCGTACGAGCGCTTAGCAATTGGGGAATTAAGGCAAGAAAGTTGATCCAAATGGCTCTTAAAAATGGAGCCTTTACTGTCCATTTTTCCATGAATGAGAGAGGCTTCTAAAAAAGGAACACATCTTTGTTAATGGATTTTACCACACGCACACAAAAAAAAACACATCTTTGTTAATGGCAACATATCAAATGATTCAGCAGCTTCTGAACCATATGGCCTAAATGGATTGAAGGAGATTTCAGAGCAAACTTGTTCGTGAAAGAGATCAGATCTAATATGTGGAGCTTCATCAGAAAGTATGTGGGAGGAGATCTTGCTGTTAATAGGTGCTAAATAGTAAATACACTGAGCTTAACCGGAAACTCAAGCAGGATATGTAAATGTTATGATGATGATGATGATATTAGCATTTAGCAGAACAGATGATGATTCTGTAAGGTTTTTGTCTCTGTTAGGCCATACGTACTTGTGTGAAATCCCTTTGCGTTTTGCAGTTAACGACTTGGAGAAGCATTCTAGCTACATATTTGACACGAATTGCTAAAATATACACACTTATTTTGCATCTCCAAACCACAAAACAACTGTGAGTGAGTGAGAGTAGAAAACAAGAGTTTCCATGTACAAATGACCGACCACATAATAACACATCTCTTTACTAGCACAAGCATAGCTGTTGGCAATGGCCTGCTAAATGTTGCTGAAGAGCTGATATCCATGGCCAATCTTACCTCTTCCAGTTTCAGGTAATGTTTTTTCTCTTGTTTTGGTGTTATACCAAAGTTTGATACATGTCTATGCACATCAGGCTCTGTTGTTTTTCCTTGTTGCAGATTTCTCAAGCCTTGATTTCCTTACAGCTTCTTGGATTTGCCTCTCATGCTCTTTCAATATGTCCTCCATGTTTCCACCAGGAGGCATCAATGGACCCGAACAATGCATTCTGTTCTTCTTCCGTATGTATCTCTGAAACCACATAAGAAGAAAAAGACATCTTAGGATCCATAATCTAAAGGTGAAAAACTAGAGTCAAATAACCAAATTTTCAAATAGTTTGTTACCGTTGTGGGTTCTACGGTTGCATCTACTTTATGTGAAGGAGACAAGTATCTCCCAGCCGTGGGAATGTTGCTAGATCGTGTAGACTTCAACTCATTTCCATTGTTCCTAGAGCTGTTCTCATTTTTACTCCATGTTGTTGTCATGCTTGGATGAATCATTGAATTGGTATGAGAAAAGCCGCCTTTATCTCTGTCCCGTCTTCCTGTCTCTCCTCTCAAACCAGTTCTATTGTCTTCCTGATGATTAAACCTCTCGGTGGTACCGATTGGGACTTTTGACTGCCCTGAAGCAATGAACTCTGGTGTTGTAACGGCACTCTTGAAGTCTCTTCCACGTCCCTTCACAGTTTCAGCTCGTTTCCTGAAGTTTATCAAGAACATGTGTGTTTAGGAATTACATTTTGTGGTTTCCTGGTGCAAGAATATGGATGTAGGGAAACTTTTTAACATACCTTCTTGCTTCTTCATCACGGATCTTTATATCAAGTTCCTTGCTTGGAGGATACTTAGGCAAACTTGATACATTGCAAGGGAGTGGTTCCGTTGTGAAGAACTAAAGAAAAGAAAGAACAAGAACTGAGTTCAACGAATCAAGAACTGGTAGATACAGTTGTAAGAGATTATCTTATACCTTGCTGTTTAGTGTTGATGAAGCTGAGCCTCGGTTCTCTGGTTCTAAGGATAGAAGCTTGTCAAGAAGAGCTAGAGCAGAAGGTGGCAAACTCTTGAACGTCTCTAGAAGCACACGCTGGTAAGGTTGTTGCGGTTTGAAACTTGTCGCAAGTGGTAGCTTTGTCTTTCTCCAGTAATCATCTGATGGTGAGCCACACAACTTGAAGATCTTGTGCATTTGCTCCACCTAAGAAACAATGTCAATGAAGGTCATTGGACTCAAAGAAGTGATGATCATCTGATGAATCTAAAGATAAACTCACCTCTGTTCTTCCTGGCATGATTGGTTTCCCTAAGAAAAGTTCTGTGAGAATGCAACCAACACTCCACAGATCAATGCCGGCTCCATACTCTGTAGCTCCAAGTAGAAGCTCAGGAGCTCTGTACCATAAAGTTACTACACGGCTCGTCAAGGGTTGGTCTTGTTCAGGATGATAGAAAGTCGCCAGACCGAAGTCTCCAATCTTGAGAACTCCCTCATTGTTTACCAACAGATTTGATCCCTTGATGTCACGGTGGAGAACTCCACGGCTGTGGCAGTGTTCAAGCCCGCTAAGCAGCTGTTTCATGTAACATTTTATCTGCAACAAGCAACAAAGAAACAAGATTTGTCTTTGTGTTAGTTAGTCCATGACTTCTTGTTAGCTTTTTCACCATAATCAAGCCTTGAACGTACCTGAGATTCAGTGAATTTGACACCAGGTCTAAGAGCGAGGCCTGAGAGATCATGCTCCATGTACTCAAACACAAGGTACAAGCTACCAGAGAGTTTTGATGTCACAAGACACTCAAGCTTCATAACGTTTGGATGGTCTAGTTTTCGCAAGATGTTGATCTCCCTGGCCATGAATCTCACGCTCTCTGGATCCATATTGACAAACCTGACCTTCTTCATGGCTACCATTTTCCCGGTCTCAAGGTCCCTAGCTCTGTACACAGTACTGTAAGTCCCTTGTCCAATCTGCAAGAAACAACATATAACAATCAAGAAACTGAAATATAGCAATCAAGAAACTGAAATATGGAAACAGAGAGAGAGAAAAAGGAACTAACTTTGTCCAACTTCTCAAAGGACTCTGCCGCACGAGGAACCCATCCTCTAATGGCGTCACCTGCAGCAGAGGTTAACCAAGAAGGCCATCCAGCTGCAATGAGCTCGATCTCGGGGCTTTGTGGAACACTTGGGATGTTATTACTCTGCTGAAACATGTGGAATCCTCCTCCTATTCCTGTTCCAATATCTGCAGTGGAAGATCTCCGGTGAGACCTAGTAGGTCTCTCTACGATTACCGTTTTGCCATCACTATCATCTATAGGAACAATCAACCCGCTGGCTCTAGCGGATGGTTTATGCTGTAAGCCTCCGGTTTTGCGTCCACCGGAGCTTCCTTCAACGGATTTAAGTGAGAAGTCATCTTTCTTGGAGGTTGTGGGTGGAACCAATTGGACTGAGGATGTTTTGCTCCAGTTCTCGTTTTGTTTCTCAGGTTGAATATTAACTTCTTCGTCTGGTGTTCCTTTTGAGCAAATGCAGCCCATAATACTCAGGCCGATTCACAATATTTTGTTGTGTGTTGCTTATCCGCATCAAGAAAGAGATCTTATCCTGAATGATTCCCAAGCATCAAACCTAGGAATCTCAGGTTTAATCAAACTTGTGTGTCACGGATCTTTTGATCTTATGTGATCCCAAAAGTATGTAAATCTCTGGAAAAAATGTGGGAGAGGAAAGAGAGAACAAATGTGATCAATGAGGAATCAAGCAGTAGCAATATTTAGAAATCCAAACGCCAAATATAATAGGGAAAGATTCACAGAAGATAAGAGACTTGTGATTCAAGAAACAAGAGACGACGATGATGATGAGAATAACACTACAAAAAAAACTGAGTTTTTTGGTTTTTCCGTTATCTCACTGCAAGATGGACAAAATGTTGCAGCAAACTGTTCGTCGATAACGGAAAAATCTGGAGAGAGAAAGTGACGAACAGAATGTTTGTTAAATTCTGAAATGGAAATTTTTAGGATCAGGAGAGATTGATTCGTTTTTGTTCCGCGAGAAATTAGGAAAAGCCCTAGATTCTATGGAGAAGACAGCTCAAAATCTTAGCTGTTTTTTGTTTTTCTTCCAAATTTGGCTATTTCTTCTCTCTAAATTTGTTAAGAATTGAGCCAACGAATTTGCATGAGAGTGAAGATTTGATCCAACGGTCAAAAACGAAGTTTGTTTGTTGTTGGTGTTATGACAATGACACACGTAGATGATCCTTCTGTCGAACTCGGAGATCGTGGGTCCCACTAGCTCTATTCTTTCCGTACCAGAAAACATTATCTAGAGAAGAACATTAAACATTATCCCAAAGACTCTTCTTCTAAGTTCAAGTCTCCCACAACGTATCTAGAAGATAATCAAGCTCAGCATTGACCACGACGACATCGTCTTATGTAGATGATTAGAAAAATTAAACGCATATATATATTGGCTATTGCATAAACCAATAAAATACAAAACATCCTAACCGGATTAAACCAGAATGGGAGCTCTCTATTTTATCTATAAAAAAACTCTAAAATTATAAAACTCAAAGAGGGCATAGGAACAAGCACGTGGCTCTGTACATCAATCTGCATGCAGCCATGTTGTTCATCATCCATCACTATGCGTCAAAATCCGCCCCAAAATTTAAGATATTTTTATTTTCCTATCGCGAAATAAAACGAAATTTTGTTGCCTCTTCTTCTATCTTACTTCTTCTTTTGGATAGCCTGATCTTAAGAATTTCTTCTTCTTTTTCGAAATAAGTAAAAATGGTGGATCTATTGAACTCGGTGATGAATCTGGTGGCGCCACCGGCGACCATGGTGGTGATGGCCTTTGCATGGCCATTACTGTGTTTCATTAGCTTCTCCGAACGGCTTTACAACTCTTATTACTTCACTGAAGACATGGAGGATAAAGTCGTCGTTATCACCGGAGCTTCCTCCGCCATTGGAGAGGTACTAACAAAAACTACTTACGCAAATTACGCTTGCATGAAACATTTTTGTTAATGAATAAAGAAGTGTTATGGTAATATATTTCAATTGAATATTATACTAACAAATATGTGTTAATATTTATGAAAAGCAAAGTATACAAATTTTTAAAAGTGGAGTATCAATTATCAAACTCAAATGTTACGTCTAGAAAAATAATCAAACCACATAGCTAAATACAAGCTGATTTTATTAGTTAATGTAATCTCAGTTGGAATAACTAAAGATATTATTATGAGATATGAGTTAATGATATCTAAATTTGCATGGATGCTAATGATCTTGTTAATGATATGAAACGCAGCAAATAGCATATGAATATGCAAAGAGAGGAGCCAATTTGGTGTTGGTGGCAAGGAGAGAGCAGAGATTGAGAGTTGTGAGCCAAAAGGCCAAAATGATTGGAGCCAACCATGTCATCATCATCGCTGCTGATGTCATCAAAGAAGATGATTGTCGCCGTTTTATCACTCAGGCCGTCAACTATTACGGCCGTGGTACACAACCTATCGCCATTTCTACAGTATTTCATAGCTTTGATCGATCGTATCGGTCAAGAAATAGTTTTATATTTTGAGCTATTTAACGAAAATGTTGTTTTATTTTGTTTGATGATGAACTCGACACAGTGGATCACTTGGTGAATTCAGCGAGTCTTGGACACACGTTTTACTTCGAGGAAGTGAGTGACACGACTGTGTTTCCGCATTTGCTGGTATGCTTTCTTGATTTGTATATCATCCAAATCTTGTTTTGTGCATTGAACATTTCAATAGAAAAGATACCAAAAAACTTACATGAGATTCTTGAATCAGGACATAAACTTCTGGGGGAATGTTTATCCGACGTACGTTGCATTGCCATACCTTCAAAAGACCAATGGCCGGATTGTCGTGAATGCATCGGTCGAGAATTGGTTGCCACTACCACGGATGAGTCTTTACTCCGTTAGTACTTCATACTATAAACCGCTTCCTCATAGTTTGATCTTAATTCTTGTGTCATGTAAGAGATTACCTAATGTTAATTATCATTTTGTAGGCTGCAAAAGCAGCACTGGTCAACTTCTACGAGACGTTGAGATTCGAGCTAAATGAAGACGTTGGGATAACTATAGCGACTCACGGATGGATCGGGAGTGAGATGGGTACAGGAAAGTTCATGGTAGAAGAAGGTGCTGAGATGCAATGGAAGGAAGAAAGAGAAGTACTAAATCTTTAAAGAAACTTCCACACTAATTGTGATTGAACACCCCTAAACTCCCAAAGAAGACACTTATTACTTGCATTGATCTTGCAGGTACCTGCAAACGGTGGAGCGTTAGAGGAATTCGCAAAGATGATTGTGGCAGGAGCTTGTAGAGGAGACGCGTACGTGAAGTTCCCAAACTGGTACGACGTGTTTCTCCTCTACAGAGTCTTCACGCCGAACGTTCTGAGATGGACATTCAAGCTGTTACTGTCTAGTGAGGGTTCACGTAAAAGCTCCCTTGTTGGTGTCGGGTCAAGTGTGCCTTCGGACGAAGCCTCTTCACAGATGAAGCTTATGCTCGAAGGAGGCCCGCCTCGGGTTCCCGCAAGCCCACCTCATTATACCGCGAGCCCGCCTCGGTATACCCCAAGCCCAAGCCCGCCTCGTTATAGGGAAAGCCCACCTCGTTATAGCGCGAGCCCGAGCCCGCCTCATTACACCGCAAGCCCGCCTCGGTACACTGCAAGTCCACCTCATTATACCGAGAGCCCGCCTCGGTATCCCGCAAGTCCGCCTTATTATACCGAAAGCCCACCTCGGTTTGCACGGTTTAACATCCAAGAGATGTGAAAAGAAAAACTAAATGGAGAGAAACAAGACGGTGATGTTGGCTTGGTGTAGAGTGAGCTTGAGCTTTTAGCACTTTCTCCGATTAATGTAAAAGCACATAGAAACAAGAATAATGGTGGATGATACAGCTATATGATGTTTACTTGTTACTTATACTTCACTCATAAACATTACACGGACACAATGTTGATGTATATTATATGGTATTGTACCTGTCAAAATGTGACTTACACGTAACTTCTCCACAAGTATCTAACAGAACAAGAATGCAACTCTAGGCTCTGAGAACCTGGAAAGAAGATGACAAGATCCTGAACAGACCATCTGGATTATCCGTGTGAACCTGAATGGACACAGCCCAAAAACCGGTTAATGTCTTAAATAGAGAGAACATATATGAAGCAGAGGCATGGCTAGTTTACCCAGTGACCGGCGTCTTCAAGGACATGCATTTCAACGCCGCCTCCTTCTTCAGAGGCGAGCTCTTCCGCGGCGTGGATTCTTTGAATGTCTTTCAAGGCCCACCGGTGCAAGCTTCTCTCGGCTTTCAAGAAATTCACATGTACTCCTCTTGGAAGATTCTCAACAAAGTTCCTTTTTAATAGCAATATTGCCAAATAAGTCTTGAGTTTAGTTTGGTGACGTATCATACAAGTTGGCTCCATTAGGTTTAGCTAGATTACCACAGATTTGTGTTTTCGTAGGACTGGTAAAGCTCGGCGATCCCGTCCAGGTCAAATGTCCAGGAGAAGCTAGAAGACGATGGTCCAGTAGGTCTAAGATTGGTAATAACCCACTGCACAAGATTGAATATACATCAAGATTGTAACATGTCAACAATTATTACAAGATTGTAAGTTAATAGAGATCTGCTGAATGAATGTATGGATTTTATTATACCTGTGCAACATCGTTTGAAAACCCTTCTTTGATAAGAGCGTTTAAAACCTCACGTTTTGATGTGACCTTATTAAACCAAACACAAAAAGATGTTCATAAGCATATCTAGTGACAGTGTAGGTGGTTGAAAACTGCTTATAGCAAATATATCAGTTGAAGTATCAACAGTTTGCAAGTAGATAGATCTCGTAGCTCACCACTTTTGGCAATGTACGTAGAAATGATATAAGCTCTCTTGGATGATCCTCTCCATCTCCTCCTGCACGAACTTTTCCAGGAGTAGCATCCAATACCCAAGCCTGTAATGGAGGGAGATTAATGTAAACTCTATCAACCGTCTTTGGATAATAGAGACGTCGAAACAACACTTACTCGGACTGGTCGTGGAAGAGGCTTAGCTGCTTGCTCAACCATGCTTAAAACAACTACACAAATCACAGAAAAGATTGATCTTAAGCACACACATGAGTAAATAAAATCTGAATGGAGAGATTTCATAAATACATTAAAAGTCACCTTTCCCTCCAAAGCTGTGACCAACAAGGACCCGAGGTGTTAACTTCAACTGACCAACCTAAGAAGGACATCATAATAGACAGAAAGTTGAATATCAGAGAAATGATCTTTCATCGGATAATGTGTGGCCGCCAGAGAAAGAAACTCACAAGTTTTAGAACATCTAAGGCAGTTGAAGCAACAGAGTGTGGACCTCTCTTCTTTAGAGACGCTGAATCTCCATGGCAACGAAGATCAACCAAGAGAAACTGTGAAGAGATTGAATTCAAGAAGAGAAAATTATTTATTGCAAGCCAAAAAACTGTGCATAGTTTTAGTAGATTCAGTCAAACTAATACCTGCCAAGTTGGGAACTCATGAGCCAACCTTCTTGCAAAAGTGCCTAAACAAACAAAAGGTTTCGTTAGCTACAAGTTTTTCCACTAAACCTCAAAGCTAAGATTGCTGAGAGAGCAATAAACATGAATTAAAACAATTATTGATGATCTCTTTGCAACGTGAAGATATTTAAAGAAATGACTTTACTGGTTTCATTCATTTCTTGGATCAGATTTCAAGAAACTAAGTCAGTCACAAGTTTACACAATACTGACCCCAGTTTTTGCCGCTCCCGAGAATTCCGTGTAGAAGAACAGCGGTTGGTGTATCTGGAACAGACTTGTCCTCCTTCCATCTCCATTTCACCTGCGTGTGCCATTATTATGTCAACTCCAGAATCAGTCTAAAAGACACAGAGAACTTCTCAAACTTATGTTAGCTTTGTGGACATGAAAGTTCCAAACTTTTTTCCCCACAAAGCGAAGCTTAAACATTGGGATTATAAATATTGGCTCTCAGGTAACTTACAAGAGCCCCTTGAACAAGATCATACGCCTGCAAACAAAATAGCACAAGAGATGATCAAATCATCAGAGACCATGAATTCACAAGACTCAAAGCAAGAGACTTTAACATTCCAAAATGAGTCAAAGTATCAATTTTTGTAGCAGAGCAATACCAGGATCCGAGGAGGTTCGGCAACATTTTGGCCTGTTGATTGTCTTTCGTCGACTAATGCCATACGCACATTTGTTCTTCTTCTCGCTTTACCGTTTTCGTGTACCAATCCCAAACGATGAACACACAATCTGTCACTCTTTTATGCAGAAGAAATACAAGTAGAGAGTTAAAGTTAGAGACTTTTAAACTGATTAACACCAGAGAGAAGGAGAAATCAACAAACCTGAGAATTTGTAGCAATTCTGATGAAATTAGGAGAATTGATTGCAGGTAAAGCAGAGTTCTTTAATTGAAAGCTTAATCCAAATCCGCTGCTAGAGCTTGCCGTGGAGCAGGAGACCGTCGTCGACATTTACGACAGATCAATCTTTGATCGGAGGAAGGAAGGGAGCAAAAAGCAGAGACGACGACGGAGAATGATGAAGAAGTTTAAAGAGGGCGGAGAAACCGACGGGAATAATGTGGCTTCTCCTCCTCTTCTTTGGTTTCTCCGTCGCCTTTTGCTTTTTTTCTCCTCCGGCGTACGTTCGTTTTTTTTTTTCTGGAGAATCTCAGGTTGCGAGACAGACAGGGAATTACAGATTTACCCCTTTTGTCGGGATTCACAGAGAGTTTGAGATCGATCCACTTGGCGTGTGTCGGTCCAGACTCCCACCTAACATGTAAACAACTCACATTCTGTCTTTTTCTTTGTCATAAACTCATACGCGTTTCTTGTAGAATGAGTTAGATGTGTAATCGTTTTATCATAATCTAGTGTGTTAATCCCAGAACAAAAATGGAACCCACCCAAGAAAATAAAATAATAAATAGATCAAAGTAAAAGCTAAACTTTGGTTTCAAACATTTTAATTTCTCGAAAGATTTTTTTAAAAAAAAACTATTTACACTTTACACAATCAACACAAGTTTCTAAGCGATTATAAATTGTCAAATAAGAGTGGAAACTTTCTTTTTGATGTGTGTTTATGAGAGCTTCATCAGATAATCAGGTGAACTGTCTGAGATATCATAGATCCAGAAACATTGATTAAAGTTCTTATTCAGATGGTGAAAAACGAAAAGAGATCATAAGTTAAAATATTAAAACAGCACTAATCAAACATTTTCTTTTTTGATAGTTGTGTACACCCGAGAGGATAGGCCTTATACAGAGACCTATAGAATGAAAATTATAACTGTAAGATCCGAAGAAACCGCTAAATTCACGGGGGTCATGTATTCCGGAGTGAAACTCTGTCGTCGGAGGTCGTCTCTCATTCGGATACTTCATTTCCGCGTGAAAGGCCAAGTGCTTTCTCTCGTTTGTATGAAACGTAGAGATGAAAGACCAGAGTACGACTTCTCTCCGCTGATCCCAGTGACAAACTCGGTTTCGTGGTTCAACCTCACCTGAAGAGAAGATAATGGTAAAGCAAAGAAATACCCTTTCATTATTAGACATTTACACTTGTAGAAAAAGAAAGAGTGATGAGACTTACAATACGAGTACTATCGTTTTCGTCTGCTTTTCTGCCGTAGATTTTTTCGACATGACCAGAGCTCCGTTTTGGACATATCCAAACTGAATGGATGTTCATTACTCTTTTCATAAGTGACGAAAATGTGACTTATTTTGTCACGACAAGTTTCTTCCCACTTTTCTCCCATACTATAATATCCTAATGGTCCCAGTTTCATTTCCATTTTTTCTTCGAAGAACAGAAGATGAAACGTGACTTCGAGTTGAGTGATTGAATACAGAGCAAGGGATATATATATATATATATATATAGGCGGGCTTTTGGGGAGGATTAGTGTGCAAGAAACCGAGGAGTCTTCTTTGACTTGTTATTTATGGTGAATATTGGTGTTCAAGAGAATATCAAGCATAGGAAAAGTCGAAAATTACAATTACGAAACCTGGAGTATATATTGATGTGCTAAACATGACTCATTGACTCACTGATTTTGAGAGAAACCCAAGTTTACAATTTTACAGTCTAAAGACGGCTTTAAAGCAACAAGTCACGGTCGTTACGCAGATGCCGTAGTGAACAAGTATTCGTCGCAAAAAAATAGCTTGGTTGTTTAGACATGACATGAGCTCCCTAGATAGCTAAACTTAATATGTATATAGACTCTTATTGTGACGACTTTATGACCCAATTTGTCTCACCTTAAACATCTACCTATTACAGGTTTTCGTTTAGAATATAGCTAGCATTCGCTAAAATTAAGCTCTGGATACTCTTTTTGTTGATTATTTATAACAACTTGTTCTTGTGAGGATACACATATAGTTTATAGGTAGAAAATGGTTTACATAAATTTCTCTTGGAAATAAGTTGGATCAGTAAGTTTTTACTAAATATATAACTGGATGCCTCTTTAGTCATGTGGTTAACTCATGTAATGTTAATTAACTTTTTACGAAGGGTTTGGGGTTCGAGTTCTCGGATAATGCATTATTGAACCTTTAAGCAACCATTGGATCAAATGGACGTACGTTTTGCTAGTGTGTTCCTTTTTACCTACAAATTCTTGTATACATAGAACCATATATATTCAAGGTAGGTACTAATAATCTTGAAAGTGATTAACTAATTTCCAACGAGCTTCTGTTCAGGTTCTTTGCCAACAAGTCAAGAAACCGAATTTTGGAAGATTTGTAATCAAAGTATGTATTTATCCTTTTTGCATTTCTCTGTTTTACATGACCATTTGAATTGTTGTCTATTGGTTTCTTGATACCAAAACAATCGTATAGCTTGGCGACAAGGCACCACCAAATCGTATTGGTTTCTTTTGTCCACCACGTGTTTCTAAGTGGAAACTTTCTTTTTGACGTATGTTTATGAGAGCGTTAAAACCAAAAGAAATATACCCGAATCATTTAAATAGATAGATCATAGATACTTGAATCATTCAAATTCCAATATAGCATAATATCAATTAAAAGTTCTAATTGAGATGGTGAAACGAAAAAAGAGTACTGAAGTTGAAACGATAAAACAGAACTGATCAAACATCTTCTTGTTTGATAGTTTGTACACCCGAGAGGATAGGCCTTATATAGAGACCTAGAGAATGAAAACTCCAATTGCTGTAAGATCCGAAGAAACCGCCAAATTCACGGCGGTCATGTATTCCGGAATGAAACTCTCTCGTCGGAGGTCGTCTCTCTCTGGACAAGTCGAATTCTGCTTCAAAGACTAAGTGCTTTCTCTCGTTTGTATGAAACGTAAGAGATGAAAGATGAGAGTACGACTTCTCTCCGCTGATCCCAGTGACAAACTCGGTTTCATGGTTCAGCCTCACCTGAAGAGAAGATTATGTTAAATCAATTTCATTATTAGACATTTACACTGTTAGAGAGAAGAAATGAAAGAGTGATGGGACTTACAATACGAGTACTATCCTCTTCGTCTGCTTTTTGGCCGTGCCTTTTCGACATGACCAGAGCTCCGTTTTCGACATATCCAAACTGAATGGATTTTACACTAGTCTTGCCATAATTGACGAAGATGTGACTTATTTTGTCATGTCCAGTTTCTTCCCACTTTTCCCCCACGCTATAATCTCCTAATGGTCCCAGTTTCATTTCCATTTTTGTCAGAAGATGAAACGTGAACTTTGAGTTGAGTGATTGGATACAGAGTAAGGGATATATATATAAGCCCACTAACATTTTCCTATTTTATTGAGTTTAATAAAGAAGCTCCGTCGTCAGTGACATATTAGAAAAATGTAGAATATAGTGTGGCATCATGACGAAGAGAGTAAAGTGAGACGGTGAACTACTTTGCCACCGTGTTTCTGACTCAGCTTTGAATGTGCCATCCACTCACTCACTTTTGGTTACTTTGCGATTACCATTTTTGTTTGTACAATAATTACTTATTTACAACTTCCTTTATCCTTTAACACAAAAATGATTCTAATTCACATCTCCTAATTGGCAAATAAACAAGACGTCCTAATATCAGTCCAGACTCCCACCTAACCAACAACAAACATTCTGTCTTTTCCTTTGTCACAAACTCATACGCGTTTCTTATAAAATGAGGTTAGAAATGTAATGCAATTGTTTTATCATAATTTAGTGTGAAATTGGACGTGTTAAATCATTTTGATTGCTCAACAGATTTTTTTTTTTTTATAAATTATTTACACTTTACAGTTTACACAATCGTTCTTAAACGTCAAACAAGAGTGGAAACTTTCTTTTTGACGTGTGTTTATGAGAGCTTTAAACCAAAAGAAATACAATTCTATATATATTCTTTAAACGAAAGAAATGAGGCACCTAGTACAGAAATTTAATTATAGAGATACTTAGAAACATTCAAATTTCAATAGCGTAACATAGATTAAAAGTTCTTATTCTGATGGTGAAACGAAAAAAAGAGTAGTGAAGTTTAAATGATAAAGAAGCACTCATCAAACATTTTCTTGTTTGATAGTGTGTACACCAGAGAGGATAGGCCTTATATAGAGACCAATAGAACTCAATCCAAAACTGCCGAAAGATCCAAAGAAACCGCCAAATTGACGGCGGTCATGTATTCCGGAATGAAACTCTGCCTTCAGAGGTCGTTTTCCTCTCAGTGAGCCCAATTCCGCTTCAAAGGCCAAGTGCTTTCTCTCGTTTGTATGAAATGTAAGAGGTGAAAGAGGTGAAAAATAATTAATTCCCGGTAATAGAGGGGCGCGGATCCACTTCTTTCCACTGATCCCAGTGACAAATTCGGTTTCATGGTTCAATCTCACCTGCAGATTAAGGGATAACAAACAAAAACCGCTAATTATTAAAGGTTTATACTTTGTAAAGTGTACAATAATATTGAAGAAAGAGTGATGAGACTTACAATTCGAGTACTGTCGTCTTTGCATTTAAGCTCTGATGCGCCGTGCCTTTTCGACAAGACCAGAGCTCCGTTTACGACATATCCAAACTGAATGGATTTTACACATCTGCTGTCGTAAGTGATGAAAATGTGACTTATTTTGCCACGGCCAGTTTCTTCCCACTTCTCTCCATAGCTATAGTCTCCTAATGGTCCTACTTTTAATTCCATTTTTGTATATAAAGGCGGGACTTGTGGTAGATTATTGTGCAGAAAACCGAGGAGTCTGCTTTGACTTGTTATTTATGTTGTTCATGAGTTTATCGAGCATAGGAAAAGTCCCAAATTACATTTACGAAACCTGGAGTAATGAATGTGCTAAACATGACTCATCGACTCATTAATTTCATGAGAAACCCATTCAGTTTACTGCACAAGACTAAAGACGGCTTTAAAGAAACAAGCCAAGGTCGTGATTAAGCAGATGCCGTAGTAAACAAGTATTCGTCTAAAACTGTAATACAAGAGGTCATGGACCATGGTGCGTCCCAAATCTTGTTTTAACAACTTTTTAACCTGATTTGTCTCACTCTAAACATCTCCCTATTACAGGTTTTCGTTTAGAATATAGCATTCATAAAAATTAGGCTCTGGATACTTTTATTGATAATCTTAGAATAACTTGTTCTTCTTAGGATACATATATCTTTATGGGTAGAAAATGGTTTAAAGAATTTTTTCTAAGAAATAAGTTGGACAATTAAGTGATTTTTTACTAATTTTAAAATTAAAACCAAAAAACACAAGTGTAAGCCAAAAAATTAGTCAAGTGGTTAACTAATGTTTATACAAAAAGGTATGGGGTTCGATTCTAAAAGGATGTATTACTACTACTAAATCTTTAATAACGATAGGACTAAATCGTGTCTTCCTCTTTACCCATAAAATTATGTATTCATCTAACAGTAGGTACTAATAATCTTGGAAGTTAATAATAAATTTCCTATTTTTTTGTTCGGGTTCTTTGCCAACAAGTCAAGAAACCAAAATTTGGAAGATTTGTGATATAAGTCTGTATTTTTCATTTGTGCATTTGTGTGTTTTACATGAGCATTTGAACTGTTGTCTATTGGTTTCTTGATACCAAAACTATCGTATAGGTTGGCAACACGGCACCACAAAATCACAAGCCCATATGAGGTAAAGACACTTCAATATCACTACCACTTCAAACCCTCAAACGATGTAACCATTCTAGAGTAACTCAAACTCTACAGAAATACCATGTTTGAGTGAATCGGGGTTTGCATCCACTATTTCCCTCATGGATCGACTCAAGAAATTGTAGGTTTTTTTTTTCTCTGGATCAGACCACCCACATCACGAAGCATGAACATCGCCAAATGCATTCTAGCTTCGAAATTGGTTACTTCCATGAACTCGTTTAACCATGTGTGATCATTGTCTATCTTTACAAAGTTGACAATCAGACTCACAGACCTTATAATTTCAGCATGATTGGTCGCGAATTGGACCTATGCACAGTCTATGTACCCTGTCCACGAAATATAGCTCGAAAATGACTCTTTTTCGTTGTGTGCATCATCTCCAAAAACCTTGTGTATGGTAGAGATTTGTAAAAACCTAAATCGCCATCAATGTCGTCTTAAACAATAATATAAGAGATGTGCATCCCAACTCTCATTTTAACAATTTTTAATCTAATTTGTCTCATTTTAAACATCTTCCTGCTAGATCTGACTTTTGGTTTACGGTTTGAAAGTGTATTATGCAAATGATTTATGAACTGTTTCAAACGTAGAATATTTAGCATTTAGCCATTTAGCAAAGTGTTCACCCAATAATTGACAACCAACTAGATCAGGTGCCATGGCTTATTTGATGTTTGGGCCTCTTGTTAACACTCTCTAAGTCCAACAACAAAACCCACTTTCAAAATCAAATTATTATTCAAAAAGGAATAAATTAGTCAACCGACTTAAAATCAACCACTTCTAAAATGCCACGTGGCCTCAGAAAAAACGTATGGCCTGTGGCTCGTTCACGCCGCCACCTCCTCTTTCTTCTTCTTCCTCGAACCTTCTTTTTAATTCCCTTTTCACATTGGAAAGAGTCATTCAAAAAAACCACAAAAATTCTCGCTCTAAGAGAGAAACCGTCAAAGAGGCACCGTTCGTTCCGATTTCATTCTCGATCAAATGGCGTCGTTCGATGAAGCACCTCCCGGAAACCCCAAGGCCGGTGAGAAGATCTTCAGAACCAAGTGCGCGCAGTGCCACACCGTCGAAAAAGGTGCCGGTCACAAACAAGGTCCGTTCTCTCTTTCTCCTTCTGATGATTCCCTTGAGATCGGATTTTGGTTATAGATCTTAGGTTTTCTGTATCATCCGTTCGTCATTTACGTTTGTTCTGATCTGGATCTACTGCATCTGTAATATTGACGTTTTTTATATATATCATCGCCGATTCGATTGAGGTTTTGATCTCCTATTGCGTTGCGTTTTGGTTTCGGATCCGTTTGTGATTGAATTTGGGGTTTCTTATGATACAGGACCGAATTTGAACGGTTTGTTTGGAAGGCAATCTGGAACAACACCAGGATATTCTTACTCAGCTGCTAACAAAAGCATGGCCGTGAATTGGGAGGAGAAGACTCTCTACGATTACTTGTTGAACCCCAAGAAGGTATCTTCTTTCTTTCTTCTATATGGATTTGTTGGATATGAGGATCTTCTCATTTAACTGATTTGTTCACAAGCTCATATTCATCTCCATTGTTATAAAATTTGACTTCTCATTTACATTCATTCTCTGGAATTTTGATTGTCCATCATAAGCTTTGTGCAACATTATCCATAATCGGCAAAATGTTGTTTTGTTGGATTGATATTGAGTCCTCTCTTGATTTTGTGGGTTGGTTGTATCTTGTTGAGCTGATTTGAAGAGTTTAGCTATCCTTTTGATCGTAATGCGATGCTGATTAGTGTTTGATTTACTGTGCTAATTACAGTACATTCCTGGGACGAAGATGGTGTTCCCTGGACTGAAAAAGCCACAAGATCGTGCCGATCTCATCGCTTATTTGAAGGAAGGTACTGCATAGGCAGACACAGGCTCGCTCGGATTTAAGCAGCCTATCTAATCCCGTCCAATTTTTTTTTTTAAAACAGATCAAATAAATCAGACCCAAAAATATTGTGCGGTCATGAACTTGGTTTTGTATTGGTCTTATTTTTCTTCTTTTACTTGGTTTATAAGGCGAGTTTGCCTCATATAAAGTCGAATATTCGTTTTTGATGTGTAGAACCAGCTTCCAATTCTCCACCACGAAATTCAAGAGATTTTTATTCTACTTTGCCTAATTTTGTTTACAAAGCAGATTCTCGGGGACAAAAATTCTCTGCTAACTCGCACTTCCATATAAAAGATTACTTGTGAACGAGATTGTCCCTTTCCCTTTTCCCATTTCCCTTTTAACGCTGTTCCAGTTCAATGTGATGGACTAACTGAATTAAGACTAAAAAAAAATTATGGAAACATATTGTATGTAATTTTGTACTTTTATTAATCTTGTTTCTGTCTATCCTCTTGTAACACGAGCTAGAGTTGTTATTTCAAAAGCAAAACAAGTGAAAATCACACGATGGCAATGTCCGGTGATAAGCTGACTCAAGTTTTAGGCTGTGAAGGTTTCCACATTCCCATTCCTGGAATCTGTAACAAGAAAAACGGAATATATAACCAGACACTGAAGATTGCAAATAGAGAGTGAGTGATACACAAACAAACACAGACAAACCTCAACACCATTAGGCCCAATTCTGTTACGCGATACGAAATTCAGAACTAGATTCGCAAACTCCTCCGGTACATCTTCCTGCATTCATTTACATCCACTCAGGTCAACATCAACTCGATAAAAAAAAAATCACTCTTTTAAGGACTAGGCAATCGCAAACTTTACCTGTATGGCATGTCCCGTGTGTTTGACCACAATCATCTGAAACTTTCCTTGCATTTGACCAATTGTGAGAGTCCTATAACACAATCATCAACGTAGTTATTACATTACGCAATTGATTTTCAAATCTCTATAAGTGACGAGAGGGAGGAACACGAATATATATTACTTGTCCAATCTGTCAGTTCCTGCTAATAGCAAGAGTTTTGGAACAGGAGATGACAAGAACTTCTCTGAAAGACCGTCATACCTGCAATGCAACTAACATTGTTCGAATCATAAACTATTCAAGAGAGCTATAATATACTTTTTTCACTCAGATTCACAACACCAGCTGTAGTGAGTAGTGACTAACAACTCTTATACTTCAACCATCATATGTCCTAACAGATTGTATGTGTTGTTCTTAGAGAATGTAGCGGAGGGCAATGAGTGTCATTACCAGCCTTTCCAATATTGCTCTGTTTTCTCTAGACGTGTCCGGTAAACGTAGCTGGAAAAAAGGTTCATATTTCAACTCATTAGGGAAGCAAACATGTGAATACCACAAAAAAAAATGGTGATATTAGCAACAGAGATTATAACGCACCACTGCTTTGAATCATCATATATGAGAGTTGTGGGGATGGAGACACGAGCAGAATCAATGTTCCTTAATGACCCTCCTCTAACGCTGTATTCAATCTGCAGATATTATGCATTACTTTAGAGATGGTAGACCAAACAAAACTTACTACAAGAAAGGAAATGAGGAGAGACTTGCTTACTGCTTTTTGGATGCTGGGGAAATGTTGCATTCTGTTTGAAAGAATTTTCTGCATGTGAATCAGCGAAGCAATAGCAGTACCCTACAATGAAAGTTCTTTGGTCAGTCTATCTCACGAGAGTGCAGAACAAGTAAGAAACAGACGAAATTTTTCTATAAGGAAGCATACCTCAACAACATCCACAACGACAAGCCCAGCCAAGCTAAGCAATGTTTTGTTTGCAGCAACTTGCACAGCTACCGACCCTCCCATACTGTATGTTGATAACATGAAACCAATTCAATGAAAACTGGATTAGAAAAACTTTAAGAAACTTCAAAACCACATACCGATTCGGCTAATCAAATGGAAAAAAGAGAAAAACCTGTGACCAACTAGCACAATAGCTGGAGGAGAGTCTCCATACATTTCCTTAATCACAGCCAAAACATCCTTGCTCATTGTCTGCATGTACATCTCTTTACATCAGTCTCAATTCTCAGAGACCAGCTAATGTAAGGGAAAAAAAGATGTTATATACCTCTAGCGATAAGTCTAGTTCATTCTCTGTAACCGATTTACCATGTCCTCTCAAGTCCATCGCAACCACACGTGCTTTCTCCTTGATTTTACTCGCCACTAGAGAAAAAGAGAGCCTGCCAAGAGCAAATGAAACTTTTACATTGTGTGTGTGTGTGTGTGCCTGGCTAGTTTCATATACACATCCCGCAAGAAAAAAAAAAACTAAAACCACAACAAAATGTAAATTTCTAATTCCATAGACTGTGATCCCATTTTCAAATCCAGTTTGAAAATTAGAACAAACTCAACTAAAACCACAACAAAATGAAAGTTTCTAATCCTACAGACCGTGATCCATTTTCAATTCCAGTTTGAAAATCAGAATGAACTCAATACAACCAAAACACATAAAGAATTGAGTCATCCATCAGTGAAGAGCCAAGATCAGAAACTGCTTACCCAGAGTAGCCACCTCCATGGAGACAAAATACAACAGGTCCTTCTGTTCCTGCCATATATACGTGAAACACCTATAAAAATGATAATGTTCCATCAGAAACAACTGAGGAAAAATAAAACTAAAATGTTACTGAAATTAAGAGCATTTCGTCAACGATTACATCGTCTGAGCCAGAGATTGATATATCGTCTTCTTTGTCAAAATACTCTGTCCATTCTACAGGCGAATACTTATCCGACGAATCCCTGCAAACACAAAAATAAAATATAAACATTTCCTTTTCGAATTCGCGATGTAATTTATACAGTTCACAATCATTTACGTCGAAATTTCAAGTATCGTGGTTACATTTCCCGATAGTGATGCGTTTGAAGGAAAATCGAGAAACGAAATCAACGAGAGAAAATCAGTATGGAATGAAAAAGCGCCGGTGACGGACTCACGTAGATGGAGGACGAAGAGGACGAGCAGCGAAGACAGACGCCGGAGCTGGTTCTCTATCTTCCTCGGAGATATCTTCGCGGAGTGGATTTAGATTTGTAGAAGACTCCATAGCTGAAGCTTCAAAGCTTGCGAAGTTTCACAGCAGATCAAAAAAAGAAGTGATCTCGCAGATCTTCAGTTTCCTTCCACTCCCTTCCTCTGCAATTCACTGTTTCCGTCAAAATTCAATAGGAAGGTGACACCTCGCTGAACGGGAAATTATCTGGGCCTATCTCTAATTGAGCCCAGTGAGGCCCATAAATTGAACCTATATAAGTTCATTGTCTCCTTCATTAGACAAGTTACAAAACAAAAGTTTTTATCATTCATTTTTTCTTTCTCAATTATGATAAAGGAAATTATAATAGCTATGGTATGTAACTATTGTTTAAAAGTTTATCAACACTGACTTTTACTATAAGTTTTCAAATAAAAAGATTGGACTCTACAATCAAATTTTGCATTTACTATATCTTTGATGTTATGTACTTATTATTTGATGTTAATGTAATCTACTTCTATGAAATGGAAATATCTCTTCTAGGTTCACTATACCTCATCAAGATCCGAAAACATTAGTATTTTCTACAAGAAAACTGAAATGAAATTGAGAAATATGTTTTTGCAAATTGTTGTACAAATATGTTCTACAACTCCCGTCCTTACGTAAACAATAGATAAGTAAACTTCCACTTGAAACATTGTATTTGTTGCATCTGACCTTTAGACTATACCAGGACTTATTATCTGAGAACTAGGAGAGAACCCGCGCAATGCGCGGGTTTATTAAACCAAATATTTTTAATTTAATTATTCAGAACATTAGATTCGAATATATCATTTGTTTTTTACTCGAATATATTAGATTCTGTAAGTTTTGCATTTTGTTTTTTTTCATATAGTTTTAAAATTTAGTTGTTATTTACGTGAAATCTTATATAGACTCATAGTGAATAGTTTCATATGTTTTTTGTTCTTTTATACAATAATTTATCGACTGGAGTTGAGTTCTTCTAATTTTCCTTATACTAACAATCATTATAGATTGATTATTATCCTACAGACTCATAGATAATAATAATTGCAACCCTTTTTAAAAGGAAATGAAATGAGCTAATTAGCCAGTAAGCCCATTTAAAGCTACCATGGAAACGAAGAGGTCCGATAAATAATCAAGCCTATCAAAACGAACAACATTACACATAATTTTGATTTAGATTTTTTTTTTTTTTTTTACGAAAACGACGTCGTTTTGGTGTAAGACGAAAAAAAAAAGATAACGCGCAAAACGACGTCGTTTTGGTGTAAGACGAAAAAAAAAAACGCAAAACGACGTCGTTTTGGTGTTAGGCGAAAAAAAAAAAAAAAAAAAAAGAGAGTGCCACGTGTCAAAGGCTTGAGAGTGTCCAAGCCTTATTAGTTATGTAGATTCTTATTCCAAATAAAATGTCAGAAAATACTGTCGGACCTCAACTCACTCTCAAGTAAGATATGCTTAAGTTGGCAAGTACAAAACTTTCCATAGAACATTTGGAAGACTAGCCATTCAATATCTGGTAAAATGCTAGGAATACAATACAAGCGAAATATTTCGTGAGACACCCCAACATCTTTTTCAGAAACAAGTCACAATGAAAGAGCCGCGTGCTTTGTCTAGCCATTTCTACAACATAAAAAAATCAGCAGTTTCCAAATTCATTTCGGTACTATTGTAACTTTGTAAGGGTGGTGAAAACTCTGCTACGTAGTGTTGTTGGCCATGTTACTCATAATGCGGTTCCCACTGTCTAGAAGCTCATGAAAAGTATCTCCCTCACTCTGATCGCAATATTTGTGGACCAAATCTGGTTTTGCCTTTGATCGAGCAGATACTGGAATTTCAGCGACATTTTGCACCCATAATAATATTGATTTTTTGTAACTTTTTTTCGTTTTTTAAGATTTCAAAATATAATAAAAATATAATAAATTATAATATTTATAACACAATGATATATATGAAGAGTTTCAGAAATGCTAATTTATATAATATTCTACCAAGTATGTTATATAAAAATCAAGAATCAAAAATCTTCATAATTGTAATTATTAATATTTTCAAAACAAAAATATAATTTTATTCTTGCTTAATTCAAATAAAGTTTTCTTAATTAAATTTTATCATACATAATCACTATTGTAGAAATTGAATTAAATAAACTAACAAAAATAAGTAAAACAGATGTAAATTATGAACAAAACATAATAAAATGATAAAGCATTATATTTTACTAATGTATCCTCTTTAAGACTTTCACTCATCCCCTAGTATGTATGTTATTTCATTATATTTCATAATATATACAATATTGCTATTATAAAAATTGAATTAACAAGAAATAAAATAAATGTTATGTTGTAGCAAAAAAAAGCATAACATAAGCAAAACATACATAAATTATAAACAAAACATAATAAAATGATAAAAAAAAATTATATTTTGCTAATCTATACTTTTTAAGTTATTCCTTTAATTTGTATGTTACTTCATCAGATTTCATCATACTTGTTATTTAATCTGGAAATTTTAGATGTTTCTAAAAACCTTATTTTATCTTTGAAAGAGCTGTCAAAACATAAATTCTTCTCTGCACAATTTATCAATATAGAAAATAAAATACTAAATTAGTGAGGGCAGAAGCTGGAGAGCTAACATATGACAAAATTGATTAATGAGTTTAAAATATTTCATAAAATTGACTACTATAGAAATTTAAAATAAAATATTTATAATTAATTATGTTGGGGCTTCAAAATTTTATTATTTTATATAATTATTAATTTATCAGTTAATTAGTAAAATATATTTTATTGATAAACAATAATAAATTATTTATTAATTTATAGAGATATTTTTGGGTTGAACTCTTAAGAAACGATAACAATTTGGAAGATAAAGCAAACTCCATGCATATTTTAATAAATTACCATATATACTTAGTTATACTAGGTTTGAAGCCCCACGCAAGCGCGGAGTTGTTTGGGATATTCTTTTTTTGTTTAATTTGATTTATACTCGTTGATTTTAATTATGATGGTTTTGTGTTAACTTTTATCTTTTTGTTATGTTTTGAATTAACCCAACCAATAACATTAAAAAAATATGAACAATTTGTTTTTTGTTTACTTCTATTAGACATGCATTTGACTCAACGTTAAAACTTGTAAACATAATGTAAAATTGCATTTTCACCCGAAATAAGATGAAAAAAAATAATATGTATACCTTTTAACATATCTACTTTGTTTTGTTAGAATGTGAGTCTCGTGGCCATTGAGTATTTTTTATTATGTTGGATTTGTAAATATAAATTATATTTTTCAAACAAACATATCACAATCCTTAAATTTTCATGTTTTTCACTGCAATTAACTTTACATATAAAAACTCCACTTCTATTTGTTTCAAAAAAAAACTCTAACTTTAATTTCTCACTAACTTTCTATATAATGAATTTATATTCAACTCTTTAACTTGTAAACACATTATAACATTTTTAAATTGGATAAATCTTTTGAATAAAAAGGTAAATATATATTATTTCAAGTTAAATATTTATTTACTCTATCTCCATTTTATATTCCAACTTTTTGATAATTTTTAACATCAAGTTATCACATAATTTATATTTATTTATTTATTTGTGTATTTATCTTAGTTTTATCTATATTTAAAATATAAATAAATGTAAAGAAATATGAATAGTCATATATCTAATAACTTTTTTAAATACAATTTAATGTTTTTGTGCTGATGTGGACACGCAACTCTCCTATTATATATAACATATGTCTAGATTCATAATTAAATATTATCCATTTTATTAAGTTTTGCTTATTTCTACACTAAGTCACTAACCCCACCCCACTGAAAGTCAAAAATATTTTTTTTGATTGATTATTAATTTATCGAGTAATAATTATAGATATTGTATTTAAGAAAAAAAACACACATCAAAGACAAACAAAATACCAATAACCTTTGTTTTTATTTAAAACAAAATCCATGCACAATAACAAGGAAACTAGATCATGAAATATACGAGATATCTAAGGATTTGTGTGTAATCAGATTTGAAATAAACGTAGAATATCTATGATTAAATCAATAGTGGTTTGTACTCAGTAAAGATCAGAAATATCAATAGAACATCTATTTATACGATCAGAAAAGATCATAATCATATATGTACATCATAATCTACAAAGAATTAAATTTCTCTTTAAATAAAAGAAATCTAAGCAAATTTACTTGACAAACACGTAAAAAAACCCAATAAATATTCACAACTCCTTGTATACTGTAGAACATAGATAAATTGCTTTACAAATCTGGAATATAAATGGTTTATTAAATTATTTTTAAAACAAAAAAAAAAGAGAAAATCATAACTTTCACATTTTATAATGGTCACTATATATAAAAGAGCATATCACATAATATTATTCCGCTACTATACCTCATCAACAAGCATCATTGATATGCAAATTAAAAAAAAATTATGTTAACCGATGATATTTGACTTTAAATTTTGTTTCTTTTTTGTTATGTGGTTCTTTAATGGTTTTCTAAGCTTTAAGACCCTTTGACATCTATACCAAAACCCACATAGTTAGTGATATTATTCTCAGCTCTCAAGATCAAAGATATAAAACGCTTAGCAACTGCGATTTTTTAGTCTCTTGACATACGTTATAAATCGCTACATTAATCACACACCGCATCAACTGCAGAGGGGGGCAAGACTCACAAAAGCGGTTTCATAAGATGGTAAACTAACTTATGCATAAGTACGAACATAAACACAACATTGTATCTCTATTCTTTTTAGTACATAATAATAACATGATAAAAACCATTTGTATGATTACTTCTCCATCGGTTCTTTTTGTTGTGCTTCCTCATCTTAGGCTCAAAACCGGCCATGCGCCAGGAGATGGCAGAGCAGGTCGGATCACAGGGACCCTTCTTACCTCTGTGAACACTTCATTGAGTCTAGCTGCCTGACTCATCACCCGCGACACCTTCTGCAACACATCATAAACAACCCAAGACGTGACAACGATAGAAGAAGGTTAACACGTACTCCAAAGGAAAATATCAAATCTCAGCATTTTGTTCAGGTGCCTTAAGCCTATTTTTGGTTCTTGACTAAATCAAACTCCAAGAACATATAGACTAACACAAATCTATCTTTGATTTTAAGCTAAGACCAAACTACTTCACATTCTGATTCCTAAAATGTATAAATCTAGACAAAGCTATTACCAAATTTAAGCAAAAATGAAAACTTCAATCAAATCAAGTTCAATGTTAATATAAGAGTATTACCTTATCATCGATTGTGACTTTAAGATGGAAACTTTGAGCTTTCTTTTTCATGTTATAGAGTCTGCGTCCCAAGAGAACAAAACCCATCAAAGCTGCAGCCATAGAGACAGACCAAACCGGACCAACCCTAAAAGCACAGTACTTGACAAGCACAAATGGCATCTTCCACCACACAGGCTCTCCTCTGCTTTTACTCTCATCACCAGAATTCACAGCCACAACAGCTTCTACAGTCTCTACTCCACTTTCCTCAACCGCTTCGGTAGATACAACTCCAGCATCAGAAACAATCTCCTCTTCACCATTCACAGCCACAGAATCTCCAGAAACCATTTCGTTTCCTCCTGAATCAGACCAAGATTTGCTCGAATCCTCAACCGGTTCTTCAATATCGGATTGGCTCTCAAATTCGGAAATAGCCTCGCTCTCGTCGTGCTTCTCATCGAAATCACTCAGCTTGACGTCACCATCACCGGAATTTCCAGTTTTTGAATCGTGAAACGCTAACTCGTTACCAACACAAGCATCACCCGACTGATCGAAACCCAGATCAACCGGATCCGACCCGTAACCGACCCGGGAAGAATCACCCGACTCCAGGCTCTGATCAGGTATGTTTACGAGATTATCGGCAGAGAAATGATCAGAGAGAATCATACCGTCGTCGATCACACTTGAACTTCCCGATATCTTCTCCGATGAGACTGAATCGGTTGATTCGGTGTCGGAGCCGTGAACAAGCTCCCAATCAAGCAATTCGCCGTCCATGGTTTCGAATTCTCCAAATCAATTTGAGAAAAAAAAAAATCAGAAACCCTAACGAAAACCCCCAAAATGTTTGTAGAAAAAATATAGAGCGGTTTGATGATCAGAAAAACTGGCTAAAATGTTCTTATCCACTTGCAAGTTGCAAATAGTGACTTACGTGGAGAAATCTAATTGGCTACGTGTCAATGCATGCGTCTTAAGTTTTTTTGCAACTAGATTTGCGACACGGCATTAAAGTAAGGTAGGGTGGCCAAGTATGGTATAATTTGTACACCTAATCAATTAGGACATGGACCAATGTTTTTAATTCCGATCCAAAGCTCATGTTTAAAAATTCACGAGAAATGTCAAATTAATAAAATGGTCTAAGTTCATTTTTTGTGACTTTGCTGATAAGCATTTTTGTTCTCGTGTTTCTTCGATTGTTCTTGGCGTCGAGCATGTGTCCGTCTGCTAAAACTATGTTGTCTTAAATTAATCATTTCAGCAACAAACAAAAAACTCTTGAATCCTTTGTGTTTTTCTAAGTATATATGTATGTGCAGTGTGGTTTACGGTGTGGTTCGTCCACTTGCTCCACTTTTTCGCCTCTTCTTCTTCTAGTTCTGTTTTTCTAAATCTGTTTTCCGCCGCCTCCTTTGCTAGCGCCGCCGTTAAAGTTTATGTAACCTCCGTGGAGATCCGTGGGACGATGGTTCCTTGTCGACTCATTCTTTCCTGTTCTCGTTCCTGTGAGCTTGTCGTTTCTGTCACCGCCGCGCTTGGAGACTTGTTTGTCTCGCCGGGCTGTGAAGGCTGGATTCACCCATCGAATTGCAGTTCCTGTCTTGCTTCTTCTCAGAGGCTTGTGTTACCGTTACCGTCTGATTGGCCATAGGCTTTTTCGGTAAGTTGTACTGGAGATCTTGTGGAGTCTATGAAGCTTTTATGGTGGTAAGTTCGTTTAGGCTGGTGTTTCCTCATTGATTCTGCTTCTGCTCCTTCTTCTTCAAGCTTCGTTACTTAGTGTTTATAGATTTTTATTGTAAGTTAATTTCCCGTTTCTCTTGGGCTTATGTTTCTGGGGAACTTGTTTCCACCGGCTATGTGTACCACCACCGCATCTCACAAACGCATCTCACAATCTCATCCCTCCTTTGTTTTCCTTCTTAGTTGTAATGAATTTTCAGATGAAATAAAAAAAAATGTATGTGCAGTACTGTGCATTACATTTAACTTCATCATCCTCGTTCCTCCAAAACCGGAAGCATAACCGAATAGAATAATTACAATTTATGGAACACGTAACATACGAACAAAATAGAAAGCATATATATGGTAATAAGCAAATGTTCTTTAGGAATCTCTTCGAAAGTCACAACGATGAACTACAGTGAAACCAAAAATAAAGAAAAGAAGAAGAAGAAAATTGAATATAGTCGATTTACATACATCATCATTCTAACAAAAACCGTGATTAAGTGATCGCCAGCATCAAAAGACAAGTAAATAACTGAACTGTTAATACGTTTAACAATTTATAGTTCTAATTATGAATACCATCTTGAGTAGATTCTTACAAGTGCGTAGAAGATAAATATTGCAAGAGTAACCAAAACACAGATCACCTTTTCTCGTGTTACATGTTTACGAGCAAACGCACCCATAATTAATTTTTTTTTTTTTTTTTTTTTAACCTAATGCAATTAAACCGGGGAGAAATGAAGAATCCTCCTCACCTGATGAGAAAGAAGTTATTGACAAATAGAAAGTTATTTGACTATTCAAATATAAGAAATTGATGTAAAAAAATGTAGATCGATTACATTTAGATTAAAATAAATCAAAAAGTAGTGAAACCACATGAAAGATCCGAAGACATATATAGTAGCAAGAGATTACCAGGAAACAAGGATGTATAGGACGAATTTCGAGATCTATCGCTTTGATTTTGTCAAACGAACGTTACATGGAATAATAATGAAACAATGGGGGATTAAAACACCCTGAGAACAAAACAAAAATAGATATGTCAAACATGTTCTATCTTCAAAACACATTTTTTAGCAGTTTCTATACGCAAACAATCGAACCGAGAGCGAAATCAATTGTAAAGAAAGACAGAAGGATACAAAACACCATAGAATCTTACCAAATGAAATAGAAGATGATGGTGGGACCCTTTTCGGCAAAATTTTAGACAACTCTCAGCAAAACGAGAGTCAAATACTCATATGTCCATATTTGTGAAACTTCTGAAAAATTGCAAGCTCAACATGTCTTACAAAAAGGTTTGTGGTTATTAGAGAAGTTCTCTTTTCTTTAGGGTAGGAAGATACAACATCGTCAAGGAGTGAAGATGCCTTTCCTTTAGTGATTGAAAGAAGAAGGAACCATAAACTTTGGATTACGAACTAACATAAATCAAATGAACCATTGGATTAACTGATGCTGACGTTAGAAGATCCTAAATATAGAAATTGCCATTATATAGATTTTGGTTTCTTTGTGTTGTTAAAATCGAAAGAAAGAGAATCTCGACCATAAGTTGATTAGGTTATTTTGGGTTTATATCTACTTTTAGCATCAACGAAATTGCTGTGTTTTATTTTGTAGAAAAAAAATTACATTACCTCAAACAACCTTGGAAAGTGGGTTATTAGTCAAATATTTTTTTTTATTGTGAGTTTTTTTTCTGTAAAAAAAGAGTAAGGATTTTTAAGAACAGTAAAAAAAAAGACGTGTAAATCAAGGTATTCTCACATTTAACATTATCTTTCGATATTCTTTATTTTAATATTAAAATGGTATTCTCTTTTTTTTTTTTCAAAATTAAAATGGTATTCTCAAACAGCAATAATCTCTACTCCAAATGAATCTTTCACTCCAAATCTTACGAAAACACAACTCATATCTTCTTTTTTTAGACAGCGTGTGATCAAAGATTTGAATGTTAAAAAATAGATGACTTGACTTTGAAATTGGTCCTATGAAAAAATAAAATATCTATAGTGTGACATTGTTGTGAGTTCGGGTAAATCTTGGATGAACTCTTAAAACATAAAGATAAACATAAACATCGGGGAGAGATCTTGGTAGAGTGAGTAAGTAGATCCTGTTTCTTTGGTGCGTGTTGTTCCGTTTTAGTGATGGAGTCTAAGTTTTCGCTGTCTGAGCGTCGATACAAAGCTTCTGAAGACGGTCTTGTTCGAGCCTCTTCTAACAGCTTAGAGTTCTATCTCCCTCTTTAGGCATCCAGTGAAACAACTTCCTACTTGCTTAGAGATCGAGGTTCTTGCATTTTTGGAGTGGCGATTCCGATTTCGACTCAAGTTCGGGCCTCTACTTTCTCATGAGCTCCAAAGCGATTTATGGCTACTGAGTCGACTCTATGCTTCTGCAAAAGATAAGATAAAGTACCGTTTGTTCTAAGCTTTAATGTATTTTACTTTTTTTGCCATGGGACTGTTTTAGTAGACTTTCATTTTTGATTAATTCATCAATGTAATCCAAAACATTTTCATTTTCAATGAATATTTACATTCTTAGCAAAAAAAAAAACATAAAGATATGAGATCTTGAGGTAAAGTTTCTTTGGTCTAGAGTTCGTTTTTCATTAACTGAATGACCAAAGAAGATAATTACTCTAATTTCCTTGAATTGGATTGCCCAATTATTATTTGTATGGAGACATCAAAAGTTCAGAGCTTCTTGGTTGGTAATGATGTTATCAAAGAGTTGTAGTAACTAGTAACAAAACTATAATTAAGAATCTTCAAAGAGATCATCAAAAACAAATTGCTTAATTAATCTTCTTGAGGTTTTTGTGTTTTTATTTTTTTTTTTTTTTTTTTTTTTTTTGTCAACAACTTTCTTTATATCTCTATTACAAAAGATCGATTTCTCTCTGTTTTACCGACTGCTCTTTTACACACCGTTATTTCTCTGACATTGCCAGATCGGTTTGAAGTTTTTTTTTTGTTTTTGGTAAAATAATCGGTTTGAAGTTTAAGGGGTTAAATCATTAAAAGTATTCTTCCGGGTTTAAAAATAATTTCAATCAAACTTGAGGGTTTTATGTCGTTACAAGTTCCTTTTTCTTTTTGCAATAACCTAAATTTTCTTAAACCTCGACATTTTTTTTCCTGTAATCTTCTCCGTCGTCGCTCGTTTCAGTTTTCACGTTTGGCAGTCATCGTCGGGGTCGTTTGCCTATTTGCCACCAACTTCGGAGAGCTCATCCTCTCCGCCGCCGAAATCGTCACCGTCGGTTCGAACCCAAGTCCTTTTTTTTACTGCTTCTCCATTAATCAACGAATTTACTCTTTTTCTGTGTGTGTGATTTTGGATTCTGTGTGATTCTATAATCCAAATGAAATCAATTGAGTAACCTTACCAGGAGATTAATCTAACGATTGATAAAGAACAGAACTTTAAGCTGTGTAGGAGAAACTGTTTCCGAATTCAATATTGTAGAATGTACATTGCACGTATTAACTCTATCATGAAACTGTTTCTCAGTTTGCTTCAACGGTGTGAGTAAGCAACATGGATCGATCTCTGAATCTCCTCGATTTAGCCTTAGGCTTTGATCAGGAGCAAGCTGATGCATCTCCACTAAGTGGGAAGCTAGTATTGATCGAGGATTGTGTAGAGACTAGTGGCTCTTTTGTGCTTCACCAGCTGATGAAGCGTGTTCTCTCTCCACATTCCTCTGAAGCTCTCATCTTTCTCGCCTTTGCTCGTCCTTTCTCTCATTATGATCGAATCCTGCGTAAACTGGTAAATAAAAAGATTCCATCTTTTGTCCAATCTCAATGGCTTTTCGTCAAGAGATTCTTCTCAGTGTCTTCTTACCTTGTTCTTGTGTCTTTTTATGGACAGGGATGCAGTTTATCCACTCAAAAGGCAAACAATCGGTTGGTTTTCTTCGACATGCTCTTGATGAAATGCTCAGGTGAGACTTATCAGGTAAAAAGTGTTGTCATACTTAGCCTTAGGGTTTCATCTACTTGTAGTTGTAGTGTTGCTTTTGTGTCATCTTTAAAGTTCAAACCTTTTTGGTAAGGTGCGAATGACTCTGCTTTTCAGATTTTTTTAAAAAAAAACACTTTTTTTGGTGAAAATTCTCAAGCAGGTGTTGAAGAAACGAAAGAAAATGCGAGTGCGGTTGCGAAACTATTTAGGGAGATTCAAGAAACTGTCCGAAAGCTATGCAGTGTAGCTAATAGCAACGTAACCGTTATGGTTGATGACATGTCTCTCCAGGAAATTGCTTCTACCGGTAACAGCAATCAAGATCATGTCTTGGACTTTCTTCACTACTGCCACACGTTAACTTCTGAAAGCGTAAGCTTTTCTTTCTCTCTCTATGTTTCTTTTACTCTTCTGAAGTAACATAACATTCGCATCCTGAGTTTGTTTCTCTGAAGAACAGAACTGTTCGTTGGTCATTCTCAACCATGAAGATATATACACGAGCATGGAGAGACCTGCATTTTTGCTGCAGATGGTGTGCCTTGCTGATGTTGTGATAAAGGCAGAGCCTTTAGCCTCTGGTTTAGCAAATGATGTTCATGGCCAAGTAATCTCAAACACCCTAATCATTAGTTAAACATTTTGTTTGATAATTTTATCAATGTCTAAACGATCCTGCTGGCTTATTGCATATATAAACAGTTGAGTGTTCTGAACAAAGGGATAAGCAGCAACTCAGGTCGAGGAAGCTCGAGGAACAAGTTGCAGAATTTTCAATTCAGGATCAAGGATAATGGAATCGATTATTTCTATCCTGGTTGCAGAAGCTGAGGATTAGAGACTGTTTTTGAGTGGTTAATCACTGTATGGTAGTGAGATTCATGTAAGACATTTGTGTTTTGCTATTGCCAATTTGGTTAAAGAGATTTACTCTGCTCAACAATGTTACCAACTATATCTACTTACTTTATACTCGAATGCTTGAGACACAAAAGTGACAAAACTTAGCAAAATGCTATAATGAAAACAAACTTTTGGATGAGGGAAAGTTTTGTAATTTTAAAAGTATGAGATGATGACGTGGCGTATGGGTGGATAAAATAAACAAAGAGAAATGGTCGTCGACGCTTGACTACAAAACAGAGCCGTCGTTGGTTTCTCACCGCCGGATTGCGATTGCGATCTCGATTTCTCTCTACCTCTCTTCGTCACCGAAATCTCCGGCGATCGACTCTCACGGTTCAAATTAATCAGTCTTCCCGGTAAACTTCTTCTTCCATGTATAGCTCTGAGAATTTCAGACAATTTATTCATTCAGAAGCTTAGGTGATTCAATCTTCTTTAGTCGAATTGTATCCCATGGATCTTTCTGATTCGATGATATCAGAAACTAAATCTTTAGAAGAAATTTGTTAGGATCAAAGATCCAATTACTCTGCAGGCTTGTGAAGAAAGTGTGTTTCTTTTGTTAAAACCATTCCTTTTTTTCCAGGTGCTTTAGTCTTCCTCTTTGGCCATGGATGTGACAGAGCAAGCATCAAGCAAAGAGGCTACAAAGATCGAAAACGAAGAGACTTCATCAGTGGAGATCAAAGTGTTGTTCTTCGCAAGAGCTCGTGAGCTCACAGGTGTGCCTGATCTAACACTGAAGATGCCATCAGGAAGCACAACACAGAAATGCATGGACGAGCTGGTGATCAAATTCCCAAAGTTAGAGGAGGTACGTGGATGTGTCGTTCTTGCTCTCAACGAAGAATACACAACAGATTCCGCCATTGTTAAACACAGAGACGAGTTAGCCATCATACCTCCAATCAGTGGAGGCTAATTGCATTTCACAAAACGTGTAAATTCAGGGTTTGTATTTTCATTGGCAACAATCATAATTGTAACAGCTAAGATCTTGTATAACTCAAAGTTACATTTGTGCTAAACACATAATAAAGGTTACATCTTTTCGACGAATTCTTCATCTTTGAATCACAGTACTGATTATCACAAAAGTACTGATTATCACAAAGCAATCACATTGATCACTAGTTTAGTAGCGACGTGGTCTTGAATGGTACTCCAAACTTGCTCCGTTCGAGTGCGTAGATACTCCTGGTGGAGGTGGCTCTGCAAAAACGCAAAAGACACAAAACGTAACTAAAGTCTCATACTTTGAAAGAGACGAATGAGACTGAGCTAAAAGGTTCATTTTTTCTTATAAAAGAAGATGTAAGTGTTGAAATTTGGCAAAGAAGCAGCTACATTCTCATAACTTCAGCAGCTAAACTAATGATACTAGTGAGATCACAGAGTTAAAAGTCATCTACATCTTCTTGTTTGCTGCATGAAGTCAAGAGGCATAAGGAACAAGAACATACCTTGAGTGTAGTCAAGAGGCAGAGAAGAAGGTGGAGAAACCAATTGTGACGAGAATCTCTCAGACTGGTGATGATGAGAACGATCCGAATTCTCGAAATTCAGAGGCTGAGGTCTCGTTCTGTGACCTGAATTTGCAGATGCTTTGTCCTGTCCAGATATCTAAATTCACCAAATCAGCGCCACAAATCGAGGATTTAACAGCAATTTATCAGAGGTAAACAAGGAGACTCACAGCGAATTTGAGAGTTCTATTGTAGAGAGAGACGAGACCGGAGAAGAGCTTGACGGCGTAATCGGCGATTTCTTCAGACTCGTACTCGGCGAATGCGAAGCCTTTGGGTTTATCGGTTTCTTTATCGCGAGGAATGTGTAGATCGATTACTCTTCCAGCTTGGATTAAGATATCATACAAAACCCTGTCGCTTACTCTCTCGTCCACGTTCCCTGGATTGGAATTGAAAAATCGTTGTTGAATTCAATTCAATCAAATTCCATCTCTGCAGTTTCGACGGATTTTCAGATCCAATTGAAAAAGTTTGAAGAGCAAAAACTTACCAACGTAAACGGTGCAATTCGAATTCCCGGACATGGAAGCTTCTTCGTCGATTCAGAACAATGGAGAAAGAAAACTAAAGGGAGAAGATGAAAGAGATTAAAGCTTCGTTTCCGTAACTCACTGAAAGTTTGAGAAGACGAAAAGATGAAGAACCTTAAAGAGGGGTTGAATTGTCATTTACTTAAAATGTGAGGGAAAAAAATTGATATCGGTCTAGTGGTTTCGAATAGATTCGACCTTACCGGTAAACCCGACGATCCTAATCCAAAATACTCATTTCAAAGTCAACATTTACCCAAAATATTGAAATGGATATATATATTCAAGTTATAGTGATAGATTAGAGTAGTGATTTTTATTTTACCCAGTGTTCAAGAAACACTAGACGCAATGTCTAACGCATAAAACGCATATAACGGAGTCTAGGTGATATCTAGACGTTTTTGAAGTTTACCAAATAAATCTATATATTATACATATTTTAAATATATTAAATTCAAATACACTTAAAAAATTAAAAGAATATTAAAATTAAACTAACAAAAGTATAATATATTCATATTAGATAAAAATATCCATAAAAATGAATTTTGTTAAACTATAAATAAAAATTTAGATAAAATCACAGTGTTTGAATGTCTAATTATCGTGGTTTATGACCGCGATTTTAGTTATCCAATTTTTACTACTCAAATACGTAAACCTTGCAACTGATCCCCTACCGCCTTTGAAGCTTTCTTATTATTCACCCTCAGCTTAATCTTCTTTTTCATCTCGACTCTCTTCATCGTTTTATTATCCACTGTGGGCTTAATTTTCCTTTTCATCACGACTGTCTTCATCGTTTTGAGTCTCGTGACACTAGGTTTTGCATCTGAATCGGAATCTGAATCAAGGCGTCTATATATATTCCCAACACGCTCAGGCTCACCTTTCACAAACTCATCATCTGCAAATTCCCATTGCTCAGAAGAGTCAACTTTCCTAAAACCCTAGGACAAACAAACGAAACAAAGTCACTTTAATATCTCCAAGCACAAAACCAATATATGCGAAAATAACATATACAACTAAACGCAACAACTTACAAAATGGTTGAGCTTCTGAATGAATAATGAGAAATCGTGGTGACTGAAGATTCTCTCTAGAAGATCTCTAGAGAACTCCAGTGGATCCCAAACGATGAAACTCTTGCCGCTTTGGCTCCACGAGATGATTGAATTCGTTGATGGGTCGTCCACCATCTGATATACGCGGTCCAAAAGCGATAAGTGTCCGATTCTTGATGCAATCGTCCCGCACCCATTCTGCTTCACCATCACCAAACAACTTCGACACCCTAACTTATTCTAATGAGTACCTTTATTATAGTACAAAAAACAGCCAAAAGTTGGGCTCAGCCATTATTTAGGCCTATTACATTCATGCTACTTTCCTCTTTTCTTTTCTTTTTTTCCTTTTTTTTTGTGTTGTCAAATCAAATTCTTGGGCTTGAATATCGGTAAAAATGGCAAATATAGACATGCCTACTACAAAACGTTATAGCCAGCAAAGAGTGCCTAGAAGGCTAGAACCAACAATATCTACGTAAGTAGTTACATTAAGCGTAAGCTTAATAACGTGTGTGATGTGTCACATCTTTGTCTGAGCATACGTGCATGGACAAAACCTTATGTTTTTTCACCACGAAACTGAACCAAAAAAAATACAATAAAATTAACTAAACTTTTTGTTGAAATTTTATGTTTTCAAGTATATCACCCATAAATTTTTGAAAAATAACGAGGCTATATAAGATGTCACAGTAAGAGTATTGGATGCTAGAGTCTCTTTCGGTGGGCAGTAATTGCTTTTTGTAATGATTAATGCCAAATAAATGAAAAATGAACGGACAAGTGGACTCTTATCCTGAATTTCTGAATATTGAGTGTGAAAGCTTTGCTTAAGAAGAAGTAGAATCGTAAAAAGAGTCGAATGGTCACAAATGTTTCAACATTTAGCTCCTACCCGTTTTTGGATATTCCTTGAGATATTCATCATGGGTCGCTAGTGTATTAATAGTGATGAGATTGATGCCTTTCTTTCTTTCTTTTTCTCTTTTATAATTTCAAAGTCCTATAGAGAGAAGAATGTAACTAAATTACATATATTTTGGGTCGCTAGAACAACAAAATATCAAAGATTCTTTTTCATTTTTTTTTGCTATATTACAATTTTCTAAAATTTGACGTAAATGCAAATGGGTATCAACAATATTACAAGAATGGATTTGGATTTTTCCCTACGAGAGAACATACATATATGCGGTATACAAATAGCTTTTTTTTTGTCTAGAATTGGTTAGAAAAACTATTGTTGCAAATGAGCATATAACATAATTTACCATTTCGGTTAATATTTACCATTTCCTGCTCATATTCGTCAGTGCTTTCTTCTCCAACTATGAGCTAATTCAAGTATCTATTCTTGAAAGCATGGAATATGCTCTGTTCCATTATTTTCACACATACCAAACAGAGCTAAACAACATACTCATACCGACTTCGATCAAATTTCTTTGCTTCACGTCTCTACCTGAAAATTAACAACCTAATACATCATTATATGGAACCCATCTTTCTCAAACACAAACAAAACAAAAGCATGCTATACGTTTAACTGAAACAAAACTTTATGATTTAATGGAGGTATTAGAAGACCATTGTAATTTTCATAGTTTTGAACTCCTGATTTAGTATTTTAGAGGTATATATGGCCCCAAACAAAGTCGTTAAAAGTTCAGTGAGAGATTGCAAAAGGCAGAGTCTAGAAAACATGAGGCTATAGAAACAAGTCTAATGGGAACAGATGGAGAAAAGGCCTTGTGCCACTCATTATTCTCTATATCTCTACACACACACAAAAGAAGAAGAGAAACATTAAAAAGGAAATGGGTGATTCTTATTCCACTAGAGAATCTGATAATGCAAGGAAAAAAAGAAAAAAAAGCTTAGCAAAGAAGATTCTCTTTGAGATTAAGACAGAATATGTCTTCCCAGAGTTTAACGGTTAACACATGACGTTGTAATATGCCGTCTGGGAGATAATAGAGAACCAGAACCACTCCAGACCCTTTTTCTTTTAACTTTTCCTAAACAAATTCTTGAAATTAAATAGCATAAGAAAAAAAAAAAAAAAAGAGAGAAAAAGGAGGGACCTTTTGTATGAGATTATAAAATGGCAAGCTAAGTTGATATCCAAAAACTAGGCCTCTCTCTCTCTACCCTCTAAGCTGAAGGAGATTCGGTATGTAAAGTGCCTAATATCTTGTTCTTTTTCTATTGCTGTGTTTTGTTAGATGTTTATGTTAAAGGACTTTTCAGTGCAACAATCAGAGAGATGGCAAGAAATGAATGGATCAATAGTTACCTGGAAGCTATTCTTGATGTTGGAACGAGCAAGAAGAAGAGGTTCGAGAGCAACTCCAAGATCGTCCAGAAGCTTGGTGATATGGATAGGAAAGATAATCAAGAGAAGGTGTTCAGTCCCATCAAGTACTTTGTGGAAGAGGTGGTCAATAGTTTCGATGAGTCTGACCTGTACAAAACATGGATTAAGGTTTGATCCTCAAATCTGTTTCCTTAAATCAATGATATGAATACATATTGTGCCACATAACCAAATACCTGTGGTTTGATGGTGGAGTGATCTTGCACTTCTTGTGGCAGGTGATAGCAACAAGGAATACTAAAGAACGCAGCAACAGGCTTGAGAATATATGCTGGCGTATTTGGCATCTTGCACGCAAGAAAAAGCAGGTTTGTTTCCCTTTCTTGATTCAGCTTTATCATCTCTCCATCCCTTTATTGCTTTTTTTTTTTTAACTGAATCCATTTCCTTCGACAGATTGTGTGGGATGATGGGATTAGACTTTCCCAACGGAGAGATGAACGTGAACAAGGCCGCAACGATGCAGAAGAGGATCTTTCTGAGCTATCTGAAGGAGAGAAAGAGATAAAAGATGTTGTCACGACTCTAGAACCACCACGAGATCAAATGACTCGTATCCGCTCTGAAATGCAAATTTGGTCAGAGGATGATAAATCAAGTCGTAACCTTTACATTGTCTTAATCAGGCAAGTAGAGAATTGGTTTATCTGACTTATCTGTATTGTCAACATGCTCATGAGACTTACCAAAAGTGTCTCTACTTGGTTCCATACTTTGTCAAAACTGCAGTATGCATGGACTTGTGCGTGGAGAAAACATGGAGCTTGGAAGAGACTCTGATACTGGTGGTCAGGTAATGGTGCTTACTGCTTCACGTGTCCGTCTCTGATTTTGTTAACTTTTGCAACAAAACCTGAAGGGTCTTGTTAATGGAACGATCAGGTGAAATATGTTGTTGAGCTTGCACGTGCTCTGGCCAACACTGAAGGTGTCCACAGGGTGGATCTCTTGACACGGCAGATCAGTTCACCAGAGGTTGACTCAAGCTATGGCGAGCCGATTGAGATGTTATCATTGCCTCCAGAAGGTAGCGGAGGCTGTGGTTCCTACATTATCCGCATCCCCTGTGGTTCTAGAGACAAGTAACTAACCACATAAGACTCTTTAGACTATATGTATTCAAATTACTTAGTTTCTCTAATACTCATGTTTGTTCAAATGCAGGTACATACCAAAGGAGTCACTCTGGCCACATATTCATGAGTTTGTCGACGGAGCGCTAAACCACATAGTGGACATAGCAAGGTCTCTCGGAGAGCAAGTGAATGGAGGGAAGCCAATATGGCCTTATGTAATCCATGGCCATTACGCTGATGCAGGAGAAGTAGCTGCACATTTGGCAGGAACGTTAAACGTGCCTATGGTGTTGACCGGTCACTCTTTAGGAAGGAACAAGTTTGAGCAGTTGCTTCAACAAGGGAGAGTCACAAGAGAGGATATTAACAAAACATACAAGATTATGAGGAGAATAGAAGCTGAAGAGCTGAGCTTAGATGCAGCAGAGATGGTTGTGACGAGTACACGGCAAGAGATTGAGGCACAGTGGGGACTCTATGATGGGTTTGATATCAAGCTGGAGAGGAAGCTCAGGGTTCGAAGACGCCGTGGAGTCAGCTGCTTTGGCCGATACATGCCACGGATGGTGGTATGAGTCCTTTCTCTGCCTCCCACAAGATCTGATAAAGTAGACTGAAACTGTAGAGTCATTCACCAATGTTACCTGTTCTTTGTGGCATTCAGGTTATACCGCCAGGTATGGATTTCAGCTACGTCTTGAATCAGGATTCACAGGATACTGATGCAGATCTCAAGTCGCTGATTGGCCCTGACCGAAACCAGATTAAAAAGCCTGTGCCTCCAATATGGTCCGAGGTACTCTTTTCTTTACCATCTATTGTGTTATTTCTTCATATTCAGTCTCATGCAAGAAAAGAAAGGTTTACAGTCTGCATGAAACTTACCATTTCTGCAGATAATGAGGTTTTTCACAAATCCACATAAGCCAACCATACTTGCGCTGTCTCGTCCTGACCCAAAGAAGAATGTCACTACATTGGTCAAAGCATTTGGTGAATGCCAGCCTCTTCGAGAACTAGCCAACTTGGTAAAGCATCTCAGCATTTTGTTATCCAGAACATATACTGCTGACTCCATCTGGTTGCGCTAATTAGTTGGTGATAAACCTGTTCCAGACACTTATACTAGGAAACAGAGACGACATCGAAGATATGTCTAGTGGCAGCTCAGTTGTTCTCATGAATGTACTAAAGCTGATAGATCAGTACGACTTGTACGGCCAAGTAGCTTATCCCAAGCATCACAAACAATCTGAAGTTCCGGATATCTATCGTTTAGCAGCCAAAACAAAGGTACTATTAGCTCCTCCTAACTTTGCAACATGAACACCGTTTTAATAACTTTCTCTCTTCTTGAAGGGAGTTTTCATCAATCCAGCTCTGGTGGAGCCGTTTGGTCTCACACTCATTGAGGTAACTAGCACGTTTGTTCAATGTCCAAGGTTATGCTTCTATAAGATCTTCATGCCGCACAATTTGTTGCATATGACAGGCAGCTGCTTATGGTCTACCAATTGTTGCCACCAAAAATGGTGGGCCTGTTGATATCTTGAAGGTAATCAAAGACATAGCCACACCTCAATGATCCATAAAAGCTTATTAACGTATGTTTTATGTCCCCAGGCACTGAACAACGGTCTCCTAGTCGACCCCCATGACCAACAAGCCATTTCTGATGCCCTTCTGAAGCTAGTTTCAAACAAATATCTCTGGTCTGAGTGCAGAAAAAACGGGCTTAAGTACATCCACCGCTTTTCATGGCCAGAGCACTGTCGTAACTACCTTTCCCACGTGGAACACTGCAGAAACCGACACCCGACAAGTAGCCTCGACATAATGAAAGTTCCGGAAGAGCCGATAAGTGATTCTCTAGGAGATGTCGACGACATATCTTTGAGATTCTCCATGGATGGAGATTTCAAGCTCAATGGAGAGATAGATGCAAGTACTAGACAGAGGAAGCTGGTCGAGGCTATAAGCCAAATGAATTCCACGAAAGCTAGCTCATCTGTTCTCTACAGCCCTGGCAGAAGGCAGATGCTCTTTGTGATCACTGTTGATTCCTATGATGACAACGGAGACATCAAAGCGAATTTGGAAGATATCATCAAGAATGTGATGAAAGCTGCAGGTTTGACATCGGACAGAGGGAAGATAGGTTTTGTGCTGGCGACAGGTTCAAGCGTGCAAGAAGTTGTGGAGATTACAAAGAAGTACCTGATTAGTTTGGAGGATTTCGATGCAGTGGTTTGTAACAGCGGAAGTGAGATCTACTATCCGTGGAGAGATATGGTGGTTGATGCAGACTATGAAGCTCATGTGGAATACAAGTGGCCTGGTGAAAGTATAAAGTCAGTGATCCTGAGACTTGCATGTGCAGAACCTGCAACTGAAGATGACATCACAGAGTATACAAGTGCATGCAGTACAAGATGCTATGCAATCTCTGTGAAACAAGGAGTCGAGGTAACTCTTTCAGAGAATACATTTATTCTTAAATCATGAAACTAGTAGTGATGTCTATGTGTCAATGGCAGACTCGAAGAGTTGATGACCTTAGACAGAGGCTTCGGATGAGAGGTCTAAGGTGCAACATTGTGTATACGCGTGCGGCAACACGGCTAAATGTTATACCATTATGTGCATCAAGATTACTAGCACTCAGGTTAGATACTGTCAAAGACTAAATAGTTTTTTCAACCATATATTACAGAGAAAATGACAAGGCTTGATTGATGGGTTTGTGTAGGTATCTTTCGATAAGGTGGGGGATTGACATGTCAAAGTCTGTTTTCTTTACTGGAGAAAAGGGAGACACAGACTATGAAGACCTGCTCGGTGGCCTCCACAAAACCATCATTCTAAAAGGTGCAGTTGGATCTGACAGTGAGAAGCTTCTTCGCAGTGAAGAAAACTTCAAAAGAGAAGACGCGGTTCCACAAGATAGCCCTAACATTTCCTATGTCAAAGAGAACAGCGGAGCTCCGGAAATTCTATCCACTCTAGAGGCCTATGGGATCAAGTGATCTTTACTTCTATTTCTGCCTATTATCATCTCAGTTCATATACTTCAATGGAACTACACAACATCATCTGCAAGATATATTATATACTCTAGAATAAGAAAGCTACATATAACTGTGCAAGCACAGATTAAACAGATTCCTAATTCTCTAGACGTTCACACTTCAGACATTCGTAGAAAGTTTGACAGCTACCTGAAAAATTATGATACTCTGTCTAGTATGACTCCCTTGGCCTACTGTACACCAGGTATGTGTTCCTAGGAGTCTATCTGAAGTGTGAATGTCTACATGAACTAGGAGTCTGTTTAATCCATAAACTCCTCTTTAAAATCTGTTGATAGTCTTATCTGCTCTTCCCAATTACTCAAACATAAGAAAACCTCGTCCTCTAATCCTTAATCAGTCGAACCTTAATTTTCGGTTGAGAGGTGATTAACGTCTAATCACTAAATCAAGCTTCGTCATTAGCAGAATTGACTAAACCTTACCGTTTCTTTGCCGCCGTCTTTTTCACCGGCTATAGCGACGCTAGATTTTGTTGCGGTAAGTGGAAAATGGTGTTTGGAATTATTGCGGCGGTTTGTAATTAAGGATTAGGTATGCCTCTTTGTGGAAAATCAAATGTCGTGTACAAGAATAAAAAGCTCTTCTGCTCTACGAAGAAATCATCGGCTTCTTCCGATAAGTCGGCAATTTGTTGGCTCAAACTTTCCGATTAGTCCCGATAATAAAAAAAGCGAAATCCAATTCTTGTATACGACATCTCATTTTCCACAAAAAGGCATACATAATCCTTAATTACAAATGCGCTGCAACAATTCCAAACACCATTTTCCACTTACGACAACAAAATCTATCTTTGCTATAGCCGGTGAAGAAGACGACGGGAAGAAACGGCAAGGTTTAGTCAATTCTGCTAATGACGAAGCTTCACTTAGTGATTAAACGGTTAATCATCTCTCAACCGGAGATTAAGGATTCACTGATTAAAGATTAGAGGACGAGGTTTTCTTATGTTTGAGTAATTGGGAAGAGCAGATAAGACTATCAACAGATTTTAAAGAGGAGTTTATGCACAAGTAGGCTGCTTGTGGATTCCCAAACCAAAATATTCTAAATTAGCATAAGTTTTAACTAAAACAAAACACAAGGAGACAACTCAACTGCCAAGCTAGTTTTTTTTTTTGGACAACAACTGATTTTATAAATCAATTTCGGTTACACCCCACAAAGGAGGAAGAGATACAACACAAAGGTGTTGAATCCAAAATTACAATAAGCATAACAAAGGAAAAAGATAACAAGATAAATTCAGAATTACCACAAAGGGCTAATTCTTCCTTTGAGATAGAAAGGGAGGCAGAATTTCCTGAGCACAACATCCAGCTCCTATATTCATTGCCTTAAGCTAACAACACACAACCTACCAGACATTGAAATGATGAGTTTTGAAGAGAGGTAGACTTGGTAATAGCTTTCTTTAGAATCAAATGGTCACACAAAACGGTCGCAAGGCTAAAGCCATGGCCGAAGAGGCAGAGCGCCAAGCTAGTTCAATCATCTGTAAATGTTAATAACAAAAAATGCTATGAGGGAAAATCCACTCTAAAGGCCTATGGGATCAAGTGATCTCTTCTTTCTTTCTATCTCTTTCTGCCTATTCATATACTTCAATGGAACTACACAACATCATCTGCAAGATATATTATATACTCTGCAATAAGAAAGCTACATATAACTGTGCAAGCACACAGATTAAAACAGACTCCTAGTTCTGTAGACGTTCACACTTCAGACATTCGTATAAAGTTTGACAGCTACCTGAACAATTTTGATACTCTGTCTAGTATGACTCCCTTGGCCTACTGTACACCAGGTATGTCTTCCTCGTCACATCTGCATTTTGTGGTGTAAAGAACTTCCCTGCAACAAATGGAAGTAGTTGTGATTATAGAAATGAAAACCAAAATGAGCCTAAAATTCAATATACACATCAATATTGAATTTGATAGTCGCATTAAATTCACCTGTGCATAAACTCCTCTTTAAAATTTGTTGATAGTCTTATTTGCTCTTCCCAATTACTCAAATTTAAGAAAACGTCGTCCTCTAATCCATAATCAGTCGAACCTTAATCTCCAGTTGAGCGGTGATTAACGTCTAATCACTAAGTCAAGCTTCGTCATTAGCAGAATTGACTAAATCTTATCGTTTCTTCGCCGCCGTCTTCTTCACCGGCTATAGCGAAGATAGATTTTGTTGCCGTAAGTGGAAAATGGCGTTTGGAATTGTTGCAGCGCGTTTGTAATTAAGGATTAGGTATGCCTCTTTGTGGAAAATCAGATGTTGTGTACAAGAATTGGATTTCGTTTTTTTATTATCGGGACGGAAAGTTTGAGCCAACAAAGAATAAGAAGCTCTTCTGCTCCACGAAGAAATCATCGGCTTCTTCCAATAGGTCAGCAATTTGTTGGCTCAAACTTTCCAATTAGTCCCGATAATAAAAAAGCGAAATTCAATTCTTCTATACGACATATGATTTTCTACAAAAAGCCATACCTAATCCTTAATTAGAAACGCGTTGCAACAATTCCAAACACCATTTTCCACTTACGGCAACAAAATCTATCTTTGCTATAGCCGGTGAAGAAGACGGCTGCGAAGAAACGGCAAAGTTTAGTCAATTCTGCTAATGATGAAGCTTCACTTAGTGATTAGACTGTTAATCACCTCTCAACCGGAGATTAAGGATTCACTGATTAAGGATTAGAGGACAACATTTTCTTATGTTTGAGTAATTGGGAAGAGGAGATAAGACTATCAACAGATTTTAAAGAAGAGTTTATGCACAAGTGAATTTAATGCGACTATCAACAAAAAAATCAATATTGATGTGTATATTGAATTTTAGGCTCGTTTTGGTTTTCATTTCTATAATCACAGAGAAGATTTAAACCATTTCATTGCTATGAGGGAAAATTCACCTCAAGCATCTGAGTCGCTGTCACCACAGGCTTCCCCTGGATGTTGCATTTGTAGATCATCACTTTCTGAGCTAAGAAGATCTTCTCAATCGGGATTTCCATGCAATCATAAACGCATCCGAATTGATCAAAATTCCCCACACCTTCTTGGTTCTCAACCTATAATCCATCAAAAAAAGGAAGATAAACACAAAACCATCACAATTGATCTTGTAGTTTCCATAACCAGAAGGAGAGAGAGATTCATCACTTCTTCTTAGTCATATTTCTATGCTCGCATAGTGCCAAACAGAAGTGCAAATGAAACTCAGAGAAGATTTAAACCACGCAAAAATAATAATAATCTCATTTGCATATTCAGCTTCGGGCAAATTCAATGAGACAGGATTTGAATCTATATAGTGAAGAACGAGTAGCAAAACAAGAAAGTGCCCTTTTCTTTCCCATTGTAATTTAAGTTCAATGAGTACAAAGATCACAAAAGAAAAATCTTGTAGGAGAAATTTACAAATCTGAACCAACTAAGACCACATTGTTCACAAGAAATCATCTCCAGAAATACTTTTCCTAAATGAATCTATCCACACAATCAATATCATCCTCAACTTCAAGCAGAGTTCGAGTTCCTCTTCACATTGGTCTTAAGAGACCACAAAATTGGGCCAAAAAATCACCCTGAACCAACTCTGATCACCACCACATAGCTCACAATTGATCATCTAGGAGAGGAATCTTCATATCAGAATCAACCCAAACTCGAGTTTTCAAAGAGCAAGATCCACAGGGAAGAACAACAGACGCCACAAAAGCACCTAATCTCTTAACTTGAACACAATCGCCGTCTCTCAACAAAGCAAACCCCATTGTTTCGAGCTCAGAGGAATCAACAGAGAAGTGATCACCACACCTACACTGATAAAAAAGCTCCATGGCTTCGTCGTCTTCTCCGGCGATCTCCACCGACATATCCTCTATGCTAATCTCGTCAGCGGTGATTCCGTCCTGCCTCGAAGATCGGAGGTCATTGTCGTAAACCACACGCAGCTCTGCGTCGCTTAGAACTTCCCACGCCTTTTGGATCTTCAGAAACTTCTCGTCCGAGCTACAACGAGAAGTGTTGAGCTTATCTGGATGAGAGTGGAGGATCGCAGAACGATAGCAGTTGCGGATTTCTTCGTAGCTCGCGTCTTCTTTCACCGAGAGAACCTCGTAGTATGTCTCGTGAACACAACTCTCACCGATGAGCATGATTGTTGAATCCTTTCTACAGGCCACGGTAGAAGGCGATCATGTGACGGTGGAGGCGGACGGCGATTGGATTGGATTGGATTGGGATTGAAATTCGCCGGCGACGGCGAACAGAAAATTCGGAGGTAAAAGGGATTCGTTGGAATTAGGTTCGGCAATTCGGTCTTTTGGGCAATGTTTTTATTTAAACCGGGACCGACCGAACCAAACAGAACCCGAGAGAGAGAGAGAAAAATCTGATGGTTCTAAACCCAAAAAACCGAATAGCATAATTACATACCCACACATTTTTTTTTTTCATCTGAACTTTTATAAATTTTTAAATGGTATTATACACTAACCAAATGATAATAAAGAGGGATAAACCCAGAACGCGATGGACGAAACAGTCTCTGTAAATAAAGCCAAGGGAGGAAAACTAATTCCCCGGAAAGAAAACCCAAAAAAGGAAGAAAAATTACAACAATTAGAGCTAAACACCTCCTAAAACCAGACTAAAACTTCAACAAATAAAAGCAATTAGCATCAGAAGCTTTTATCACAAACGGAGCAAATGACATAGTGGAATTGACTTTCAAAAAAACACTTGAACTTACCTGAAACCTCTGTCATCGATGATAGAGCCAGAATCGCACACTAAGAACAACACCACCCCACCAAACCGAAACACGAACCGTAGAAGGTTAGAGGGAATCATCCACTCTGCATCTACGAACAAACAACAAAAGGCCTTTAGACTGACAAATCAAGCCTCGCCGTAGTAGGATCGATGCCCTTTGGAAGGAAAACATAACGACAGATCTAGATCTACAAATCTGGAACCTAATTGAAACGAAAAATTTCTAAGATAATGCAGAGAGGAGAAGGAGGATAAGGCTACAAAGGGACATGAAAACAAGCTAGTCAAGAAGGAAACTCAGCTCCGATGCTATCTAAGCCACCAGAGCCGACTGACGGCGGCAAAACCCTAGATCTAGATCTAGAGAGAAGGGAGAGCAAAACGGAGGAGAGAGAAGGAAAGGGATTCCCACAAAATTATTTATATATAGATTTAAATAGATAAAATACCAATTACAATTATAAATTCAATATTATAATTATATTTATCTAGAAATAATCTAATTACCCCAAAATGTGCAAAACAATTTTAGTTATATACTCTCTCCGTTTCTTTTTATGAATTTTCTAACATAAAAATTATGTTTTACGAAGAGACTTTTGCTGCTTCGTTTGACTTGAAGTTAAATACTGTATTTTGTATTAACTCTTTGTTGCTTCTGCAAAATTCTTTCTTTCTTTATTTACAGATTTTTATTTTTCTCCAAAATTCATGAGATACAAAGAGATGAAAGAAAACAAAATGTTAAAATTAAATATTTATTGTTTGCAAAATTCATTTAAATTAAATCAATTTTATGTAAGCATCTGAACCCGAAAGCAACCGAACGGAACATAGTCTAAAAAATAATATTTTTTATAAATAAAGTCATTTTCTTAATTATTTAACTGATAACAGTAGAAGGTTAGAGGAATCATCCACTTTGCATCTACGAACAAACAACAAAAGGCCTTTAGACTGACAAATCAAGCCTCGTCGTAGCAGGATCGATGCTCTTTGGAAGGAAAACATAACGACAGATCTAGATCTACAAATCTGGAACCTAATCGAAACGAAAAATTTCTAAGATGCTGAGAAACAAAGAGGAGAAGGAGGATAAGGCTACAAAGGGACAAGAAAACAAGCTAGTCAAGAAGGAAACTCAGCTCTGGTGCTATCTAAGCCACCAGAGTCGACTGACGGTGGCAAAACCCTAGATCTAGATCTAGAGAGAAGGAAGAGCAAAACAGAGGAGAGAGAAAGGAAAGGGATCACAAATTTCTCACAAAATTATTTATATATAGGTTTAAATAGATAAAATATCAATTACAATTATAAATTTAATATTATAATTATATTTATATAGAAATAATCTAATTACCCCCAAAATGTTCAAAACAGTTTTAGTTATATACTCTCCCGTTTCTTTTTAATGAATTTTCTAACATAAAAATTATGTTTCACAAAAATAAAATTTATATGTTTCCAAAAGACGAAGAGACTTTTGCTGCTTCGTTTGACGTGAAGTTAAATACTGTATTTTGTATTAATTCTTTATTGCTTCTGCAAATTTTTTCTTTCTTTATTTACAGATTTTTATTTTTCTCCAAAATTCATGAGACACAAAGTCACAAAGAGATGAATGAAAACAAAATGTTAAAATTAAATATTTTTTGTTTGAAAAATTCATTTAAATTAAATCAATTTTATGTAAGCATATGAACCCGAAAGCAACCGAACGGAACATAGTCTAAAAAATAATTTTTTTTTATAAATAAAGTCATTTTCTTAATTATTTAACTGATAAATGTTGGACCTTTTGCATTTATACTACTGTATAATATATGTTTTGTCAACAAAGTAATTTTTCATTAAAATTCTTAGTTTTATATTTTAAATAATAAGTTTAATACATTTTTCTTTTTACTTTTCAATATTTATTGTGTGACTTCTCTATGAAATAGTAAAAACAAAAGTTAGCCCATAAATAGTTAATAGTAGACAATAAGATTTACAGATCATTATGTAGAAATACTATTTCTAGTTATTTTACCAGAACTTTTCTTTGGTTATACTAAATTTCTTCTAAACATAATTATTGTACCAAGATCTTCAAGCATTGTCTTTTTTTTCTTTTTTTCCTTCTATATATCCTCTTTGCTTATGAGATTGAAGGAAGATCGAAAACTGTTGCTTCCTCTAGAAACATAACTAATGAAGACCCCCAAAAAATCATCTCTTATTTTACCTTCTTTGATAGTGTTTGCTCTCATTATATTGCCCATAGTATCAGGTAACATATTTATTTGTTTAGCGTTACATTGTCTCAAAAAAACGAATCCATAGTTCTCTTAAGAAAAAATTATATACTTAGGGATTGACTCAGATCACTATATCCAAAAGCAATTGTGTTTGTATTTGCAATCACATGTTGACAGATTACTAATCATTTTTGTACTTAAATGTGTATATATGTTTGTGAACAAAATAGGAGAATATATCAAAGTATGTACAACGGGATGTAAAAGCACACCAGAATGCAATGGAAGATGCCAACATGAGGGATACCAAAGAGGGACTTGTATAATGCACTCTACTAGTTCTTCTATGTGTTGCTGCGAAACTATAAAATGATTTTACCATATTCCGTCATAATTAATATATCTTTCTATATGTAATCTCAATTATCTGAATAAGAACAAAATAATTATAATATGATTGATTGATCTACATTATCTCATCCCACCCTTATAATGATTTTAATATTTATTTATAATGATAAATCAAGCTAATAAAACAATACAGAAAACCTATAAGAGACAATAAAACCAGAGCATATGAAACCAAACCTTTTACGGTTACAACATTTAGTAGCTTAATTAATGCGACAAAGGAACAAGCACAGGACAAAATGTAACATTACCCCACTAAACACAAGGTATTATAAATTGAAATTTCAGTTTATCGAGAGGTGTCCCACCAATTACAATCAAAAGAAGATTTCCCAAGAAGGTATAGCAATTTTTTATTAAAAGAATGTTTTCGACATTATATGAACATCAATTGAATTTTTTTCAAAATTACCATTTTTTTCCCTATGAACCATCCTTGAATCTTCTAAAACTCATTTCATTTCCTAGCAATGTTATACGTCACATACGCAAGCAAAAACAACAAACACTTTAAAAAATTACCAAAACATCATCAAAACTTCAAAAGACAAAGCTTTTTTAACCAAGTCTGCAATTACAAGAAGCATCAGATGTCCCTACAATGTTTTGGTCATTCTCTTGCGTTTCCTTAAAGACCTCTCTACTATCTTCTCTGTCACCTTCTTGGATATCATCGATGTGAGTTGGTATAGCGTTTATTGACTGGGACTCTAGTTGAGCAGAAGCTTCTCCATTAGAGTTCACCATGGAAGAGACATTCTCTAGGCTTTGATGGGATCGTTCTTGGAAAGCTTTAGGCTTAAGAGAGAGACGACAAAGAGGGCAAGTTGTGTGCGAAGTGAGCCAAAGATCAATACAGTCCATGTGAAAAGTGTGCCCACATGCTGGAATTTGTTGGAGTTTCTCATCTGCTTGGTAGTCCCCAAGACACACTGAACATCTGTTATCAAAGTCAAATAAAGAACATTCTCAATTTTATTTTCTTACGTTTTTGGCTCTTCAAACAAATAAAATAGAAAAAACAGTTTGGTCAGTTACGTTGATGAGCTGATATCCATATTATAAGGCCAATAATTCTCTGAAAATAAAGGATACTTCCAAATTACACAATCATATTCTGCAGGAAATTATACAAACCACAAACTCAAAGAATTTTTCTAAGTCACTGAAATCTGCAAAACCAAAATTATATTGTACCATTTAGTTCTTGGACGTTACATATGACCGAATCCCAAAAAAAAAGTGATCACTTTTCTGAGCCTAAAGCAGAAACATTATCCATTTACGAATCACAAGTTCATAGGGACAAGTAATCATCACACAATAGATAAGAACAAATAGACTCCGCAAAGCACAAGATCTCATCTTTGCTTCTTATTTACCATTTTTAACTTTTGTATAAAATTTAATCATATCACGTATCATATTTCAACTGTCTTCAACTTTAATTATGACATAAGCCTTAATTAAGAATACCTGAATACAGTAAAAAAAAATAAAAAAGGATAAATATTTTGGGGAAATGAATATGAGAACTCACTGTGAGTCATTAATGGTGAAACTCTTTCTGAAGATGACAATGGGAAGCATCTCTCTCAATTCTTTGCTCAGGCCTATTTCAGTCTGTTCATAATTGAGCCAACAAATCAATTACAGAACTAAAACCCATCAAATGTTTCAAAGAATTGAAGAAAAGAGAAATTTTCATCAAAGCAAGATTTGAGTTAATTAACCATGGAGAGATCGTTGGTGGAGACGAAGCTAGCACCACGCATTCCAAGAGAAGACCAATCGACATTGCTGCTTCTTCGACGGAGATAAATGACGTAGAAGACGAAGAGGATGATGAATGTGAAGCAGATGGGAACAGAGAAGATGAAAGCTTGGTAAAGTTTGAGTTTTTGCGCGGCTTCAATTGAGTTCGTGTCGTTGGTCGATGGAATGTAAGTTTCTGGAAGTGGGTTTTGGTTCGGGTCGCTGTAAGACATTTCAAGACAAGCTTTTTTGACTTTCTGTCTTTCTTCAGGTTTTGTCTGAGAAAACGAAGAACCAGAGAATCTTTAAGATTCAGGAGAGAAGAAGAAAGCAATGGTGATAAGAAAGAGAAAGAGAGGTAGGAAAGTTTCAGGTGAAGTCTTCAGGTGAAAGTAAAAGCCATATGTGTTTGCTATTTATTTCTAAAAAAAGGAACATGTCAGGACAAAATTATAGCATATAATACTAATATAATAATTATATTACAAAATAGGATAGTAACAAAATAATGAGATATGGCTATAAATATATAAGAATTTTTTTTCATAATATGGACAATTAATTGGAGTGTGACAGTGACACACTGTTTACATGTATTGAAACTGTTAGGTTGAAACTACTGAGTCATGCTCATTATATTGGTGTTTTAAAATTAAACCATCCACACGAGTATTGAGCTTGTAAACAATACACACACATGTTCGGTTATTTTTGTTTTTATTTGATATTTACGTTACCTAAGACTAAATTTCCTTTGGATGTATATTGTTTATTTTAGGTGAGAAAAAATGGAGGAATCTTTTGTTTCTGTGGAACTCAAGAAAATGGGAAATTTTCTAAAATCCATAACACTCTACTCCATTTTGATTGAAGAAAAATAAGTTTCTTATTAGTTGTCAATTGTCGTTTATTCCATTTCAAAAGTTGACGGAGCTCTTAAACCACGAGAGTGGTGTGGCCTCCCATAATTTAGAAAAATACAAAAAAAAAAATCTTATGTCACCGTAATTACCTTTAATTGGGTGTATTTGCCGCAAACTGTAATTACCTTTCTGTTTGAGAATTGAAAATATATTTTCTACCCTACATTAAATTTCTTATATGTCTTCGATGGAGTGTAAGACCTCTAAAATCAATTATTCCTTCTAATCGTTATCTTAATATTGTATGTTGATAATGGACTCCCAACTAAGAGTAAAAACATGTTCATTATAAGTTGTAACTATTTCATTTACAGCAGAAATAATTGTAACTATATATCTTAATTTATTTTGTCCAAGAATTTCAAAACATCTCACTATACCGGATAAAATTTAGTACAAACCAAGCACAAATTGTTTAAGATAGATCAAATGTTAGCCTAACACATAAGACATATTAGTCATAAAGATATATACCAAAAAAACAAAAATATATATTTTTGTTATAGAAAATTTACTACATATTGATATTCAGATAATAATATTATATATATAATAACGATAGCGATCACGATAAATAATTGACGTAGATCTCAATAAATAATTGTTAATATTGAATCATTAATTGAGAAATAGTTTTCATTTCCAATAAATACGTGTTTAACGTTTTGTAGTGTGTAAGTTAGTTTTGCATATTCATTGACTTTACTGATTTATCGTGTTTGCTAAACGTTAACTTAGTATATTTAATATGTATGTTTGCTTTCCTACAATTATCAGATGTGTTACTTTGTGATTACAAAGTTGTTACAGTTATAAATGCAGAGTTGGTAGTAATATTGGCGACATCGAGATAATAATAATATATTCAATGATTGCGATCACGATAAATAATTGACATAGATCCCGATAAATAATTGTTAACATTACATTATTAATTCAGAAATAGTTTATTTATTTCCAATAAACACGTGTTTTGACGTTTTGTAGTGCGTAAATTTACTGACTGTGTTAATTTTGCATATTCATTAACTTTGCTAATTTATCGGTCATTTTAATTTATTAATTTGTCGTGTTTGCTAAACATTAACTTAGCATATTTAATATGTAACTCTACCACGTTCCTTAGTTTAGATGAAGTAACTTAGAATTCGAAAATATTCAAATGTTAATAGAAAAGATTCAAATATCAATAGAAAAGACATTTGACTATCATGTTCTTCTTAAGCTTCATGGCAGAAACGTTATTAACTTTACTAATTCTCCAGTCTCCACTACATCCCCTAGTTTAGATAGTGTTGTGAAATCTAAAACTAAAAAAAAAAAAATCACATGCGGATTTACCTAATTTCACAATTTCTCCGAATGGTGACAAAATGCGGCTGATGTGATTGTACCGCATTACTCTTTGATATTTAAATCATACGTAGACTCATCTAAAGTTATAGTTTTATAATGTCAATATGTTTCATTAAATAAACAGAAATGTATAGAGATATGGATGATGATAGTTAATACACACATCAGCCTTGATCGTTCCCACGGACGCGGAGATTCGCAGATTTGCCTTCTCGTTCTGCTTTTTAGTTTTGTCAACGCATTTCCCATTCACTTGGTAATAACCAAGAGACATTTTAGAATCCTTTGATTCTTTCTTTTTTGACATCGTCATTGTCAACTTCAAAAGTCAACTGCTTTTGTTCGAAGTTCTCTCCAAACTGTCATCAAAGTTAAAAGTTTTATAACTCTAGAGTCAAGAGGACCGTTTTTACTCTCAAAGTTAGATATTATTTTATTTTCAATCACAATAACGAGCTCAATGTTCAATTTATTTCGTTGCAGAAACACAAGTATCAATGCATATTATGAATTGTTTGTGGGTTTATTTTTGATGCTTTTGTTATTAAATTAAGTGATTTAGCACTTGCGCTTACATTTTCTACACAAAAAGATTGCATACAAGATAGTTCAAATCAAATCAATCAAGATAGTTCATTTTCTAAGGTGTGAGTTTAAGATAGCTCTACGATATGTCTCTTGACCACCAAGAGTTCAAAGTGTGAGAAAACAGAAGAAAATGAAGATTATGGTCTAAATTTTTTGTTTTGTTATTCGATCAAACAAAAACCCACAAAACAATAAGGACTTTATGTATGGACTGCTTTAGTTTAAGCGTTCAAAATTCAGATGTAACCACCAATATTTTCGGATACTAACATTTTTTCAAGTTTCAAACAAGAATGTGAATATTTGATAGTACAAGTTTGTATACTCTATACATTAAGTCTATTCATCTCCGTGTTACAATTCATGGTCTTCATGTTGATAACAGAACAATGAGGTTTCTTCTAGCTGTTACTGAATATTAAGCAACTCTTGGCTTTGGGTTCAGCTCAGTCTCCATACTCGTAGATGTCTTTGTGTTCGAAGCACCGTCGCCGAACTTGCGGACAAGGATTTTGAAACATGGAAGAAAGATAACGTATAGCCCAATGAAGAAAAATGGAGTTGCTACGAGCCACCCTAGTAACTGCAATTAACCAACAAACCATAGGAGTGTAATAAGAATACTAATCAGGCTTGCAAATTAGTAAGGACAAGATTAGGCTATGGAATGCAACAAGCAGTTTAGCTACTTACCGCGTTACCAATGCTTACAAAGACTTCCTGAGAGGCTTGGCCGGTGAAAACCTTCTTTAAGGCATCTGATGTCAAAGGAAAATGAGGTCCACCAGTGACTTTTTCACCAAGTCGTAGGAAAGGCACCACGAGACTTCAAATGTGAAAGACATGAAGAGCGAATCAAAGTCAGGAAGAAGATTGGTTATTGAAACTAGAAAGATGCAAAAACAAAAGGCATTGTATCTCTTTTTTTTTATGAAAAGTGGCTAAATTGTTGTGTAAAGAGCAAAAGGGAGTTACGCTAATTCAACAGGAGTGGCAATGATATTAGCCAACATCACAGTTGGAGCATGACAAGCAGATCCAAGAACAGCAAAAGCTACTCCACATAGAACCACAGGAACACCTGATTTTAAAAAAGCAAAACTCACTTCCAATACAGATACATTGCAATCTCAAATCTCAAAACATAAGTGTCAAAGCTCAGAAAAAAAGAAAATGGTGAGAGAGATACGCACCACATATCGGAAATATCCCCAAAGTGATACCTAGTGCGGCGGAGAAAGCAAGCTGCTTAGGCTCAGTACCTCTTTAAGAAATAGAAAAAAGGAAATTTTAAAAATCAAACCTCAAAAATTACTTCTGCAACATAACAACATATGCGAAATAGATCATTTTAGAAGCCACAATGAAGTGCGGAAAGGATAAAGTTTCTGCCTTTTACTTCATTTTAGAAGCTACAATGAACAACAGAAGGATAAAGATTCTTCCTTTACTCTTCCATATGGTCTCTCTAGTCTCCTTAATGTTTCAAATTAAGAAACCAACAATCAACGAATAGTATAATGAGATCTATCTAATTCCATCTCTCAAAGTATCAAAGTAACCAAATTAGCCCTAATTTCCAGATCCAATACGGAGATATGATCACAGTAACAAAACAAAACGCGTAGAGACAAAATGGACAAACCTACGCAAGATCTGGAGAAGGGGATCGGTGATTTTCTTGTTGAACCATGCTTTCAATCTGCCTTTTGATAAACCCATCACGATTCTACAAAATTTGAACGAAGAGAGAGAGAGAGAGAGATTCAGAGATGAACGTCGAATTGGATTTTGCCTTTTGGTATTTTCCGTTGAAAGAAGATGGGTTTTCCAGAAGCAGCGGGTTCGGTAACCGGGTCGAGTATTGACTTTTGAATCGGGCCTAGGCCCAAACGATTTTGAAGATTCCATATCAATTATCTAAGTGGAGAATTAAAAGAAAATTAAAATTGAAAAGGTTTAGGAAAAATCTTTTATCATATGACACTTCCAAAATCTCTACATATATACTTTAACAATATATTCCCTTTTTATTTTCATTACCTAAGCCACAATTCTTCTATTGCCCTAATTTCTTCAACCCTAAATTTATCTACTTCCATCTCCACCGCTTCTAATGCCGCTTCCGCCGACTGTGATCTCCGGAAAACTAGAGCCACCGCAGGAAAGAAGATGATGGAGAATTCTCAGCCACTGTCGTTGTCGTCACTCCCAGACGAAATCCTAGAGAACTGCCTCGCACGTATCTCCAAGTGGAAGTACCCTTTACTCTCTCTCGTCTCCAAGAGATTCCACTCTCTCCTCTCTTCACCCCAAATCTTCACGACGCGATCTCACGTCGGAACCACAGAGCCATGCCTCTATATCTCCGTAGACTCGATTGACGACGACCCATCTCCCAAGTGGTACGCTCTTTGGATGAAACCTGATGATGAAATCCTAACAGACAAGAAAATTCCCTCTTCTCTTCCACATGAATATTCTTTGATTCCGCTACACTCTTCTTCCCCTTCTCTTCCCGTACCACATTACTCCACCGTAGCCGTAGGTTCGGATATATTCGTAATCGGTGGAGTCACTGCTCCGTCATCCTCTGTTCGGATCCTTGATTGTCGGAGTCACACGTGGCGTGACGCCCCCAGCATGACGGTAGCTCGCCAGAACGCAATATCGGTTCTTCTCGAAGAGAAGATATATGTCATGGGAGGTTGGGGAACTTACCATCCTGGGCCTGGCTATTGGTTTGAGGTTTTCGACGTAAAGACTCAGACTTGGAGCGTCTTGCCAAGCCCTCTTGATGATCATGAAGGGTTTTGGGGACGCATTGCGGTCAATGCTTTCCAAGGAAAGCTTTACGTAGAGGCCTATACAGAGGAATACACTTACGAGCCCAAAGGTGGTACATGGGAAGTTCTAAGAGAAGTATCATATCGTATGGAGGATAAGTGTGTGATAGAGAATGTAATGTACGGTTGCACTTACTTGGGGGATTTTATGTGGTTTGACTATGAAGGTAGAGTGTGGAGATTTATCAAAGGTTTGACAAATTTGTGTAAAGGATGGGAGTCTTGTAATAGACGTAGGAAAGTGCTTAGAATAGTTAACTATGGTGGGAAACTTGTTGTTGTGTTTATGCAATGGTCTGATGAAGACAACAAAAACAACAAGGAAGTTGAAATTCGGTGCGCTAAGATTGCGTTGGAGAAACGCTTTGAAGGTGAGATTTGGGGTAAGACTGAGTGGCTTAATACTTTACTTAGGGTCCCCCGGTGGTATAATCGTTGCTTAAGTTGTGTAGCCGTTGTTTCGATTTGATCATTCGTAAAAGATGGTATAGACAACTTTCTAAACATGCATGTCCAAGAGTTCGTTGTTCTTTGAAGCACGCATTTTTTTTTCTTTTAGGTTTTTCATTGAAAGCATTTGAGAATCTACAGTTGCCTTTTTTATATATTACAAACACTATGAAAGTTCGGTTGATTTCAAATTTTCAACTTCTTTTTTTACCATTTTTTTTTTATATATAATACTAGCTGTATTTTCACAAGTTTATGTAAAAATTGTTTTTTGAATGCTAATTTGTTCATGGGTTTGCATTTGATGCTTTGCATCTTATTACTCCTTTTGAATAATATGTTTGCTTATAGGATAAGTAAACAAAGTTCTTCTAATGGAATGGGTACTTCTTCTGATGCTAATTTGTTCATGGATCTGCATATTTTTACTTGCATCTCAAACAAAGTCAGATGATAAGACAATAATATTCCACCTCTAAATAAACCAATATTATCTGTAGTTAATATGAATCAGAAACAGCAAAGTCAAGTTATATGTAGTAACAAAAATCAGGCTATCTTTAGACACTTTTCGTTCTCACAGAAACTATACAACTTTCTCCTTTCTATCTTTCGATCTTTCTAAAACTTTCTACTACGACTATCTATGAACAACTTTATGATCGGTATATGCATCAAAACTAACTTTTTTTCTGTGTATTAACAAGACCTGAATTTGGTAATTCCTTCATCAGTACCTTCTCTTAATCCTGTGTAAAATCTCTTTTGCTCTTTCCACTGCAACATCTGTTCCTTCCTCCGCAAGCCTCGTAAACGTCCCGTATAGTTTCTCCTCTTCATCGACCACTCTCACTCTATTCCTTTCTCTGCTTCTGTCCCCCCTGTTTCTATCCCCCGTCTTCTTGGTCAACAAACAAGAAACGATCGCTGAAGCGTTGTCCAGAGTCTCTAAGCCTCTCGATTCCCTCAAGATACTCAACACATGATCGATAAACCCTAGACCCTCCATTTCTTCAATCACCCCTTCGTGTGTGGACATCAACGCCAAGACACCTAACTCCAGAGTCGAACTCCCTCCTGCTCTGATCTTATCCGTCAGCAATGGAATCAAACCAGCTGAAACCGCCTTTCCCTTGTTCTCCGGTAGTCTACAGAGGTGAGAAACAACTGAAACTGCTAGTCTGCTGACTGAGAATTCACCATCTTTGATAACATCCATCAGAGTCTTGAGCGTTTCTCCGTTGCAGATGACGATCTTGTTGGAATCAACAGACGAGAGCGAAAGTAAAGCCTGTGCAGCGTTTCTCCGAGTCTTCACTTCCCCTTGCTTCAGAGACTTTGTGAGCAGAGTGATCACAAGAGGGTTTTCAGCGAGTAGCGTCTTGTTCTGCTCCAGCTTCGAGATGTTGAGCAATGTTGTGATGATATTCTTCTGAAGCTTCGGATTCGAGTCAACCGCAACATCAGAATCAGAGATCGGACTGAGCAACTGAGCGATGGTATCTCCGGCGGCAAAGAAGGCCCTGACACTGCCAAATAACTTGCTCTGGAGGCGAAGCTCCTTTGCAGCTGAAATCTGATCTTCCACTGAGGAAGGAGATGAGATCCGGTTAAGCAACGAGTCTGTGTCGTCAGTGAAGGGCTTTGGCCGGTCAAAGTTGTTGACTTGACACCATTGCTTGATCAAATCGTCGATTAAATCGTTCGGTGCCCATAAACGATGAGAGAGGACTTGAAACGTTTTGGGACATGTCTGCTTAGAAATCAGCCACTCTTTGATGTATCTTTTCTCAAAAGTCTGAAATCAAAAGAGCAAAAACAATTCAACACAATCCCCCAAAAATCAGCATCCTTATACAAATTCTTGGCAATTCCAACATTACTCTGTTCTAAAAAAGTGAATCTGGATATACATAAAGAGCACTCATATCAATCGAATGTAGAATTATGAGCTAAATCGAGCAAGAATCCCAAAGAAAATCCAGGAAATATATAAAATCAGCAAAAGAAAATGGAGGAGAAATCACCTGCCCAGAAGCGATGACTACAGGTTCGCTCATGATATTAGTTGAGAGGCTGCATCTAAACTCGTCCGGCACTTTGGGAATCGGAGCCGGAGAAGACGAAGAGATCTCAGATTCCGGCTTCTTTGATTCTACTTCCCTCAGGCGATTCAGGATTCCGATCGACTCGTCAATCGATTTCAAGGCGTTGAAACTTCCGTCAGTGTCGCTGCGATCTTTGCTGACTCTTCCGTCTTCGAGAAACTCCGTTAGTGTCTTCTCTAATTCCAGCCTCAGAGTATCGGCGGCGTTTGCTGCCGTTGCGTCTCCCGTCGACGATTCCGCCATTTCAGCCGGAGAAATCTCGACGAAGGCGCGAATACACGAAAGCCCAAAGCTAGTGAAAAGTAAATCCCTAGAAAATAGAGGGTGAGGAGAAAAAGAAAGAAAAGGTGGAAAATTTTCTGTTAGCAACTGTGAGAGAGAGAGAGAGAGAGAGGAGAAAGAAGCGAAAGATAACAAATTTATCAGTTTTTCAGTCTGCGATATTTTTATTTTTGTTTATTTATTTTTAAATCACATACGCCACCTGTGTATATAGAGACTGCCACGTCATACCCGCATCTTTTTCTGTTGGAAACCAAATTGACTGACAGATTCTGATTGGTCAAGGGAGAATAAAGGTTCTGCGATTATTTATTTTTTTCCTTAGTAAAAACTAAACATAAATATGTGTTACGCTTACGCATGCGGAAAAAAAGTTTCAATTTTATGCATGAGGTCAAAATTATTTTTGCTTGGAATAGCTCGATATTGATTTAGTAACATCTCTTCTCTAGTTTAGTTAACTCAATAAGTTAAACGAAGCCAGCTTCCCAAATTTCAAGGTTCCCATAAGGATTTCTAAAACCAGTTTTATAAAATTTTACCCACCAAATTAAGAAAGGACTAACCAACCGAAAAACACGTATTTTAGGAGTTTATAATTTCATTAGTAGGCTAAATTAATGACTTGGAGAGTAGTCATCTTCTACACCGTATACGCAAATTCAAGTTGATTTTTGTAACGAGAACTAAGATCTTCTTGTTAATGTTTATTTGATAGATTATGAGAAATTTGATACAAACAAGCTTTTGCATCAGATTTCAATAGAATCATAGAGAGGTCACTACCACAAGATGAAAAAAAATATATGGTTACTAAACAAGTCTAATTAAAACACAGCTTCTACAAGTATGTGTCTCTTCTTAGACCCAAACCCAACAACGTGGGTTAGATAAACTCTTCCTTCCTTGATAGTAGCCGCCGAGATTAACCGATGATACATACCGCTGCCGAACCAACCCGTCACAGACGCCGTCCTCCAACCGTCGGAGCTCTCGACCAATTTCGTATAAGGATTACCTGAAAACACACACAAATGACCCAAAATGCAATATTTTCCTTAAAAATTCTTAGTAAACACAAGAATAAAAATATACTAAAAAAGACAACGCACCTGCGACAACAATTTTGGTCGGGGACAAAATCTCTAGTCCATCTCCAAACCTCAATGTGCCATTAGTAACTTTAATTACACTGACTTTATCGTTACCAATGTCTCCATCGGCCAGGTCGATTTTGTATAGTAAACCGGAGATAGTGTGGATGACGATGAGGAAGCCGTCAGGGTGATATACAATGCCGTTAAGAGAGACTATGTTATCAAACCAGCCAGGTGGAGTGAAGAGAGGGCTTTTAAGGGTGTACACAAGCTTTCCATTGACATCAACTTTCCATATTTTATTTCCTCTTGCATCCGTAACATAAGCGTTGCCTTCTGTATCAAAAGTTACATCGTCTGCAAATGTAATCTCCTTACCTACATTTTCATCAAATTTTTACAAGACAAAGAAAAGAGTCTTATGTTATGTCTTGATTGTTTGCTTGATCGATTCGACAGTATATATATAAACAGTAAAATTTAAATTACCATTTACCGATCAGTACGTGTTTAACTTTGAATCTATTTCCTAGTTGTTTCTTAAACAAACTAAAAAAATAACCGTTTTGAATTGATTTTCATGATACATTAATCCCAAACCTAACCGAACTTTATACTGAATCATTCAACTCAAATTTCATAGAACCGAATCAAATTAGCTGAAATTCATTGCAAAAATAATATTTTTTGGTTAAATATATATATAAAGATTAAAATTACACTTAAATATACGAAAATGCAATCATGTTAACTAAAATTAATTAATTTTGTCTATAACCAACCGAACCGAAAAACAGAATTTCGGGGTCCACATAACACTCAGAGAGATCCTACGTAGGATCATCGGACGGTCAGTAATCGTCGATGGAGATGTCAAATCAACGGAGGAGAAACGAGGCTAAAGCACGAGTGAAAGAAAAGTATGCAGAGCAATTAGAAATTTAGAAGAGCTTACTATGGCGAACACTAAGCTCTGTGAGGAAGATACGACGCCACGTCGACAAATCATAAGCCGCCAAAGCACTATAATGGTTTCCAACCAAATCACCGACAGCAACAAGGAGACGGTTTCTGTCGCGGTCGATAACTATTCCAGCGGAAGCGTTTCCACCGAGGTTAACGTCTTTGACCAAAGTGACTTCCTCCATAACGTCCTCACTATTATCATCACCGTCGTCGGAATCTCTAGGAACAACCTCACCGATTCCGCCTCCGTCCATGTAGGAGACAAGAAATCTCCGACCTACATCGTCCCATTTGGCGCACTCGCGTAAGAAACCGGAGCTATGGTAAGAGAAGACATGCGTCGAAGGAACAGCTCGCTCTAAAGAAACGATGTAAGCTACTGGAACAGCGGAGATTACCAGAAAGATCACAGCGGTGAACCGGCAGGAGCAGAACGACGAGGACGACATTTTTGAAAAGAGAAAATATGGTTGATAAATTGTTTGGTGATCAGCGAACGGTCGACTTAAGACAATATAAAACGGGACCACTAATTGACCCGGAAAGTGGTATTGGTGGCATGTTAATTGCATATTGGGTCTGGAAAGTGTATATAATTTCAAAATCTTGGTAGGGTTTTTTGATTTGTTTTGTTTTTTGTGAGTTAACTTGACAGGGTTTTCTTTTTAATTAATGCTTCTTTTCTTTTTTTAATGCAAACGCTTCATTTTGTTTAGTAACGTGGAAGACTCTTGATTCATACAAGCTCTACCACATAATCTTTCATATTCGTATCCGATCGCTGTAGCAACGATAAAACAGTTGTAGAATGACGTTTGTTCATTCTTATTGTCAACTATGTGCAAGAACTCTTTTCCCTTTTTTTCATTGACACGATTTGTAAATAAGACTGAAGAAGGAAATAAAATATATATAATGAACATTGATGATTTGTGGTTGTTGTTGATTGACTTGGACTCCTGCTCTCTTCGGGTTAACTTCTTCAGTTCCCACTCTCTTTGGGCAAGATTTTCACTGTTTGGTGGAGTTGGGTCCACGTTTCCTTCCATCCTCAACCTCTTAGGTTTATTAGTGCTTCTCTTTCTCTCTTTATAACCGAGTGTTTTAATATCCTTGTTTACCTTAAGTGGCTGTTGTTTCCTAGTAATCCTCAAAATCATACATCTTGCAAGATCAAAGAGATCAGAAAAAGAACACGAATTAGCAACAAACCAAAAAAATAATTGATTTCTGTTTTTGAAAATCTTGTAAAGACTATTCAAATTTGATGGGTGTGTGTGTGTGTGATCATGTGTATTCAACTTCAAATGTCAATATCTGTACATTCCCCAACAACACATGACACACTAGAAACTATCCCACGTACAAGATAACTAGTAGTGGTAAGTAGGTGTCGAACCCATGGAAAGAGCTAAACAAGCTATAGTATTTACAAAAGTACAAGTGATGGGATCATGGGTAAGGATATGTTAGATAAGATGCGTAGAATTATAGATCATATTCATTTTAATTACTGCTCCTGTCAGCACAATGGGCTATTCCATTTTATGATAAAAGTCTCTAAGCTAGAAAGGTTTCACAGAATTAATCGTTAGGAAGCTATGTGTCCTTCGCAAATTAGCTTTAACAATTGGTCCATTATAGCAACGAGTCGTATAATTACTTACTTATTCAGTAGCTATATGCTCCAAGCCTTTTATTTTTCTTTAATTGTTCTTACAACATAATGACATATGCTAGCTCCAAGCTTAAAAAAGGTTTTTTCCAAGCATTTCCACAACACAAATTGTTAGGTATGGCCGTATGGGAAAGTCTACGATCAAGGATGAATATTAAGTTTTGATTATTAGCGTTAATATCTCTCCAAGTGATGAGATTTTAAGGATCTAGTCTTCTTCTTCTTCATAAATCAACCTCTAACAATGAGAAATTTTTAGAAATACACATTTTGAAAATCATTTGCTATTTCTAAAGTCTTTTAATAAGTATTTGAACATTTTGGAGCATGCATGTCCCATCCAATACTGCAATAGACTTATCCAATTCAACCGAAAGAATAGCTTCAAATCTGATGAATAAATAGACAGAGAGAGGCAACACAAACTCTCTCTTGTAATCATTTATACTAATCACTCTAAACAGTAAACACACAAGGTTGATTTTTTAATTTATTTTTAAATACGACGCTCTTAAAGTTGTGGACCACGCCCTCTCATTTGGTCGTCGGGGCTCTGACTTTTCCATTTTCGCTTATTGTCTTCGCGAAGATAGAGAGAAACAGAGTCGAGATCTCAAAGCTCGGGCCTTTCTTTATTTTACACACACACATGACTCAAAACCCTAGAAAGGGATGAGAGAATTCATCCTCGATTTTGAATACATCGCCGAAGGATTCTCTTGGTACTTTCTTCTCCTCTTTGACTTCTTCTCTGACCTCTTCATCGCAATCTCCCTCTTCTTCTTCGCCCTAATCACAGACTTCTCATCTTTCCTCTTCTGCCTCAATCTGATTTCTTAAAATCCTCCGATGGGTTTAATCAAGAACACAGTCCACTACTGCTGCGTCTCCAGAGACAATCAGATCCTCTACGCTTACAACGGCGGAGACCAGAGCAACGAAAATCTCGCGTCTTTGTGTTTGGAAAAGTCTCCGCCTTTTCACAATTGGTACTTCGAATCCATCAGTAAGAGGAGGTTCGGGTTCTTAATCGGAGATGGGTTTGTGTATTTAGCCATTGTTGATGAGGTTCTAGGGAAAATCAGCGTCCTTAAGTTTCTAGAGCATCTCAGAGACGAGTTTAAGAAAGCTGCGAGGAAGAATAACATTAGAGGAAGCTTCACTGCGATGATTGGCTCTGTTAATGTTGAATACCAGCTTGTTCCTGTTGTTTCCAAGCTCATAGCTTCGCTTGAGCGTGATGCTGAGGCTGCTAACAACGATTTGAAGACTAGTAGTCTTGTTGAGCAGACGAATTCGACTAAAGCTCATGTGAAAGCTTTTGGGGAGGTTAAACAACAAGCAAGAGAAGAAGAAAGGGAAAGATCATGTGATCTCACTTAGAGGCATTGAGCTTGAAGAAGAACATAGGAAGTCTAATGATAGAGGTCACAGCGATGGTTCGTCTGCAGCAGCGACGTGGTTGCAGAGCAGAGGACGTTCTTCTGGCTCTCAGAGCTTTGAATGGAAGTGGAGGCGTTTAGTTGACACTGTTTAGTGGAGGCGTTCAGGTTGTGCTTGCTGTTGATGCAGCTATTTGGTTGACACTGTTTGGTATTTGGTTGGCTATTTGTCAGAGAGTCAAGTGTACACGTTAAGGACTTGTTCCGTTCTGCAGCATTGTTTGATTTGTATTGAAAACTATTGAGGCTCAAGTTCTTATTTTGGCTTAATGTATTAACTTTTAAGTCAAGTCTTTGTACAGATATGTACAGTTAGAGCTGCGTTGTTCTCTGTTCAGTGTTTTTTTTTATTTTTTATATGATATATGATCAATATTAGTCTCTGCAAGCTCTGATAAGTAACAACAACATGTAACAGCTAGTTTGCATCACATTGATACTTCATTTGCTGGGAATTTTGGCATTAGCATCAGGTAGTATCACTACTTGAGGGATCAATTTTTAGAATGAATTGATAAGTATTGGCATTCACATTGAGTGTATTGAGCTACTCAATCACACAAGTTTTAGACTTTGAGATATGAAATAAAAAGGAATCAATCAATGCAGGAAGATAAAAGTAGACTAAACAAGAAACGAGATTCACGTCATAATGGTAACTTCATTCATAACGATGATATTAAAAATATCTGAACAACAAGTTACTAAAAATAGAGAAGAGAAGCAGTACTAATCTTGTTAATTACCCATTCATACAAGTTACTAGACCAAAAACCTCCAAAGAATCGCCTGAAACTAAGAGATACTGTGCGTGTAGATCAATCAAGTTATAGTCTCAAGAGTGGGAAGAAACTTTGTCAGAGACAGAGAGCAAGAGGAGAGCTACTCTGTGCCATGGAAGGAGAAGAAGGAGGAGGAGTGACAAGAGCAAAACAGAGGAGACCTCCCCACCTGAAACACCAGATACTGATGTTGTCGTTCTGTTTCAATCCATTAGCCGTTACGACATCGTTCCATCCGCAAGTCAAAGCATAGTTCCAGCTTCCATTCCCTGAATCTTTCTTCATCTCCCATCTTTTCAACATGACACCATATTTCACGTTCTGTTCATCCACAAGAATCGCTCCAACTCCTCTCTTGTTAGCACGTTGTCGATGTCTTCTCTTATGACTCTCAGCTCCGAAGGTGTCAAGAAGTCTTTACAGATGAGTTCGTTGAAAGGCATAGAGAGACGGCTCTCACCAGGAGTCACATCTGTTTTGAACAGCTTCCTCTGAAAAATCAGCTTCAGTCTGTCCTCTCTCCCCATTTGTTACAGACTCGTTCTTGTCTAGCATCAAATCGATTAGCGACTCAGGAGTCTCTCTCCCTATCCATGAGTACGTATCATCAAGCTCGCCTTCTTGGATTTAACAACAGCACGCTTGTTATCTTGCAGGGCACGTCTCTTGCGGCTCTTCTTCTCTGTTAGGCACGAAGACAGAGACAATTGGGAATTAGGGTTTCGTGGGATTCTCATCGTAGTCTTGTAATCTCCGAGAAAGGGTGAAGAAGGAGAAGAAGCAAGATTAGGGTTTTGTGGGTCTTTTCTCGGAATCATCAGCCGGGATCGTGTTAAGGTCGAGAAGAAGCGATGACGAAGAAGAAGAAGAGTGCCATTGAAGAGGGTTTCGCGGGTAAATCATCATCGCCGTCTTCTCCGGCTCAGCCGTGATCTTGTAATCTCCGAGAAGCGATGGAGACAAAGAAGAAGTAGAAGCACCATTGAGATTCTGATAGTTTTGTTGTGGGTTTCTTCTACTGGTAACAAATTTCTCCACCGAAGATCTTGGCTTTCTCGGGAAACGATGGAAGATTCTCTCGTCGCTTTCTTCTTTCGCTTCTTCGTAGAGCATAACGGCGGCATCAACCAAACAGAGGAAATTACGCGATGTCATGTCCTTCTCCGCAACGGCTACAAGATCACTGTAATACATGATCGATGATCGGACCTAAAAACCTAAACTTTGAGAGCAATAACTTGAGGAGGAAGAAGAAGGAAATTAGAATGAGAGAAATTGCGAATGAACGAATGTGAGAAAGAAAATGCCTCTCGTGCTCTCTTATATAGTTAAGCCCTCTGCTTACACTTTTTTCCTTTTTCCATTTTTCCGTGGAGCTTAGGGGTTTAATCATTGTGATTAGAGTCACTAACTATCTTTGCTTGTTGGAAATTTTCTTTTTCGTTGATAAAAATTCTAACGTTCGAAAAGTGACGTCATAATTACGGTTTAGTCCCAATTTGAATTTAGAATTTCCTTTTCTACCAAGGTAGTATTTCACTAGGAAGCTTCTGAGCTTTTTTTTTTTTTTTTTTTTTTCTCAGGGTTGTTTCGTTAATTGTAATAGTTAAATACACAAGAAATCACATTGAGCAAACCAGAGGAAAATAAATTATCGAACCAAGCTACAAACCCAATGAAAAATAACCACAATAAATTTTTGGTTGTATTCTGGCTTTGTTTATGAAGAATCTTTTCAGAGAAACACTTGCAAGAAGTTAAGTGAAAGTGAGGCTGATGTAGTGATGTGTAAAGGAGATGTACTGGCTTAGTCTGAAGATGATTTTGATGCAAGTACCAAGTCAAGTACGATGGAGTCTTCTGCAATTAGGGAAGTTCTTGCAGAGTGATCCATAGCCGACGTTGACATCATATAGGTTAAAGATTTGATGTGAAATCGGCTGAAAAGAAGTGTCTCAGTCGTATCACATGTTATGCTGATGGGAGAGACAGATTCAAAGGTTGATAGTCCTGATCTGAGCCACAAGCTGGTTTACAACTCAAGTGGACATGGGAATGTTGATGGCTCGTCAAAGCAGTGTGGCTTGTTTACACAGCTAGAGTGCATTGAACATGGTGTCTAGCTCATTGATGGTGGATTTCTAAGGGGGCCCAACTCACGAGTTAGAAAGGCTACTAATGTGCAGAAAGTTGCAAAATTTTGTCGTATGAAATATGATTGGTGACATTCCAAGCACTTTGGAAGTAACACTTGAGTGAGTGAGTAGAAAGGTTTTGATTGTTTTGATCATTTTGGAGGAATGTATCAAAACACTTCACACTCACACAGGTTTAGTATTTGAGATAGACTACAAGAAAACCAATGCAGCAAGTAATGTAGACCAGCAAAGAAACGAGATTCATGTGAAAATGTTAACTTCATTCATGCGACGATGGTAACGAGATCTCTGAAACAACACAAAAGACAAGTTACAGCTAAAAGAATAGAAGGGGAGCACTAAAACGGCAGGCTGTGTGTTTTCAAATAATAGAAGGGCGGAAACGCCGGAAAGTGTGAAACTTAACAAAGTCCCACATCGGTTAAAAGAAACAAAGGAGGCTTTGGAAACTTGGTATAAATAAGAGACTCGATGGAGCGTTAAAATTACTTACCTGGACGGTGTCGACTCGGGATCATGAAGACGAGTGGCCTAGGCTAGTGACTTCCATTGCACATAAAGGAAGGGTGCTTAGCCTAAGGTCTTCCCATGTGGAAGAGCCTGCGTCATTATTTGTGGCAGAGGGGGTTTGCGTTCGCGCAGCCCCTACCATATTCTTACAGTCTTTAAAGTTTTCATCTGACCTGAAATAACCTGAGATCGTTAAAGATTGTTGGGATCCGGTTGTGATTTTTGAGTAGTTTTTGAAAGTTACTCAAATTTGAAATATGAATGTTACATGTTAAGATAGTGATTGTTCTTGCTCTGAAATAGAATTATAGAAATAAGAATAGCAATGTTGTCATTAGTTCTATAAATGACCATTGTCGACTGGTGACAATGAGATTAAGAGCAAGTTTTTCTTATACTAAGCTAAGTGTTTACTCTTTGATATTCAAATTAGTATCAGAGCTTTAGGTGAGTGTATGTGGATCGATTTGCGTAACCAAGCCATGAGAGACGGACGATACACCACCTCATCATCCCGATCTAATGTCCAAATGGTGTTGTTTTTATGCTATTGTCTTCTTTAATTTCTATTTTTTTTTTCATTCTACTAAAATGTTGATGATAAGTATGCTTGATCATTTAAAAAAAAAATTATGTTATTTTATTAAATAATTGTTAAAAAATAACATAAGTGGATATTCAATTAGAAACTCAAAATGTAAAATGTATTTTAACAACTAATGGTAAAATGATACTCATCTTTTTCATAATAAATGTCGTTTTGACTCTTGACATACCCAATGTATCTAAATATATATGGATGTATTAAGACTCAAAACACATCACAATACATTAATAAATAGTCCAGATTCATTTTGTCAAAACGACACTTATTATGAAACGGATGGAGTAATTAAACATATTTAAAACATTGTTTGTTTTTGACATCATTTAAAATATTGTTTTGAAGAGAAAAATAAAAACAAACTGACAGAAATTTGCCTTAATTTTATTATCCATTAGAAAAAAAAAAACAATTTGACAGAACATCGGACTTAAATCTTAAGTTTTGTGCCGGTGCGACATCACTCCTAGTGTGGTAAATAGATGGCCACAGTTTCTCTTTCTCATCGTCTCCTCCACACCAATTCAGCACTTAGGCACTTACCATTTTACCAGTAAACAAGAACAAACTCTCTTAAGCTTTCTCCGTTTATTGTGCCCTCTCGGCAAAGCAAAGGAATGTTCTCAAGCGGTAACGTCACCGCTCGGATTTTCGAGCGCCAAATCGGCTCTCCTCCTCCCGGCGCTTCCGTCAGTCAATTCTCTCTCTCACTCTCTCTCTGAATCATTTTCTCTTCTCCGCTGGAATCTTATCTAAACAATTGCAGGTGAATCGAGCAAGACACTTCTACGAAAACCTAGTCCCAAGCTTCACTCTCTACGACGTCGAATGTCCCGATCACTGTTTCCGCAAATTCACAGAAGACGGACTCTTCCTCATCAGCTTCAGCCGCAATCACCAAGAGCTTATAGTTTATCGCCCCTCTTGGCTCTCCTACTCCACCGATTCCGAAGACAATCCTCCTCCTCTGCCTCGCCGCGCCTCGAAATTCGACAGCTTCTTCACTCAGCTCTACTCCGTCAATCTCGCCTCCGCGAACGAGCTCATCTGTAAAGACTTCTTCCTCTACTTCCACGCCCACCGATTCGGCCTCTTCGCTACCTCCACCGCTCAGATCCATGATTCGGCTCCTTCTCCCGGAGCTGTTCCCGGAGTTCCTTCGATTGATAAAATCACTTTCGTGTTGCTCCGATTAGACGACGGTGTGATCCTCGACGAGAGGGTTTTCCTCCATGATTTCGTCAATTTGGCTTATAACATGGGGGTTTTCCTCTACGACGATCTCCTCGCGATTCTGTCGCTGCGGTATCAGAAGATTCATCTTCTTCAGATTAGGGATTCGGGTCATCTCGTCGACGCTCGTGAAATTGGCTACTTTTGTCGTGAAGACGATGAGCTCTTCCTCAATTCTAATTCTCAGGCAAGCCAAGTTACAGTATCTTCTTCTCACTTCTTTTTCTCTGTAATCGAGGACACAAAGTTTGAGGCTTTTTGAGGTTTTGATGATGTAGATGATGATGACTCAAGATAAGAACAAACAGCAAAGTTTATCTGGGAACAGGGAAGATGATGCTGAGAATGGGTTGCATCAAAGCCTACCAAATGCTGAGAATTCGTTTCTTAGTGGCATCAAGCAACGGCTACTTTCATTCATCTTCAGAGAGATTTGGAATGAAGAATCGGATAACAAACTGGTTTGTTGCTCTTGAACTCCTCTATGCCTTTATGCAATTGTTCTTGATATCATAAGCTTACGTCTTCGATGCATAGTGTTTGTATCTGATAATCTGTTACTGCTTCCTCTCAGACTGTTCTACTCCTTTCTCTCTTTGATTTTGATGTAGTGTAGGCAATTACTGTAGCTGATAGGTTTGATGCAGCATGTTGCATTGAAATAGTATCAGTCAAGTACATTTTTGGAATGAAGTAATTGAAAGACACGTTTTGATTTGCCAGAGAGTTCAGAATTTGAAGAAGAAGTTCTATTTCCATTTCCAGGATTATGTCGACTTGATTATCTGGAAGGTAAATTATGTGTTTCATGCTACTGGAAGCTGTGTCAGTGTTTGCATTTGATGAAAAAAGCGCCTAACTTTGTGGCAATTCTTGATTCACAGGTTCAGTTTTTGGATAGACATCACCTGCTAATCAAATTTGGCAGTGTAGATGGTGGGGTAAGCTCTCTATAACACACATTCTATGTTGCATTGGACTGACAATTCGATTGATTAGATTTATGATGTTGATGGATAACACAGGTAGGAAGAAATGCTGACCATCTTCCAGCTTTCTTCGCCGTGTATAATATGGAAACAACTGACATTGTAGCATTCTATCAGGTAAAATGGATATGATTTTGGTCGGTTAATTTGTGGGAAATGGTAATTACTTACTTAGTACTTGCATTGATTGATGTAGAACTCAGCAGAAGATCTTTACCAGTTATTTGAGCAATTCAGTGATCACTTCACGGTATCAAGTAGCTCACCGTTCATGAACTTTGTAACATCGCATTCTAACAGCGTCCATGCTCTTGAACAACTCAAGTACATGAAGAACAAAGCAAACATTTTCCCTCAGGTTGGTAACATCTTTGTATCATCTCCTTTTGTAAGTAGTTTTTGATATCTAATCAAATTTCTCTACACAGTTTGTGAAGAAGATGTTGGTCTCATTGCCTTTCAGTTGTCAGTCACAAAGTCCCTCCCCGTATTTCGACCAATCTCTCTTCCGGTTCGATGAAAAGGTAACCAGCTTAAACCTTTTATTCTCTTCGGTTTTCAGGATTGAATTTGGTCGGTTTAGCTTAATTTCGGATATGGTTTACAGTTGATTTCCGCGGCAGATAGGCATAGACAATCCTCGGACAATCCAATCAAGTTTATATCTCGAAGGCAACCACAAACCTTGAAATTCAAGATAAAACCAGGTCGGTTTAGTTCTTTGAGAAAACGAAAAACCGGACCAAAACATGATTTTTAACTTTGAGATTGTGTCTATCTATGGAAATGGAACAGGACCAGAGTGTGGAAGTGCAGATGGTAGAAGCAAGAAGATATGTTCATTCCTGTTTCATCCTCATTTACCACTTGCCATCTCTATTCAACAAACACTTTTCATGCCTCCTTCTGTCGTCAATATCCATTTTCGACGATGACACTGTTGTTGTAATCTATTTGTTTTGTTGTAGAAGAAAAATATCTCAAAACATCCACACAAAAAAAAGTTCACACTTACATGCAGCAAGTCCTTTTGTATCTATATCCTGAAAAAAGAAAACCAAGTTTTGATCTCCATTTTGTAACTAATCAAGTGTTTTTCTTCTTCTTTATATTCATATGTATGCATGTGTTGATAGACTTTATAGAAACTGTTATTATTTTTGACTTCAAAATCCAACGTTTTGTCACGTAAGTCTACAAATATCAGTGGATCTTTAAGGACTTAAGATGAGAGAAGGATTCATGTCTGTATCACCTGAGTTTCTAGCTTCAGTCTCCTCACTTGAGTACTGACTATTCAGAGAAGCTAATGACTGAATCTGGTAAGTCTCAGAGCTAAAACTTGTGCTGCATCCGGAGTTTCCGATCTCAGACTGATCAGAAACTTGAACTCCAGAAAGTAAGAACCTTTGGTGGGAATTGCAAACGTGAATTGCTCCATCGCAGTCATCGCATAGCAACGCTCTGTCCTCTAAGCAGAAGAAGTATCCTTTTCTCTCCTACACATTACATGTTTTTTGAGTCATTGGTTAAAGAACTCTGAACTGTATGGACTTAAAAAGAGAAAACAGAATCAAAAACCTGACAGATATCACAGAGAGGAGCTCCAGAGTTTGTGGTGGCTGTCTTCTTCTGTAGTGCGACTCGGTGATGCCTTTGGAAAATTTTATTAGCTTCATGAACCTTAATGTCACATGGCTTGCAAAGAACAGCTTCATCTGAACAGCAAAGTACTTCTGCTTCAGCCTTCTCACACACTTCACATAGTATCTTCATCAATCCTTCAAAAGGTGACAATACAAAGACAGAGCAAATGTTTTCTTGATATTAGTGAGAAGTAAGACAGATGAATAAGAAAGAAGAAACTTGTATAGGTTCACATGCTTGAGGTTTATACCAACTTTGTTGGCTGGCATTAAAATCAAAATAAATGTTCTCTTACCAAAATCTCCATGACAAGATTCTTCAGAAGCTTGTACTTGTTCCTTCTGTAACATAAATTAACAGACACAACGACAAGCTTCTCTTAATACATAAGCATGGCAAGCCAAAAGTAGTGAGAGGACCACAATAGATTTGGGTATAAAGTTAATAAGCCATAGGCAACTGAAATCAAAAACTGTAAAATGGAGCATGGCACATTCACAATCTTCCCATCCCTTTCCCATGCAGCAGACAAAGCTCTAAAGACTCGTCAGCATTCTCATCTTTTGAGTTCTGACTTCCATGAAAAACAGTTTTGGTACCAATCTATAACAATGGGCCTGAATAGAGTACCACATCATGGGCTAGTCCAGCCCAATTTCGTCATAGTTACATGAAGTCTCTGGAACATGAGAGAAGACCCCTCAAAGACACAACAACAACCAATCCAACGTGTAATACCATAATTAGTGTGACAAAGTCCATAGCCAGAAGCTAGAACAATCCAAATATCTCTACAAAGCTCTACCAAAAGATCTTTCAAGAACCTGGAACATTCTTGATCAAATGTGTATATATATACACCAGAGAATTGGAGCTTACCATCACAAAAACTAAGAAGCAAGTAATCTCAAGTGAAGTTAAAAAAAGGCCAACCACTAACAAATATGAAGCATTTGCCTTACTTTACACTCTTAAGCCTCTTCTTAGGAGCTCTGTTTCTTGCAAACATCAAACCAAACGAAGGGTCTTTGTCTTCTTCACTCGACACTCCTGGAAGCTTGCTATCCGATCTCTGGCTAGACCGGTTTCCCGATCCATTCAAGATCTTGGAGAGAATCCCACTAGAGCTCGAGAGGGACCAGAGCGTGGCTCTGTCTCCAGCGAGAGTGGACTGGAAAGAAACATCAGAAGGGCATGAGATAATGCTCGATGTACCCGGTTTGAAGAAGGATGAGGTGAAGATAGAAGTGGAAGAGAATCGTGTTCTAAGAGTCAGTGGAGAGAGGAAAAGAGAAGAAGAAAAGAAAGGAGACCAATGGCATAGAGTTGAGAGATCGTATGGTATGTTCTGGAGACAGTTCAAGCTACCTGATAATGTGGATATGGAATCTGTTAAAGCCAAGCTTGAGAACGGTGTTCTCACTGTTAAACTCGCTAAGCTCTCCCCTGAAAAGGTCAAGGGTCCAAGAGTTGTTGACATTGCAGCTGAAGAGGATCAAACTGCAAAGATCAGCTCTTCTGAAGCCAAAGAGCTCTGATTGAATAATCTATCTAAGCATCTGTCTTTTACTTGAGTGTCAAGAGTGTTAAAAATCCAAGATTTGAGTTTATAATGTGTGAGTGTGATCTATCTACGAAAATCTGTGTAACCTCGTTTTCTGTATAACTCTATGCAATAAAAACTACTTGCTGTTCTTTGAAAAAATCTTTGCCTTGCACAAATCAAGCTAGTTTCTTGACATATTCACAATGGTTTGTTTTGAGTCTCATTCTTGGGAACTCTTATTATCTTTCTGTTCATAGCACAAGGCTCTTCTTGAAACAAGTAGAAACTATGATCTGAATCGTTGTTTCCTTTACTCTCACGCTAAGTTAGATAACTGGTGTTTATGTGTCTGTCATGAAACACAATGTTGTTCATTGGGAGAAGACAATGACAAGTGAACTAGATGCTTTAGCAAGAGCAATAAGCTTGAATGAGAACGATGATCTAACATCAATGGATTTTTAAAGAACATCATTCATGACATCAAATGAATCGATTGAGGAAGCAACTTGAAACTAGGTTTATTCTGATAACAGAGAAAGAATCCAAGAAATTGACCAGAGCCAATAGTCCAAAAAGTGAAGAAAGAAAAGAAGCATGAGAGTACCATTTGAGAAAGAACAAGAAAGCTTTAAAAACTATTTGGACTTAGATTTCATGAGCTGTTGAGCATCAGCTGGAGTGGGAAGTGCAGGAATAGCTCCTTTCTGAGTTGTACACACAGCTCCACAAGCATTTGCAAATGCAAGAGATTCCTTCAATTTCCCTTCATCCTGAAACATTTCATTAAACAAACACACAAACTCAGTCCATAAAAATATGCCTAATATAACCAAAGACCTGAAAAGAAAAATGTAATCTCGGCTTAACTTACTTCAAGAATGGAGCCATCTTTTCCCAATGATACAAGAAAAGATCCAACAAAAGAATCACCAGCTCCAGTTGTATCAACTGCCTTCACAGCGTATCCAGGCACTTTCCCTTTGAATTTCTGCATTACAAAAACTCTGTTTTAGATCACTCCAAAAAGGCACAATATCATCATCATGTTTTGTTTTACCTTTGTGTAGTATCTGCAACCTTTCTCTCCATCAGTTACAATAAGCAGCTTCAGCTTATCATGCATCAGAGTCAAAACAACCTCATCCTTCTGTGCATCTCCTCTGGTGAGGAACTCTACCTCGTCATCGCTTACCTTGATGACATCAGCTTCATTCCAGATGCTTTTGATGCCTTCAATGGCAGCTTCAGTGGAAGGCCAAAGAGGCAACCGAACATTCGGGTCGTAAGAGAGTAAAACCCCTGCATCTTTAGCTGTTTTTATGGCAGCCATGTGAGCTCCTCTACAGGGCTCAGAGATCAAGCTAATGGAGCCGTAGTGGAAAATCTTGGCTTTCTTGATGAGATCTTTGTTGAGCTCAGATTCTTTCAAGAGCATATCAGCACTAGGGTTTCTGTAAAACATGAACTCTCTCTCTCCATCTTTCTTCAACGTCACAAAGGCTAAAGCAGTTCTTGCATTCTTGTCGAAGCAAACTCCTTCGCTGTTTACACCGTTTTTCTTCAAAATGTTCACAAGCATATGTCCAAACTCATCATCACCAAACTGAAAAAGAAAAAAAAAATCACTCTGCTTCATCAAATCAATCTACAAACAATAAGATAGTTTATTGTAGAGTAGGTATATTTTCAAACCTTGCCGATGAAAGCAGATTTGCCACCGAGTTTTGAGATGGCACAGGCAACATTAGCCGGAGCACCACCGGGGGCTTTGAGAAAACCGGTGGACTCAGCTAGAGAGACACCAGAAGTGTCAGGGACAAAGTCGATAAGCATTTCACCAAAGGAAACAATCAATGGAGCAGTCATCTTTTGTGGAAGTAAAGTTCCAATCTACTCAAAACAAGAAATGTTAATTAAACACAAAAGAGAATCAAGAATCGTCTCTTTATTAAGGTGGAGAATGTGCAACAGAAGGCATGTAAAGTGGGAGAAGAATTAACAAAATCCCTAAAATGCTGTAAAACTCAGTCTAAACTTTGACTGTTAAAAACAAATAAAACCATCTAAATTAAGGACAAAACTATTATCTTTAATCGAGTAAAGATCACTACTTTAATATTTGATCACAATGTAACAAATCTTAAGACTTTAATAAATCTTGCATTTGATCAAGTATAGATTAAGCTTTGGATCAAGTAAAGTTTAAGACTTTAACAAATCTTCTGTTGAGGGTTTAAAACTTGAATCTATCTGGCAACTTCAAGTTCTTGATTTAGTTGCAGTACCTAGAAATGTGATTTTAATTAAGCTTTTGGCGATCTCAAAAATGAAATGAAATTAATCATTAGTTCAAGAGTCATACAAAAGCTTTGCTTTTTTTGTAAAGTGCCCATTAATTGGATCCTAATTAACATCACAAATTTTCATTGAAATTTAATTGCTTGTACTAATTAACCCCTAATGGCATTTTTTTCTGTTGAATTGAAAGCTTTCTCATTGTTTCAAACCAAAACTGAATTAAAATTTCATATCTTCAAAGTCATCGTCATACAAGTAAATACACTATACATTATACACTAATCAATTAGGACCCCAACAGCTCAAATACATGACCGTTCTAAGCGATTCTTCAGCTTTCTTGGCCTTTTCACTATCACCAGAAGAGTTCACGGCGGCGGCGACAGACGATGAAAACCTTTTTCCCTGAGAAACAGATCTCATGTTGTTTCTTAAATGCTGATTCGCCGACCTGAGTATGTAGTTCCATCGACAAAGACCCAATTGGTCTTTTAACGCCTCTACAGCTCCGATGCTTACAGCCACCGTCCACGCTTTGCTTGTAGAACTCATCTTCTCTCTTGACTTTCAGTTTAGCTTGAGGATTCAAAGAAGTGTTTTTTTTTTTAGTTCTGTGATTTGGTTTTGGATCTTGAGTATTGATTGTGTTTGGTGATATTGATGATTTAGAAGAAATGAAATCGAATGATATATAGAAGGAAGAAGCTAACAAAATCGCCGTAAGGTTGGAGTTAGAAACCGGAAGCTTTTGCCGCTGGTTTTGTTCGTTACTACCGTCTGGATTGTTAAATGACGTCTTTGTCCTTTCAAAACAAAGTGGATAAGGGGCAATATTGGGTATTTGCTAGCTCATGGATTACAACGAGTACCTGGTTTTGGGATTGGTTTGGTTATCGTGTTCGGATATGTTTATTTTTTATTTTTTTTTATTAGCTAAAATTAACAAAATAACTTTTAATCAGTTTGATTTTCTCACGACCAAAAAAAAAAAATCAGTTTGATTTTCTTTATTTGTTTGTTAATTCACTGTAATCATTTAGACAAACAAGTTTGTAATCGATTAACATCTATACGACATATGGTCGACGCATGCAAACTTGGTTTGCAAATCTTTGAAGAGCTGCCTAGTTTCATTTTTGTTGTGATTAGCTTTAGAAAAGTTTCAAAAGTTAGACAAGAAGCCTTTATTGTAACAAGGGTTTATTTCATTTAATTTTACATTTAACTAAGAAAAAATGAAGTTGATCACTATGGAGACGCCAGCTTCTCCATTTGGTTCACGGTTACGTGGTGGGGTGTTCTAACTTACAAGCAGAGTCTCGTGTACAACAAGAAAGTGAGGGAAAAGCCAGTGAAGACTGATTGGCTCTGGCTCATGACCTAATATTACCTTCATAAGGATGTCTTGGATGATTTGGATCTTGTATTGGACTTGGAAGAAATTCAAACTTGAGTATGTTGACTAGGTGCCTTCAGGTGGAGAACAACATCTTGATATCTTATCAAACAACAAGATATCAAGATCTAGATACACTGATTGATCTTCTTCTGCAATGACAACAACAATATCAGTTGCTGGGATGGTTTTGGTTTTAAGGGCGCAAAGGATATGATGTTTTACGTCCACGAATTCATAAATATGGTAGGTGACCTCACTCCACAACACCAAGAAGAAGAAACACAGTTACAACTGCAACTGATTCCTCAAGCTCAAGATCAAGGAGCATTTTTGTTTTGATGGCTTCAAGTCAAAACCATATGTACAGTTCAAATTCAAATTCAAATTCAAAAGTATAAAATTTATTGTTTTAACAGAAAAAATCTAGGCAGTTAAAATTTAGAAAAAGGTGTAAAATAAACCAAATTATATATAAAAAAATGATAAGTTTAAGATTTTATTTTCGATTATCTTGAAAATAAAGTCAACATCAGGATATCCATTTTTTTCCTTTTTCTAGTATTAAAGTATTTAGCACTGCATTAAGTTAAAACGCTTTTATTTCTAAATATAAAATTTTCTGAGGTAATACGAAAAATTAGGGCAATATAATAAGATAAAATCAATAAATGACCCCAAAGTTGATAAACATGTAGATATTACGTGTGGAAAACCGTGTAAAACTTAAGTGAAAATCAAAACACAAAGGGAATATAAGTTGTATGTCCCAATCACAAACGAAACAGGAGTGACAGTGGCCAATATAAATAGAGAGCAACACCTCTGCAAACGAAATCAACTAACGAAAACAAAATAAACCCTGATCAGATATTCAGAGAGAAAAGAGAGATCACCATGACAGAACCTTTGTACGTCGACGAAAGTTCATTGAAGGACGTCCGTGTTCTTGGCCGAGGAACCTACGGTTCCGTCTCCCTCAAGGTGCATCCCGACAATTGTCGATTTTACGCCAAGAAAACATCTTCAGTCCAACTCAAGGAGCATCTCGAGAAAGAGCTCAGGATCATGCTTCGTTTACGTAACCACCCTCGCATCGTCCAAGCCTCAAGCCCTCATCTTCACTTGGGAACAACCGAACCTCAAGATTGCTACATCTACATGGAGTATGCTTCCGAGGGCACTCTACGCAAGACAATCTCCAGTTTCCGTGGGAAATCACTACCTGAGTATATGATCCAAAGGCTTGTTCGTATGATATTACAAGGACTTGACGCTCTTCACTCACAGGGTTACGTTCACTGCGACCTCAAGCCAGAAAACGTTCTCCTCTTCCCTTCCACTAATCCTGGAGAGCCGTGGGATGTCAAGCTCGCTGATTTCGGTTTATCCAAGGAGCCTAATACGGATCCTTCACATCTTTGTGGCACGCCTCAATACATGTCACCGGAGTCTTCCGGGCCAAACAGAATGATCGATCCAGCTCTTGACATATATTCTCTAGGGTGTGTTGTTTATGAGATGTTTGGAGCTAAACCCTACCTGGAGATATATGAAGATTACTACGAGTGGAACCTGTTCCAACCTATCTCTCCGGCGGCTAAAGATTTTTTGATTCGGTGTCATGCACGGCATCCAGTACACAGGGCCGAGGCTGAGCGATTTAACTATCCGTTAAGGGCAACAGCGGCTGAGCTCTTGAAGCATCCTTTTGTTACGCAGAAACTCTCTGTTCCATTGCCACCGACAAGTCAACAAGAAGATTGGAGGCAGGGGACAAAAACATCTTCGGTGACTAAGGCGGCGGTTTAGGTTCGGTAGATTAGAGTCATTAGGTTTCGGTTGAGTTGTCTTTGTGATTGTTGCATGAGCAAGTAAAAAAACCACAAGGCAGTTTTAAGTTTTACTAGTAGTTGAGTGCGCCAAGTTTAAGTCTTCATCTTTTATCAGAGATTATTTTCAGATTTAATATATGAAATTTATCTCAGTTTTATTTTTGGTCAAAGATCAAAATTTATCAAGTACTCGATCGTTACGTTTTTTGGTTGATTTTTACTGTGATTATGGTTGATTTCTGTAAAAAGGGATTAGGGTAAGGTGACCAAAAGAAGAGGATTATGGTGATCTACAAACTATGACACATGACAGCTAGTTTTTAACAATTTATTACACGTAGATCGACTCTATACATACAATAATCAGTATAATAAAACAAATGGTACAGTAAACCAAGCAACATGGCAAATCGTGATGAAGAGAAAAGTGATTAAAAACATTACAAGGGAATAAAATCGAAAATAAGCTATAGTCGTGTATATAAATATATTTCTACAATTTTTAGAAGTAATAAAATTATTTGGACTACTAGTTTTTATCATTTAATATTTTAAGAAATTTAAAAGAAAACGATTAGAAGATAAAGGAACAACAAAAAGGAAATTACACAAGATAGGAAAAAAAAGTGAGAGCAAATATGAATGTAAGTGATAAGAAGAAAAAGATGACGAAAGGACCTTTGAGTCCACACAAAAAGAAGTAAACAAAGATCAAGCTTTTCATAATCAGAGAGACATAATCATAAATCTCCATCAACATTGTAACACCATGAACATGAATGTGAGTGACACTAATCCTCTCTACATGATTGAGGTGTAAAACTACTCCTCTAAGCTATAATGTTTCTTCACAGCTTCAGTTATCTCCCAAACAACTTTCATGTCTTTAGGGAAGACAACCACATCTCCTTTCCCTATCTCAAACGCTTCTTCTTCTTTCTCGTATCCGTCTACATACACTTTGATCTTCCCTTCCACGAAGTACATCGTCTCTGTCTTCTTAAACGTCCATGGAAACTTGCTTGGACTACCTTCCCACCTGCTCAATGTAACATGACTCAGTCGTCACAATTCAGTCTCCTCTAGCCACAGATAAATCCAAATGTCTCAAATGTCAACATTACATGTACAGAGTTACACAAAATTTTGTTCTTTTGTACTGACTTACACAAATTTACATGTTTCAGACACAGTTAGACCCAACTAGATGAGTGTTCAGCAGATTCTTACAGTAAGTGAATTAAGCTGTCTTGAGCTAACAGTGATGAAATTCGGTAAAGTAAGGATCTATATTAAGCCATTTGGTTCCAATTACAGAGGAAATTCTGAAGCTATAATTAATCAGAAGGAAATAGAGAGAAAGGAACCAACGTGGGCCAGGTGGCGACGCCTAATTGAGCAAGTTTGGTATCGGAAGGTTGTCGGAAGATCTTGACTCCGTGAATCTCAGTGGGAATCGAAGAATCGGAAACTGAATCGTCGGAGGGTGATACAACTGCTTCTTTCGGGTTAAGCTTTGTGGTGATGAGGGAAACGCAAACGCAGACTATTACAAGGAGAAGAGACAAGGTGAGGAATTGATTTCCCATTGGACTTTGCAAATGTGAGTCTCTGGATAAGACAAAGATTCAAGCTTTTCTCAGCGATTTTCTCTTCGTATTCTTAAAGGTGGTAACTTTAACTTTACCAAATCGGAGAGCTGTATGTAGCGAAGCCTTGAAGGTTTTTTTATGGGTTTTATTTTTTAAATGATAAAAGTGGAATCTCCGAACAAACAAACAAAAAAACATTGTTGAAAGAAATGAATTCTGGCTAATTAATTATGTAGTGAAAAAAGATCCGTAGAAATTGTGTAACCAAATAAAATCCGGTTTTATAAAATTATTGCTCAGTTAAATAATTAATAAAAATAAAATCCGGTTTTTGGTTAATGCCTAAAATTGAGCAAAGTTTTTTTGAAAAATACACATTTTACCAATTACCAATTTTCACTTAGTATAATTGTTTTGAAAAAAATTGTGGTTAAATATAATCTTATTATATAAAGCTGGATGCGCACGACGTGGTTGCGACACATAGATTTTTATAAAATTCAGGATCACGACATGTGTCACTTTTAAGTTTATGTCCGTTAAGATCGTGACACATGTTCTTAGAAAAAAAAGGAGAACTTAAAAAAAAAATTCCAGATAAATGTTAATTAAAAAAAAACGAAATTTAATTTAATCTATTATATCAAAAAGGAAAAAATAATATTTGTCATATCCAAACAGAAAAAGGTTTCTAATTCATCAATTTTTTTATTATATAAAGTTGGATGCTTTTAGATAAAGGAATTTTTAAAAAAAATTAATCTATTACAGTTAAAAGAAATAAAAATATATTTGTCATATAATAGAGAAAGGTTTTCCATTCATCAAATTAATATTATCCAAACAAATAATAAAATCAAAATAATGTAATAAATAAAATCTATTTGTATAATGAAATAAATAATGTTATGTAAACTAAATTTCATATAACTGAATAGGTTACTTGAATCCCTATAAAAGAGAGTCAAAGTTTCTCAATCATAAATTCATCAAAGCAAATTCATCAGATCCCTTTGATTCTATTTCTCCAATTAAAAAATCATGTTTTTGACAGTTTTGCGATACATATGATTTTTATAACTCACAAAATTGTGACATTTGTTTTAGAAAAAAAAATTATGAAAGTATGAAGATCGTAACATGTGTCATAGAATAAAAAAAAAAATTAATATGTATAAGACTAAATAAAAATTAGAAAATCAGATAAAAATAATTAAAATGAAAAAATAATAAATCCATTAAAAGTAATAAAAAACAGAAAACAAATAATTTAAATTCTTTTGTTACATCTATTAAGAAAAGGAAAAAAATGCATTTCGAAAAGGAAAAATATCAATATATATTATTTATAATGGTATGAGGCAAAAAAAAATTGAGAAAGAAAAAATATAAATAGAAAACTAACAAAATAATATTCAAGCAATTAACTAAAATTAAAAAATTATAATCGATATTCTAATTTTAAATAGTTTGATTTTCAATTTTTGTTAGGTAAAAAAAATTGAAATAAAGATTTCATCAATTAAAATCTCTTGAATGGAATAATAAAAGTTTGATTAATTAATCAGTTGATCAGATTTAGACATGTGTAAGTGTTTATGTATTGGATAAAAATAATATTAAAACAAATTAATTCATTTTGTCATATCATAAATTCAAAAGAAAAATCAATTATAATAAAAATGTAAAAGTATTACCAATTTATTTTATTTAAATATTTTTTATCGGGTTTTCAATATTATTTTGTTTACGTTTAAAAATGATCAAATTTTGTTTAATATTTTCCATGATTTTATTATAAAATCTTAAAATATACCCGCGTATACGCGGCCTTAATCTAGTTATCAAATAAACGGCTATTTCTACATAATTATTTAGAAGAAGAAGAATCTCTAGAAGGTATAATTAGAAGAAGAAGAAGAAGAAGAAGAATAATGGTTATAAAACATAAGAAATTAAAGAAGGGTCATCAAAATGTTGATCTTAAAGTTTATTGGTTCTAAACTTCTAATTATCAAGACATACACACCCAAATATGCCAATAACCATTTTCTATAATAAAGAACTACATTTTATATATTTTAGGGATGTTAATTGCATCCCCTACTTATAAAAGATATGATTACAAGATAGCCCGATAATATAAGATACAAACTTATATATCTTAAACTTAAACCCTTATGAAGATAAATTATATCAAACCGCTTAAACTATGCCTTTAAAACTGATTAAGATTTCACAATCTCGGGCGCTCTATAATAATGTTTCTTGACATCTTCAGTTACATCCACAACAACTTTCATATCTTTAGGAATCACAACCAAGTCCCCGGCCATTAGTTCTATGATTTCTTCTTCTTTGTGATGCTCGCCTATAGTCACTTTCACCTTCCCTTCCAAAAAGTACATCGTCTCTGTATTCTTAAACTTCCATGGAAATTTACGTGGAACGCTTTCCCATCTGCTTAAGTTTTATCTCACTGGTCAGTCAACCATACATGACTTATGACTTTAACTTAAATTCCACCTATTCCAAAGGTTGATCATACCTTTCGTCTTTCGAGCACATAGGCTTATAGGAAGCCACCCCAGAACAATTTTTATGGGTTGTTTTATTTTGCAAAGAAAACAAATTTGTTTAGGTTTAGGCGTAACCGATCTTGGTGTTGTCATATTTATGTAATATAGACCTAAACTAAATGAATGTCAACAAATACTTGCATCAAGGTCTTTCCACTATGATTTTTAATCACAACTCCCACAAAAATTTAAGATCTATGGTTTTTTTTGTTTTAAAAATAAAAATCAAGCTATATCCTGGCTAAATGAAATAGCAAATGATGTAACTTGCAGGGTTAAAATCAACACTAACATTCCACAACTCTTGGCCTCTGTGAGAATAATAAATCAAATGAATTTGGTTGTTAATTTGGAAGTATTTGATCAATTTTTTTTTTTTTTGATAAAAAGTATTTAATCAATTAAGGATAAAACATTCAAAAGAAGAAGCATAGTTCTATAAATATACGCCGTTGAAACAAAGACGTAACTCTAAGAGAACAAGAACTTAAAAAGAGTTTACAGAAAACACTGACATAGGCCACGAGGCAACCCCGAGTTCAGCAAGCTTGGCATCAGAAGGTTGTCTCAAGATCTTCATTCCATGAATATCTATGGGAATCGCAGGAGCGAAAATCGAATCATAATTGAGTTCCATAGTTGAAAGAATAACTAAATGAAGAACATAAGCTAAGTGACTAAATGTGCGGTTTTGTAGAGAATGCTTAAATGGAGTATCTCATATCGTTGCATTTAATAACGAGGCCAACATTTCCGGGGATGATATCATGAAGCACACCTAACACATGCAAGTTCAGGACATGTCTATCATTTTTAATATAATCGACCCAAAGGAGACAGGACTAAAAGAGAAATATGTGGTCGCTCTTTCTAGTCCTTGTGATCAATGCCGCACCATAATTGTGGTTGTTGCCACTTGTTATCATTTTTGGCCGACGAAGATGATAATAACACATTCCAAACTTCTACTGTCTTCTATATATAAAGGACGGCAGGGAATTCATTGAGAATCCCATGTGACACGTAATTTCGACGAACTCTGATGTTGCTCCTTATCAGTAGGCACAACCTTTTTCGCATATGCTTGATTTGCATTTTCAGTATGCACAATCTTTTTTAAGCTAGCAAAGTGGCATGTTAAATTGGTAATGGACCAGATGCAAGACGATTAACATGTCGATTCAAATGTGGACGTGACAAATATAGTTTTTTCTAATAGTTACAAAATCGGTATCCAAATCTAACACCAACATCTCCACACAAAATCATGGAGATGGATTTTTTTTATTTATGTTCATAAAATGTCTGAGTTTTTTTTTATAATTTTTTTTTTCCAAATAGATATGGTGCCTGCAATGCTTGTTGCAAGGTCTACAAAGTCTTTGGAACATTTTTGCAATGCTTGTTGCAAGGTCTTGGGCCCAAAGTATGCCCATGTGTTGCTAGAATTGTAGCAGTCTTTGACAAATTCAACATTTTTTTTTCATTATACTTATGAAAAGAAATCAACTATTAGAAGAAAAATGTAGAAAGTTAATTATTTACATTGAAAAATACGTCACTAATTCATTATAAAGTAGTAGATAACTCTAGAAGATTTCATAAATGAGAAATTATTGAAAGGTTTTTTGCATTTTTAATAAAGTAATGTAATTTCTTTGTATAATAACAATTTAATTTAAATAATATACTAAGTTATGAATTTTTCTATAAAGAATCAAATAAGTGAGGCTAATTGTAAAACTTATAAATCATTTTTTTTTTTGCAATAAATTTAGTATTAGAATATATATAGAATATTCCTTTCAAGTATAAAAGAGAAAATAAAAGTACACATTAGAGATACACATTAGAGATACTCTAAGATATACTTTAGATTTACGAAGTAGCACCACTTTTTCTTGCTAATCTCGATTTGAGACACAGTGAAAAAGAGACTTTAGTCTTTTCGTTTAGCCAATGAACGTAAAGTCTTTTGGTTTTCCCGTACAAGAGTCGCATCATCGTTTCCTTCAAACCCTTAATTCCCAAAGTTTACCTTCCCTATGAAGTTTCCTTCCTTCTTCTCTCTTTAAAAATTCCCTACTCTTTCTATCTCACTCTCCTTGTCCTCCCCTAAACGCAGAGAATATCGAAATCGAAACAAGAAAGAGAGAAAAAAAATGGCTGAATCAGCGAAGAATCACATTGATAGAATTCGGAGGACCAAGTTCTCTATCGGCGGAGACGCGAATCCGTTGACGGAGGATCTTCATCAGGCCGTCAAGAATCTCTCCGCTGAGCTCTACGCCAAAGACGTCCATTTCCTCATGGAGCTTATTCAAGTATACATTTCCTCACTAGTTCCTCTGTTAGTTCTTGTTTGTTCACATTTCCCGAGAAAACCCTGGATTCGAACTTTGAATAGTTACATATTCCTGCACTATTTGTTCTACTATGCATATTGATCTGTATATTCTTTGCTAAAACAGAACCGGAACTGAATCATTCTCATTTTCTGCTTTGTTTCTTGTATTGAAGTGTCTTTATATATTCAAGTGATGGTGCCTTAATGCCTTATTTTCTTGTATACAGTAAGAATCATGTTTGCTCTTTGCACACACACTATGAACATAAATGGTATTGATTTGAAGTGTAAAATGCAACCAAAGTTTATGTGGAATATGAAGTAAAAAGATATCACACAAGTCACAAATCAATTAATATTCTTGGTCTTCTGGATATAGAAAACAAGTTTGCCTAAGCAATTTTTTTTTTTTTTTTTCTGTTTTGATTTCCAGAACGCTGAAGATAACGAGTACCCGGAAGGTGTTGATCCAGCTCTGGAATTCGTAATCACATCTGAAGACATCACAGCCACTGGAGCTCCAGCAACTCTTCTCATCTTCAACAATGAAAAGGGTTTCTCAGAGAAGAACATTGAGTCTGTTTGTAGTGTTGGAAGGTCCACCAAGAAAGGCAACCGCAAACGTGGTTACATTGGAGAAAAAGGTATGTTTTCCTTTTACCATATCACTATCTTATTCTTACAAAAGATCCTTTGTTCTTACATGTGTGTTTTGTTTTCAACCATGGCAGGAATTGGTTTCAAGAGTGTGTTTTTGATCACTTCTCAACCCTACATTTTCAGCAATGGGTATCAGATAAGATTCAATGAGGCACCTTGTACTCACTGCAGCCTTGGTTACATTGTTCCTGAGTGGGTTGAGCAAAACCCTTCTCTTGCCGACATAAAAAGGATCTACGGTTCTGGTTCTGCTCTTCCCACCACAACCATTATCTTGCCTTTAAAGAGTGATAAAGTAAAGCCGGTGAAAGAACAGCTCTCCAATGTTCATCCCGAAGTTCTCTTGTTTCTTTCAAAGATCAAAGGTCTTTCCATCAGAGAACACTGCCAAGACTCAAAGCTCAGCACAGTGAACTCGATCGGGATCGTTAGTGAGACAAACTTCGTGACGAGGAAGAGCATTGATGCTGAGTCTTACACAATCCATCTCTCTGCTCGTGGAACCGGTTCTGAGAAAGAATGTAGTTACTACATGTGGAAGCAAAAGTTCCCGGTGAAGCATGAGAACCGTGTTGAAAGAAGAAGTGAAGTTGATGATTGGGTGATAACTTTGGCCTTTCCTTTCGGAGAGCGTCTTGGCCGTGGAACTAACTCTTCCCCTGGTATCTATGCGTTTCTTCCGACGGAGATGGTAACAAACTTTCCGTTCATAATGCAAGCGGATTTCATTCTTGCATCGTCTCGGGAGACGATCTTGCTCGATGACATATGGAACCAAGGGATTCTCAACTGTGTTCCGCTAGCTTTTCTGAATGCATTCACTTCATTGGTGAAGAAGACAGATGCTCCGGTCTCCAGCTTGCTGCCTTGTTTTAGTTTCTTGCCTGTGAAGGAATCTACTTACGCGAAGCTTAACGTTGTTCGAGATACCGTGAGGGCCAAGGTTTGTGCTGAGGAAATTGTGCCTAGCGTATCACATTTGGGACAGAAGTTCTTCCACAGACCGTGCGATGTGGGTCGTCTTGTTCCTGCTTTTTGGGATATCTTGGAGAAAGCGAGAAGAGAAGGCGCAAGTCTGCAAAACATATCGTCTCACGGTATCTACATCTTGGATTCGTCTTTTGATAGACCTAAGAACGACGATGTTCTTGACTTCTTGGGTTTGAAGAGTGTTAGCAACGAATGGTATGCAAAATTCATACAGGGATGTGATCTCGTGAAGAGTGTGTCAGAGAATACGTACGTTGAGGTTCTTCTTTTCTTGGCTGAGAATTGGTCAAGATTTCAGAGCACAAACATGGTGAAAGTTCCGCTTATCAAGTACGTTGTGCAAAAAGGAGTGACTTCTCTTAGCAGTTTCTCAGATTTCTCTCCACGGATGTTATGCTTCGCCACAGATAAGAACCAGGCTTGGTTTCTTGATTGGAACGATGTGTTTAGATCCATGTCTAAGTTTGTTTTCATCCCACAAGCAACCCGAACAGCGCTTAATGCGAGCTCAAAGAAGGAAACAGTACTTAATTGGCTTCAAGAGAAGGTGACCGTCGCGAGACTTAGCATCTCTGACTATGCAAAACATCTGAGGGAGAATCTTGATGGAGACAAGAGGCTTGTGGTTGCGTATGCACACTTTCTTCATCACTCAATCTCGAAGGGTTTTTTATCAGAAGATGAGGCTGTTAAAATCTGCAAAAACATGCCGCTTGTGGACAACTATGGGAACATCAACACAAGCAGAAAGGGAGTTCTTGTTCCTGCTAGTGCAGGTAAATGGGTTAGCTTGGTTGGTTCAAATCCTTGGAGGCAGAACAGTTATATTGAACTATGGGAAGAGTATTTGTCATCTGCTAGCTTCGCTGGTGTCCGGTCTAATCAAAGAGAGCTTCTTGATTTCTTGGAAGAGTATGCTCAGGCTGGAGATATACCTGACATTGAGCCTCCAAATTCTGCTATTCCTGCGTTGTCCGGAGCTCTTAGGAAAGAGAATGCTTTGCTTCTTTTGGAGTGGATTAAGAGAAACAGATATTCCCTTCCTCACAAGTTCTTGGATTCTGTTCAAGAAGGAAGCTGGTTGAGAACCACAATGAATGGTTCCTCTGATTATCGGCAGCCTTGTAAGTCTTTTTATCACACTTTTTCATGGGGAGACATCTTGCAGAACGGATCTGTTCTTGTTGATATTCCACTGGTTGATCGAAGCTTCTATGGGAGAGAGATTGAGAGGTACAAAGATCAGCTGAAAACTTGTGGTGTGATGTTTGAGTTTAGTGAAGCGTGTACGTTTGTTGGAGAGCATCTCATGAGTTTGGCTGGAGAATCATCACTGTCAAGCGCCAACATGTTCTCCATTCTGAAATTCATAAGATACTTGCGGCAGAAGCAACTCTCACCAGCTGATTTCATTAGTGCAGTCAAAGATGGTTCTTGGTTGAGGACAAGCTCCGGCGACAGATTTCCGGATGGAGCTGTTCTGTACAGTCAAGACTGGAAAGCTGCTTCGCTGTTCAGTGACATACCATTCATTGACAGAAACTTCTATGGTGAAGCTAACCTAAATGGATTCCAAGAGGAGCTTGAGTTGCTTGGTGTTGTGGTTAAGTTTCATAAAAATCACAGCCTCATCGTTGCTTACTTGAATCCTTCAAAGCTAAACTATTTGACATCTGAAGCAATGCTCTTAGTTCTTCATTGCGTTCGCCATCGGAGTCCTCCAAAGCTCATCAACGCCCTGAGAAACTCTCAATGCTTGTTGACGAAAAGCAGCTTTAAATCCCCTGCCGAGTGTTTCATTTCTGAGCCGGAATGGAGTTGCTTTATGACGGTTTTCGATGTCTTCCCTTTGATCGACGAGGAGTTCTATGGAAGAAGAATCCTTTCCTACAAAGAAGAGCTGAAGCAGATTGGTGTTGTGGTTCAAGTTGAAGAAGCTGTGAAAGGCTTTGTGCGCACGTTTAAGCACAAAGCTTCCACCTCTGGTCTAACCCGAGATACCGCCTCGTCTCTTCTCTCTTGCTACAGAAAGCTAATGGGAAGCAATCATAAGTTTCCGGAAGAGCTTTTGAAAACGTTCAAAGAGTTACAATGGCTTCACACAAAGCTCGGCGACTTCCGTGCTCCAAAAGACTGCATTCTCTTTGAACCAGATTGGGAACCTCTCCGCCTTGTAGCGAATCTGCCTTTCATCGATGACAGCTCAAACTGGTACGGCAAGGGGATACATGAGTACAAGATAGAGCTAAAGAGCTTGGGGGTTACAGTTACTCTGAGACAAGGCATGAGCCATGTGGTTAGCTGCTTAAGTCTCCCTGGTCCATCGAGCATCACTTCTTCAAGCGCGCTGTCTCTTCTTAAGTGTGTCAAGTTCTTGCTTGAGGATAGATTTGAGAAGCTCCCTAAAGAGTTTCTTGACAAGGTTTCTGTCAAATGGTTGAAGACACATGGTGGTTGTGGTTACCGAAGTCCTGATGAGTGTCTCTTGTTTGATAAGAGCTGGGGATTAGAGCCGTGTGATGGTCCTTTCATAGATGAAGAGTACTATGGCGCAGAGGTTAAAACGTTCAAGAAAGAGCTTGTTGCGATTGGAGTTGGTAACAATGCAGCTAAAGCTTGCCAGTTGCTTGCGAGTCAAGTCTTTACTCATTCTGATTATAGTGCGATTACTCGGATTTATAGGTTTCTCTACAAATATGATTGGAAACCTACGAAAGATGGTGATGCAGCAGCAAGCCGAATCTGGATCCCGAAAGATGGTAAATGGGCAGATGCCTCTAGCTGTGTGCTCTATGACAAAGACAAACTCTTTGGCTCTTCTCAGCTAAACGTTCTTGGACACCATTACGAATGTGATCTTCTTCGTTTCTTTTCATCTGCATTTGGCGTGAGAACTTATCCGTCTATTGAAGATTACTGTACTCTATGGAAAGATTGGGAGAGAACGAAGGAGAGATTGTCATACGACGAGTGCTGTGCGTTCTGGAGATTCGTAGCGCAACACTGTTACACAGTTAAAGCAGAGAAGTTCCTCTCTGAATCTTTCTCGCGTTTGCCTATAACTGCACCAGATTGCAGCAGCAAAGATGGAGGAATCTTGCTATCGAACGTAAGCGATGTGTTCATAGCTGATGACTTGCTACTGAAGGATCTTTTCGTAGACTCCTCTGTTTTCGTTTGGTACCCAACTCCAAGCATCCCTGCACTGTCTCAAGCCAAGCTTATGGAGATTTACAGAAAAATCGGTGTCAAAGAGATCTCCAAATGCGTTGAGATGGCAGAAGCTGAGATCATAACCGATGGAGAGAAGCAAGAGAAGAATAATAATCTGATCGGAGCTGGGCTAGTGAGGTTGATTCTAGGGTTTCTCTCTGATCCATCTCTGAAGATAGAAGCTGAGGAACGTTCAAGAATCATACAGAGCATTCTCAGCGTCACCGTTGTGGAGACTCCGGAGACGATCACGACGGAGTATACTCTGAATCTACCGTCAAAGGGAGAGAAGCTGGTGGCGAAGGCTAAGAGGATGATAAGGTGGGAGAGAGAGAAAGGAGTGGTGTATGCAGAGAAGATGGAGAAAGCTTGTGGTAAAAGAAAGGTTTTGGAGTACGCAACGTGTTTCGCTGAGGTGGTTGCTAAAGGAGTGTTGTGGGAGAGAGAGGATCTTATTGGATCGTTATCTGAGCTTGTGAAGATGGCGTACTTGGTGGAGTTTGATGGTGAGGCTTTGGAGTTTCTTATGAAGTCCAAGAACCTTCAGGTCTATGAAGAAGATGAGAAACTCATCTCAGATGCTTTCTCCCTCAAGTAACCTAAGGTATGTCTACGTCAATGTCGATTCTTTGTTTTATAGAGCGTATTTATTGGTCATTTTGCTCTGTTAATGTCGTCTGCTTCTGTGAAAGTAAAGAATGTCTTTTCTCCTGTTTTCATTGCAGATGCTTTATATCTCAAGAAATGGGAGCCATCTCTATGTTCTTGTTTTTGTTTCGTTTATTTTGGTATGGTATTCTCATGAAACTTTTTCTTTTTTTCTTTTATGCGGCTAATGTCTTCACTCTATGTTCTACATCTTTTGTAACCTCATGACTCTTTCTTGAAGTTATCAAGAAATGAAATATTCAAGTATAAAAAAGTAGTTTTCTTTCATTGCAGACTTCAGTCAAACAAACCATCCTGAATGAATCGCAATACAGTTCTTTCATTATCTTTGAATCATTAAATTACAATAGCTTTCTCGTAACAAAAGAACAATCTAAAAAAAAAAATCTAACCGGCTGAAGAGATGAGGCATGAATGGATCATGCACTACCACTGAAAAAACAAAAAAAAACGTCTGGCTCATGTTAAGACAAAACACAAAATGAAGTTTCAGTAACTGACTTGCTGTTGTTGGAAGTTGGAACCAGAAAAAAAAAAAAAAGAGACCTTTTTTTAATTAGGGAAGCAAAATGGGCTGCATCGGTCTGGTCAATTTATCAAGCTTCAATCCATACCGGCCGGTGCTTACAAAAACATCAAACAAACATTACGACTCAAGACGATCATCTATGGCGGCGATTCGATCCGAGTCAATGGCTACTGAGAAATTAGGGATTACAATTGAGAAGAATCCTCCCGAGTCCAAACTCACCCAACTCGGTGTTCGTAGTTGGCCCAAGTACGCCCTTCTGCATCTCTTATCTCTCGATTTAAACCCATATCACACTATCCATTAGTCGATCTACATATCCATTTGTTGCTGCTGAGTAAGAAAGTTTTAGCCTTTTTTGTTGCCCGGAGAAGAAAGCCTTTAGCTTTTTTTCCTATTTCTCAATGTCGATTTTCATGGCTTAGTTTTTGCTGTAGTTTCACGCCCTCTTTGGTCTCTCTCTCTTTGTTTCTCAATAAACCCATACAGTTGTCAATTTAAACTCTAGATTCAAACCTTCTGTAGACTTGAAATTGAAAGTTTTAACCTTTTTCTCACTCGGAATAGAAAGTTCTAAGCTTTTGTTGAATTCGATCTTCTTTTTTAACTGCTATATGTAGAAGCCAGATAGTTGCAGTTTATCAGTCTCGCTTTTCCATGGCTTAAGTCACTTGCAATTTGCTCTTGATTCAAATCCATATGTAGACATTCATCAGCATCCATCTGAAATTAAAAGGTTAAACCTTTTTCTTATCCGGAGAAGAAAGCTTTAAGCATTCATCAGTTCGATCTTAATGATAATGCGATATGTAGAAGCCATTTAGATAGCTGAAGTTTCCCAATGTGGCTTTTCATGGTATATGGTATTTGCAACTGATGCAGTTTTATCTTATTTTGTGGGTAAATTGATTGCACAGGTGGGGTTGTCCTCCAAGCAAGTTTCCATGGACTTACACTGCAAAGGAGACTTGTTACTTGCTAGAGGGGAAAGTGAAAGTGTACCCTGATGGATCTGAAGAAGGCGTAGATATCGAAGCAGGAGACTTTGTTGTTTTCCCGAAAGGAATGAGCTGCACTTGGGATGTCTCTGTTGCTGTTGACAAACACTACCAATTCGAGTGAATGACTCAGCTTTACCATCTTTGTATATGTTGATGGATCATGGATATGTGTTTTGGGGATCTATTTTGCTTTCGATATCTAAGACATTTTCTTCTGATGTTATGGTTCGTACTACTTCCATATACAAGAAAGCTTTAAGCTTTAACAAAGGTTAAATGACCTTTCCTCTTTTTTTTTTTTTTTCCATTAGTGTATAATGTAAATTTTAATTCGTTGGTGTTACCTTTCTTTGATTCTAAAGGTTGATCACACTTATGAAAGATTTTATTGGTGGCTCCGAATATTTATCTCTTAGATTATCTTCTAATTTTTCGTGTATAAATTCACTTACAGCTAGGAGAAGATAACATTTTATATATATATAAAGGAAAGGATTTTCTAGTGCCCAACGCATTTGAGCAGGATGAACTTATGCTCGTTATCTTTTCACAACATCTACATCAAGGCTCGAATTTAATTCTCTCTAACAAACATAAGAAATTTAATTTATGTGTGTAAGTGGCCACCTAGCAAGTGATTTGATACATCACGATTTAAATAAAATATCGTATCCCCTCCTACATTCCATTAATGGTCCCCTTCCTAGTCATACCATACAACAGTTTATACCTCGTGCGCATAACAATCTCTCAAGAAATGTTGTAATTTTTAAATATTTTAACATAACTATGCAAATAGCACATCTGGTTATATTTCACTTGTTAATTTTTTTTTTAAAAAATTGTAAAATATATCGAGTCGAAATAAAAGTTCTATGCGGCTGACTCATTAAAAAAAGACAAAAAAAAAAAAGTTGTATGCGTCTGTGCTGATTTTTAGTCATTTTATCATAAAAATTCTTTCTCAAGATCTTCGGGAGGATCGACCGCATAAAGTAAATAAACATACATGCGTAAAGTAGCAAACGTTTGTGAGTGACTGGGACATTGGTGTGGTATTTTCTGAAAACGCTATGTCATTCAAGTGGGAATGTCGATAGAGAGTGTACACAAACACAATCTAAATGAATCAGAATTTTTTTGATCCTATTTGATGTCAACTCCTAATTGTAGTTCAAAAGAGGAAGTTGTAGTAACACCCATGAACGACAATAAGATCTCGAAGATGAAATAAATCGAGGATTTAGCGAACCAGTCCAGTATTTTTCATCGATATATGTCTATTTGAAGAGGATTGGGCTATCTGGATCAACAAATGATCGAGAAAAATGGAACAAGACTAAGTCGATCAAGTCGATCAAAATGGAATATTGAGCCTTGGATTAACTATAGTGGTTCAGTGACTCTTTAGACACCGCATGTATGTTGATGACAGTGACAGAAACACATCAGGACTTTTGGTAGCTTTTGGTTTGCTATACGATATACTTTCCGAACAGACTAGTATGATGAACTCTTTGGGAGGAGATAAAAGGTGGCGAAGTCTTTGTATTGAGAATCATAAATTTTGAGCTCCCGTGAGGTCATTCTTTAAGAGCATATTTTTCATTAGTTCAACTTCACTTGGAAAGGGTGAGTTACGCTTTAAACGTGTTGGCTCCGGGCAGTGTCCAAAACTCCCACGGTTTATTTGGAAAAACAAAAAAAAAATAACAAAAAAGAAAGAAAGAAACTATGACCTTGGTATGTGATATCATAGTCAAGAGTAATGTTTTTCACAGTACTGGGAATCAGGTCCTACAAAACACATTGAAGCAGAATTTCATTAAAATGGATGAGACTACTAATAATGGGAATATTTCTATTTCTCATGTTGACATTTCTTATCAACCAACAAATATTCTTACTAAGGCTTGTAATCGCTAATATTTTCATTTATTTGACAAATTAGACTTTTGTAATTTCTAAGCTCCAATATAATGGGGAGCGTTAAAAATGTTTTCATATATTTTGGGATTTTCATTTCCCTCATGCAATTTATCTGCCACTCTCATGTGTATAGGACGTATCATAGATCTTACTAACACTAATCTCTTGTATTATATATTCCATATATATATATATATTCTCTTGATTTTGGCATGAACAAAATAATTAATTATATATTAATATAATAGTATGCTTTATGTTGAATTTATATCTCCAATGTTGAAAATAAAATCCAGATAGTTATGGAAAATTATTTTTTAACAGAGATTTTGTTTTTAGTTAATATTGATAAGAAAGTGAGCAAATCAGAAAGTGCCAACTATATGAAGGGCTTTTCATTTTTTTTTTTCTTTTCATGGGTTCTCTTTTTTGTCTTTTCTCTTCTTTGATTTTTTTTCTTCTTATTTTATTGTTGAAAACCCCATTGAGTGAGAATACTCTTATTTCTCTTATCAATGCCCTTTGAAGGGGAGAAGAGAAAATATATGGAAAATAACGAGTTGAACTAGACAATGGTGTCATGTTAGTAACAGTGATCGAATACATATGTGGCTGAGAATGTTCATGTGCTTGAGTATATAAACCAACCCTATGGCCGATAATAATGCGTAGACCGAGTCAAGAATTAAAATGGAGAAGGTTGCAAGAAATTTAGCTAGAATCCGTTCGCAACTTGCTAGATCTCACTCCCCCTTCTTCATCTACTTCCTCTACTTCTTGTCCTTCTCCATTTTAGGGTTCTTGGCACTCAAGATCTCAAAGCCAAGAACCCCTTCGCGTCCTCATGACGTGGACCTCTTCTTCACTTCTGTCTCCGCTATCACCGTCTCATCCATGTCCACTGTCGACATGGAAGTCTTCTCCAACACCCAACTTATCTTTCTCACTATCCTCATGTTCCTTGGTGGCGAAATCTTCACCTCTTTCCTCAACCTCTACGTCGCCCATTTCACCAACTTCGTCTTCCCTCATAACAAGATTAGACATCTTATGGGCTCTTTCCACTTAGACCGTCTGGTCGAGGATCGTCGTAGCGACCTCGAGAATGTTACCGATCACAGCGAGGTTCCTAGCCAAATCAATGAAAGGGCGTCTAAGTGCTTGTATTCGGTGGTTCTTGGTTACCATCTTGTGACAAACCTAGCTGGCTCTGTGTTGCTTCTTGTGTACGTAAAGTTTGTCAAAACGGCAAGAGATGTTCTTAGTTCCAAAGAAATCTCACCTCTCACCTTCTCTGTCTTCACAACTGTCTCCACTTTCGCAAATTGCGGATTTGTTCCCACGAATGAGAACATGATCATATTTCGCAAGAACGCGGGTCTCCTCTGGTTCTTAATCCCTCAGGTATTGATGGGGAACACGTTGTTCCCTTGCTTCTTGGCATTACTCATATGGGGACTTGATAAGCTCACAAAACGAGAAGAGTTCGGTTATATTCTCAAGAACCATAAGAAGATGGGATACTCTCATCTACTCTCCGTTCGTCATTGTGTTCTTCTTGGATTGACGGTCTTAGGGTTCTTGATTATACAACTTCTTCTTTTCTGCGCCTTTGAGTGGAGCTCCGAGTCTCTCGTAGGAATGAGTCTGTACGAGAAGTTGGTTGGATCTTTGTTTCAAGTGGTGAACTCGAGACACACCGGAGAGACAATTGTCGACCTCTCCACACTTTCCCCAGCTATCTTGATACTCTTCATCCTCATGATGTGAGTTACTTCAATTCTTTTATTCCTTCTTTTCTCTCATTCCTCAATTATGCATGCTCCCGTCTGGACTTAAAATTTATAAATTTTACTCTATTTAGTGACGGCATATAGTCCAGTGAAAAGTACACGTATAATGACCTATATTGAAACCTGTGCAAGTTGACATACACATCGATGCATGCATATAAACACATAAGAGAAGTGTCACACATAGATGTACGTGAAACGGTGCAAGTGAGCCATCTTCTGTATTTCTCTAACAATTTTACAATTTAGTTTTTGAACTAAACCAATTGTGATAGTGCTGCGTTGATACAATCCATTATAGTAGATTTATTTTTTATAATCCGTATATGTAAACATGCATGCGCAGATAATAAAATTTAAAAGGTCACCACATAAAATTAGTTGGCCGACTTTTCACTATAGAAAACATCAAACATATCATGGGTGCGTATATTATCTGACATTTAGTTTGGAGAGTCTATAAATCATTTACCTAATTTTTCTATAGAGAAAACATTTTCCTAACAATTATTGTTTATGCTTTAGAAACCTAACAAAACATGTGCGGTTTATTTTAAGATTATGTACCACGTAACGCCAATAATGCACCTATATACTATGAGTGGGTGGTAAAACAAAAGTTTTGTACTCCTTCTGTTTTGACACTTTTCACACAAATTAAAAAAACAGTTTAAAGTTCAGTTTTACTCTTGTTTGACTATAAAAATTTTACAATATATTTTTTTTATTTAATTAGGAGTAAAACTGATAAATTAATATTAAAAATTGCATTAAAAAAATGACACTTATTTTATAACTAAAAAGCTTCTAAAATTACACTTATTATAAAACGGAAAGAGTATATCACAAGAAAAAGAATCAGTGAGGTTGTCCAGCTTTCCACTAAACTTTTACGATGGAAAAAAAGTCTCAGTCACAATAGTATTTCATCACATAAAGTTAAATTTCCTCACATAAAGTAACTTTTTGAAGTGACTTTTACTTAGACATATATTTGAAATTAGATATATATATATATATATATATATATATATATATACTAAAAAGGAACTTATACGAGAATGTGGTAGACAATATTAGATGGAATGAATCCGAATATGTCCATGTTTTTTCTTTTCATTTTGGAGATAGGGCTTTCAAATGTTCATGGTTTTAGATTCAGTAAAGTAAACATAATATGTCTCTTCGAGGTAGAGGAGAATGTCCCAGCCTTCACAAGCATCATATTACAAAGCATTTTCTTTCTTATACTAAATAATTATGGGGATTAATATGTGGATATAACTGCGTTGACCAGGTACCTTCCTCCATACACATTGTTTATGCCGTTGACCAAAGAAAAGAATAAGAATGAGGGAAACGATGATTCTGGAATTGAAAAGTCAAGGAGGAAGAATGGGCTCTTCGTGTCACAACTTTCCTTTTTGACGATATGCATCTTTCTCATTTCCATCACCGAAAGACAAAAACTACAACGAGATCCACTCAATTTCAACGTCCTTAACATCACTCTCGAAGTTATTAGGTATGTTTTATGTATCTCTCTATACATTATAACATTCAAGGTTAGTTCATTTCATATAAACTATGCTTCTTTTTTTATTAAAAAAAAAAACTAATTATTGTAATTAACGGCAGTGCATATGGAAACGTGGGATTCACGACCGGCTACAGCTGCAAACGGCGACTGAATGTCAGCGATGGTGGCTGCGTAGACGCGGGTTATGGGTTTGCAGGACGATGGAGCCAGAGTGGAAAATTCATACTAATAATAGTAATGTTTTATGGTCGATTTAAGCAGTTCACGGCCAAATCTGGACGAGAATGGATACTATATCCCTCCTCTTCATGACACATCATTTATAAATATAAAATAAGACTAATCTTCTATGTGATGTACGTAGTTCTCCCATTTTTGTGGGTAATGTATGATATATAAGCTTGTGCGTAATTCTCATGTATCTTATTACAAAAAAGTATATATATATATATATATATATATATATATATATATATATATACTAGATTAGCCCCGCGTATACGCGGGTTTATTTTAATATAATTGAAATAAATCATAGGAAAATACTAAACAAAAATCTGGTCACTTTTAAAAGTAAGTAGAATAATATTCAAAAGATTATTTTGACTATTATAATTATAATATTTAATTATAATTGATTATTCTATTTAAAAGATTTCGATTGATGAAATCTTTTTCATAATATTGTTTTACCTACCAAAAAATAGAAAATTAATCTATTTAGAATTAGAATATCGGTCAATTAGATATATTTTTAATGTTATAATTATTTTGTTAATTTTCTATTTATCATATTTTTTGTTCAATTTTGTTTTGCCTCGGACCATTATAAATTTTCTTATTCATAATTAGTTAGTTGTTTTAAAATTATTTTGTTAGTTTTTTTATTTATCTTATTACATTTTTCTATTTTTCTTTTGTTAACACATGTTATCACATGATCATATATTAGAAAATTTTGCGACAAATTTTCAATTTCTACCCAACTTATCTAAAGTTAAATATTCTTCATTGATATCTTGAACTTTAAAGTACATGATTTTTATTTTGTAATAAAAGAGAAAGTTTAAACAAAAGATAGAATCACAGATATAAATCATGAAAGCTATAACTTATTATATATTATTTTTTTTGTTTCCTTTTCTTAATGGGAATATGTTTTTTCTCCTTTTCTTAACGGATGTAACATTTTTTCTTTTATTATTTGTTTCATGTTTTTCTGAATATCGATTATTTTTCCTTTTCGTATTGGGAGTATGTTTTTTTCCTTTTCTTGATGGATATAACATTTTTAAAAAAATTGCTATTTGTTTCCTATTTTTCCTTGAATTGTGTTTTCCTGTTTAAAAAAATGTAAAAATTTAATGTTAATCTATTTATAATTATATATATATATAATGTTATATGTTAAAATTTCTTTTTTCTTAATTTTCGTTTTTCTAATATTTAAATAAAATAAATTTTTTTTTTCAAAACACGTGTCACGATCTTAACGGTTTAACATTAAAAGTGACACATGTCGCGATCATATAATTTATAAAAATCCTACGTGTCGCAACCACGTCGCGCGCATCCATTTATATAATAAGATATAAAGACTCTATTGCTACGGCCTTGTTTGGCATGTTGTGAGATTTTATTTTAACGTCAAAACACCGAATTTTTACGAGTCCAATTGATTTTAGCTTTTACTTGCTTCTTACTCTACATACTGAAAACTAAAAATTTGACATTTCTATAAAATAAAATAAAAATTAAAGTCTCGAATTTATTAATTTATAGAGATTTTAACATGTAATTTTACCTCTTTTTAATCGTTGTCAAGTTGGTAATTTACATTTTAAATCTAGTGTATATGTGTAACAAAAAAATAAATAAAAACTATATTTTCGGCTAACTATAAAGCTGATTGGGCCTGTAGTGATAAGAGAGAGTAGGCCTAAGTCATATAGGCCCATTCCATATAAGTACAATTTGCGAAATCCACGGGAAGAGAGAGACAGAGACGGAGAGAGAGACGATGAGCAACTGGAGGAGGAGTACCGGAGACGATGATATGGGACTGCTTTGGAAACTTCCTCAGATAAGGATCAAAGACGTCGGAAAAGTTGGTCCCGCCTTAGGCCTCGGTGTCGGCTGCGGATTCGGTTTCGGCGCCGGTCTTATCGGAGGTAATTTTGATCTCACAGACTTGCAATTTGCAAAAATCGCTCGAAGCTGTTTTAGATAGTTTCGTGAGAGAGAGAGAGATGTGTTGGTTAAACTGAGTAAGAAATTGATGGTTGCAGGTGTAGGATTCGGACCAGGAGTTCCTGGATTACAGTTCGGTCTTGGATTTGGAGCTGGTTGTGGAATCGGTGTCGGATTTGGCTATGGCGTCGGAAGAGGCGCCGCTTACGATCACTCTCGCTCTTATTCTAACGTCGGAAAACCATCTCTGTGAGTAAAAGTTACGCTTTTGCCATTAGATTCTTGTGTGACTTTTATCTATCAACGAAACTAGCAAGAACTGAAAATGATTCTCTTTTTTTTGGGCTCTACAGTGATGAAGTTGATTCTCTGATTGATGAACTCGTTGTTCACACTAAGAAACTTGTGAAAGCCACTTCAAAAGAAATCGACAAGTGGAGAAGATTGTGAAAAAGCTCTAACTCTAAGCACCTTTTAGCTTTAGAAAGCTCTTTTCAAGTAAAAATGTCAGTGCTTTCTTGTTCTTGGATCCGAAATGTTGACCAGGGGATTGTGAATCTTCTTCCTTATTTGTACAATTTACATATATCGTATAAAGATGGATTCGCGTAATAATTAAATGGAAGACTTATCATTCTTGGCGATGTCTATAGTCTTGAGGCCAATTTTGGTGTTTATGGCTCAAATTTGATCCCAAACGCAATTTCATAACACAATTTATAGAGGCAGATGTAGCCGTTTTGCGGTTTTGCGTTTGAATGCGAATTTGCGTTAGCCGTTTTGAGGAATCTACTGAAGACTGTGAAAGATTTGTGGATGACATTTAAAAGTTGAGATTTCATGTGTTTTGAGATTCTTTGTATACAGGGTAAAGCTTGGCCACACAAAAGAAGAGAAACAGAGGATATGGATAAACAGATTATCCAACAAAAACCAATCTATGAGCCACATCAGCAACCACAGCCAATGAGAGAACAGAATCATATTTCACATTTCCAGATTGGACCAATCAAAAGCTTGAACGAATCCTACTCTCCACCTTATAGTACCAGTTTCGTCTCTTCCTTCCCTTTCACTTAGTCTTGAACCATTTGTAAAACAGAGTGAAAAAAGCTTGAAACTTTAGGGGTGTCAAAGATGGCGTCTTTGGGTGTGTCGGAAATGCTTGGTACGCCTCTTAACTTCAGGGCAGTTTCAAGATCGTCTGCTCCATTGGCATCAAGCCCAGCTACGTTCAAGACTGTTGCTTTGTTCTCCAAGAAGAAGCCAGCTCCTTCTAAGTCCAAGACCGTCTCCGTCGCTAACGATGAGCTCGCCAAGTGGTATGGTAGGTGTCTTCTATAATCCCAGACCTTCTCTCTTTCTCTAGCAATACGTCTCTCTGAATATGAATGTGTTTGGAATTGTGATTCTCTGGTTTAGGTCCTGACAGGAGAATCTTCTTGCCTGATGGTCTTTTGGACAGATCAGAGATCCCAGAGTACTTAAACGGTGAAGTTGCTGGAGAGTAAGACAATTTCTCTCACTTTGTATGGATGGTTACTTTGGCTTTGGTGATTAGAACTTATTGATGCTGAAAATCTGAAATTGCAGCTATGGCTATGACCCATTTGGACTTGGCAAGAAGCCTGAGAACTTTGCTAAGTAAGCAGATTCTCTGCTCTCTAATCTAAACCTTTTGTTTCAATCTCCATCTCTCTTAATTTGTCATTAAGACTGGTTCTGTGGTTGCCAGATACCAAGCTTTTGAATTGATCCATGCGAGATGGGCTATGTTGGGAGCAGCTGGTTTCATCATCCCTGAAGCCTTAAACAAATACGGTGCTAACTGTGGCCCTGAAGCCGTGTGGTTCAAGGTTTTTAACCTAATTCTTATCTTTCTGAATCTTCAAGTTATTTAGATTCTATATAGGAACAGAGATTTTTGTTATGTGATGATGATGGATCTGATTGGAATAACAACGATGCAGACTGGTGCTCTGCTTCTTGATGGAAACACATTAAACTACTTTGGCAAGAACATCCCAATCAACCTTGTTCTCGCTGTAGTTGCTGAGGTTGTTCTCCTCGGTGGAGCCGAGTACTACAGAATCACCAACGGATTGGTACATTACTTTAACATTTTTTTAGCTATTACTCGTTTCAGTTCCAACGACTAATCCTTGAAAATGCAAAAACTTTGGCAGGATTTTGAGGACAAGTTGCATCCAGGAGGTCCATTCGATCCATTGGGGCTTGCTAAAGACCCTGAACAAGGAGCTCTTCTCAAGGTTAAAGAGATCAAGAACGGGAGATTAGCCATGTTTGCGATGCTCGGTTTCTTCATCCAAGCTTACGTCACCGGAGAAGGTCCTGTTGAGAACCTTGCAAAGCATCTCAGTGATCCTTTTGGAAACAATTTGCTTACAGTCATCGCTGGAACTGTTGAGAGAGCTCCTACTCTCTAAAGCCATTTTCTTAGTTTCTAAAAGAGCTTCGAAGATGCTTTGTGTACACTTTGTTTGATGAGAATTTTCTATTGACATTGTGAAAATACTTCCCTCTGCATCTTCTTGATATATCTCAATGCTCTGCGCTTTCTTATGCTTCTAAGGTAATTGTGCGTTTGCGTTTGAGGTTAGATTATAGAGTCACTCTTTGGTTTTATATTTACTCATTTAGAGAGAGAAACAAAAAGTTTCCAAAAATAAAATATTTTGATGGCATTTGAGACAAGAAAACAACCATAATACAATTAATAAACTAAACAGTTCTGTTCTTATTCATTCCAACAGTAGATATATTTGGGTTTTGTGAAGCAATTTGCTTCCAACCATAAAATGAAATAAATAAAACTTGTAATCAAGAACATACACACACACACTCACACACTCCCCCAAACACTTACATCGTCATTAGATATATAAGCATCTATTTAGAGTAGCCCCAGAAATCCATCTCACTGCGCAACGAGAGCTGGTTTGTAGCAGGAACTTGCTCGGCAACAGACGAAGAATTGTTGTTAACATCCTCAAACCTAATCCCTCTAGAGGAATCTTCATTTCCCATATGACAAGTCACAAGCCTATCCATCATTGCCCATTCACCTAAACCTTGTTGATGGTTATTATGACTAGCCACAGTCTCGCACGTTCCAACCTCTAAACCAGTCTCACACGCTTGCTGGTATTGTAACCCTTCACTAGCCGCACTCTCACAGTCCCTTGTAAGTCCTGAAGTGTAGTCAAATCCAAGAGAAGGTGGCTTGTGGAAGATTGGTGGGTACTGATGAAGAACAAGATCAGGCTTGTTGAGTTCGAATGTTGTGGCTCCGTGGTTACGTACTAGCTGGTAAGGACTGTCTCGCTGCATGAAGCTACGAGCTTGAAGTGTGTTGTTGTTGTTTGATGCATCATGGTTGTATTGGTCCGTTGAGTTAATGCTTGAGCCACCTTCATTCACTACCTTGAACAAATTCTTCTTCATGAACACCCTACAAACCACCCATCCATCTTCCTACAAGATCATATAATATATGAACCAATTTGTTAGAATATAATGGAGCTAACAAAAAGACGATCTTGATGATGAATGTCTATAAAGTAGTTAAAATATTAGCAAAGATTTTTCAAATAAAGACATACACTAGGGTTGCCTTGAGGATCGTCAGAGTCTTCAAGACGATACTCATGCATGATCCAATCAGTTTTCTGGCCATGAGGAGCTCTTCCTTTGTAGAACACAAGTGTCTTCCTCATTCCTATCTTCTTGAAAGAGTTCCTTATGCACTTGTCACGTCCCGTCGCCTTCCAGAATCCTGCGTGAGTAGCACGGTTTGTCCTTGACCCCGTCGGGTATTTCCTGTCCTTGTGGCTGAAGAAATACCATTCGTTCTGCGGCGTTGACCCTATCTTGCATCTCTCTACCATAAGAGAAAAACATAGAAAAGTTAGAGGATTGGATCAAAAATTGGTGTTCATGTATATATCCAATAATCAAGAAGTGGAAAGGATATAAAATTTATAAGAATTATCTCATAAATGAACTAACCATAGTGAAACTAATGTGAAATTCCTAAATCCTAATAAGCAATGTATTGTGATATGTTCTTGATAAAATGAGTTAAATAAGTAAATATTACCTTGCAAATCCCAAGGCTCAAGCTTGTTTAAGTCAACCTCCCTGATGACTTCCATCTCAAACTTGTGGTAAGAGATTTTCTTCTTCAAGTAGTAATGGAGAAGCTCTTCGTCCGTCGGATGAAAGCGAAACCCAGGTGGCACTCCTCCGTTTGAAGACGAACCCATTTCAGTTACGTTTTCTTGATGTATCAATGGACTTTCTTTCTTTCTAATCAAGAAGCTACAAGTTCTTGGTTTATATATTGGGGTTATACACGCTCACACGTAATTGTCAACGGAGTTTATTAAATGTATATGACGATGCATGTTTATGATGGTGAAGTTGACGGCCGGTGACCACGCCGCCGGAGATGCTCAAAAAGCTATCGTAAAAAGCAAGACTCGCCGAAGATTAATATGACTAGCTATTAGTTTAATATATTGTCTCTACGCGCCTTGTGTTGCAGCTTATGGTACACTTACGTAAAATCGACTGCTTCATGTGTCTCTACGCCATGTTGACTTAGTATCATTTATGAACGATCCCGATACAAATTTAAACATTATATTATTAGTATCATTAACCCCGTATTCAATTTTTTGATTGCTCTCTAAGCAAGGGTTTTTTTTTTTCTTTTTCTTGAGAAGGAAAGTGTTAGAGAAAAAACAACCCATATAGTTATGGGGATCTTCAACTCGGATCACACTGCACGGTCCATGTTTACGTATACAACTAGCTAGTTAGCAATTAATATGACTATTAACGATGAATATATACACAGAGATATGGAAATTAGAAAAAGATTATGGATCATGAGTTTAATATATGAATACGAATGTGCCATGCACTAACCCAATGGCCAAGGTTAGGGCTTTTTTTCCTGCACATGCGTCTATAGATGGCCTCCGATTCTTTTATATGGTTTCTCTAAATTTCAAGCTTCCTATCTGTTTTGTTAAGTTGATTCATTGATTCAAGCAAGCAATAAATACATACATATATACACACACACATGTACATTTACCAATTTACGTAAGATATATTTATTTATGAATACACTAAATGAATGCAGGATCTTATATTTGATATCATCAAAATTACAGTTGGTATATGGAAGATAAATGAAATCTTCATTTTCTCAATCAAAAATTTATAAACTAGGAAGCCAAACCGGAGGTTGAGACTTGAGAGTTTACAAACAAAGTAAAACCTAGATCTCAATTTAATAGAACGGGACAAAGAGTCGAGTTCTACATTCAATAAAGTTAGAACTAAAGATGACGATTCATTGATGCCAAGACATGTCCCAAATTTAAGTTTTGAGCTTCGAATGCAAAGGTGAAAGAATTTTCTTATGTGGCATTAGCATAGCGTCTCTATATGAGAATCTTGTTCTTCTCTTTCGAACAAAACTAGTTTAAACGGGAGAGAGGATCTTCTCTTTTCCAAGAACCATCAATTTGACAATCAAATCCTCGATACTCAGCTAGAGAAGCGGATGAAAGAGCTTCCATAGATAATATGTTGGCGACTCTTGAGACTTAGTCCATGCAAAATTTTCCAACTTTGCATGATTTTATATATACGATGGATCTTGATTCAAACCTTGAAATTAAAGAACTTAAAGAAAGACAATCTCCCTAAGATTCAGTTTTAGTTAATCGGGTTATATCTATAAGGGGTATTATAAATTTGAGTATACAAATATACAATATATAGCTAGTAGTCGATCTTATTGATCATCAATTTGGTTATCGTGTTACCAATGTTGAGTGTCACGTTTCAAGAAACTATTATGGTCGAGGACATTCCAAGAGCGAGGCCAAGTAGATTCACAACTCCTTAGTCCTCAGAGTAATAACTTGGGTTACCATCAAATTACGATGGAATATTATTGGTTTGCAACGGACCGTACGTTATCATTCAATAAATTTGTGCCTAACAAAAACACGCATGAATCAACATTTTTAAATCATGATGTTTGCCGCATACGGTACATTTTCTCTGTTCACTATTATTATTTTATTCAACTAAAATGCATGTGACTTATTTATGTCTTTTGTTAAATGACAACCTCAAATGTGGTTGCACGAAACCAATACCTGGAAATATTTCTGGATGCCCTATGTTTCCAACTTTTATCCGAGGAAATTACTATCTTCTTGAGTTCTATAATTAAGATTGATTTTCTTACAATCTTAAATGATGAATGAAAGTATTAGCTGGTTTACACCAAACCGAACCTAAACCGATCTTCTGCGAATGATAGTAGATAAACACTAAAATCTGAGTGCATGAGGTGAAACACTGATTCTGGTTCTAACTTTACAAGTTGAATACCTAAGAAACAACAAATAAAGGTTTTTTGAATTTACAATCCCCACCAGATCTTGCACAATCTTGTTTATAAACCCCAAAAGGCTTCAAAGACAAACCACAACTTGAAACCAATCAATTTTTTTTCATCAAAGTGAATGCAATTGAATTCTTTTTTCAGCCAAGCTTCTTTTTTTTCTTCTAACCATCAAGCATTCCTTCATTCACGGTGTCTGGCCTTGGAGATTGTTTTGATCAACCCTTTGGTGATTTTCCAGAACCAAATAAGATTCATCACTGTGAGAGCCGGTGCGATCGAAAGAAGGCTGTAGAATCCCAGTGGAAACACTTTCTTCACCTGCAGCAAAACCAATATTTTCTTCTAAAATGTATATTCTTCCTCTTTGGTTAATCTAATGAAGCTCAGCCATTTAACTTACCTGATGGAAATGGAAGTACATGTGAACAAAGAAGTAGATAAACAAGAGGATCCTCGCAACCTGTAAAAGAAGAAGAGAGTCTCATTCGTGTTTAACTTTTCGTAGATGCTAGAGCACAAACTTTTCGTCTATTTAACAGTACCAGCCAACCCAAGAACAGGGCAATGCCATTGAGAGTGTACGCCTTAGAGCCTTTTTGACCACTTGTATCCAAGTACCTGCCATTAATTAACAAGCTTCATGTTTAGAGGCCATGTTTAGAAAACGTTAAAACAACAAACAACAGTGATTTGTGAAGGGACGCATTCGAAAATCCGGAACACTTACCACCGGAGATTGACAAAGGGAGTTGTGGCCTCTGACAAGAGAACTAAGAATATGTAGAACTGAGCTTGTCCACTTGTGACAGAGAGAATGATCGAGAACATCGATAAGCAGTGATGAAAAACCTTGAATAAAGTTTCAAGAGAGGTTGTACTTATAAGCAACATTAGCTTATACCAATCCATTCAAAGCAAAAGCAAATGTTATATGATGCTTTAGTACTCACATATTCAACACCACCAAGAGCAGGAAAGTGCCAAATGATCATAGCTAAGTCTGCTACAAAATAGCCTAAGGAGGTCTATTCAGAGACAAATGTTATAATCTCATCAGCAACAGATGCAGAGAAGAAAGAAAAGAGAGAAGATATGATCTTAATCGCCAGAAAACTAACCCCCATTACAGCTTCAGATAACTTCGTTGTACTATCAATGACTAAATCGCCATGAACTTTCTCATCAAACTGATCAGATATCACCAAGAGGTAGATTGAAGCCACAGAGACAAACACCGCATGGAAAGTTGAGAATCCCCTGTGAAAAAAACGAAACATTTCTTGCTCAAAAACTTATCAAAGAAGATCAAACTCTAAGCAGAGATAAAGAAACTAAACCTGTTGTTCCATTCCATCCTAACTTTGCCATCGAGTTTCCCATAAGCAGTGAAGAGCAAAGGACTTATGAAACCAGTCAAGTCATAAACCTTGAAAACCAAAAAAACCAAAATCAAAACCAATCAAATTCCAGATTCTTGCATCGTAGAACCTAAAAAGACAGGTTCTTTGATTATAAACAAAGAAAGGGTCAAAGGGCTTACGAGTTTGCACATGAGAATACCGGCACAGATAGATGCAAGCAAAAGGATTTGTCTTGAAGAAACGAAGGCATCATCATCATCACCAGGGAATACGAAACTGGTCGTCGTCATTTAAAAGGCTCTTGCTTTGATGCGATTGATGGGTCAAAACAGAGCTAAATTGAAACAGAGAAGGAAACCCAGAATCAAAAACTTATATAAGGTCACAAAGGAATCGACTTTTTTCGTTCCCCAAAATTTCCGAGATACGATTGCGAAAGCAAAACCTAGAAAATGGGTCATCTTAGAAAGAAACAAAGATGAGGAGGAGAATCAACGAGAGAAGAAAACGTGTACCTGATGAATCTTTATCTGATACGATACTGGTCCCGCTCAATTACAATCCTCAGATTGTTGAATTGTCAAAGTTTCAAGCTTTTCTCTCTCTCTCTCTCTCTGGGCGAATCGAAATTTTAATCACTCAGACCCGCCATCTGCGTCCTTGGAAGAAATTATTTGGATTGAATTTGCTCTGAAGCGAGAAAGTTCGTACCTTTTTTTTTGTAATCTATGGGAAATTTTGAAAAGGAGCAATTAATGTTTACCCAAAAACAAGTGGATCGTTTGTCAATTAATCAATACTCAGACGTGGTACTGACTTGGTTAGTTGGTTTGGTTGAATTGAACACAATTACAAAGTACTATCTTTTTATTTCATTTTTTTTTTGTATACTAAACGTTTTTAATGTTAAGAAACTATATAAATGGAAATATTGTGATGTTGACTGACCCAACTGTACCAAAAGATTTTGTCTCTCCTCCTCTCTTCCTCCCACCTTCAATCTTGTTGCTGCATTTGAAGGAGTAATTTTGCGTGAGTAAGTTTGTATATGAGGTAATGTGAGCACATGTAGATGGTGTGTGTATGATATTATATCTGAGTTTTGGATACAAAACTCATAAACCAAAGAAAGTAAAGCTAAATGAAAGATCTAATCTGTCATTTTTGTAAAAGTACATAAGAGAACACAATTTCGATATATGTGAGAAATCAAGGTTTTCAACTCACAAAATATTTATTAATTAGTAGTAAATGAATTGATTCTTTATTTTTTCAATATGGTGTATTTTCTTGTTTAATTTTATATTGTCGTCTAAAAACTTCATTAGCTTGTCGTATTGCAGTCGTTACATTTGGAGAGTTTATTTCTAAAAGAATCCTACACTAAATCATGATTCATGAACATACCTAGATACAACAAAATTATTTCAATCCTCTCAACTCATGCAAAAGCATAGACCCAAGTATATTTTGAAGCCGACAATGGTATCAATAGTCTTTAAACATTTTTTGTTCAATTTACAACGAAAATCTTTAAAAATGTATTAAGAAATTAAGACCCAAATTTTAGTTTATTGAACCAATATTATTACTTTTTTCTAAAGTTTTTATATCATAATTACTTTTTTCTTATCATAACTTTGTTTGATTTTTTTCCATTAATTAGTTATTATAAAGTGGTCATTGAAGTTATGATGCAGTCTTTTGTACTATTTCACTTTTGCAACTCTAAAAAATTATATTCCCTATATTTCATATTAGTTGTCTTTTCTAAAAAATGTATCTGAAATACTTCTGCATGTATTTAACTCAAAAACACACTCATATATTTTGTATATATATTTTCTGAAAATGACAACTAATATGAAACGAATAAAATATAGACTTATTTTAGTTTATCAACATAGAATCTTAAATTTGTTGAAAATGACTATGTAATATTCACTTTTTTATCTTTTATGGATCACTAAATGATATTGATACATTATCAGGGGGCAGTGGCAGTGGCCGGTACATTTCTCATCGCAGTACTTTGGAGGATGTCGAAACCCACATTTGAATGTGCACCAGTCAAAGCACCAAGTTTGCTTGCATCTATCTCTAGCTCCTTCTGTTTCTTCTATCATAGATGCCATTACTACTGTCACCACTATCATCAATACAATGCATTTCTTCATACTCATTTTCTTAATTTTTTTTGTATATGGAAAATTATATATGTTCATTAAGAAATTTATATGTATATATATACACATATGACATTAATGACTTCTGCTTATTTGGTGACACTATACTTCAATTTTCTCTGGATTATGTTTTAATTACTTTTGATTTTTTGCATATAACAAAAAGTAGTTAATTTTAAATTGGGTAATTCATTAAAAAGGAAATTTACAATTCGAGATCCTGATTTGAGATCTTTTTTTTTCAGAAACGTATCTTGGGCTAATTATGTTGGTAGTCATTTGTAGAGCCAAAATTAGTGAAATCACATTGTGACATTTATTTTTGTTATTATGTCGTGCATTATGTTGCATGACTGTTTAAAAAAAAATATATATATATATATATAATAATAATAATAATAATGATTCACATGTTGTATCTATACTATTAAACAAATTAAAATCCTATTAGAAACTAATATTGGTTTTACATGTTAATTATATTGCATGAAATGAAATTGAGAATTACTCATTTTGTTAGGTATTAATTCAAAGTATTCATATGATTTCTACATTTATCCTATTAATTAAATAAACTAAAATTATATAGCCATATCAGATTTAGATTTAGATTATTAAAATTTATATATATATATATATCTTATTATATAAAGCTGGATGCGCACAACGTGGTTGCGACACATAGGATTTTTATAAAATATAGGATTGCGACATGTGTCACTTTTAATGTTACGTCCGTTAAGATCGTGACACATGTCTTGGAAAAAATGAAAAAAAAAAGGAAAATTTTAATCTTTTATAATAAAAACGAAAATTTATATAATAAATTGAAAATAATGTAATAAAAATACATTTTAATACATAGAATAGGTATGTAAACTAAATATCCTAAAACTGTATGGAATAGGTTACACAAACCCCTATTTAAAAATTCCTATTAGTATATGAAATAAGTATGTAAACTAAATATCATAAAACTATATGAAATTGGTTACATGAACTCCCTATAAAAAGAGAGCTACTGTATTCTCTTTTTCTCATTCACAAACTCATCAAAGCAAATTCAGCAAATCTCTTTAATTCTCTTTTTCTAATTTTAAAATCATCTTTGAAAGTTCAAGAGAACAGTGGAGATTATTTGTTTCTAGGTCGATTGGATCGAAATCAAAATTATCGCCGTACTATAGTACGTGTTATTCGAAAGTGGGAAGCTAGAAATTCTGAAGAAAATAATATTCTTATGGGAGTTGAGCTTCTATTAGTACTTGATGAAAAGGTTAGTATCATCTTATTATATTGATATATACAATCTTATTATAACATTGATTAATATTAAAGTTTTACTTTTGTTTGAGACAGGAAAACACAATTCAAGTTTTTATGCATCATTCACTACTTCAAAATTTTGGAGATCAAATGGCAAAGGAAACTTCTCTTTAAGGTATAGCCTTCATGATTTAATTGTGTGATTTTGTCTTTTGATTAAACTTCCCTTTCATTAAGAAATAAATATAATCATATATATGAAAAGAGGTCAATCCCTCCATATTATTTACATATGGATACAGGAGAAAATGACATATGTCATATAATTTTTATTTTAAAAAACAAAAATCCAAAAGTTTAGTATAACATTAATGCAACTTTTGGTCTTCTTTTGTGCTTATTGTAACTTACAAAATATATTTTCCTATAATTTTTACTTTAAAAAAAATACCCAAAAATTTAATAGAACTTCAATACAACTTTTGGTTTTCTTTTGTGTCCATTGTAACTTATAAAATAAAGAAAACTATTATATCACTTTAAAATTATTATCTTTGTCATCAATCTTGAATCACTATTAAACATTTAAATTCTCTTAATATACAGAGAATTAGATTCAGGAAAAAAAAAACGATGGCAGAGAAGCAGAGAGAATTAAAATATGGGTGTTATTTGAGTTAAAAGATTAATCACAAATCTATAATTGTTTTTAACTCCAAGCAAATAAGAATTAAAATATGGGTGTTATTTGGATTATTTGGAGTAAACATTTTTCTTAAACTATAACAATAAGAAAACCCGCGCGTATGCGCGGGCATTAGTCTAGTATATATATAATGTTTGATTAACTAACTATGATAAAAAAAATTCATTACTACTCAAATATAATCTAGTTAGTGATCAATATTTAATATCAAAATCAGCTAATTTGAAATTTTATTTTTCAAAATTCACCATTAGGTTACTATATTTACATTTCATGCTTGTTGTTTATGTTAAATATACTAGAAAATTGAGCAAAAACTACCGTTGATAACAAGCATCGATGGAACAAAATTTGGAAGAAATAATATGCAAGAACCTCTTGAATTTATTGAAGAATAGTAAAAGATGTCAATATGTGCTGGAGAAGAAGATGTGGAGTACGATCTTTCTTGTTTTTTGGTGAAAAGATGTTAATATTTTTGAGTTTGCTTATGAATTAAGAGAACACAATATTACGTGGTTAATATTTTCAAAATTTCTAAACAAAATGAAAAAAAAAAAATCAGTTTTACGAGTGAGAAACAATTTATCATTAATATTAATTTGGAAAATTACTTTTAAATAATATATTTGTTAATTTTGAAATCTAATCTATCATATTCATCTAGATTATGCATGATTCATTTGTTATTATTTAAATCTTAGGTTATTTCAAAAATCATAATTAAATTTTGCTGGATTTCACCAACATATTTTTCAACCAGATTCAACTATTACTATATAGATATATTATGTTTATATGATGTGATTTTATTCCATATACTCGCGTAAAAAAATATATATATATACCAATTATTGTATGATGCAATTCAAGTGAATACTTATTTTTATTCAAAGATTCTACATTTATACAAAATATAAAACAGAACTATAAATCATTTTGATAAAATAATCGGAAATATTCTAAACTAATCCTTATTTTAAATTATTGTCTCCCCTGCTTATATTGGGCTTGTTAAGATATCTTCATGGGCTTATTGGATCGATATCGTTGAGTCGTTGATAATATTCAGGTCCAATCAATTACCGTCTGTAACGTGAAAGTAGAGGGGTTTCTTTTGTGCATGTTGAAT